TGCTGCACAGTGGCTGGATAAATTTACAGATGTATAATCCCTTTCTTTCTCTCCTCTTTGAGTATTATAATTCTTCGAATTTTTTAAATTTGTGAAAGTAGTTTTGGGGAGTGTCCTTTTAGTTTTGGACAGCAGTGTCCCCAGGCACAAAGCAGGGTCCACGCAGGAACGGTTACTTGAGTTTAGGGGTGCACCGATCACAATTTTCTGGCCAATCACTGATCTTTAAAAAGCTTGACCTGCTGATGCCCATTTTGGCCGATACCAATTTTTTTTTTTTATAACTGACAACACACCTTTAATGCTCCAATCTTATTTTAATGAAAAATATTGAACAATACTTGTGAAACAATACAAATTTTTTGTGTTTGTTTTAACTGCACATAAAATAATAATCTACAGGACAAACTAACAACTCAACTTAAACCCCCAATAAGCTGTCCTGAGTTTGAGGTTTCCTTGTCGTGGATTCAAAATGCTTGGTTGAACATGCTCTGTTGTTTGTGCGGCTGGCGCACGCGTGTTAGCACACGTGACCTGGTGGGCTGGCCTGTCATTCTGGCAAAGCAAAAAGCTACAGCTGACTCCCAGATCGTTGCTGAGGTAGATAAGATCGGAGGATAAAATTGGTTTCATATGTAAGGATCAGCCGATCACTGATCCCCCAAAATTGAGGAAATCTGCACCGATCGATCGGCTGGCTGATTTATCGGTGCATGTCTAGTTTTGGTTGGTCCCGCTGAGTAGAATGCCCCCAAATGCCCCCTTCAGAAAGTAAATCTCTTCATCCTGGTGAGGGAAGTCAGTGGAGGAGGGATAAGCTGTGGTTTGAGATGAAGTCTGAAAGTTACCATCAGTTACCACGACTGAAGCTGATTTTCAGGTGAACTGTGACCTAAACATAGATGTTGAATCGAATCCTGCGTATAGATGTAGAACAAACTTTCACTTTCAGACCATTTTCAACGTCGTTTCATCGGTGGTCGTGGCTGTTTTTTTCAGTGGCATATGAACAGAAATAACTCAGACATCTGGAGGGAACTCTGGAGCCTCTACATCTTTACATCCGAGGGAGCCATTTGAGATGTTTCAGGCAGTCGGACACCTTCCTTTGGGAGGTTTTCCAGGCAAGTTTAACTGGGGGAAAGGACCTATAGCTTGCTGGAGAGAGGGATTATTTATTCCACCTTACCCTCTAAAGGAATCCCTTAAGATCCTTCTGAAGGAGCAGGAAAATGTTGCTAGAGAGGCTGACTTCCTTAGTCTGCCACCACTGTGACCTGTCCAGAGCTTGGTGGAAGTGGATGGATATCATCTTTTTCGTATAAAAAACATATTTTCCTGAAATCAGTTGTGTTTTTGCTCTGTGATGAGTTTCTGGTAGTATGGTACATGTTTACTTCATATTAAGGAGAGCAATTAAGATTCTGAGTTGTCATGTTTGTAAACTGGAAAGACAGAAAACTAACTAGCTCGGTTTTATAGTGCGTGTTTTTGGTTTGCAGTGTTTTGGAGAACACATATTTTGGCCGAGCAGAAACCCATTAACTTCTCCCACGCACCACCTCTTTCTCCTGTTCAGTCCTCTTACAGTATCTTCCATCTTTTCATCATCTCCCTCAGACTATCCAACGGTCACCATCAGAGCCTGTAATTAGATTTATGATTAAATCTTTCTTCTCTACAAAGACGCCTTTCAGCCCTGCTCTGGTACACTGTAAGATCATTGTTTTGGATTATATTGCTCATGCAGGGGCGATGATTAGTAAGCGTATCAGTTAAGGGATTCTCCCAACTGAACTGAGGGGTTTGTGGATTACATGATTAAACTTTTGGCCCCTTTTTGAATCATCTTTTTGTCAAATCGGACAAAGAAAACTACATGAAAGCTTTTGTCCCAACCTGACCCTTCTCTAGTTTCTGACTCATTGTCTCCATTTCAGTCCTCTTTGATTTTTATTTTCCTTAATGGAAGGATCCTCCGGCCAGACTTTGAAGAAGAGCGTTTTTATGAGAGCTGGTTTGAGTGTCCTGCGCGGCTCACAGCACCAAGGTGCCAGCCGTTTTCTGGTACTTTCCAAATTTCTTCCCATGACCTCTACAGAATATCTTCCCCACTCTCTAATGTCTTTCCTTTAGCTTATTAAGTCTGCTTCCTGACAGGGGAAAGAGGGGAAATGCACGATAATTTAAGTTGATATTTGAAACCCAATTACTGTATGTGTACAAAATTTAGTGTCAGAAAAGCCAGTGTGGTTTTAATGAATCCTTTTTTTCTAGCTGCGGTAAACATTCAGATTAAATGATGCAAGAGCTGCTCTGTCTGTGTGTGTGTGTGTGTGTGTTTATGTGTGTGTGTGTGTGTGTGTGTGGTATGCCCTCATGTGTACTATTCTTGACCAATGTTTTACAAGAGGCCTCAAAGGTTCCTGGGTGGTCTAATTGCATTTGCCACAGGAGATTGTTGCACTTTACGGTGGTGCGTGTGACTCTAAGGTGAGTGTATCACTTTGTGCATTCTTGCAGGTGTGTGTAGGTGTAAATCAATATCCTGAAAGGTGACAGTACAGTATGTGAGGGTGTTTAATGACACTCAACTGTCATCACACTGTCACATGCATGCTCTTTTCTACGCTATGAGTGTGTGCAGCAGCTACACATCATTGGACGAGGTATGGGGGCTCCTTTTTTTTCCCATCATGCCCTCCCCCCCCTGCAGGGCATTTTTCTAGTAGCCCTTCTACTTCTTTACAATCTTACCCAGAATGCACTTGACCTTCATGGCAATAATTGCGTCAACCAGATCACAAATCATCCATTTTGACTTTTGTGACACACTCTGAAGTTTGAAGTATGCAGACAAGTACATACACTGCACCCCTTTGCAATAAGTCATGTGTCAAACTACGATCTAACTCAGTCATGGCCGCCGGGCCCCTAAACTAACCCGCTCTCACACAATCAGCGACAAGTGATTGCTGATAGGTGTTTTTATATTTGTGGTAATTAATGAATGAATTTTCATTTTCTCTGTGTAGGAGTTTAGTATGATTGTTGCGATGTTTTGAAATGGCCCTCTGTTCCTTGTTACGATTTCTGCGAACTCGGCAACCCGCAGGGATAACGATGCACTCAGGATGCCAGCAGCAGAGGTAGCTTTTTCACTCGGTTCTTGTTTTTTAGACTTTTCCTCCCATGCTGTTTCTTTGAGGCCTTTTCACACGAGTTTGTGCTCTATGAAGTTTGTCCATTCACCTTTTGGGTGAGCCTCAACAGTGTTTTATGAGCTGTGTGTACAGTGTGAGTGTTTGATGGTATGTGTGAAGAGTTCCCAGAATGTGTGTTTTTAGTTTGGTATGTGAATGTGTGTATGTGTGTGTGTGTGTGTTTTTTCTTTTTACAGGGGTCCGGTGCTAGCCTGGCGTTTTGAAGGGGGCCAGACAGCTGCCTTTTACTGCCCCAGGGGGTAATAAACAGTGAGGGAGGGGTAGTTATTTACCCCTTTTATTAGGGCAGGAGGTAAAGGAGGGGACTTTATTGAGGTCACACTGTAACTACACACAGCTGCAGGCAAGAAGAGGAATAAGGAAAGGATGGTTTTAAATTAGAGATAATAAATGAATAAAACAGACATTTTAGCTTCTCCTAATTTCTCACCCGGGGACACCCTCCTCCTTTTTACTTGTATGACCGTATATGTGTGTGTGTGGAGGAGAGTGGGTCGTCTATCTTCCTTCTACGGTTTAATTTCCAGGTCCCTTAACAGCCCACTCCTTGTTAAGCACATCTGCTGTCAATAAGCTGTACCCTGTAATCCAACTGGCATTTCCTGCCGTTGGAGACATGCCCACTGACCCTGAGTCAGTGACCATTTGATTATTGGTCCGGCCATTTACTGTCCAAAATACTCCAACCAACCCAATCGGGGTGGATCGCCAAGTTCAGATGGTATCAGATGTGACATCAGGTGTTTCATAAATCAGGATGCTCAGAGGGACTGGTCAAAATGTCGGGTCCTCAGTTATTGACTGTCCTGCTCAGAGCGCAATAAGGTTGTTAATGCCGCTCTTTTGTATGTACCGTCACTATGGCAACTATTTAGCTAGAGCTAACTTTGACTTGAACAGGATGAAACTCCAAGTGTAGCTCTTTGAAAAGGTCAAACTCTCAGCTCTGCTACAGCTCACTTATGAACTCTTTGGATTGCTGCTTCTGACAAAATTCAGCCGTAAATATCAACATACATCATCTTTTGGGGGTTTTAATCTGGCTTTTATTTGACCATGTAAAAAAAAAAAGTTTGGTTCATAGTCTTGTGAAGCAGAGACTTCTTAAATTTGACGCTAAAATCGGGGATTAATTACTTTGCTTTACTCTTTTTCTCTTTGAATGTTGCTTCTGCTCTTTTCTCAAGCTAAACAAACAGTCTCATAGCTTTAGCTCTTGTTTCCTAAGTGGATATCATGTTTTACAAAACTCTGAACTCTTTCTTGAAGTAAAGCAGCCCTGAGAGACTTTCCACAGAAATGAGAATCAAATGTAACTCGCTAATTGAGATGGAAACATGTCAGGCTCTGGTTGTGGCAGTCCTGCAGCTGTCCCAGCGTTTGTTACACTTGAAGTGCTTAAAAGATGCAGGATGATCTGATCTGAGTGAAATGTATGATCAAACCGAGTAGATAGAAATAGGAAATGTTAGATGTCGTCATTTTGGCGTTTTAGAATAAAGATGGAGGATGAACTGGAGCATGAGGCTGAACGATAACTGACAGGGAGGGAGAGGTGGATGGATGGGGAGACAAAAAATTAAAGTGGGAGGGAGAAGGAGTGAAGGGGAGGGGACAGACAAGTTATTCTAGTTGCAGACAGCTGACAGAAAGCCTAAAATAAGATGGAGCCATCTACTGAGCACATATTCCACAGCTACACTCACAAACCATAAAGCATATGCGCAGTGAAATGCTAATGGTTTTCCAAACAGGAGGGCCAACATTTGATGCCAAGCTGAGTTTCTGTCATGCTTTATTGTTTTCCCATAGAAAGTGGACTTTCTCATGATCACATTTCATATAAAAGGGACACAAAGTAAAAACTTTAGCAGTACTGTATCAGACTCCTAGTGAGGTAATAAATATAAAATGTGGCTGTGAAATAGAAAAAGTTTTAAAGTCGTGGGGCTACAGAAACAAAGTGGAAGGACACATCAAAACTGACCTGAAATAGGAAGAGCTCATAGATTGGTTTACATATCTACAGATATAGTCTCACAGATACCCACATGCACACATACATGAACACACAATACAAAAGAATAGGCTGTTAGTCAGCAAATCCACCATACAACGCAACATCCGTGTTTTAAAACCCAGCTGGTCACCTTTGAAGCAGCTGCAGAGACAGGGAGGGAGCTAAGACTGTTGTGAAGATACAAAATGTGAAACTGTTACCGAACTATTAACAAAGTGAAGCTAAGAGACGGACTGAAACACAGCTACAGACTGCAGGTGATGCAAGTGGTGATGCAGGAGAGGAGGTCGGGCTGGAAAGACAAAAAGTGGGAGAAGTGCTCTTGTTCCTTTTAACTTCCTTGTCGTTCGTAGACTCTGGTGCATATCACATCGTCTGCTCTCATGGTCTGAAAAAAGAGGAGAAAGCTGGTGTTTAACGACAAGACTTGGACACACTCGGGCTAAATTACCGTCACAGTAAAAGTGTAATTTTGAATTTCATTGAAACACAAATTAAATTTAAACAAAAAAATGACTTCAACTAAATTTTACTGTGCCAAAGAGCTCAGAGGAGGTTGTTAAAGCAACACTGCCAGCACACAGACACTCAAAGTTACTGTTGTTCATTTTGTTGATACAAAGCACAAGAAGAGTGAAAGATTGAATCTACTGCTCATCCTCAGGACACCTGCACCATTTTTTATAAAAATCTTTTCAGTTAAAAACCGACTGTCAAGGATTCATATATCCAGCTGGACTGGTTTACAGATTGACGTGAGTCTAATGGAAACTTTTTGATGCTTGGCAAAATCTGTCCTGGTAAACCACAAAGTGTAAGCTGGGTTCTGCTCTATTTGGAATCATAATATCCACAGAGGAAACTCAAGGGCGAAACAAATCAATGCAAACTTGACCTGTTAAGTGGTTTGTTTGTTTGTTTGTTTGTTTGTTTGTTTGTTTGTTTGTTTGTTTGTTTGTTTGTTTGTGTCTGCCTCCACTTCACGCAGCACTTAGATGATAATTATTTGCTCTGTTTTGATTACGTCTTTAGAGACATTTTATTACTTTGAGCTGATGCCTTAACATGCATTTGTAGTCTTGACTGAGAAACTTTTGTCCTCTGCTAGTTAAATTCTTGGCATTACTTGAGGTACAATTATACTAAATAAAAGTTTAATCTTCCTGCATAAATGTTGTAGTAATAAAGTAAATGCAGGTTGCTGCTTGTGCTAAAGTTTCCGTACAAAAGAGGCAGAGAAAGCTAGTAAAAGTTAGCTATGTTAAAAATATGCACTTAACCAACACAGAACAATAGCAGCTAGCTGGGTGTTTGACGGTCTAATGGTGCATCTGCATGGTCCTTGTATTCAGGGCTCCATCTAACAGGCCAGATTTGTGCATGCATACAAAATGATTGTTCGTATTATCGCATGTCAGGAAGTTTTTCAGGATGCATTTACTGGAAAAAAGAAAAAATATTATTTAGCAGCCTTACTTCAAAACACTACACTGAAAATAGGGTGCTTTACCAGGATCAGTTTGCCGTCATTAGTGATCTCTCGGGTCCAGGACGTCTTTGGTCCTTCTCCTTTCTGCAGGGTCTGCTCACAGCTGATCTTGTTGTCAGTTTCCCAACGTGGAAAACTCTGAGAAGAGAGATGCAAATCATGAGAAGAATAATGCGCATTCTTGTACGTTAGGACAAATGTACGCACATAAAAGGGAGCAGGAAACAGCGAAGCGGCCAATAGAGAGCGAAAACAAGAACAGTGGAGCGAGGCAATCACTGAGAGGTGATAACTTGTGATGCTCTCATCGTTACTAGAGCAAAGAGCTGGCCGGTTGCGTATGTTTGCTTTGGAGACGGCCACACAGAGGCCATCTATGGGAAAACAGGGAAGCAACGGGGAGAATTAGGGAGGGACGGAGGGCAGGAAAGGGCAAGAGGGGGAACGAGGGGAAGACGGGAAGTTGAAAGAGGTCGTAAAGAGTGTGAAGGACGAAATGTAGCATGATAGGCCTTCAGAGACAGAGGGAGGGGTCAAGATATGCTATCAGACCAAATATGATGACAGCCAAATCAAACACATTGATGTAGTCCGCATGAGCCGGTTTCTTCTGGTGCTTGTGTGTATTTGTGTGCGCTCAGAGAAAACAGAAAGGAGTCAGCATAAATCTAAGTTTTGTGTACCGTGCAGGGATGCCCGTCCACCGTAGCCTCGTTGAACTCCTGCCCCACAGTGAAGGTGATGTTGGTGGTGCGGACTGTGGTCGACGTCTTAATGTTGAGCGTCTCTCCGTCCTGTTTTATCTCCACCAGAGGTTTGGACGCTGCCTTCACAGCAATCTTACGCAGCATCACGTTCACATCTACAAAAACAGAAACAAGAATATCATGACAAAACTGGAGTGTTTTTGTGCATCGTAACGGCAACCTCGAAAGATTTTCCACACACACCTTCAATCTCACCTCCTCAGTTCACATAAATCCAGTTTTATTTGAGTTTCAGCGCTGATTTAATTGGTTTCAGTCCTCAGAGGCAGGGCCCATTAAACCAGTTTTTGCTAAGTTATGCAAACCCACAAGCCTTGGGTTGTGAGTTTTTAACGTGTGTGTTTTCAAAGTGTGGTTTTGCTGTTTGTTCACAGCCTCCTCCTGCACACTCAGGGTAAAAGGAGCCACACAGCTCTGCCCAATAATGATGACAGAGGAAACAGTGAGGTCATATGATAAAGCATGCCCAGCACATCTGCATTCCCCCCACACTTGATCATCCCCTCACACACACACACACACACGCACGCACAGGGTGATTTATTTCTACAGTGTAATCAGCTTTATTCTGCTCTTCTAAACAGAGATAGCTCGCTCATACTTCCTCGGTGTCTTGTGGTAAATCTGGTGATCCAGTGTGGGAAAAGAGAGGGAAGCAGACCTGCTGTGTGGGAGCAGAAAGGAGGGGAGGAAGGGAGTGGGGGGGAGACTCGGCAGACAAGGGGCAGCAGTGGTCTGTGTCTGCGTGGTGTGTGAAGATCTCTGTCCAAGTGTGAGGGGAAGTGTGTGTACGTCTGCCAGTGGGTATCTGCTGCCGAGTTAGGTTTCGCACTTCTCACCTCTCACACATTCCCACCTGTCACCAAGGGTAAATATATACACACTGAGAAATGCACAGTCATTCAGTGTACACTGGGATGTCCAGGCTGCACACTGTAAATGCACTGTCTGCTGCACACAAACTGTACGGTGATGGTGCATTGTCATCGTCTAAGTCTGTGTCGTGTGAGCTGCATTTGGTATGGAGACATTCTGACCATTTGGGGGCAGCCGTTAGTCTTTTGTTGTGTTTTGCAAGCTTCAATTTTTAGACAAAACCAATGTCACTGATGTGTGCAGTCGACCTGAGTCATGTCTCAGTTTCTTTTATTCATGGACAGGTGTGGAGAGTAACCACATGCTCTCAGGTTCACAGTAAACCACTTCATTAAGTTTCAGGGTTGGCACAGACAAGTGAAGCCAAAGTTCTTTGTCAGACAGTTTTCCACCCATTTTCGGATATTTTGAAGAACAGTGGTAACACCTCTGCTCTTTGTAGGTTTATATTTTTTCCAATCATGGTCTCACTTTTCTCTTCTTTATGCAGTTTTTGCCATTTAAGCTACTGTGTCAAATTTGCACAAAGGAATTAAGCAGGTAAAACTAAACAAAAGCATTTTTCATCTCACCACAAACTGTGCAGAAATGTTCAAAATGGATCCATCATTTATTGGACAGATTTTCCCCTAAAATGCAAATTAATATTACATATGAATTCTCTCATGAGTGTTTACACCCATGATACATGTTTAAAGTAAGTCCTCTCTAGAATTATTTATTTCAGGCAACAAAAGGACCTGCAGACACTCACTGACCCCTGCGTCTCCAAGTCAGGCTCAGTGAGGAGTCAAGTGCTGGTCTCTGGACCATTTGGGAGCCATGGAGGGGGTCGAAGCTTCTCAAATAACCCCAAGTTCTTAGAAGTCAGAAATTACCTGAACAGACTTTTGGCGAACCTGTGACCAAAATGCTTGAATTTATACCGACCTGGTCATGTGAAGACACACACAGATGGACAGACGGTCAGGGTCAGATGTCAAAGAGCAGAGGGCAGAGGAAGCATTTGGGACACAGAGAGATGAGGGAAAAGGGGAGAGGACTAAGGGAGTGAGGAAAGGAGGAGCGGATGAAGGGACAGAGGAGGGTGCTGGGTGCTGACAGGCTGCATACAGCTGTGATGTGCCCCCCAGTGAGACCAGGGGCCATTCCTGTCTGTCAGCCATGCCAGTGCAACAGTAGGTTAGAGGAGCACATGCACTTATACGTGTCTGTGTGTGTGTGAGAGAGGGAGTTTTCCTTGGTGGCTTTTACCAACAAATCAAGCTGCATAAGTGTCTTCAAAGGACGCTGCCCTGGCCTCAAGCTGTGCCGTCTGTGCCTCCTTTAACGTCCCTCCATCCCTGTTAAATCCTGACGCACGAAACGCACAGGGAGACAGGTTCAGGCGGAGGAAACCGATTTGGAAACGCACCAAACACAAGTTGGATCTTGCCGTAATTCTTAGTGGTGATGTGTCCCTGTCTTCACAACATAAGTGGCACGTGACATCTATTTAAATATATCAATGTTTCCCCCTGTGTGTGTGTCTTCCTGAAAGAGAGAGGAGGTCAGGCGCTCTTTTCTGCAAGTGCGCATACATGATGGTATCTGATGGGAAATGGCTGCTTATAACAGACGGCCACACGCGCACACGCACGGGTACGCATTCAAACACAGCACACGCACACTCTGACGCCCAGCCAGACTCCAAATGCACCAGAGGAGTGTGAATCTCAGCAGCAGGTGTTTCTTTTTTTCTCTCGCACTGTCACTTCAGATAAAGATGTGACTGTCCGGCACTGTACCGTGCCATAACGGTTCTCTTTAGCGCACACGCGCGCGCGCTCTGAGGCTGACACAGACAGATGTGCCGCCGTTTGTCTCTATTGTGTTAGCATGGGAGGCCAAAGGGGGAGATGAGAGGAAGAGGGGTGAGGCTGGCGGTGGGCCAAACACTGAATTTTGGGTTCTGCAGAATGACAAAGACCCCCCACTATTGCGGGACAGGGGGTGAGCCTCGCTGGTGCATGGACACAGAGAAAGATTTGACCCATAATGTGCTGAGAAAGCTACAGTTTGAGCTGACACATGTGATCTGTGTCATTACACGGAAATAAAAAAGCTTTATAAGAAACCACTCTAGCGCGAGAAAAATCAGACGAGCTGCCTGGAGGCCACGGTGAGTTATTTTTCCCTTTTTACAAATCATGATGTGTCTCACTTACTGAGCTTCTTCAAGAGTTCCTCAAAGTTCTCAGAACTCTTCATCTCCCAGGTGCCAGCGAAGTCAGGGATTTTGCGCTCCATGTTAGGCTGCAGGTATTTTGCGGGGAGGTGTAGGTGAACCGTCAGGTCCAAGTGCGATGGGTGCGCTGCTGTCCGTGCGCGTCTTGCGTCAAAGGGGTCTCCAGTTGCCCTCTCTGAGAATGCTTCGAGTTGGAGGGCTCACCAGGTGGTCTGACTCAGGCTCTAACTTCTGCAGTCCTCTCAGAATAACTGACCGTCTGTCACAGTTCTGGTCCTACCTCTGTGCCGGTGCTCGATATGAGCTGTTGCGCTTCAAATGAATGGCACAGAAAGTAGAGGTACTTGTGTAGGGATGTTAACGCCCCTTTCCATACGAACACGCCCAACGGGCCGGGAGACTACACGCAGACGTCCACAGTGCCTCGACCTGGCCACTCCCCTGTGGGCATGGGCGCTTCAGAGACTCGCATGCAGCCAGCGTTTGGAGACGCCTCTTCTCCACGCGCGTCCCGAGTGAGCCGCAGTAACCGCGCCCTGACGGTGTTGTACCACAGAAGGCTTGCAAGTCAGATTTTACATTGAATTTTGAGATGTTTGGTATGTTTATTCTTTGATAATTCATTAGACGATTGCTGGGTCAAAGAAATGTGTCCAGAGCTGTAAAGTTTGTAGTGCAAACAGGGAGGATGTCAGACAAGCCGGTGTGTTGACAGAATATGTCGTCTTGGCAGGGCGGTGCAAGGGAAGAACCAGTCAACTGCCAGGGTGGCAGGCTGAATAGATGGCAGAGTTGGTGCGCGCGCGTGTGTGGGGGTGGTGGTGGGGGAGGTGTGTTCGTGAGGAAAGAGACTGCTAGGCCAAGTTCACCCCAAGTCTCTTGTGCGCCACGGCGCTGTGTCACATAAAAATAAAAGCGCTGGTAATGGGATACAGCTTCTGGCCTGGACCGGTGGGCTATCCTTTTAACAGGTTCTGCGTCAGAGGAAAAACACCCCGAACCCATGAGGGAAGGGGGGCACAGATTAAAATAAGAGGTGAGGTTGGCGCAGGTCGTCGGTGTCTTCTCAGAGATCCCCCCGCCTGCCTCCCCCCCTCCCTCCTCCCTGCTGCTGGGGCGGAAGAAAGGAGAGGGATGAGGAGGAGAAGGAGGAGACGCGGGGGCATTATTTGGAACAGCGCGCCAGACGGGCCAGTGGGGTGTAGGGTCAGGGGCCCGTGGGGTCGGAGTAAGTCCGCTTAGGAGCAGGCACACTCACACACTCTGTGTGCGCTCGCGCACGCACACGTTGATGATGGATGGCAATGGGACAAAGCCGACGTTAACTATTGACTCTTGATGGATGATCCCATCCGCTTCACTACACGGTGAATTAGGGAGAGGTAACCGGGAGGGAGGGAGGGGGGACTATGGAGCAGAATTAGTTACTTGTTCAAGCACCGACAGAGCTGAATATCAACCTTAGACTCATATTAGGTAACACGATATCAACTTTTACGCACAAGCCCGCGACCAAACAACGATTTGCATCAGGCCCAGCGGCCCTGTTTGAGATGAACAAAGCTCTCTTATATTGTTTCCTGCATCTCTCTCTCTCTCTCTCTTTCTCACACACACACACACACACACACACACACACACACACACACACACACACACACACACACACACACACACACACGCACATACACACACACACACACGCACTTCCTATTGGCCACACACCATGCCACGATCACAGCATGTTCTCACAAGTCACTCCCGGTCCTAACAACAGAGATGAGCCATTAGACAGCCATATCAGAGCTGTAATTTCCTCTCCCATCCTCTCTGTTTCTGTCCCGTCAATCACTCTGTGCAGCTGACTTGCAGTTGTTAACTCTTTAAGGGGGATTGCTTTGACAACTGGGAATACAAACAAAATAGAAAGTGTGAAAAAAAGTTAAAATTGTTCAAGATTTTACCAAAGAAGTAATAGTGAGGGTCTGTATCAGCCTGCCCTGCTGCGGCTATGGTGGTCTGTTGAACATGCTCGGTTCAGAAAAAGAGATATTGATCATGCCCCCAGTGTGAAAGTGACTGATGAAAACACAAAGGTTACAATGGAGAGCTGTCTGGAGTTGGGAAAATTCATCTTCAGCCTCACCGCAGGCCATTAGCATATTACCATGACACAACAAGAAACGCATCAAAGCCCACTGAATCGAACAGGCGGCCTGCAGTATAGCCCAGCCGCAGCCTCACCCACCGTGTGTGCGTGCTGTTCAGAGGGGGCTTGATAAAGAGCTCTGAAATGTTGTGTGTGATGCTGAATGTCAGCACGTGATGACAAAGCACCGCTCAGCATTCAGATGCGCTCGACCGTGCTGCTCTGCTCCTCTCAACCTTTCTCTCTCTGCTCATTCCTTCCCTTCATTCCCCCTTTTTTCCTTTTCTCTCCTTTACCTCATGCAACTTTCTCCCCCTTCATTTTCTCCTTCCTCCTCCTCCTCCTGTCAAGCTTTTGTTCTTTTGTGCTGCTCTGACACATTCCTCAAGCACGTTGAAGAGAGGGAGAAGGAGAAAACAGAAGAGGGGAGGATGGAGAGGAGAAGAAAGAAAGGGGGGAGAAAGTTAGTGAGAAAGTTAGAGACTAAAGTGGAGGTCATTTTTTACCTCATTGTTCTGGAGAAAAGGAGAGGCAGAGTGAGTCAGCAAAGAGATCAAAGGCAAACAGACAGTGACAGAGATGGAGAGGTTGAGAAACAGTGAAAGAATGAAGGCCGCAGAGATGGAGAGAGAGGCTCCTCTGTCTTAAAGAAGTATTTGTTTGCTCCACCGGTGCCAACTTTATTTCACTCATCTTCATTTCCTTATGATTCTTCCAACTATTATACCCCGGTATACTGTTCACGTCTTTTGTTCTGTCATCTTGTTCTTTCTGTGGTCCCTCTCCTGCCAAGAGCATTGTTTGTAACCGATACTGACAACTGACAACACAGGGATTCACAGGACGCCACGTGCAAAAAGCAGTGTGTCATAACTTGTTTACAGCAGAGTTTGACTCTCATCAGCCTGAGTTCACAGCAAAAAAAAGATCATTTAAAAACTCAGTGCTGAGAAGGACAGGGGTAAATTAGGGGATCAGTACAGACAACAAACGGCACACTGTGTTACTCATTCTGATTAAAACTATGATTTAGTTACACATCGACCGATGATTACCTGTTGTTAAATCAGATGAACTGGCCTCATTATTATGTAAACTGGGTGAACTGGTGCAGAGCCGCTCCCACCTCCAGAAGAGTTTCTCAGCATCCTGGATGAGGTTTTGACATGAACTCTGGTTACAGTGCCTCTATTGTTTAAGTGGCTTCAGCATGACATGGCCAAGAGGCGGCCTTTGCTTTATTGGTACAGGAGCCTCTGTTGGTGGACTCCTGTAGTGCAGGAAACCTTAAAGGTGGGGTAGGCTGGATTCCATTGAAGAGGCATCTTTTTTTTGTGATGTATATACAAAAAAAGCTCTTATTATCTGTCCATAGCGATTAGTTATTGGTGACATTTGGGATTATCACAGTATTGCAGTGTTTTATTATGTCTGTGTAGTCAACATTTTACATTTTTTTCTTTCTGACTGTAAACAAAACGCCTCCACCTCCCTCAACCGGATCGGTTGTGAGGCAGGCGCTGCTCCCTCGTGTTGTGAGGCACGCTCCACGTCCTCAAATAACGTTCACGAGTCCAAACAAAGTTAGCGAGTTACAACACCGGACAGTAAAAAAAACAACCAGAAAGTAAGGAAAACACAAGCAATAAAACGAAATAAATACCAGAGACTCTGGCGGAATAACAGGCACTTAAAACTGAGGTAGATTGGACAGGAGCTAAAAAGCAGGATCAACATCAGCATAAACAATGGCGGAGGCCTCGGGATCTTACAGACTCTGTAACCTTTCTGCTGGACAGGTAAACTGCTTTAACAAAGTAAGCCAAGTGTCTGTAACAGAAGTGTTTCTTGTCAAACAGGACCTGTTGCGTGTTGTAGCGCCACTAAACTGTTGACCTTGGGTCCCGGACTATGTCACTTAATCCCAGTTGTAGAAGTCCTGCAAACATTGTATTTGCTGGTCGTCTGTTGGCATCTACAGTAGCACCAATGCTTTTTACTTTCACGTTGACTGGGCCCCATACAGGAGGAACAATTCAGGTTCCATCTAGACATTGGAGCAGCAGACAAACTCTTTACTCTGGTAGAGCCGCTGGGTAATTTACTCAGATTTGCTCCTCCTGTCAACACATTCATATTAAGTGTTGTCCTCCACTAGAGCTGTCTCTTTCCTCCAATTAAGTCCCAACCAGCAGAGGTTGAGGGGACTGTCCATCATGGGGGCCCCATAATAATACCTGCTCTGTGCTGATGATATTCTTTTGGTGTATTAAGATGCAACTTTGAGTTGGCACTTAGTTGGCTGTAGACCAGGATGTAACAGTCAGGATGGGAGTCAGTGTCTGCAAGTGTGAGGCCTCTCGTCCTCTGCTGACAAATGGTGGATTGTTCCCTTGAGGTTTGGTACGATGGAGTTGAAGTATCATGGGGTCTTACTCACAACTGTGGATATAATGAGAGATCAGCACTTGGAATAATGCAGCATCAGCGGTGATAAGGTATCGCTGCAAGAAAATACCTTAGCTTTCAATGTGCCAGTTGATCTGTACTCTATGGTCATGAGCTTTAACTTTTAACTGACTGCATCAGGTTGTAGAAACTATTGTCCACTGTTTTACATGAAACAGGTGAGCCAGGTAAAGTTTAGTCTTGGACACGTCTCACTTCTCAAGGTTTTCCAAGCACCTCTAACTTAGAAAGACTGAACAAGAGCCCACGCCTTTGTGACACTTTTGGGGTTACAGTAAAGAGTTGGAAAATTTTATTGGGAGATGAAGAACTTACTGGCCTTGTATGCTAAAACTCAGAGCCTGCCCAAGCCTCAATGGGGCCCTGAGCAAAATTTGATTTTGGGGCCCTCTGTTTCTGTCATTAATATTGATTCATGATCATTTACACACCTTCACAAATCTCTTTAACATTCCATGACATGCAAACATACCTTCATCTTGGCGTTTTTTTCTCTTCTTCCTCTTTCTTTTCTCCTGGAGGATATGTCCTTTTTTGCGACATTGTTTTGCCCCACAACTTCCTGCACTTTGGATGCTCAGTGCACATTGCACAGCAGGAGGCACATAACGGTCGCAGAGCTTTGACATGTCAGCAGTGAGAATCAACATCAACAGCAGCACTAAAATGTTTTTACTTATTTTATTTTTACAGTGATATATATTTGATCAAACAGAAAGCATCACTCATACAGGCAAATAACAAAAAATATTTACTCTTTTTTTTTTTTATTGCTCTTGGGGGCCCCCTATTGGCCGCGGGGCCCCAAGCAGGCGCTTGGTTCGTTTAGGTTTTGGGTTAGTATTTATCCATTGATGTTCATCTTTATAGTTTTTAAAAAAAGCATTTTACTTTCCTCAGAAAACAGTCGTACAATAAGGTAAAGTATTTTCCTCCCCGTCTCTTTTTATTGTTGGAGTTCAGATCACAGTCTTATATCTTATATCAACATTCCCACTGGGGGAACCGGACAATATCTACTCTTTCACTTCCGTCTGTGCTGCTTATTGTTTCCTATTTCCTCTCCACATTCAAATGACACAGATTTGAACCATATCTGTGTAGCATCCAGACTGTCTACAGACCATTTATTGTCCCAAAGAGAGCTTATCTGAAGAATGGGAAACTCAGAAACTGCTCACTTAAGCTAACACTTCACGTGATACTTTTTGAATGTTAAGCTGAATTGTGTCCTTGTTGTGTTTCAATCTCAAGTTTTTAAAAGGACCTACTTGTCTGCACAAGTTCAAGCCTGTGCGTGTGAAAGTGTGTGTAATCAGACTGTGGTAAAGTCACACTTCAGTGGCATTCTCCACTTTATCATCCAGATGACCTCCAGTAAAAGCCGCTCACCCCAGTAACCCCTGTAATCCCAGATGTGAACTTGACCCTGTCCTTCCCAACTCCTGGAAGTCATTATCACTGACCTTTACCCTCAGAGGAAGCAACTGTGCAAGATGTACATACGCACGCAGTCTTAGTTGCCACAAATTACAGTAGTTTTCTCTTGTGATTTACTTTTGTGTCAGCGGGGGGGTTCAGGACCTCCCTGTGGGGTCGAGGATAAATCTTAAAGGTCCAGGAGATTAAGTGAGAAGGAAAAGAAAAGAAGAAATCTGACACTAAGTGGGTTTCTTTTTTTAATCCTTGCTTTTTTTCCTGTTGGATAGTTTTAAATTCACTGTCTGACACACGGGGATCACCTATAGTTCAAAGTCACAAACAGAAAGTTGCAAGAGATTTTTTTAAAGCTTATCAGACAGAAGTTTTTTGGAGCTACTCTGTTGTGCAGATCCCACACAAACAGCGAGCACAAAGCCAAAGGTGTGTGCAGCGCAGTGTACTGCTGGCATGCTGTCCCACCAAACCATGTGGGTTTGATTAGAGCAGAGGAGATGGCAGCGTTTAACAACCGTCATGGAAGTGAGAGGCAAAAACAGAGGGAGGCAAGAAGGCAGAGAGAAGATAAGCAAGAGGAAGTGAAAAGAGAGAGGAGACTGAAAGTGGAATACCAGAGAATGTCATATTACCATATCTCCCTGCTTGCCAAAATCCTACCAGGAAAATGTGGGTAAATGTCCTTAAAGGCAAGACCGGGCCAGCCTGTGTGAACGCTTGAATAAGAGAAGCCTCAGTTTGGCCTGTATGACTGTGTGTGTTGTGTGTGTGTTGTGTATGTATGTCAAAATGTTCCCCAGACATTTGTTAATCGTCTATTCTTCCTGGGTAAAGCTGCATTTTACTGGAATCTGGAGACACAAATCATGACTCAGAATCCTGCCAACACACATCCCTCCACCATGATGGGGATTTTTGTATTTACAGCATTTACAGGTTAAAGTGGTGTGTGTGTACGTCTGTGTGTGTGTGTGTGTGTCAGGCTTGTGTAGATGAGACTGAACCTCCAGATGCCTGGGCAGTTGCACTCAGACTCCTGTATTACTCACACTCTATTCCTTTTGTCCTTTAACTCCCCCCTCTCCCAACTCCTAAAAATCTCCCTTCCCTCCCCCTTAGAGTCTTTGTGGTTCTAATTATCGCGCTCATTTGTTATGAGTTCGTCTGGACAGAGAGAGAGTTGGAGTGGATAGCGGACGAGGAGAGAAACAAGCTGAAGATTAAAGGAGAAAGGAGAGGTCAAATATTCATAAATGGAGATGTTTTAAGAGGGAAGGAAAACTGGGGAAAACCAAGTCTTGGTTCTCATGCTAACACTTGATTCCTTCCAGCCAATTTATTTGCTCTGTTTAACCCTTTAATACCTGAAACCACAAATTATGGCCAAAAAAATACATATTTTTTTGGAGCTGAAATGTTTATTTCATTTACAACTGAAAACCAAAAGAATTAAAATGTCCTTAAAATTCAACAAATATGTTTATTTATCTCGTTTGATACATTAGATGATTTTGGAAACTGATAAACTACAAGAGGACATTTTTATAATTTATCATCACACTGTATTCAGGTGTTTTTTAGTAATTTGTTGATCATATTGATTTGATCGAAGTATATAAAAGCATGTGTCAAATATGATACAAAAGGCATTAAAGGGTTTTTTTTTCTTGAAACTCCTCAAAGTTCCATAAAAGTGAGGAGCTGTTTTATATTAGTTACTCTAACCTTCACCCGCCCTGGATCCCACCGCTCCGCTCCTCCACCCTTGCACCACCTCTCACTCCGCACTCATTCTTTTATTCCCTGTAGCCTTTCCTCTTTGACCCGAGTCAACGATTGTTGTTCGCTTTTACTTTTTCCTCAGCTGTGATTATGTGTCAGCGGGGTCAAGTGTGTGTTTACTGTACAGTTTTGTCTGGTGTGTGTGTGTGTGTGCGTGTGGGTGTGTGTGTCCCCGTGATGATGTCAGGGATTAGGAATGACCATGGTTTAATGCTTCAGTGGAGGTCAACCTCTGGTCACTGTTACTGTAACCAGACTGAATGGTAACATGTTTATGAGTCGTATTGTTTTTAAATTTACTGAATAGCACTTAGGAGACGTGTCACTCAGGCATCCAGGGCCGTTAGCCTGAAAACAGAAATGACCACCAAGTTTCCGTGTGCATGCTGTGATTTGTTTTGGCTTTTTTTCTTTGAGAAAATGAAAACAGAATGAAAAGACTCCAGAAATGTTCGTCTCTGTTCTGCAACAGGATCACACCAGCAACAGAGTAGAACAGGAAACTTGAGAAGTTTCACAAGATCACCCTTAAGGACAAAGACAAGATTTATCCTTAGATTTCTTCTGTAAACACACACAAACACAAAATTCTACAAAAAAAACATGTTCACAGCCACCTCGTCTGTAACTAAAACACCATCGTCCCTTTTTTTCTCTTGAGGCAGAATAACTTTTCTCAGGAATTTTGCTCGAACCGTCAGTGTCTTGGGATGCTTTCAAAGAACTCTCTGGATGAAATCACATTTTGGCGCAAAGTCAAAAAGAGCTTGACGTCTAATAAGTCCACAGCTGGTCAGATTTTAACTGATCACTCTGAGCAAATGTTTTTCAAATGTTATCACTTTTCAGAAATTTAATCTTTGTACATCAAAAAAGTTGATGTACAGACGGGCATGTCAGCTACAAAGATCAAGTTGTAGGTGTTTCTCAGAGCCGAAGCTGCAGTATTAGAACTCTTCTGCCACCTTGTGGGGGAAAAAGAGGCATGCAGTTATCTGGGAGACATCTGGACATTGTGCAGCTGAGGTGTTACTATTACTGTCTCAGTTTAAATAGTATAAAATAGTTTGTTTCAGTTCACTATAGATGACTCTGCACCTGTGTGGTTTGCTACATTTATTCAACCTCACTTCCAAACAGAAGGGACCCTGTGTAAGTTGATAAAAATAAAAAAAGGAATGAATGAAATGGTTTGCAAATTATTTCAACTCCATATTTCACTGAGGTCATATGTTGTCTTCGGGTGCACTAATCCAACGATAACATATGACCGCAGCGATGTGGAAAACTGTCCTGTGGTCTGACAAATCAAAATTTGGCAAAATTTTTGGAAGAACAACTCTCGTGTCCTTGACTCTAGAGAAGAGAGGGACCACCCAGCTTGAACTTGTTACTAGTGCAGTTTAAAGCCAGAATCCATGATGGTAAGAGGCTGGTTAAATATGGGCAAGTAACACGTGGTATTTAAGTGTTTTTGAGGTAACATGGTGTGCTGCCCATGCAGGCAATGCTTTTTTTTTTAAGGTTGACCTTGCATATTTTAGCAAGACGATGCTAAACAACATCCTGCTCTGTGGCCCGATGTAAAAGAGTGTGTGTGCTGAACTGGCCTGACCCAGATCATTTGCTGCATCAGACCCTTAATCATCAAGAGGGAGTATCAGGCAAGAGTGGGACAACATTTCATTTTAGAAAACCGAGTCTCCTCAGTTCCAAGTATGTGGAGTGTCTTGTCAAAAGAAGTAAAATATAAACTTTTTTGTTTTTTACAAGTTTGATATAAGAAATAAAGGACCGTCAACATTTGACTTGTGGACGATGTAAATTTCTACTTTTAGACCCCTCAGAGTTGTCACTTTTGACCGAACAATAAAAAAAAAGTCAGTTATTTGTTCAAATCAACACGCCCAGTTTTTCAGACAGGTCTTGTTTCAGTTGTCTTTTTTCAGTTTCTGTGGCTTTGCTCACATTAACGTGTCATGTGGAAGACAAACACAGGACCAGGATCTTCACATGTTTGCTTGAATCACTCTCTGTGTGTGTAAGTGTGAGTCACTCGTCTCCTGTTTGTAAGTGTTTGTGTTTCAGTGGTATGGGAGGACTCCTTCAGGTTTATATTTGAACAACTCATTTATCAGATTAGATTAGATCAGATTAGATTAAATAAAACTTCATTTATCCTTTTGGGAAGGTTACCTCAAGGAAATTAAAAAATCAATAAAAAAGAAAAGAAACAAAAGTACACTTTGGTAAAAAAAGTAGGTTTAAACGATTCAAGCACTGGGTACTGTAGAGCTACTGGAGAGGCAGCCGTCTCCAACAGCGCCATGGCAACTAACATTTGTATAATATGTGATTCCAGCATCTATGATAAATAAATCTAGGCATGCATTAGATTCATTCTAACATTGATTGTAGTTTAACTTTCCTGTCACTGTTTATTTTCATGTGTGTCGCTCTTTAGACTCAGGTATTTAATGATCTGTACCACATTTGATTTACTGAAAACAAAGTAGAGTATAAGAATCTGTCAATATATTCCAAAGCTTAGTGTTGAATGTATGAATAAATCCTGTCCTAAAAATGACACCATGAATGCAACAAAAATTTGAATACAATGAAATCCCTTTTAAAACTTTGGTTTATTTCTTCCCTTTCAAATACACACCACAGATCAAATCTGCAGCCTCAATGCCCAAATTTTCCCTTTACATTAAATCAGAACAATGTCCCTGTCGTGATCTCCCAGAGGTTCATACACTGGCACTTTACACAAGAAGATTTTGGTAGAAAAATACATTTCATTTATTTAACACTGTTATTTTGTTTATAACTTTATAAAATTCAAGACTTTGGGATATTTTGCTGAAATGTGTGCAAACTTGATGGCGTAAAATCAACGTCTCATCTAGTTTCTGAAATTGAAAACAAGCACAAGCAGAGCCAATAACAGCCAGAGCCAGGTTGTTCTCGTGCTGGGAGCGTCACCTTTAGGGTCTCCGCCCTGGCAGCCTTTGGCGTTGTTGTCTGGCTTGAAGTTCTCAGGGTTTCCCTCAAAGTGGACTGGCAGGCACTGATTGCTCAGCACCTCACAGGCCAGGATCAGATGTTTAGTTTCCTGCCGGATGCTCCTGATCCCACATGTCCCCGGCTCGCTCCTTACAGTTACAAAAGTGAAAGGCTCCCTGCTGATGCACAGGTTCTCCTTGAATCTTTTCCCTCCTTTATCTGTGCACACTTCATTCACCCTGTCCTGGTCTTTTGGGTGGAGGAAGGATTGAGTGGGTCTGTCACAGCCCCCGTTGTTCCTGATGTATTTTTCCCACTCATTCTGGTCCACAGATGTAGGAGTGCCATCGCGAATGTGGCGTCTGACGAAGGTACTGTAACCATTGTTCCATTTGGAGCGCTGGCAGGGTGCGTCGTTTTTAGCAAATGTTTGATGAGGCAGAAGTAGACAGACAGACAGAGTGAGGAAAGCCGTGAGAGCAGCCATTATCCAGCAGTCCCTTAGAAAAACAAGGTCATAGTGTGAATAAGCACAGAAAAAAGCTTTACAATTTAAAAAACAAAAGGTAATAATGTGAAGTTTTCGCAGTCTTCAAGGAGAGAGTCAGACTAGACGGCAGCTGTCTGACTGAGCACTATTTTTTTTACAGCATGGAAACTGCAAAGGAATTAGAAAACAGCTGCTCTGTGAGAGAACTTCCCTACCTGGTTTTGACAACAAAAAAGGATGTGAGGGAGAAGGGTCACTCAGAAGTTACAGACGTGAGGTTTTTTCTTCTTTTCTTCTTCACTTACAGTTCCACATTTCACTTCCTGTGAGAACGGGAGTGGCTGAAACAGCATGTGTCACTAGTGTCTGTCCACAGGGCGGTGCTTTGGTGCAGCCGCCACAGAGGAGTGTGATCCAGTTACGGCTAAAAATACCTCTTAAAGGTGCAGAACAAGATTTTGGGAGCTCTCTGTCTCTCTCTCTCCGTGAAGCTTGAATAGTGGTGTTTGTCAGATTAAATGAAGGTACTTTTTCTATATTTGACCTTATTTGGATGGGAAATGTCTTTTCTGTTCCTCTAAACTTCCACACAGTAATTCATTTAAGGGAGTATGAAGGAGCAGTACCAACTGTGTAATCATAGTTGATTCCTGAGATTTACTGTTAAAATTTAATTGATTTAGATATTTTTGCTTCAATATGTTTTTTTTTTTCAATATAGTTTTTCATCAATTTTTACTCTAAGATTTTTTTTATTTTTTATTTTATTTTAGGCTCTCTATTCAGTTTTTACATCATCTGTTATGAGTTTTCCGCTTGGTTGGCTTGTTCCCAAATACGGTACATTTGGTTCTACGAAAATCCAGAGGGAATTTATTTGAATCAAACTCACTCTCAAGTTTATTTAATTTATTACCAAGATCGTCAAACAGTTAACCAAGGTCTTCCTATAGCAAGGTACATTTATATTGCCAGAAAATAAAGTTTTTTTATAAATACATTATTAAAACGCAAAATAAACAACATTAGGGCCCAGTACTGAACTTTGTCTGAGTTACTGGTCATGAACTAGAAAGTAAACAAACAAAGCTGTATCCAGGTATGACAGTCATGTTTCTACACTATATTGATAGAGCCAAATAAAGCTCAAGCTTAACAAGCTACCCGTACATACATTTATATTAATTAAGTGATTAAAAAGGTTTTCATGTATTTTGAATATTTGATGGCGAGTTGAAAACACAAGTATTGTATTTATTGCTTCTTGTGAAGGGGCAATGGCATATATGCAAAAGTGGATCTTGTCCAAAAACTTTAACTAAAACTAATTTTCAAGAAAAACCTGGCACTCTGTAGTAATAGTGTGAAAATATAATATTACTTTTTTAAGTAATATTTTAAGGTTCAACAAAACAAACATGATCATATTTGTCATCCCACAAATGCTATTAAATTCATATTTCTCTAACCAGTTAATGAACCCGAGTTTGTTCTGTTTTTTTATTATCCAGTTAAGATTCTGGGTAATGAAACTGAGGTATGGAGTTCCACTTATAAAGCCTGATATCATGAAAAAGAGTACAACAATGAACGATACACTGCACAAAAGGTTGCCTCTCCAAAATCCAATTATTTATTCTATGCTTTTGCTTCTTTATTGTAATTTATTGTCACTTATTTAGAGCTTCAATGGGTTTATAGCCTTTTGTTGGATTACTTACATTAATTGAGAACACACCAAAGAAGACTTCAACTTGATTCAAGTATTTTATTGAGGTGCCCACTTTGACGAGTTATATACAGCAAAAAAATCAATCAGACAAACACGACATCTGAATCAAAGAATCATTTTTCAAGTAGAACAAACACATGTACATAAATATTACTGATTCATTTACAACATAATGTGCATAACGGGCTCTAGAGCCGTAATGATCAATTCATACATGACATGTAAATCCCTCAAGGCCTTCAGCAGCCACTCCTCCTCCCCCTCCAGTGTCTCATATTGTACAATTTGTGTCAGTGCTCTAAAATTGGTGCAAAAGAAAATCATATTTTTTTACACTCAGTACGAAATCATTTGTAAAACTTTCACAAGTCTATGACATTTCATACAATGCTGTGTGCGTGTGTTTCATGGCCGGAATAATAAGATTTAACAACAGTCGAAGAGGTGAACCAGAGAATCATATTTACATGAAGCAAACACATGACCCGGAGCCAAAACTCCAACATGCTTCAACCAAGTGCCTCTGTGCAAACGTCTGTTACCAAGAAAGCCCATATCTCTGGATTTAAGTGGAAAACAAACCAACAAAAACAGAGACGATTTCTCCTACATCCAGTTTACTTCTCATTCGATAAAATGTTTTTCCTCGTATAACGTTAACATGAGAAGTTGTCTTTCCTTCCTCCTAAGAGGTGGTGTGTATCATCGATAAAGACGGTTGGCGAGTATCTGGGCGAGAACAGCTGAATCTGACTGTGCTGTCGCCTAAGGTTCTGTTTGAGGGGAAGATGATGGCTCTTCTTTCTTTTCTCCTGCAGATGCTGAGTTCAGAGCCGTGTCTTGTTTGATCTCTTTTGCTTTTTCTGGGTCCTTCACCCTGTAACACGAAAAGCAAAAAGTTAGAGTCATCTCATTCACTCCATGTTAGCTGCCAGGTGGGGTTTTTATACGACGTCCAGCAGAGGTCCTCGTGTGTCAAGCAATGCATGGAAAGCTAAGGAAGTTGAGGGTTCTGGTAGCTCGTGGGTGGAGTTTTAGATGTTGAATTAAAAGCTGCTAGCCAGAAAATACATACACAATCAATTTAGGTTATTTATAAGTTTGATCAATTATTGTTATAAGAAACAAACAAAAGAGTTGTGTTAATGCTGTAGTGGAAACAGCCACTAAGCCTGCGTTAAGTGAACATTTGTGGCTGTACTGTATATGCACTGTTTGAAAAAGCAGCTGACAAAACTACAAGATTAAAGGATTGATCTGGTGACGTCTCACTGATGGTGTTGAAGAATGTTGAAGACAGCTAATTGTGTGAGATTTGCTGTAAGTATGTAATGTACATACGGTCCATACAGTCCACACAGTACATACATGTATAAAAGAACTCTCTTCTCAGTCAGAGGAATGTCTTTAAGCTCTAATAATCTAAGGGGGGTTAAAGTCTAGCTCAGAAGGATCAGTCACTATGAATGAGTGGTTAATGTAAAGAGAAGTGGTCAAGTGAAGGTTGAGGTCAAAGGTGATCATTTCGAACAGTAACCTTGGCATGGGAGCGGGCCGGTTATTGTGTAGGACATCCCAGCTAGAGGTAGAGCTGTCGCAGATCAGGAGACAAAATCACATGACCAAAACAGAGAGATTGAACATTTCAAAGAGAGGGTTTGCAATAATCAAAAAATCTTATTCCTACTGCTTCACGTCAAGGGTTCCCAAAGTAGGATGTAGAGTCCCCTGGAGATCTTAGTCTTTTTTTCCCACATTGGACAGTGAGAGCAAGATTTCTTGCGTATCTCACTTTGAAACCTCATTTAGTTTCAGTCCTCAATACTTAAGACTCAAAGATTTTGCACCATGGCTCAATTTTCATGTTTCAGGATCTTTGGGAACCCATGATCGAAGCAGTCGATTGAATCACTCAGGGAAAATCAAAACATATTTTTATTTAGGTGAGACAGTATGCAAAGAGAGTTAGGTAACAGCAATGTTACAGCAACAGAGGTAAGAGTATCAGATGATCCTAAGCGCTGATCTTAGAAGTTGCTTAAATGTCAATGTGGAAATCTTTCAAAGAGGATTACACATATACCAACTCTCTATAAGAGCCCAACCAACACTAAATCCTGGCCAGCACATGTTATATAATTAGATCTTTTTCACCTGACTGAGTTTGTCTGAATAAATGCACATTCGTCTAATTTAGATCATGTTTTCTTGTACACTAAGCTGAAGCATTCCCACTTTGTCAGTTCTCTTGTAGACACAGCGTACACCGACACGTGTAGATGTAATTAGATGTAACTTTTTCATATTGACTGGTACATATATAAATTTGTGGACCAAAAGCAGCCATCAACATTTAGGGCCTGTTTCCATTAATGCCTTTTTTTTCATTGGCAGTGTCTACTTTTCAGAACAAACTAATGTATTTTACCATCAACAGCAGTTAAAATCTCAAGTTCAAAAACAATCTCAGCATCACTTGCTCATTTTTTGTCATTGTCCTCTCATTTGAAAATAGTTCAACTTTTGGGACACTGTCTCTGTCTTCTACTTTATTACCAATCATTTCAAATCAAGGAGGGGTGACACTTCTAATATCAACTTTGTCAACAGTGAAGGTCAAGGTCCAACATGAGAGAAACTAACGACACTCGTAGTTGACCACGCACTTTTGAAGACTACTGCTGATGCTTCAACACAATTTCTCTACGAGTTGCTTTTAAAGGGGATATGTTACATTCATTTTCATCTTCGATTATGTCGGTCTGGGACACCTATATAAGTGTATATTTGTATAATTTGTTGCTCTAAAAACTCTTTATTTGACCATTATTTCAGCTATTACAGTGATATTAAGAAAGACACAAAATGACTCAAGTTAAACCTTTGCAAAAATTGTCTGAGGCTAGCCATTAGCACCAATTTAGCTTCCATTTCAAAGGTAAAGCACACAGAGCATTAGAACCAAATGACTAAGGGAAGTGGAAATGTCGTGGCAAAACCTTTGTAACCTAGCAACATTAAACTCCAGGAAGAGGTGCTCTGAAATAGATGCTGTAGATGCTACTAGCAAAACACGCTGTAAGTGGACACAGGCCCTTACCATACTAATGTTGATTAGACTTAGTCTCTGTGGTGTTTGACTTTAATCTATAATATTTCTATTTTAAATTTGACAACATAAGGTTCTTCTTCAGCCTTACTTCTTTGTTAATTTAAATAATGCAACATAATATTGACCCTTGATCAGCATTCAGGGATATTTGTGCAGCAAAAAAGGAACATTTCATTAAAAAACTGTCAGTAGTGAATTCACGCATCCTTGTCAGTTATGTTATCAGGTAAACCACCTGTTTACCGCGACTGTTTCGTTGTGGAGGATGGTAAAAAATCTGCCAAGATATGAAAGATAGAGGTCAAGAAGAGACGTTCAAAGTGAGAGTTACTCCAGGTCGCCCAGTAAAAACCAGAGAAGCAGAAGACTGGTGGCCAGACTCAGCTCCAGCCAACAGAAACAGAGCAGCAAACGGGCTGCTGATATGAATGCGTTTCAGCTTCTTACCGTATTGTCTTTACGATGAAGCGAACAATCACTGCCAGACCTACGCAGCCACACATCACTCCTATTACTATAGCTGTGACTTCACCTGCAGCAGGAAAATACACAGAGGTTACCAAGAAGAAGGAAAACTTTTAAAAGCATCAATTGCACGACTTTAATAATAGGATAATATGAAAGTGACAATCTTACCGGAGGAGAGCTCCTGCCCTGATTCTACAACAAAGAAAAATGAATTTGTTAGAAAATCACAGATTTCTGTTTTATCCTTCCTCCTCATAGCTGATGGACACTGATCTGTTGGTTTATGTCAGCAGAATCTGCAATCCAGCTGGTTGAAGATGTTATGTCAGGTCACCATTGCTGCTTTTGACAGCAGTGCTGATTTCACAGGCCTTCCAGTTCACTCACTCACCACAAAAGGCACTTTACACAAATTCCCTCTTCTTTGTCTTTGTCTACCACTCTGTCTCCCTCTATCACTCCTCTGTGTCTCCTCTTCCTCTCCCTCTTTCCTCAGTGAGACGTGCGAGCTAACAATGGAGTCAGTGTTCAGTTTTTGCAAATCCTCCTCTCTAATCAGCCCCCAAACAAACACAGCTCCTCGTGTTTTCCCACCAGTTGCCTTTATTTTTGACTTTCTGTCTGTCCTGTCAGGCTTAGATTTTTACCTCGGGCAAAGTTATAGGTAATCCTTCTTTTTTATGCATTCCACTTTCTGTGCTCTGCACGGGTGGTGCTTATTGCAAGCTTCAGTCTGCACCCTCTGGCTTGTAATGGTTTGCATTGTGAGCAGCAAGCTGGTGTTACATTCCAGCGGTGGACATGTTGTTTTTTAAGTAAAATACTGGTGATCACAGCAGTTATTCGTCAGCTTCACTATTACTAGAAATGCAGACTTCATTTAAAGCACAAACAGATATTACTCTCATCATGTGGTCTGTCTGACCTGCAGTGAAGGAGGCGAAGACGACCCTGTGGTTGAGCGGCTGCGTTGCACGGTAATTGTCCTGCAGCAGCATCCTGTCTGGCTCTTCAGATTTGCTTGAGTAAAGTAACGTCTCCATCCTCAGCAGCTGCAAAGGACGGGTGAAGAGAAAGAAGAGAGATGGATAATAGAATTAGGCCGGAGCTGTACCAAACTTCAAACAAAAGGTAAACTGAAGTAGAGAGGAGGCAGTGAAAAATCTACAGACTTAAATTACAGTGAATAGGAAAACCAAAGTTTAACATTGGCTCTGATACTGTAGCAACCAAATAATGTTTCAAAAAAGGCATGGCAGATGCATTTTTACCGCCGCTTCTCTTAACAACACTAAATGTAAATGTCTGGGACTGAGGAGACCTGTGTCTAGGGTCTCATTCTTGCCTGATACAGTCATCGCAAAGAAAAATTCATGCCGGGGTCTTTTTCAGGTTCAGTCTTCCACTCAAACTCACAAAATAGTGAAAGATAACAAAATATATTTAATGATACACTCTTCTAAATTTAAATTGGATCCAAACGTGATTATTAATGAGATTATTAGCATGTGTCGGTTGATATGGGTGAATAATTCAGTGATTGTTTTTCGAGTCTGTTTCTGAAACATCATTGCTGTGGGTTGTGGAAGAGAAGACGGTGAATAAGTACATCAACAGTTTGTGTTGGGCAAACTAAGGTAAATGTATCCAACCTCAGAAATATTAAAGCTTTGGATATCAAAGCATCTTGGATCCGTTTGGAGAACAGAAGAGTGCAAATGTGATCAGGTCTGACACGATCAATCAGTTTAGGTACATTGTGTCCACTTTAACAATCTCAGTGTTTCAGTCTTACCTGTGCCTTTGAGATTTGAACCCTCTCATGAAACAGAGACCAGATGACGCTCTGGTAACACGGCGGCGTGGTTAAGGAGCCGTTGTAGCGATAATAGCGCCCTAAATCCTTAGGGAGCAGAGACTTGACGTCAAAGGCTGGGATGTGAACTTTCTGATCTGCCAGGAGGTGTAAGAGGTGATACAGAGATTATCAGAGGTGGAAATTATCTCAGTGATCCCAAAATGAAAATGGCTAAATAGAAATACATTTTTATATGTTTTTGAATTCTCTGTAAAATAAACACTAAGTTTGTTTTAAAGAATTAAATATGATATACTTGCGTGTCTGATGCGGCTCAAATAGTTGAGGATGCTGTTGAATCCCGGATTGGTCTCTTCACCTGTCTGGGAAAACAAACTTTAGGCTAACAAGTTTGGGACAAGGTTACAGTCACTACTTATTCTTTAATGAAGTTATGTATCGCTTTAGTTTGTTCGCATTGTTTTATTACCACAATGAGAATCCCTAAAACAGCAAGGCCGTCTCTCTTTGTCAGGGCTGTGGACATGTTCGGATAGAGCTCAGAGTTGTAGTGAACCACATGCAGCTGGAGAAAGGAAGACAAAAAATCGGTAACCAAAAAGACATGCTGACTTCTCAGTCTTAAGATAGATAGCTGCGAGCACACCCAAATTGATTCACAGGAGCATGACTGAAGAAATGAAAGAGGGTTGAGGAGACTGATCTGGATGAAAAAGAGTTTAATTGTCTCATTATGTAACAAGACCACTCACGCAAGCCTGGTTTATTGTCCTCTCCCTTATTTTTCTCTCTATCATTTCATCAACTCTGCAGGAAGGCTGTTCTTTTAAAACCTCTCTGTCCTCCAACCCTCCAGGAAAAGGTGTGTTGGCAAGCTTGCACACCGACAGATGGGCAGGAACGGCAGCTCTGAGACAACTTACAGAAACATTTTTCTCTACATTATTTCTTTTTCTTTTCCTGATAAATCTAGACTTTATATTTTCCTCTTTCGTTAGTTCTTTTTTTGGCTTATTCTCAAAGTTCAGTACTGTTGATAGTGTTGCGATACACCAATTTAGAGCAGGAGCCAGGTCTAATCTAGTAATGGCAGGTTTTATAAACAGCGAATAGATCAGAAAGAAGGCCTCAAATCTTGTTACTTCAGAGTATGTAGATATATGTCCATTTAGAAGCAATGGTGATAGATGTGCTTATTTTATTCATTTAAAACCTTCACTTATTCTGTTTATTTCTCACAAGGTAAACAGTTCATCACATTTGAGCTGCTGTTTGCATTTCCATTAGAAAAATGACACTAACTGTAAAGTAGTATTATTATCATTCCAATAGCCTCATACACTCACAAGCCATTATATTAGGTACACTTTTGTAGTACCGGGTCGGACCCCTCATGCCTATAGAGCTGCCTTAATTGTTCGTGGCATTCTTTCATCTAGGTGTCAGAAACGTTTCTCTGAGATTTTTGTCCACGTGGACATGACAGCATCACGCAGGCGCTGCTGAAGTGTTGGCTGCACATCCATGATGTAAACCCCCCATTCCACCACATCCCAAAGGTGCTCGATTGGATTAAGATCTGGTGACTGTGGAGACCACTGGAGTACAGTCGACTCACTTTCATGTTCAAGAAACAAGTTTGAGATGATCTGAGTTTTGGGACATGTAGCGTTATCCTGCTGGAAGTAGCCATTAGAAGATGAATACACTGTGATGGACATGGACGGCAACAACATCCAGGTAGGCTGTGACTTTTAAACCATGCTGAGTTGGTACTAAGGAGACGCAAAGTGTGCCAAGAGAATTTTCCCCACACCATCACATCAATATCAGCAGCAGCCTGAACCGTGAAAATCCAGGTAGATCAGCAGTTCCTGAAATACTCAGACCACAACATTATCTTGACCACATCTACATACCTAAATGCTCACATGCTGCTATGTGATAAGCTATTTCTGTTAACAAGCAATTGAACAGGTGTACCTAATAAAGTGGCCGGTGGGTGTATGTTGTGAATATTTTATATTTTTTAATGTCATCAGGAGGTACAGCATCAACTTCCACAGCTATGCAGATGATACACAGCTTTATGTTTACAGGGCCTATTGACTCCCTTTTTAATTGTATTTTAGAGATCAAGTCATGGATGGCAGGGAACTTTTTACAACTCAAACTCTGGCTTTTAGTTGTCAGAGAAGGAGACTGGATACAAAACTTCAAGCACTGTCTTTTAATCCATGTGAGCAGGTGAAGAATCTTTGTGTGATATTTGATCAATACCAGCTCTTTATTATAACAGTCTGTATTACAGTTTTAAAAGCAAACTAAAGACCTTCCTTTTTGGTGTGGCTTTAACTGAGTGTTACCTTATTCAGGTGACTCTATTTATCAACTTATTTATTTATTTTATATTGTTTCTACCCTATATTTTTGTCTAATTTATTCACCCTTATCTTATACTTTTCTTATTTTAATTATCTATTTGTTTTATCTCAGGTTATTTATTTCTTAGCTGATCTGTGAGTGTCATCCTGTGTTTTTTTTATTATTATTTTTTATCTCTACAAATAAAGTCTAAGTGATTGATGTTGCAAGAGGTCAAAAATATTGAACTGCCTTTCATCCAGTCCACCATCATCTCACTTCTCACTGACCTCTGCATTGGCACTCTGTCCATTGATAGTGTGTTCACTGCCCCCGTGGCCCGGCCCGCCGCTGCCCCAGTGGAGGTGTAATTGCACCGCTGTGAAGAGCCATGGAAGCCCGCCGATACCCATCCACTCTGGCAGCTCAATCACCACTGAAGAAACATAAGGAGGAAAGATAGTCTGACGAGAAATATTACCCTGGGATATGAAGAAAGGTAAAAGAATATAAATGATAAGAAATATCGAATTTATTATAAGCAGAGTAAAAAGTTTGTTGCCAGGTGATATCTGAGGTTGATGCAGTAAAAACAGATCAACCATAACCCTGAAATAGATTTGAACACAGAGCTATAAATCCACTGGCCACCATAGTTACCTGTGTGTCCGTTATTGGAGAGAATAAAAGGCTTGTTTCCGTGTTGATCGTAGCCCAGAGGGTTCAAAGGGATCAAACTGGGGTCATATTTTGTCTGTGTGGTTACCACATCAACGGGAGACTGAGAAGAACCTCCACATTCGGGGAAATACTCTGACCACTCGGTCTGACCCACCAAGCCTTTGACAAGAGGGGAAAGACAAAAACAGTGATGTCACGAAATTACACAGCTCACCGGCTCCCAGTCATCCAGTAAAAAAGACTCCATTGATCAGACAGTAATTATGCAAGACAATTAATCCCCTATGTCTTCTCTAGTTTACAGCTTCATGGAGGTCCGCTTGAAAAACTTATGCTATGGTTTCATTGTCATTTTTCCAGGGACAGTTATGATTGCGTGATCTGTTATGTCAGCCACTTATAATCGGTTTCGTGATTGAAACATTTAGAAGATGAAGTGTTCTTTTTATAGTGCTGACAGTGCAGGACAAATCCAGACCCCTGTTCCTCAGACTGAATCAAAATTAATTAAACTATAACTTTATTTTGATATTTTAAAAAGCCAAAAGAGAAAAAAAGGAAATTTTTCTATGTCCTTAGTCAACGTTTCGACAACGTTTTCAGTGATGCTTGGTGGGGAATAGTTCTCTCTTTGCTATATACCGACTCAATAAGATTGCAACAAATTTTAATATCAGCTAAAACTCTTTGTTGTATTGAACGCTTAATAACGTAATGGTAGAAAAAAAAGGATATCGAGCTCGAAAGAAGAAAACATGCACATCACACCGACATGGTTACCCGCAAGCTCAAGGATAAAAGGGATCATTTTACAGTTCAAATCCCATAATTATAGAAATCTGTAAGCTTCCTCGAGTAAACAGTAGATTATTCTCTGATTTCATTATGTCATTTTGCTTTTCAAGAAATAAACACACCGGTTTGTTCACAGAGAATTCCTTTTAAAGTTGCAAAAATCACATTTTTGCAACTTTAAAAGGAATTTAAAGGAAAATTTTTATCCTGCAGCAAGATTATTTTGATCTATGACTGAATGCAGAAAATAGATTTGTAAAACAAAGGAAATTATTGAATAAGCATTACAGGTTTCTGTGGCGTTAACGTGCAAGATAAACTTCAAGTATTTTATTCAAACATGCGAAAGTAATGTTTGAAATTTCAAGTAGAATATACAGTTTTTCCAGTTTTTTAATCACTAATTATAAAATTAAAACATCATTAAAGCTTTATGAGAAAATAAACCAACTTACATTAAATGAAGAGATAAAAAAAATAGATTATGGCTGAAAATATTATTATATAGATATCACAAAATTAGTCTTTTGTTTTAAGGTGCGTTAACATGACATCTAGTGCTTTTATATTAGTCTTATAAAGGATGTGTACGTATGAACATTATGTGCATACTGTGTAAGCACTTTAAAATATGTCCCCTTTTACATTCCTAATTATATATAAATATAACAGTTTGTGTCCAAAAATAGTGTTTTTTATTTCAAACTGATAGGTAAATATTGACAATGTAACTGAGGGGAGAGGAGTGTAAATGAGGCCCTGGTCCTCTGAGGTAAAAAAAAAAACTCTCCCCACATTGCTTAATAAAAGACAGAAAAAAAGACTCTGAAAGAGAAAGAATGAGGAAAAGAATCTGAATTTCAATTGCAAAGGAGAGGAATGCTTTAGAAAACGGCACACCACTGACAAAAAATGTGTCAGCATGAGTGCGAGAAAAGGGATTCAGGACGAATCTCGCTATTTCAGGTTTTACAAATGTATGTAGTGAGCATGTTTACATTATCTAGCTGTGGAAAATGGTGAGTGTGATTTAACCCCGGACTGAATATAAGTCCTGTACCACCGTTAATAAGAATATTAGAGATGTAAACAACACATACCACACCTCCTCTCGTGCTGCCAGCAACCCCCACCTCTAATCTGTTCTCTGTCCCCAACCTTTCTCCACCCTCCACAGCAAAGCCCTGCACCAAGACACGACTTCAAAAGTCGGTCCTGTGGCCCCACCATCGGTCGTCATGGAAGTCTCCATGGTAACCCGAGGCTGAAAATCCTGACCCTTTGCGCTTGCTCTACCTCAGCCCTAGCATGTTACCCCTGCTCTGAATACAACACATAACAAAGACACACTCACACACACACACCTACGCATAGGCAGCTTCACTCAACCAGAGTGTGATGAGGCTACGGTGGAACGTGGGGTTGACCATCTTCAATGTCATGATGTCCTGAAGCTGTGCAACTCAGCTCTTTTGTGTGTGGAAGAACAATGTTGAGCCTCACAAAGGGACCGTTTCACTGCAGCTAACGAGCTCAAAAACAGCCACATCATGCAATAAGATGTCACACAACATGCCTGACACACACTCACACTTGAGCACGATGCAAACTGCGGATGAATCTCTGGACCACAAAGCACAAACTTCCCACAGCTCAAAATGAGTCTATCTCTGCAGGCGTGCACTTATGTTAAGTCTTCAGATTTCTCACCATTTTTCTGCACAATACACTCGCCCCCATATCATTCATTCAGAAAAGTTTGATTTTCGTCAATTTCAGTCCCCCCTGTGTGGACAAATTAGTACCTCTCCTCTCTTTTCTGATTTGTGCTGTTCATGTAAAAGGCTGTTTTTGTTCAGCAGTGTGAAGTTAACCACCTTGCACAACATCTATTCTACGGCAGCAGGTGTAAACATTCACAACTACTCTGTTCAAATCTTTCTTCTTCTGCTTTTGTGGCTCAAAATTAGGTATCTGTGTTGATTTCGTTCTGCTCTCTAACCAGCTAACAACTGCTTAAGAAGCTTTAATGCCTGATCTGCCTATAGATGTATTCTGTACGTGCGCCTCACATACATGACTCTCACACACTCAGATTTTGAGATTTAAACAATGCGCAAACTGTGAAAAGATCTTTGTGACTTTTCTTTTGCAAATTTTGAACCAAAAAACTCTAATTAGACCTTTCAGAATGAGAGACATCTTTGCCCATAAAATTTGACAACATACACAAGTTGCTTCTTCACAGTACACTTGTCTTTATATCTATTGTAATTATCCTTCAACAGTCTGTCTATAGCTACCAGTTAGCCCCAGGCACAGCCTCCATACTTTGCCATATGCACTGTTTATTGGTGTTGTCCTCTAGACTACATGCAGAGGGTAGCGGCCTGTGTGCCCCATTCATTCCCACAATGTCATTGTCCACAGCATAGTTCAGCCAGTGTACGTCCACCACACAATAAACACATAGGTTATTGTGCGCCGCAACAAGAGCACGATTCGGTATGCTTTTGCTTCATCCCGTCCCATCTCCCTCTCTCCATCAGACACCCTCGCCCTCGTGCACCTGCCTCCCTCCTCTGCCCGCCTCGCTCTATCTGCCTTTTTTTTTCTTGCTTTCTTCCTCCTCTATCTCCCTCCACCCCTTCATCATCTCTGTGTGAGTGCTGTGCTCACGCCAGCCTGTTGAGCTGTAACTAATACAGACAGAGAGGGAAGAAGGGAAAACAGAGGGAGAAGAAATGAAATGGGGGAGAGCACAAATCCCTTCAAACTCACACAAGCTTTCAAATAAGGTTAAATATGGAGAAAAAGTGAATTAAAGCCAAAGTTTAAACTGTTTTCAGGACAATGTCAGATTGGGATGTACTGATTTTTGATTTATTTGACATTAAACTCAGAAATATGAACCAACAGACTCAGTCAAAAAAAAACATGAACTTTTCACCTCATTGTTTCAAAAGTGACTTCAGGATTTGGTTCCTGGTCATTAAACTCTTATAAATGTAGCCACAGATTATACATTATATCCGGGTTACCATCTCCTCTGATGTTGTCTTTTTGTATTACTCTGCGCCTGACTTTAAATGGCTTTTGAATGAGATTTGCTGTACAAATAAACTTGAACTTACCTTTGTAGGTCCAAGTAATATCCTCTGGAAAGAAATAAAAGAAGACAAAAACTCTTAGTTTCGTCTTAGTTAAGTTAAGGTGTTATTTTCAAGTTCACAAAGCTCTAAGTTTGAAGAGTTAATTTGGTGTGATTTAATGATTTGATTATATCTTCTAATAATGAAAACTTTCATTTTAATCTTTGCTATTTTTGAACAATTCAAAAAGAACTGAGCATGTTTTGTCCTCAGAAACTATTCTTTCAGTAAAGTTATTACTCCTCAAGTATACACTAACCATCAAAAACAATCACAACATAAATATCAAAGCATAACAAAGCTCACAAAAATGCATATTATGACTTAAATCAGTCTTACCAGCGGCGTGGGCAGCTGTCCACTGGAAACACTGAAGCATTAGAAGGATAAAAAGACCAAAAGAGTCCATGTTAGCCCTCCTTGCCCATACACAGAAATGAATAATAACGGACGGAGTGATGAGAAGCAAGTGGAAGAGAGAGAGAGAGGGAGGGTGGGAGAGAGTGAGAGGGAAAGGAAAGCATGCAGGGGGTGGGAAGGGGGGCGATGGGGTCCAGCAATCCCACCTGCCACAGCTCTGTTTAACAGGCAGAGTGTGGATGTTACACACTGTTACACAGGTCTCCACATAATACAGATGGAGAGGAAACATGAAAAGATATGAGAGGAAGAGTCGGCAGAGGTGGTGGGACAAGACCGCCGGGAGGAGGGAGAGAGAACGAATTCGGTTTTAGCGTCTAGAATAAGAGGTGAGGGAAAGGGAACGTAGGGCTGAGAGGGGTTTACACTGAGGGACAAAAATGGCTGTTGAAGTAAATGAAAGTGAATAAAAGAGAGGGGAGGGTGTGATTCCACAGTGCAAACCAGAAGTCTTTGAATCCAAGAGGAGGCCTGTGAAAAGTTTCAAAAAATGTTCGAAGTGACTTGAGGTCTTCAGATTTTCAGATCTTATTTGCTGATTTTACTCCCCTCTGAAAAATGCTTGTTGTGAGACTGAGATACGAGGAGAGAGTGAAGAGCAGAGGTGAGTCACACTTGCGCACAAATTAATAGTGCTCTTGCTTTTCTAGTGAAGCTGAATTAACATGTTTTCCATTTCATGAAGGGCTTTGCTGCTTAAGTGGAGTGTGAACCCTCTCAAAAATGTAAAAGCAAGTCTTCTTCAGTAGGATCTGTGCAACATAGAGAATGAAAACTGTTACTTTTCTTTTATCTTTTATCTCTATCTTTTATCTCTTTTACCTCTATCTTATTTTGGCCTTACTGTCTTTTTAGCTTTTGTTATACTTGTACTCTTTTCTTAATTAACCTTTTAGGCCTTTTATTGTTTTATCTCTTGTTCATTTCTGTTGCTCTATTTTATCATTACTTTTATTATCAGGATTACCTGTTATTATTTTATTATCATTGTTGACATTGCATTTTTATATTTACTATTCTGTTCCTGCTTTCATCCTCCCTTTTAATTGCATTTTCCCTTTTTCTGAACTATTTTATGTTGCATGGTTCTTGTATTGTCTGGGTTCCTTATGACATGAAAATGGCCTTCAATTCTGTTTTTACTGAGTTTTTTGTTTTTATTTGTCTTTTCCCCATGTGCTCCATGACTACACGTCAAAGCACTTTGAAAACTTCTGTTTTTTAAAAATGCTATACAAATAAAGTTATTATTATTATTATTATTTTCAATACATCTTTAAATTAGCAGATGATGAAACAAAAAGCATTGACTCCATTGTCTTCATAGTTTATTGTGTTCTTAGACAATTTGCTTCTCTCCTCGCATGAAAGATTCAGTTCATGCTGCTGTATAGATCCTTACGAATCTGAATCATAATCAGAGAACAATAGATTTCAGAATTCAGGGACATGTCACTGTCCTTGTTTAGTTTTAACTTCACTGTATGTCACTTTATGTAACAGATACTTGTAGTTTTGTAAATGTTATTCTTCAGGAGTGAGCTAAAAAACAAATTCATATTTTGTTGATTAAGGCTATTACAAAAAAATATGTATGCTGTATGAGTATTTGTAATGTGATAAAGTACACCATACTTAATTCAGATCCTATAGAATAACTTTCCTATGTGTGTGGTATAATAACATACTTTTTTATATAAATGGTGTCCTTCTATGTTACAAGAAGAATGAAGCCCCTTTGAATAGAACACTCAAGTCCCAAGGTGTTCAGTTTCAGGGTTGGTAGTGGTACTTCTGATGCTGCTCACTGTCATGAAGGACCAGGACACGTGAAAGGAGAAGAGCTGACAAAGCTGGCAATTCCACCACTGAAACACAGTGATTGGTCCAACTTTTGGCGATAACCCTGATTGAAGTCGGTCTGAGATGGAATGTATCAGATGTATTATTTAGTCTTCATCAAAGGCTTTTATTTATTGAAGTGTACACTGCAGAAGCACATTTTATCTCCATATGAAAGGTTACATAAAGTGTACATGATGTACACATTGCAGGAGACCGAATTTCTTATTTTGAACACAAGAGGGAGCTCTCTCCTCGTGATATGCAGGATTTTGGGCAGAGTCTTAAAACTGAACCGTGCAAGCGAAAACTGAACTTGAATTGTATAATTTCTCCTTATATTCTTGTATAATCGCGGTTAATGCCCCTGAAGTGCTTCATTGGCAGTAAAAACCACACCGACTGCGGTGATTTTCAAGGGAAACAGTGATTCACAGCTTCAGACGTATCCCAAAACACTTGATGTAACACTCACGTGAGTCCATCTCTGCACTTGAACTGCACACTGCATGCTCGTTACATCACCCATTAAAGTTTGGGTGCACTGGTTTGTCTTCAAAAACTCCTTTATCGGAATATTAATCATGTGCAGTTAGAAGCAGATTTACATCTCATGGGTTATCTTGCAGAACCTAAAAATGTCAATATAAACAGGAAATGCAACATTATTACTGTGTGACTTTAAAATGAGAGGTAGATCTTTTGTTCACTGTCTGCAAATGATTTGAACTGTCTATTTAATTCTTATATTTTCATGTAATAATTCACTGATTGTTTGCATGTGATGTCTTTGTTTGCATCATTTTATATCAGACGTTCTTGTAACATCGCTGAGTGTATATTGTGTTATCTTGGTTATTAATGGATAGCAAACGTCAATACAATTTTCTATCCTCACGTTCATACGAGATCTGATCACAGAACTATATATGTAGGGCATAGCTGCTCATAACAGATGATTCAAGATGACCATTTGGAGTCATTTCTATTCAGTAGTAATGATTAATTCTCACATGAGCTCAGATTTCGGCCACTAAAGCCCCTTTTATTTATTCTCCACCTCTTCTGTCTGCCTCTCTGCTCTCCATCTTTTCACACTGTGTTCTGGCTCGCTTAAACGTGAAGCGCTTCAGCCAAATTATGCAACAGCGCTGGTCCCTGTCGGCCTACCATTGGCTGCTTCGCGTTCGATTAAGGGGGCGTGGTTAGAATGCTTTCACACGCTATTGGCCGCTGCCTCACAGGGGGCGTGTCTGTTGACTTCATTCACAAATCTAGCAGCGGAGTATCTCGCCGACATGTGAATTTGACTCTGCTCATAGTGGTGAACACATGTCCCGGCTACGCAAATGTGAGCGCTGCAGCAGCATCAGCAGACCAACCAACGTCTCCTGCGCTGAGTAAACGTTAATACCATCATGACTTAGGGGTTAATTACACCTAAGCATGTATCGGTTATCTTTTAAAACTGCATCCTAATGTGGGAGCAGGAATGGTCAGTGTACCAACCCATCTAAGCCAACACAGAATCTGGCCATCTAAAAAATGTAGCAGAAAGATAAAACCATTTTAAACATTTAACATTTAGATTAAGTGATAAAGCAATTCTTTCACTGTATTTGTCCTGATTTTAATGCTGTTAAATATAAAAGGCTCATGAAACTGCAAGAAAATAATGGTTACGTACATGACACTTCTTTTCCATAGTCAAATACTTCATTTCTGCTATCACAGTTATGTAAAATTCCTGTAGTTTAGAGGAGGGTAAGACTGGCAGACAGGTGCAGTGCAGAGAGGACACAGCAGCAGTAATTGTTCTCCAGCTGTTCTGGTTTCCAGGTGAAACGTGAGATAAGCCGCTCAGACTTTGGAGAGTGAAGACAGTTTGCACTTTAGTGTCTCTTTACGCCTCTGTTTTCCCTGAGGTAGATCAAGTGTCTGTTTTGGTGCCTTGCTCCCACCACACCTACTCCTGCATTTGGCCTTAAAAGAACTCCTGCATGTTTTTACAATGACTGTGATGGTGCAAGATGAACTTCATGACATATGCAACAAGCTTAATGCTTTTGTATATGTGTGTGTATATTTAAGCTCACCCTATGTGAACCAAAGGATTGGCTGCTGTACTAAAGCACTACTGGTGCATGTCATTTCAGGACACAAGCCTCAGCAGTGAAATCATTCACACCACATTGTTAGACTGTATATACTCAAGTGGCAACAACATTGAATTCCAGATGTCCTCAATCTTTACCTCAAATAACCTTTACCTCAAATAACCCAACAAGGTAGGGTTATTTTTGCAATACAATGGGCCAGTTTCATGCACTCCACCTCGATGCGTTTAAGTTCAAAATAGTAACCAACATTGAATTCTCAAACCTGTCAATACAAGTGATGATAGTGAGAAGAAAACGAGAAAAACACTGACGGGGGATGGGAGCAAAAGGGGGAAGGGAGATGGAGAGATGGAAATGATGGGGGTGGTCTTCAGCAACCATGAACTCAGAGGAGGTTCACTGGGTTCATGTGCTGCAGAGGAATGTGGTTGGGGGTTGTGAAGCTTTTTCTATTGACCTGGTCTCTGTAAGGTACGCGCAACATGACCTCTTCCCTGGTTTACTATATCTACAAGTTAACCATTATTCTGTTTTGACCTTAAAGGGAGTGGTGGGCCAACCTGGTGTTAAGGTTACTGGGTGATTGTCCTTAGTCACAACAGTCAAATTCAGGTATTGTCAGTCAAAAGAGGCCATTGCCTGTTGTGTGACATGAGGAGAAGGGTCGGTGGGTTCATGTGTACATTGAGTGGGGGATGGGCAGCCCCTTCCTCTCTTCACAGATACGTGCAAGGCGCTTAGGGGCACCCACCAGTCTTCATGCTTAAACCAGGCATTTCACATCTAAAAATACCAGTAAAGCCAACATAATAACCGACCTGCAATTAAAGACTTATGAGGAGAGAAAATACCAATCCATAGGATGAGTATGGGACAGCTGATCTGTTGAATGTGTGTGCGTGGTCTTTGCATTGTGGTATACTGCAGGGCAAGTTTCAAGAGGGGGTCATTGAGTTCACTTTGTAGTAACCTGAAAGTGGGGGGAAGCTCTGACATGACCATATATCATGAATCTCAACACTGACTGACTTGCTACATTGTGTTCAAAGCTCAATAAATCACATTTGATTGTATTTGTAATTGATTTATGACAACATCAATGCTCTACACACATATTGACATTTTTGATGAAAATATATTATTTTCTTTATTTTACACAGATTTTTCTTCTTATGCAGTTTTTCTTGTGGTGCATCCTGGGAAATGACAGTCATTTTTTATTTATCAGGGAATATTACAGTCGCAACACTGAGTATTTGAGTTGCAAAGAAGGCTTAGCAGTGAAACCGACAAGACATCTTCAAAAAAATAAATTAAAAGGAAATGAACCAAAGCTTTGAAGAAAATATGCAAGGCATGTATAAATAAAAACAATAAAACATTAAAAGTGACCATTATACAAGCCAATATGCAGCATGCCGAGGGAATTAGATAGAAAATCTAAATAATATACCGTAAAATATAAAAGATAAATTGATTTAGTTAAAATGATAAATTGGCAAGTGTCAAACAGATATTCCTTACTGGATTCTACTGAATCTTTCTGCTGACCAAGGTCAAGGAAAAGACAAGAAGGTGTATAGAAGTGGGCTATTGTTCAAAGTTGAATGTGTCATTGAAACCACCAGTGTTACTGATGTTGCTTGGCGACTGACTCTGTATCGCTTTTCACCTGTTACACAATAGTTCGATAAAAAATAGTGAAATAAAATGTGATGTTTGTCAGTTATTAAATATAATGGGCATTTCCCTGACAACCTTGATCTTAAAATCATTCTTTATGTACAAAATCAATATTAGAAATATAATGTAAATAAGTCTTATACGGTGTGTCCCAAATCGCATACTTCCAGTACTAAATACTTAAAATTTTGAGTATACTCAACGCAAAATGGAAAAAAGTATGGATAGTATGTGAAAATTGAGTAGGCAAAAGTACCCGGATGACGTACTCAAATCGGTCAAGATTGTGAGTATCCAACTGTGGACACTCGCCCACACTCATTTCATCAGTAAGAATGGCTGTGGACTGTTGTGGTGCCAGTGGGTCGAGCTTTGAACAGATGTAAGAAATAAGTTGCCCTTTACACATGTTCTTTCCACCAAGCACCACCAGCGTTTATTGTTTTGAGTATATTTGTGGTGTAACCTGGGTAAAAAGAAGATGAACGAGCACAGGCAAATGGTGGTGGTAATTAGCTGATGCAGAGCTAGCTATAGACAAATTGGCATAGAAGAAGAAATCGCGTCGTCATTTCTGGTGAGTGCGCTGCGCGGCAGTGAGGGATTTGGGACAACACTGCACCCTTGAAACTCAAGCACTGCACGATTGAGTACATAGTATGCTTAGAATACTCAATTGAGAAAAATCTAAGTATTTAGTATGGAAGTATGCGATCTGGGACACACTCTAGAGTTGTTTTTCTCCCTGATATATTTGATCTCAAAATCACTATTTATGTACAAATTCAAGATTAGTAGTGTAATGGAATGTGATGTAAATAAGTCTCATAGCATTGGTTTTCTCCCTGACATATTTGATCTTGTCAAGATGATATTACATGCCAGCATCTCTATTGTTCTAAAAATAGTGAAATGAAATGTGATGTTTGTCAGTCATTAAATATAATGGGCTGTTCCCTGACATAGTTGATCTTAAAATCATTCTTTATGTACAAATTCAAGATTAGAAATATAATTAATATAAAGTAAATAAGTCTCATCGAGTTGTTTTTCTCCCTGACATGTCTGATCTTGAAATCACACTTAATATTCAAATTTAAGATCAGAAATGTAAAGTAGTGTAATGTTAATAATTCTAATAGAGTAGCTTTTCCCCCTAATTCATTCTCTGTTAGACTTGAAGGATGAGATTACATGCCAGCATCTCTATTGTTCTTAATGCAGTTTTTTCTTTCTTGATAAAACTCTAATCTGTATGATGGACATGCTGAGTTGCATAAGGTATGCCACTCTGATATCCTGGCGGGCTCTGCGTGAGCGTGCCTCTGTTTTGGGGGTTGTGTGTTTGGGGGCGGGGCTCTTAAAACTGTATACATCAGATGCATAGAACATATTGTGCATCTCTTGGGCCGGCGTCGTTGTGCGTGCGTGTGTTTACCCCCGCCCGCTGTAGTAGAGCAGCTCTGCCCGACATCGTGCACACGGGCGACACATGAGTGGGCAGGACCCTGAGTGCCCGAGACGCAGCCCAATCAGCGGCGAGTACAGCAATCACTGGCTGGATGAATCGGCCAATGGCGTGCGCCGCCGCCGGGACGACAGCCAATAGAATACGCGCAAAACGTGGGCACGTGGATCCGCGCACATGTTGACGCTCGTAAACTGTCGAGAGAAAGAGCTAGCAAAGACACAAACCGATGAACCACCGGGTGGTACGTGTGTGTGTGTGTTAGAGAGAGATAGAGAGAGAGAGCTGTGGCTGGCCGCCCCGATGGTCCTCCAGCTCCGGATCGTGCATTGACGGAACCGTAAAGTCAAAGTAGGAGATAAAGGCGTCAACATTATCTTCTGGCAGCGGCTGCTTTTACCTCACTTTACCGAAAAGGTGAGTATTTCCTACGTTTTTCTGTTTGACGTCCAAGTTGGCGAGCTGGCCCGAAGGAATTTCCTGTCCCGCTATCCTGTTTGGAACAATTTGTTAAATCAGGCAAAGCAGAATTTCTGAACGCGGCTGTGCTCCATTTACCTCGTTAAATAATTTCTATTTTAATATGCCAGAACATTTGACCACCTTATTGAATTTCTGTGATGTTTGAATTATTATATTTTTATATCTATATATACGTAATATTCAGTCTTCTCTGACATGTAAAAATAGCAGAGCTTTGTTACAAGTCAACGGCACATTATGTAAATGCAGGGCTTGAGCTCATGTTGTGGGCATCGTGGTGGGCTGACACAGACAGGCGGGATACACCTGAGACGCAGCCCTATGATCCACGCGTACCTGTGCAGACTGTACCCACCACCATACACCATACACCGCCACCTCACACCTCACCTCCACCTCCACCTCATCCCATCCACTATATATACACACACACAAAGACAGACAGACGGTGAACTCAGTTATGCGGGGTTTTGGGATTGGATCATTGTGTTCTCCTGCTATTAGTTTCAGGTGACTCATTCAGGTGCATGTAAACAACAAGACATTTGCTCTTGGACAACAACTTGTCTGACTGGAAGCAAGCCGTTTGAGTCAAATAAAGCGTAAATGTCACAGCATGTTGTCTGTTTGAGAGGCTGAACATAGACACTAAACATCCTGTAGTCCTGAAATGAGGACATATTGTGTGGACTAGTGATTTGTTCTTGCTTTTCGTGTTGGCGTAATGAAAAAGTCTTAATTACTTTTTGCTTCATCTGCCAGTTATTGGACTTTTATGATAGTGGCAAAGGCTGTTCGAGTGTATTCTGGTGACTCCCAATTTCGCCCTGTGTTTTGGCTGGGATCAGAGACTGGTAGTCCGGCAGAAATGACAGAAAGCGAGCAAGAATAGGCGTGAGACAAGAGGAGCCACATGGCTATAGACAGAGAATGTGAGTAAGAGAGGAGGAAGAAGAGGAGTAGTTGGAGGGCTGGTCTGTGGAAGAGGAGAGAGGGAGAGAAGCACCAGGTTTGTGTGCATAGCAAACAGGATGAGCTGAAGAGAGAGAGGGAGAGAGAGATGAGAGGCATACAGAAATGCAGCCGTACAGGAGAGAAACGTTTCTGTGTGTGTGTGTGTGTGTGTGTGTGTGTGTGTGTGTATATGTGAATCCAAAGGGGGGGATGGAGAGCAAGCCCGAGACAGAGAGGAGGGGCTAGAGAGAGCACCGGAGGCAGTGGGATAGAGAGAGAGAGCGAGAGAGGAGAGAGACTGCCTATTCTGATTTCACTACTCTACAAGCCCCCATCCCCCTCACGTTTTACTCTTCTCTCTAGTCTCCCAATCTCCTCAATGGGAGCCAGACATTCACCACCATTGTGTGCCTACTGCCTACCCCCAGTCCCACTCTGCACCATGCTTAACTAGGGCACCAGTATACCCACCATTTTGAGTAATTGGGGTTATTATTTTTGGGAGGGAGATAAGAAAAAATGGTGCATTGCCAATTGGAAAGCAGTTGTCTGAAATGATTTGGTTTAAGCGCCTTTCACTCCTTGTCTGTCCTGCTTTTCACTCGTGTTACAACTTCAAACTTACAGCTTTGGAGTGTTCAGACATGCTGTTGTTTCTTTTTTTCTTCCTTTTTTTGTTTTGTGTGTCCATAATAAGCCTCTGCTGCTTCCTCCACAGAAATGCAGTCCCAGGGCAGCACTTCCTCCCAGCCCTCCTTTGATTCCCTCAGCTCCAGCGACAGCCTCTTATTCAGTGACTCGGAGCAAGCGGAGGACGACACAGACGTCTTCCTGACGGATGGCTCTTCCTCTGTCATCATCGGCAGTGTGGGCGGGTCAGCGTCCGGTGGAGACAGGGGTTCAGAGAGTCCCGGGTCCCAGTGGACGTGTGATGGCTTCACTGATAAAGAGGAAGAAGAGGAGTCGTACAGGTTGGAAGTTGGCAACGGAGGCAAGTCGGCTCGCATCAGCCTGGAGGAGACAGACCGTTCAAGCCCGAACCAAAAATCAGAGGGAGACCTGCTGTTTGCTCAAAAGGTACAGACTTTGAGAGCCCAGGAGCAGAGTGTGATGAAAGAGGGATGACAGGGCACAGAGGAAACCCAGCAGACTGGTTTAGACAGCAGAGCCCAACCCAAACTCTGTAGTAATTTATCTTCTTCTCTTTTCCTCTGTCAGTGTGCTGAGCTGCAGGGTTTTGTCAGGCCCCTGCTGGAGCTGCTGAATGGACTGAAGAGGGGCCGCTTTGACCGCGGTAAGCATCGTGACATCACTGCTTCCTCACAAGCACGTGTTGAGACTTGGAGCTGCAGCTGTAGATGCTGAACACAGGTTTATATGGCCTGTGTCCCATGCATTAGAGAGCGATCCTCTGTGAGAGTGTGTGTGGAGCAGTCTGTATTGACGCAGCCTATTGATGTAGTCCAAAGTGCAGAGTGTGTGTGTGTGAAGCGACAGTCTTCCCGCTGACTCATCGGCTCACAAGTGTGTACTGATATCACACAGTGAAGATGCTGTCTGAGATAAATAGAGCTCGTGCGTGTTCACATGTTTATGCCTGATTTTCTTTGACTATGATGCCTAGGAGTAGAAATGCTGACCGGGGATGACTTTGTGATTGACAGGTTTGAGTAGTTTCCAGCAGAGTGTTGCGATGGATCGAATCCAGAGGATCGTGGGGGTTTTACAGAGACCCAACAGCGGGTAAGATGTCAGCCACATTGTCTCTCTTCACCCTCAGATATATTATTTCTATGTTGCATCATTACTTGTAGATTACACAAGTTATAACTATTAAGGAGCAGCGGGTGAAGTCTTCCATTTCAAGCCTCACCCCTTGTGTCATATTTTATTAAACAGTCCTTGAGGCAGGTAGAGTTACATCATTCAGCAGAGGTGCAGGCAAACACCAAACTTTAGCAGAATTTGCTCCTAGATACATACACGAGACGTTAAACATCCAGATGTTTTACCAGACAGTCACATTGTATCATGCCATAATTTCCTCACTTCTAATAATCTTGTCACTCTTTGCAGGGAGAAGTACTTGAACACTCTTCTCCAGGTGGAGGTGATGTTGAAGCTTTGGTTTCCTCAGATCTCCACTCAGCCTGTGTCCACAGCCTCAAGCGTGGCCGCATCTCCCGCTCGCTCCCTCCAAGAAACCTCCACCCCACTGCACAAGCACAGGGATCAGTCTCATATTCCTGTTAAGGTGAGAAAGTATGCATTCCTGAGTGTACAGGAGTATACTTGTCCTAACACAAACAGCCACTCCATCTCCTTTCCCACAAACGTAGCTCTATTTTCACGTACACGTTTCTCTGCTCTTTACAGAAGCGCAGGCTCAGCTGGACTGGCAACGACTCCCCAACACCTTCCCCTATGCTTCTCAAGTGCCCTCGTATCAGTGTAGAAGAGAAGAGGGTGAAGCACAGCCGTGATGAAAGGGGCGGCCAACCTCTTACCATGTACTTGGCCTCTGATGTAGACCACAATTCACCAGATGTGGCCAGTAACAGCCAGCTCAACGAGGAAACAAAGGGAAAGGACAGTGACAGCGAAGAGCCAGGAAAACTGTCGAAATACAAAGCAGGTCAGAGCTCTGAGCCCAGCCTGACATGGGTTCACGTTGCCCCCATCCTTTCCCCACGAAAGGCTTGCCCCTCACATGAAGGCACAACAGGAGGTAACAACGAAAACCAGCCAGTCACTGCCGTCCCCCTGCCAACCAGGAGGGGCAGTCCGGCCATGCAAGACAGCGCCGTCTCTTCTACGACACCCTACAAGCACTCAAAAAATCCGAAGAAGCCTAACCGGTGCCAAAGCCAGCCTGTTGCTGGACAACAGAGTGAGACCACGGAGTCCTGTCAAGGTCCCAGTGTTACACTCAAGCCTTTGCCCAGTGTGTGCCCTGCCCCCTTAGAGACCTGATGCACTGAGGAGCAAAAAACAGGCAGCAATGCTTTGGTACATCAGTAGGCTACACGCTGCTGAGAGATGCTGAAAGGCCAACGATTAGAGATGTGTTTAAGAGAGGAAGGGAGAACGGATTGGAGGTGAAAAGAAGTGATGGATCACACACAACCATGCATTAATCACTTACTTAGATCCGGCATTGACAAAAACAGGACATAATGTGTTCAAATGAATCAGATGTCACAATTAGACAACAATCTAAGCATTTGCACAAGAGCAGTTGTGTGTAAGGTGAGTTAGGAAGAAAACCTGAAGCTTGAAGTCTATTTACAGCTTCCTGCTTTATGATCAATAGGAGGGAAATTAGGAAGAAGCCTGAGGAGCAAGTAATAGTTTCTCCTCAGCTTGAAAGCAATCAATATATTCAGAGATGACTGTTTTGGCAGGCATGTAACTCAAGGGACACAAGCTTGATATGAAATTAGAAAAGCTTTTGAGAATATTCAGACTGATGTTTCATAGTGAAGAGGTTGCTTTGGTTGAGATTTCAAACACAGTGTGAGCTGATTTGATTCCAGCCTTGTGGCAGGAGACACAAAAGACTTTTGCATTCACTTGTAGATAGAGTTGACGTGTCTGGCTTTAAAAGGAAATTGAAGTCTGAGGTCAATTAAAATCTCATCGCTCGCGACATGAGAAAAACACAATGTACAGAATGCAGCATTATGTGTGGTGTGATGGAGTCATTAGAAACATAGGAACAATGATGTCATCATCTCACGAATGTAATCCAAGAACTTTTTGGGGGGCATCAAGAGGAGGAGGAGCAGCAATCAGAGGTCATGTAAACTTCTGCCCAGTGCTCTGCTAAGCGCACAAGAAAACTGACGGGCAGCCAGTGTCATGTACCTCCAAGAAGAAGAAGAAAAGAAACAAGGACCACTTAAAGACATGTGACTCCAATGGTTAATTTATTCATGTGTAGATCGGACACTGCATTTATTTATTGTTTGTATTTATTTACTGGGCAGCTGAATATCGCCTTCTGTGCTCTTGCATAAGTTGGTCTATAATTTGTTTTGAGGAGTTCAAGAAGATGCTGTTGACAGTTTGTGGGTTTTTTATTACTATCACAAGGTTTAAAAAAAAAAAAAAGTAGAAGGAAAGGAAGTGAAATCTTATGATTGGAATATTGGGACTACTGTGCCTTTTAACCAAATAACAATAGGATGTGTTCACAAAAAGCATTTGGTGCTTTCAGTGCATTCATACTACGTTTTGATTGTGTTGCTTTGATTTCGAAAAAAATCAGTACACACATGCATTCAATCATGAAAGCCTACATGTAGTAATTTTCATCCTGCTTCTACACACAAACCAACAGTATCAGTTACTCTATCAAACACTCCACAATCCAGACGACTACAGTTATTCCAAACTGCCTAAAACTACAGCGGTGGTAACTTCTGGTCACATTATATTGAAGTGTAGCCTTCCTTTGTGTCAGCAGAGGAACAGACTTATCTGCATCTATTGCTCGTGCTCTCTAAAACTTGAAAGAATACAGAGGAAATATAAACGTGATGAGTAAAATCGTTTTGCACCACCCTCTACTGCTGCTATTGTTATTCTAATTCCAATTCTGTTAAGATGTATGATGGGAGGCTCTCTCTTGGGAATCACAATATTTCAAATGTGGTAGGGGGTTTCAGCGATATGATTGGATTTATCTTTATTGCAAAAAGTACTGTAAATATTGAGAAAAAGATATTTTTAAATTGCTATGAGTGCTTCATATACTATTTCGTCAGTAGAGAGGAGTGATATCTTCATGACAGACTCCTTCAACAAACAAAAAGCACCACATGTGAACACAGAGCCACTGGCAGCCTCCATGTTACTGCCTATGTTATGTTTGTGAGGGAAGGAGTATACAAACCCTCAGTCAGACCCAGAGTCGGATTGTCTCAGCCCAAACGTGACAGCGTGCGGTACCAGACACTGACTCTGGATCAGAGGCTGGGGGCATCCTTGGCTTCTTCCTCCTGTTTATAACGGTTGTGGTATGACAGAGAAACCAATTGCACTTATTTTTCATTGTCCTTTTTTCATGTATGTTTTCTACTGCAGTGACCACTGCTGATTGGTCAGGAATAATATGTCTCATTCTTTTTTTTTCTGGCTGCCTTTTTTCTTCCTAAACTGTAAAAGCTGACTGTAGTACCCCCCCCAGTCCTCCCCTCCCCCACTCTGCAGCATTCGTCTGCCCTTGCCCTCTCTCCTTCCGTCGTCTCTCTCAATCCTGTTAGTATCATTTCTTTCTAACTTAACTCTGTCTTTCTCTCTCTCCACTCATCTTAACATATTACTCTTCTGACTTTTTCAATAATGGTGGAAAAGAAAAAAAAAAGTCTTTTAATAAATGACACTTTTCGGAAGCTGAACTGTGGGCCTGTTTTCTTGTTCCTGTATTAAGGGTCTCTTATTTTAATTTTGATGTAATTTGTAGTGATCTAAAAACGACTGGTATTTTTGGAAAGCGGCTCTCACTGAACAGATGTGAGACTCAATGGGAAAGATTTAGAGAGTACATTTTGAAGTGGTGGTGGAGGGGAGATGAGGGGAAGGAGGGGCGGCAGGGTGTGAGACTCCAGCCTCGATAATCTGACTGGGAGTAGCAGGGGGGCCGGCTGATCCTCCAACCAGCTGCTACTATGGAGAACAAACATTACTGTGGATTATTATGTGTGTTCTTGTGGGATGGTTGTTTATTTTCGTAAGATCACAGTGAGTAAAAAACCTCCTGTGGGCAGAGGAGAGGAAGAGCTCTGCATGGTTTTGTCTGTGATGCGTTCATAGTACGGTTAAAGAATCAGCAAACTGGGGCTCAAGTGTGTTTGTGGCTCCTCCAAAAAAGAAAAAAAAACGAAAGGGTGAGAGTCAAGAGCTTACCTTGCTAATCATTACTCACCAGAGTGTCTTGTTGTCTCATTGAGGCCCTTCAAACATCCAAATAGGGGTGAATTATTCATTTTCTAAGAGATGTTATTTCATGATTTCTGCAACATTATCAGATAAAAATGTTCTTCAGCCAAACACACAAAGGGGGACTACTTCAGTGAAGATTATGTAACATTTTACAATATGTCCTACTTGCACTTTCTGCAAAACAAAGTTTTAAATCACAGAGAAAGCTGCAAGTAACACATGGTAATATTAAGTGAGAGATTAGTTGTTTTAATGACTTTTGAAAAACTGTTTTAATGATTATTGTTTCACCAAAGCCTCCCAGATTTACTGCTTCAAGCTTTTGTAAAGTGAATGTTTATAGATTTAGAGTTATGTTTAGATAAATGAAACAGAGAATTTAAAAGAATAATTAGATCTGATTCAATACAGATAAATCAGTTCATTAAATAGTTAAACTTAAAGCACAAATATAAAGATTGAGCATTTTTCTACCTCTGATTTGAGTATCAGTTACATCACTTGGATTAGCATACAGAAACATTCACCATGTTCTCTCCACTCCAGCAGCACATCCATGGAAACTGCGTGCGAGTGGGCACGAGACTGGTAAATTTGGAGAGGGTGTGGTTTGATTTCTCCCAGCTCAGGCGAGATGAAATCAGCCACACCACACGTACTCGCACACGCACACAAACATACCCAAAGTCAAAAACACTGATGCCCCTTACACCCCCCCCCCCCATGCTGTGACACACTGACTGGCTGATTTTGTGATGGGCCTGTCTCTGACACACTGACTGCGCTGCGTTACAACAACAGAGACCGCCCCTCCTCCCCACTCTCGCAGCCCCCCCTTGTATCCATGCAGTTTTTAGCAGAGAAGCCCTTGCCCTCGGTCTCCCTCCTCCTCCTCCTCCTCTTCCTCTTCGGGAGGACAGAAACGAGGGGCAGAAAGGAAGAGAATGGGAAGAGGATGTGTGGAGGGCACAGACAGGAGGACTTCACTTAGTTTTATATGGAGGATATTTCATATTTTGACCACTCCTTTTCAACCACCATACTCTTTTCCATTTCCAGTAGTCCTCTTTCTTTTTTCTTTGTAAAATTTTGTTTTGAAAAAGTTTTATACCCTCATACAGGAGAAGCACACTATAATTGTGATAATATATTATGAACCACACAGTCTGCAGTAGCTTGAGAACAATCAATGATTGTTATTGCATCATAAAAGCGCTCAGTTGTTTTCACTTCTCTCAGTATCCAGCCAGCTTGTGTTGGATTATTAGAGCACGTGTGGCCGTGCATCAATAGGATTGCACATAATGAACTTACTGCCCCTCTGATCCCACGGCGTGTAGGTTTTAATTGCGCTTTCACATTTCCTTATTGGTTTTAACAAGTTAATGGTTTAAGAGAGCATGTCTATTTCTGCTGCCTGTGCCATGATGTGCCAAATGAAGAGAATGACACAATGAGGTGCTTATTCACTTATTCTAAATTCCCCTCCCCCATTATTCATTCAGTGCACTCCAGCAAAACTCACGCGAGGGGAAGCCATGCTGTGACTTTACAACCACACACACACACTCGTTTGTGTGTTTGTGCAAAGACTCACACACTTGCTCTTACTCACCCCAAGTCCTCAGGGGTTTCAGTGTCGTCTAGTCCCAAAACAGCCTGGATGCTCATTAAAATTTCACAGTGGACAGCCCTGCTATGGAAATCTGAGCGACTTTGAACTAATTTCTGCCATGCTGGAGCTCACAGGGATGAGGATGATGATGGGCAGGAGTGTGTTTGGGGTTATGAAGGTGCTGCTCTGCCAACCATCTGTGGTCCCCATCACTGTGACGTCATCAACAGGGGATACGGTAAAGACAGAGGTACCAGGACTACATTTTCAAGGACGCACGTGTATCTCGTGACATTGAGTGTGTGTGTGATATTTGGGGCACAGCCGAGCTACAGGCAAATAACCATCCTCATCCGTTTTCTTTTGGCCTGAATGTGTTCTTGGGGAGCCTGCTTGTGATGACGCCATCTGACACGACTTCTCAATTATTCAACTGGAGAGAGTGAGAGGGAATCACCAGATAAAATATACAGAGGGCAGAAAAAGAGAAAAGAGGGGTGCCAAAAGACAGAGTTGAGGTTATGAATGAGGAAAAAAAAAAAAGGTGAGAAATGCAAGCTTATCTTCTGAGTGGATGACTGGGGTGTTGTAGATGCACGTGCACTCCACACTGAGGTCTCAGTAGCACATGTGTGAAGTAACGACAGCGGGGTCCCTTGAGATTGTATCTTCCAATATGATTTACGGCCGCTGTCAGATACAATGAAATAAAACTGGGTCAGCATGATGGAATATATCATACGAGCACACTTGATGAATCTAAAAGCAGTATGAAGAAACATAGAGAACATGTCCTAAAATGTCCCGTTCAGAACACAGATATAAATCATTCACTTATGTAACATATATGGCAAAGTATTAATACACATCAGTACAGCTATGTTTATTGAAATACACAACGGAAAATATTTAACAAATGAAATCAAAGACTGATTCATTGGTTGCTGTTTTGCTGATATTGAGATTGGAATAACAGCGCACTAAATGCCCTGCATTCCAGTAATATAATACATTAATTCATACAGCTCTCACCATGCGCCCCATGATGCTAGATGGAGTGGGCTTTAGCTGCACAGACAAGTGGAAGTCCCTGTGTGCCACTGTGTGCATGTGATCCTGTTTTCTCTGTGTATAGAAATATCTCTGTATTGTCATATTATGTGCTGAGGTGTCATTACATAATAGAGTCTGCTGGAGAGGGGGAGAGAAAGGGTGAGAGAGGGGAGGGGGCAGACAACACATGTGGGGTGCCAGGCAGGGGGAGTCAGGGTGATCTCGCCTGCTGGATGTGTTGGTATTGGAGATAGCTGGCTGGGTGCATTATGTGGGAAAATGGGGTGTTTACCGGCTGCTTATTATTTGATTAGAATCAGAAATGAAGGCGTTTTTTCTTGTAAAGCTGTTGATAGTATTTGATTCCATTCGTTCATGAGAATTACAGTAAAACAATGTGTAAATTACCGTCTGAAAGGATGAACTCTTTGGATTGATCCTGCAGTTCCTGAGGCACTGGTTTAGCTTATCTGGTAAAGTCATACTCAGAGACTTTAGTCATCTTCTTGGCCATGTCTCCTCCTCTCAAGATTTTCTCTCTTTAGCTGTCCAATCAAATTAAGGGCAAAACAGCTAAAATAAGTTAAAAAAATAAATAAAGAAAAAAAATGTTTCCGGATGAAGATCTTCAATGATCAACATTAGAAACATTTGTTTTTACAGTGTTTGAACCATTCATCCTGCAAAAAAAGGAAACGTTTCCTCGTTCCATCTCTTTAACTGTAATGATTTGCTGACATTTTGTAGTTTGCATACACTGCTAATTCTACTTATAGAATATCAGAAATTGAAATAGTTTATAAAGGTATGAATTATTTTCTGATAAAACAATAAATCAGTGGATGATTTATAAAGAAATAGCAAAGACTTTAAAGTTTGGTAGCTATTTGGTAACACTTCATGATGTCTGGTTTCCAAATATCTAAAATATTGAACTTTCCAAGGACAGGAGATAGAATAAGTGACTTTTTAAAAGAGCTGTTGATTATCTTTAAATCAATAAACACATGTTATAAACACACTGTCTCAGCCCTGGGTGTTATCTTAGCCCTTAGGAAGTTGGTCTGCTTTTTCCCCCACGTTTTTAACATTTTATTGGCCCCAACAAAATTAACAGTGACCACAATATTCACAATGAGTATATCGAATAGAAATAGTGTGCTAGCTTTGCAATGTAAACAATTAACTCAAATAAATATTAATAACTTAACTGAACAAAATGTCCAAGTTTAATTCATGTCTTAGCTGCACCATGCAGCAAAGGTGAAAGACTAAACTGGATCTGAAGCTCAGTTTCTAAACACATTCAGGCTTGTGGCAAACTAAGCTCACGTTTCAGCATAGAAATAGGAAACAAAGAAAGTTTCTCAAATTTCTGTGGCACTAAGAGGTTTTCTTTAAGCAGCCGTGTCCATACATGTACCAAAACTATGATGGCTGCTTGTAATTTGCATTGAATTAAGCTGTTAAGTGCATGCAGCTTTTGATATATGGATGAATGAGTGACAGCCAGATGATAAACTAAATATGAAAGGGTTGCTGATGTTTTTTTTAGGAACAATTCAATAGTGCTTTAATGTATGCCTCATTTTGACATAGTATAATATACAAAGTTTACACTGATGCACAATATTTACACTGTACGTACAAGCATGGACTTCACTTCTAACAAATGAGAGTGGAGGATCTAGCATACCAGTGCAGCCTAAGGCTCACTGCTGCATTCATGCTCACACTACACCAACTGTATTTGGTTGACCCACATCATATTAATACAGGAAAAAAAACAGAGAGGTTGAGCCCACAGGGGATGGGAGAGCAGAAATCAACTGATACCATACCAGGGATCAAGCTTCATGATTAGTCTGCATCTGTCGGGCAACAGTTTGACAATGTTGGAGTTGTTAAAAGCAGAAGTTTAAGGTAAGATTTTTATCACAAAGACCGTATGATAACCTCAGGGGAAGACATACCCATGCTTACATGGTCAATTTCAAAGCATTTGGTAAATCTGCTCTAAAATGTGGACCAAAAGTATTGTCTGTTTCAATAATAAGAATTACAGGTTTCTTTATATTGCGAAAATTCTTCCTCAATCATTAAGCAAAGCTAACGTTCACTGGCTTCGCAAAATGCAATACCTCACATTGAACCAAGTCATACCTGATTTCAATATGATGTTTGAAACTTTGATGCATAAAAACTCGAAAAGTCTTGTCATTCTGGTGCTTGTGTTTATGAAAGCAACCTTAACTCACTCATATGTTGTACTTGGGACTGTGTTAGTATTATAATATCATAAATATGACCAAATACGCTGACCAGCCTAAACATTATGAACACCTGGGCAATCTAATACAATCCAAAACAGCACTACCAATCATTCCACTCTCCAGAGGCTTCTAACTGCTTAGTTTTTGTTTACACAATCAGATAGGTGATTATAGTGCCCTATATGGATTACTGAGGATGGAGTGCGTAGTGGTGTAGCAGTACTAGAGTGTGTTATATTCAAAGCTGTCTCATACATAAAAGATCTTAATATTTGATTTTGATTTAATGTTAATACTGTATTTGAAACAAAATGTATATTTTTGTCATGTGCATAACCCACCTGTGATATAATGGCATGTATATTTTTTTCAATCACTCCACTGCACTCTTCATCATTGCACTATTGTCTTACATAAGTTAAATGTCTATCACTAGCTTGTACATACTTTGTAAGTTTTGGAACATTTCATGTTCAATGTTTGTACAAAGAGAGCAAGGTTTACCAAAGTCATATTCCTTGTATGTGTACAAATACTTGGCAAATAAAGCAAATCTGATGTCTTATCCTTTTTGGAGGGAAATTTAAAAGACAATGCGGTAAGTCTTTTCTTCTCCTCTTCAATATTTTATCAGTATCATTGCGAACACATAGAGCGGATTAATTGATTGTCAACTGTGTTGTCAACATATACATGGGAACTTGCTTTAAATGTTTTATTTACAAAAATGTAGATAAAGTATATAAAAACAGGAGTTCATTAAGGTCTTACAGTGACAGCTCTGAGGTCTGCAGTTAGCAAAAGGCCCTAAAATGCCCGAAATGTCAACTGTGTTACTCATCAGCAGTGACAGTGTTCGAAGTTTATTGCCACAATTTATGTTTATATTTGGAGACAAACATAATGATTTGTGTTTTAGGAAGATGGGTTTATCTGCTGCTGAGAAACAGCACCAGTACAGGGCTCTGTGTGCACATTAAGAGTTTATATCACAGAAACATCTAGTTCATTTATCAAAAAAGAATACTGATATTTTGAGTTTGTGGTTGACTTGAAATGTGCCCCTAATTGTAGAATGACTCAAGTTTTATAAAACCTGCCCTAAATTAGTATTTTTCAATGCGGCTTCTTATGTCAACAGCTGAATCAAAGTTAAAATGGCGTATATACGATTAATTTTCGCTTTAGTGTTCAGTAACTGGAAGAGATGAGGGCGGTTTTACCCTCTACTGACATTTCACTGAGGAATAACTGAGCAAAACCTCTTTTAATACCTCATTAATTCTCTTGTGTTGTTGTTTTTAAATAAAAATGTATAAATCTGGGTTTCACCACTGACCTTATAACATTTCATCACATTTAAGACAGAAACAAGAGTTACCTCAAACACAGAAAAACTCTTTCGTGCAGCTAGATGGAAACACCGACCGTTGACGCAATGTCTGAGCGCTAACGGTCAACGAAGAAGACACGTTACGCGTTTCCTCTTCCGGGTCACGTATTAGGAACGTCGTGTGAACGGCGCGACAAAACAGAAAGTTTTTTTCTCTAGAAATCAAACAGTTTAGTCTTTTACGGCTCTTAAATCCAAGTATTTTTGACGGAATCTTACAACTTGAGCGATCTCACAGAGGAAATAGAGACCAGACGAAGGTTTGTAAGTGCACTGAAGCTGTTGTTCGGTCATGTCAGGAGCATTAGTGTGCTAACAGTAACTAGCGGGCTATCAGGGAGTTTGGCGGATGTCGTTGATTTTAGTCTACATGTTGCCCATGAGCAGCACCTTTCTACCTAAAACACTGGGTGCAAATCTTAAAATAAATGCAAATTCGAACTGGTTGTAGACACTGATTTGTGTGCGTAAAATGGTGTGTTTGTGTGCGTCTTCGTTATTAGCTTAAAGTCAGACAGCGGGGTTGTGCACAGGTAGACCAGATCAGGACTTTCACATCATGTCCCAAATTAGTGCACTGCCTGAAGATACGAAGGTGTGTTGAAATCTCTGTGACATGTTTTCAGACGTGGGAGATGTCTCTTCCTAAACGGGAGGTGGAGGAGTTGAGGCCGTGGGTGGAGCGGACGGTGAAGAAGGTGCTGGGCTTCTCAGAGCCCACGGTCGTTACTGCCGCTCTGCACTGTGTTGGAAAAGGACTGGACAAAAGGAAAACCACAGGTAGATGATCTAGGACTATGTGACTCATAGCGTGTGTTGCTGCACCGAATTTAGCCAAGATCCCGAGAAATTCACATTTAAACCCTTTAACATGTCACTGTAATTCATGTTATCTTTTGGAAGATGCAACTATGAGTACTATCAAATGTTAAAATGATTGACTATGTCGTAAATCCAGGCAAGAAGATTACTATTAATGAGTCGACTGCATGATTTACAACATTTTCCAGATAATTAGCCAATAGTCAGTGTTTGTATGAGTTGTTATGCTTTACATGTAGAACATAGTCCATTCAATAGTCCTGATTCTAGTTGTTTAAGGATACATTAGTGATGACAAATATCAATCAATCAATAAATCAATCAGTCTTTATTTATATCGCACTTTTCATACACAACCATGTCGCACAAAGTGCTTTACTCAGAAAAAAATTAACTTATTTTATCTGTTTGTTTTGATAGTTTTATTTAGTATTAATGGCTGTGCAGTTCACCAGAGCCAACTGTGTGATAGTGACTTAGAAACTGCTTTAAGTTTACCAATTTTTATTCCAGGTTTTAGTTTTGTGTGATACATTTTGGAGCTCAAATACTAAAATGAAATCAAAGGCATATAAGGATGAGGTAAGAAGGACTTCTTTTAACCTGCCTCTACTATTTGTTTGACTTTGTCTCATCAAAGACCAGTTGCGGCCCTTTCTTGACGACTCTGCCGGAGGTTTTGTGGAGCGCCTTTTTGAAGCTCTAGAGGAAAGCCGCAGCGCCCGTGGTAATAAAGGATCAGGTGAAAAGAACCGCAAAAGAGAACTGAAGGTAAACAACATAGGGTTGCGTGTTTGACTTAGCAAAGTTTGTTCGTTTATGCATAATTACGACCATAAGCTAATCTTTGTAATTACTGGGGATAATAGTGAGCGCATTAACATGCACTCTAAGATTGTCGGGAAATCCACTCTGGATAAAGCCGGAAATAAATTTTCTTGAATGTCATAATCATATTGCGAGACTAAAGCTAAATATTAAGTCATATTACATGACTAGTATTAAAGCACTTATGTTTGGCTTAATGTTGGCATTTTATATTGATGTGAATGTTTTGGCTGCTTGGTTTCAGGATGTGTTTGGTGATGAAGCTGAAACGGGTGCAATGAGAGAAGCTTTCCAGTCAGAAGATGGGACCGTTGCAAAGAGGAAACGAGTCCCTCGGTTTGAAGAGGTTGAAGAGCCCGAGGTCATACCTGGACCTCCATCTGAGAGTCCTGGTATGCTCACCAAGATGCAGGTAAAGATTTTTTTCCCTTCTAGCTTAGTGAAGATTTTTATTAATAATTTGTTTTGATTTTTTGATGAACTTCCTTAATACTGCTCTTTTCCACTACAATTTTAGATAAAACAGATGATGGAGGCAGCCACGAAGCAGATAGAGGAGAGGAAGAAACAGCTGAGCTTTGCCTCCTCAGTCCCTTCTGCACAAGTGTGTAGCCTACTTTTATTTGAAAATAAAATTGATCCTCAAACTTTGGAAATAATGCATAAGGATGTCAGGCAGTGCATTAAAACTTTCTTCTTTTTTTCACATCACAGTCACAAATGGACTCCCCTCCAGTCTCTCGGCTTCTTGGCTCTCAGGCTTCCGCAGTTTCAGGTGGTGCGTCATCCATTGCCCCTTCCCAGGCGGCCAGCTTCATGAATGATGCCATCGAAAAGGCTCGCAAAGCTGCTGAGCTACAGGCCCGTATCCAGTCCCAGTTAGCCATGAAGCCCGGTATACTGGGAGCCTTGGGGAACACTGGGCCTCACAATCTAGTGGCTTTAGCCAATCTTCATGCAATGGGAATCGCCCCACCGTAAGTTATGCTTCAGTCTGTGAGACTGTGAAATCAAAGAGGAAAAAATCCTGGGATGATATCTGCGTTAACGTGGAATTGAGAAAAAATAAAAAACAGACAGAAATCTCTGTGTTTCAATTTACAGGAAGGTTGAAGTGAAAGAGGTGAACAAGCCAACACCTCTTATTCTAGATGACAAAGGAAGAACTGTAGATGCCAGTGGCAAGGAGGTTGAATTGACACACCGCATGCCCACTTTGAAAGGTACGTGTTCACAGATCTTCATCTTTACAGTTTTAGATACACAAGTTCAATCTCTCGTTTTAGTATTCCTTCAATGATTGTCCATCATCTGTGTAGCTAATATTAGGGCAGTGAAAAGGGAGCAGTTTCGTCAGCAGCTGAAGGAGAAACCTGGAGATGACTTGGAGTCAACATCCTACTTTGACCAACGTGTTAACATCACACCAGCTCAGCGCCCTCGCAGGGGCTTTAAGTTCCACGAACAGGGACGCTTTGAGAAGATCGCCCAGCGAATTAGAACAAAGGTGAGTTTCAACCCTGTCCATCATGTGTCCAAAGTAGTGGTTATTTCAGTATCATAACTGAATTTCTCCTCTGTGGATCAATAAAGTAATATCTTATCTAGAACAAGGTCAGGAATCACAGAGTAACTTATGATGCGCTGTCCTAGTACATGGACTAGGATAACTACAATATCACCGGTTTGGAGGGCAATCACATAATAATGCATCATATCTGATAAACTGAGGAACACAATGATAAACGTCAGGGTTAACATCATTTGCTCCACCACTGGGAGGCATAAATTGGTGATGCTATGTGTTGAATTGGAAGAGAAATGTGCAATAAGAAGCTTATATTTTCAAATTAAAATCCTGATAATATAAGAAGAACTTTGTTTATCCCCAAGAGGAAATTAAATAATTGGTGCATTTGACAATTACAGTGCAGAGTGCCAGCATATTGCTGTATAAATATTTTGTCCAACACCTCATCTGGTTTGGAATTGAAATCAAAACATGACTCAAGCACTAAAACTTTTCTGTCCTTTTTTCCAACCATCTTGGCCACAGTCCCAGCTGGAAAGGTTGCAGAATGAGATTGCCCAGGCTGCAAAGAAGACCGGAATCCAGGCATCCACCAAGCTTGCACTGATTGCCCCAAAGAAAGAAATTGGAGAGGGGGAGGTGCCTCGCATTGAGTGGTGGGACTCCTTCATCCTGCCCTCCAACGTAGACGCGTAAGAAAATGGTCGATTCAACACTTGATACAGTAGAGGGCAACCAAGCCCTGTGCTGCAGGCTCTCTTGTGAATCTTTTCTTACTCACTCTCTGAGCCACTTCTAAGTAACACTTAACACCCAAAAGGATTGTACAATCTATTGATTCTTATTAACTGAGATATTTTTTCCCCTCTTGTCTTATGAAGAACACCTAACTCAAAATTTGAAGAGTTTGAGCTGTTCGGTGTGACCAACCTGGTAGAACATCCTGCCCAAATTAGCCCCCCTGGTAAGTGAATGGAAAGTTTAAGTCTGCCTTATACTGAAGGTTCTCCAAAAGTACATGCCTAACATCTGTTAAGACATAACCACCCATGGAAGAATGTCCATGATGCTGAATTTTTTGCAGGTGTTGTCATCAATTCCAAATGATTCATGATCAAGATTTCTTAAAAATCTGAAAGATGCAAATTAAGGCACACATTAAGAAAGAAAAAGATGCAAATTAAGGCACACAATAAGAAAGAAAAAGATGCAAATATGTGGCAACAAAGGTGAATTTTCATGGACATTTACAATTGCTATCTATTAATGCTCAATATTTTTACATTTTTACTTCAGAAAGTGTTCTTTTATAAAAAGTGGTTAAAGCTCACAACAAAAGATGTGCACGTTTATATTAAAAAAAAAAAAAAAAAAAAAGGCAGTGAACAGGGGGTACTTTTTAATGTTATTCAGCATATGAAGTTGCCCTGTTGAAACCAGTACACTTTATTTTTGTCACTCAGACCTTGGTTCTGTAGTTCTGCCCTCCATGGAATAGTTTTTTTTAAGACTAAATGCATTATTATGCAGATGTGCAGCCGCTTCTCACAACAAACAGACTAAAAATACTCCCTGATTTATTGCCTTGTTTATTTTGTTTGTGATTAGTATGTGTTCCCTTATTTATCACAGTTGACACAGATAAGCCAGTAACACTGGGTGTATACCTGACAAAGAAAGAGCAGAAGAAACTGAGAAGGCAGACACGAAGAGAGGGGCAGAAAGAAGTTCAAGAGAAAGTTCGCCTGGGACTGATGCCTCCTCCAGAACCTAAAGGTATCCACACACAGTTTCAAGCATTTCAAACTGGTGCATTGAACAAAATTTAACAGAAGTTTCCTTTTTGCTTTTTTTCTCAGTTCGTATCTCAAACTTGATGAGAGTGCTTGGGACAGAGGCAGTCCAGGACCCAACAAAAGTGGAGGCCCATGTCAGAGCACAAATGGCCAAAAGACAGAAGTTAGTACTAAGATTAACCCCTGCACTGCTAGTTTGAATTTTCACTTTAACATTACACAATAATCTGTTGAAAAAACACCCTCATGAAGCATTTTCTGACTGTCCCCGCTCTCTTTCTTAGGGCCCACGAGGAGGCCAATGCAGCTCGCAAACTCACAGCAGAGCAGAGGAAAGAGAAGAAGGTCAAAAAGCTAAAAGAAGATCTCACTGATGGTGTTTATGTCGCAGTTTACAGGTATGGATTCGCAGGAAGAGAAAAGGACTCGTACTGTTTTTGAATATAATACACATCATGAAGTGTGTCTAATCTTGGCGCCTTATCTTGACCGTACAGGATCCGCAACCTGCAAAATCCAGCAAAGAAGTTCAAAGTGGAGGCCAATGCCAACCAGCTGTACTTGAGCGGCACAGTGGTTCTACACAAAGATGTCAACCTTGTAGTGGTGGAAGGAGGTAAAAGACAAAAGTTAAAGTGCCATGTCAAACCTATTAATGCTTTTCGAACAGCTGGTGCTGTAAAAGCACACGGTATTGAACAAACATTTGTGTTAATCTGCACCTTGCTGATAAAATGAAAAACAAACATAAGAACTACAGAAAACCTGAACTGGCAGTTTTATGAAGCGCCTCATGTGTATGACAGAGAGGCATGACTTAAATGAAATAGAGTGGTTCTCATTACTGTCACTGGACTTTCAGGAGAAGTGAGAGACAAGGAGCCAAAGTGTCAAAACACTTTGATGCATTAGAGCTCAAAGTTTTCAATCTGAGTCAAAGTCCTTTTATGTTTGTCAAGGTTTTAACATTTTGTGCCCTACAACTCTTGAGAGTGTTATGTAAGCATATTGCTAAGCTCACTGCAGAGATACACTCATGTTCATCTTAGAGTTGGTCCAGTAAGGTACTTGATTTTTGAAGTGTCGCTTCACTTTGACCATGCTGGATGTTATTTTCACTGCTGTGTTTTCTTTCCCCTGCTACTGTTGAAAAATAAAAAGAGAAACCTTAAAAGTCAGATTAAAAAATGAAAGTTATTTCTCCTTTTAGGTCCTAAATCACAGAAAAAGTTTAAGAGGCTGATGATGCACAGAATCAAGTGGGAGGAGCACAACAGTAAAAGAGATGGTGAGAGTGGCTTGACTTGATCAACGTTCTGGTTGTTATGGCATCATGCTTGTCCAAATGAAACAGAATCTTATTATCTTTGTTTTTCGACAAGATCCAGATGGTGATGATGATACAAAGAGAAACAACAAATGCTGGTTGATATGGGAGGTTAGTGTTCACACTAAGGCATCTGTTCCAAATAAATTGCCACTTCAGTGTTTGTGATCTCTCTAATGTGTATTATTTACCCTTGGTTCACTAGGGTACGGCCAAAGAGCGAAGTTTCGGGGATATGAAGTTCAAACAGTGCCCCACGGAAAGCATGGCCAGAGAACACTTCAAGAAACACGGCACAGAACACTACTGGGATCTAGCTCTCAGCCAAAGTGTGTTGGACTGCTCAGATGACTGAAACCCACCAAGAAAGACTTCTGCACACCTTCGTCAAAACCCCCACACCCAAGGCCTCAACAGCCACCCAGCTCATTACTGATGACTTGCTGCCTTCAGCTGGGGACAGATGGGCTTATCAAGAAGACATCAGAAACAGAGGAACAATTAACCTTTGTGAACATTTGAAAACTTCAGATGTGATATGTGAGAATGTGTAACAGATTAGGCCGTGTGTGTTAGCCTGCATAAATGTTCTTCTCTTTGGTAGCAGGCTATCCTGTCAGACCGTGTGTATTTAAGTACCTTCTGACAGACTACACTTTGTGATGTAAATCACTCACCTAAGGCTTTATGTGATGGCAAGAAATAGTGTCATATGATGTTGTTATTTCCCTGATGAAACCTCCATGTACGCTGATAATTCCTTTTTGAGTCAAGTGGTGAATAAAAGTAGGCCACGATTAAACGACTAGACCAGGGGTGTGCTAACATATCCTGGGATATTAATAAACATCATCCTAAGATTTACCTATGGCATAACAACACTTCAACAGATCCAATACATCAAAATCGTTTTTTCGCGTTGAATAAACTGCAATCTCACATGTAGCCATATTGCTCTGTTACTGCACAGCCACAGCCTTTAATAAACATCAGACAAACCAATTCATTTGTCTTTTTTTTACCTTTAGTTTGAGTTTACTCAACGGATAATGATGCCATTTTTTTTTTTTTACTTCTACTGGCCTATCTCTTGATGTGAGCAAACAGACCGCTGAAGCCGTTGATAATATGCTGTACAAGTCTGATGGAGAAATAGGATTCATTATATTAGGAAGTCAGTTCTGAGAACTCATATGAACATGGTGGTTTGAATTTTCTTGATTTTTCAGCCCTACATAATACCTTCAGAATAAATTGGATAAAACAATTTCTTAAAACCCATCCTCAACATGGAACTTTATCCCAGACTTCCTGTTTTTTAAACTCAGCGGCCTTAAATTTGTTTTACTTTGTAACTACAACATTGAAAAGACTCCTTTAAAGCTGTTTAATTTCCATAAACAGATGCTTCTTTCTTGGACCTTAATTTACAGGCACAATTTCTCACCTCACAGATACTACATCTGGAACAATAGAAATGTATTATACAGACAGAAATCTTTATTTTTGGATAAATTATTAGACCATGGTATCTATTTAGTCAAACAGCTTCTCAACTTTAATGTTATCTTCAAAGGAATATGCTATTGTTTTTGACGCTATTCTTTCCGGTGTTATTATGCCACTAACATTAAAAGCTCCATTACATCTTAACTGTCTTTTTTGGAATTAGAATTACTGATAATAACGCTGATAATAATGAACTAATAATAATGCTTGGTTTTCTATCGGAATACTGTGACCCCCTGGCATTATATTGTTCTTTGTTTTTTGTTTTGATGTAATTTCTACGGTGGCTGAAAACCACCACTGCTGCAAATAAAAATAATAATAATAAAATGCAAAAAAAAAAAAAAAGAAGTCACAACAGAAGTTACTGATGCAAAAAATATATTTGCAGCAGGCTTTGTTTTCAAAGGCTTTGCTGGTATGTTTTTCACAGTAACTTTTTTTTTTTTTTTTTTTTTGCATCACCACATTTTTTTGCATCATTAACTTCCATTGTGGCTTTTTTAAAAATCTGCACCGCCTCTTTTTTTATTTGCAGCAGGCTTTGGTTTCTTCTTTTTTTTAATCAGTAACTTCCATTGTGGCCTCGTTTTTTTGCATTCTTTTTTATTTGCAGCAGTGGCGGTTCTCGGCCACTGTATATTCCTGACGTGTCGATAAAGTTTGAGAGAAAAAAGACAAAAAAAACACTTTTTTATTTTAAATTATTGTGGGGGGGACTTAATTCCTGACAGTGAAACATGTAAGGGGAGGGGGGCGTGTTTCGAGCCGCCGTCTACTCTGCGATAGCTCCCTCATCCGGACCATCAACCAACGATCGGCAAAGTGAGCTGGAAAGATGGCGGCTGGTCCTGGAGCCGCAAGCGGCCACGGAGCCCGCAGCTCCAACGCTGCTCTGGAAGCGTCTTTGGACCGGCGGTTTCAAGGAATATCCAATACTATGGAGTCAATACAGGGACTGTCAACCTGGTGCATTGAAAATAAAAAGCACCACGGCCTTATAGTTCGCTACTGGATGAAGTGGCTCAAGAAATGTGAGTAACAAACGCTAGCTCAGCCAACCCCCCCAGCTAGCTTACTTTAGCTAATCCATATGCAATTTTTCGTTGACGTTATATAAAGTTGTCTAACCGAGCTGGGGCTTTTGGTTAACAACTCTGAGTGAGTTAAGCATAAGGGATTGTGGTGCATGAAATTAATTCTGGCCTATTAAAAGCAAGGGGTTTTATTCAGCTGCGTCTTAATAAGGCTTGCGTTGCCACCACTTCTTAAAATTGGCCGCGTATATGAGCTAGCTAGGCTAACCGTGGATGCTAACACTGTTTACAAGTGGGCCTCTCGAGGTTCATGTCTGGACCAGGTTGGACATTTCAGGATGAATGGCTTTGCTTCCATGTGCTCCAATAATTAAAATGGGATGTATAATTCTGTGCGTTACTCGCTTTTACTGTACATTCGTCGAAGAATATGTTTAAGTTCTGTTCTGGCGTAGTTTTTATACATTTTCAGTCTTTCATTAACGCTGTTTTCGTGTTGCTGATACCTCTTTATGAGTATACAGTTGAGCTTGTTTTTGATATGTTTCTTGTTATAATGGGTTTGAGGAAAAATGGTATACCAGGCCACATTTAACTAACACATGGTACAATTCGGATACTTTTAATTCAGCAGTAATTGAAAACTTTAATGATATTTCCTTCAGATTGGTTTCTTTTTATTTTATTACACCGACCAACCAAAGCAGTATACAACTGGGCAATCTATTGCAGTTCAAGCTCTACAGCAAACTCAACTTTCAGGAAGCTTCAGAATTTCCACTCTTTATTTCATGTTACTTCATGGATATGATTGAAGACCTGGGTAGTGATGGTATGCTGGAGTGTACAGTAGTTGAATGGGTTCCTTATATTTTGTCCACTGCATTATCAAACGTGAGAGGACGCCTCAGTTCACCACCATCACCTCCTATAACTTCAACAACGAATTTAAATAATTGTAATTACTTGTCTGATAATGTCAGCAAAAGCTGCAAATGCAGAAATCTTGTGAAAGCAATGATTTCGGGAGTGCTATTGAATTGGGTTGCATGACATTGCCCTAATATATGTATGTATTGCCATAAGGTTACAGCATTTCAGAGTACATTTCTACCTTTTTGCTGAAAGGGATATTTGGCGTAAAACTAATTTAGGGTCAAACACACCGTAACAACGATTTAGACACCGTCTTGATGAATGTTGCAGACCGCTTGCTTCTCTAGTTTTACCAACTTCAGTAACGACCACACTATAGCAATACAGAGAGCCACGCGCTCAACCAAAACGCCACTCTATAGCCCCAAATAATGCTCAGAACAGCACCTAACTTCATCAACAGTACATACAGTCATCTAGCCACAGCACTAGCCACCAAACATCTTTTTAGCTCTGCCTAATTTCTTTAGCAAAGAGACTAAACACAACTCGCCTACTCTCTTCCAGCAGCCTCTTGTTTGTAGCGAGACCTCAGGCCAGTCCATTACGGACTACAGTTGGGTGACGCAGCTCAAGGAAGAACATTAATGATCATTTCTTTATAATTTTCCTTGAAGTAATAATCACCATATTAGTCATTTTGCACTGCAGACGCGGTAGTTTTTCTGCGTTAGCGTCTCGGTCTGATTGCATTTTCATGAAGAAATGATCAGAAATGTTCTTCCTTGAGCTGCGTCACCCCGCTGTAGTCTGTAATGGACTGGCCTGAGGTCTCGCTACAAACAAGCGGCTGCTGGAAGAGAGTGGGTGAGTTGTGTTTAGTCTCTTTGCTAAATTAGGCAAAGTTTAAAAGATGTTTGGTGGCTAGTGCTGTGGCTGGGATCCTAAATGTCCTGTTGATGAAGTTAGGTGCTGTTCTGAGCATTATTTGTGCCCATAAAGTGGCGTTTTGGTTGAGGTTTGTGTGTGCCCTCCTCAGACCGGTGTGAATTGCTATCCTGCAGTTGTTACTTAAGTTAGTATAACTAGAGAAGCAAGCGGTCGGCGTTGGGTGTGTATGACCCTAACTTAATTTTACGCCGGAATATCCTTTTAAGTATTTTCTGGATATTCAGCAGTTTGCTGATCCAGATTGATTAAGCTAATTTTGTGTACATTTGTAAGAAATTAAGTGGTGGTGTTGATTGTCATAACAACGTAGAAACAAGGCAGAAGTTTTGAATGCATGTCCAAAGCAGACATTGGTCCGAAAGTGTTACTGGAGGGATTTCAGTGAGTGGGTGGTTATGCATTCCCCTCCAGTTTTTTCCAGACTCAACCATATTATTGCGCTTTGTCTCGACAGCTTGACTGAATACTACTGACAGTTGGGCGTATTGGCAACATGATACCAATCCTGCATAATGATCACTGCAGTGCTATACAAACATTGCACCACAGCACTCTGATTTCATCTTTCAACAACAACAAATATTGACAAATTTACTCTTTATAACTTAGGCCTCATTACAAGTCCAGCAAGGCCATTTGAAAAAGCAACGACATCTGACTCTCAGTATTAGACGCAGTCACAAGATTAATGTTTACGCATCAACTTTGCAGCATCTGTTTTCGTGGCTCTAAAGTCACAGACACCGTAGATGTTGTTAAATCGGGCTGGAGTTGGAGAAAATAGCGTAAAGAAGAGGCAAAGCCAGTTAACTGCTCTCGATTTTATATTGTTCTCTGAAGCTTTCATTACCAAGGTATTGATTTTTGTTGTCACTGTTCTGTTTTTGTGATCTTTTTCCCCCATAGGCCATTAGTTCTTTTTTTAGTGCTGGATCTCTGCAGACTCTGCTGTCTGACTTGTAATAGAAAAGCTTGTGGTGTTATTCTGAGTTTCCGCTGCATCCTGCTGCTATGAATCGAAGCATGAATTTAACTGTCTTTAAACAGGCTCAGATGGGTATTGGCTCTTTAGCATTTTTCATTTGTTTTGAAAAGGATTGTGTCGAACATAAGGACCAGACAGACATAATATGTTTTTGCTGGTATGTTTTTGTTTTTTCACTGCCATACTTTGTTGTAGGGATAACTGCAGAGGATGTTGGCATTTTAGATGAAGTCATATTTGTTTAAATGTGTGTATGGTTCATACATTTGTAAATTTTAGTCTTTGTTTGATGACTTATCCCAGTAACTCCTACAGGAATTTGCTTTTTTATCTGGTCAGTGAGAATTATTTCCTGCTTTAGCCAACACTCGTTTAAAATGTCCAATTAACATTACTTTAGGACCATTTTAAAGAGTATACTTTTGCAAATTCCACATGTTACATAATTTGCATGAGGCATGATTGGAATAGTTTTTTATAAGCTGTTATACAGAAGTGTTTGTTTACAGATATTTGAAATAGCTTCTTTGTCAGGGTTAGTAGAAATATTGAATTTGATTTGTTATATATTTTTTACAGGGTCTAAGTTTGTTGTTGATACACTAGATTCAAGGGAACGTTGTTCACCCAGTTAAACAGAAGGAATAAGTGTCAGTATCAGAACCCCTGTGAATTATATTGTACCTTGAAAAACGTATGGGATGCACACCCAGCAGAACTTGTTTTCACCTTCACCATCAATGTTGGAGATGTCTTCTCAGTAGGAGGTTGCTTTTGTAGCACTGAGTGTCCCAGGCAAATCATGTAGGCAAAGCTTTTGCTGACTTAAGATAGGGAGCTGTTGGGCTGCTTGGTTCTGTCCTTGTTTTCTTGTAGAGAGTGGTGCCAATTGACCAAGAGTCAGTCTGCAGACTGTCATTTGTAGTTGGATTTTAGCTGTGACATTTAAGCATGTAAAGCATTGTATCTGGATGAATTTGTAGGATTCTTCACAATACTCTACAGCTTTCTAGCCTCAGCTAATTTCAGTGCATATTCTTAGATGGGCATTATCAAACACACCCAACTCAACAGCAGGAACACAAAAAACACTACAAGCTCACATGCAGGAATTAAGTCTCTGAACTACTGAACCACATTTGCTGAACTCTTTTCTTGCCTTGCTGATATCTTCTGATTGGCTATTATTTCAGCATCATATTTTGCATCAGAAATTTTTTGACTTTAAAGGTGGAAATTATTGTGTTGTGTGTGAACACAATTTAGCTGAAGTCCAAAAGTTCAGTTTGATGGAGCCTGGATCAGGGCGGTGTATTATTTTTTTTTTAAACATGGGATTAACTCTTGCTCCAGTGACAGTTTGGAAATCTAACTGAAATAAAGGTAGTTAACTTTCAGTGTGGATACTTTGTTTGTTATCTCTCTGCAGATTTTCTATTTTAGGATACAGTAAACTGATCTCACGGTCATGCGTGACATATTTACACAATACCACAACAATGATCAATAAGTGCAGTGGCTGCATGAATTCAGTCATGCTATCATTTTGTCTGGGCAAGGTCTTAATCCAATTGAATGTACATCGTATTAAAGGGAAGGTGAACAGAAAATTTAAAACTCAACTCAACTCAACCTCATTTATAAAGGGCTTTAAAACAACCACAGCCAATACAAAGTGCTGTACATAAATGGACAAAAACAACTCAGACATAAAAACAATTTAAACAGTTAAAACAATAGATAAAGTAAAGCAGATAATAAAAGGAAAACAACATAAGACATTTGTTGAAGTGTTTTTTTCCTATTCCATTGTATGGATGCAAAGCTGAATGCATGCTATCATACCTCCACATGGTGGCATGCATTACACCACTTACTGTAAAAAGCAATTTTGAGCACTTAGACTGACAAAAAAACAACCCCTCAGAAATGCAGTTACTGTTTTGTTACAATCAAATTATTTGTACAAAATATCAGTAAAGCGGTTAAAAAAGGTGATTAAAGGAATCATTTCAAATTCTAGCAAGACTCTGTTTTAGCCCGTGTATAAAAGACTTTTTGTTGTTTTATCAAGCAAACGTCTTGACCTGAATGAACAGACATTAATCAATGACTTTATCACTTATTTTAAATCATTTGCTGAGAAGTTGATATCAGTTGACAGGCTCAGTGCTGGGTGATTCTGATATACTCAGCTGATATGTTGGTGCATCTCCTGGCACATTATGATATAATATTTATAGTAAAATTACACCCTTTTGGCACGCATTTTGATCAGCTGTCATCCTGTAAGAAAGAGAAATAGTGAGAAATTAGCTCAAATGCCTGGGCCCAAATTGAGATCTTTTTGAATTTAAGTTACAAACACAGGGAGCAGTTTGTACTTTTGTTAGTGTGATACCTGTTAGGATTTTAGCTTCTTAACACTGTGCATGTGTGTGAGTGCTTGTACATAAGAGGACTGCTTTGATTTAAGGAGTTATGATCAGTCCATATTTGAAGCCTGAGAAAATTCAAAAGGCTGTAACTTGAGTAATCCTTAAATTATTTCAGGAATCTTAATCACACAGTGATAAACTCAAATCAAACAGATGAATAAGCCCAGATAAGCCCCACTCTGCAGCTTTGTTCTGTTTCTTATTTTAAAAGTAAAATAATTCATGCGATCTGAAAAAGAAATAGTCTTTGTGTTCAGACAGGATTTATTGGGTCCGTGTAAATACTAACGGTTTTGGATAAAGTTGGTTTTATTTTATTTTTTTAACCTTTGCCTTTGTGAGTGATTGCTAGACTGAGACAACAAAGGCTATTTCTTTAATTACAGCAACTATCTGAAAATGAAAATACACTGAAAATACATTCAGCTACTTTCAGCATATAAGCAACAAATTCATTTTTTTAGTATACAGGAGTGTTTGAATCATCCTAAATTTAGGTGACAGCCTTTACAGCATCTATAGTGTAAAAGACTGTAAAGGATTTTAAATTTCTGGACTATCAACAGTGTAGGATGTTAAATTATGTGGTAGATGTTGTTTCATTTGAACTTACAGTAGGCCACATAGAACAAATTAATGCCAAAATTTATGTTTTTTTTCTTCTGCGTTATGTTGATGCAAACATAACAGCCTGATGGGGAGTCAAAATGGAGCCATTAAAATTCAGAAATTTACATATATTTATATTTTTACCTGAATATGGAAACCCTTGTTACTCTTTTTAGATTAAGAGTTTTGCATGATTTTCATGCTGCTTTTTACTCTGTATCTAGTATTCCTTAACATTGTGCTGATCTTGGTAAGCACAGATTTTCCAACTAAAAGCAAAGAGCATCAATCCTACACAAAATTAAAAACTTTAAATTAAAACTTCACACTTACCCTGGAACTCCTGATGAAGTTATGCCTGGAAACATATTTATTGATAAACATAATAGTCATACTTGTAGAAATGCTTCCCAAGGAATAATGTTGATACACATAGAAATATATGAGATAGTGCCTTATTAGATTTGTTTTTTTAAGCTTATTAAAAGTTGAAGATGGTTTATGTCTTCTCTGTTTATCAGTTATTTAATAAATCTGACCATCTTTATCTCGCATTTTCATGCAGTGCATTGACCATAACAGAATAATACCAATATATCTTTGTTCAGCTAAAACCAATCAATGATATTGATCTATTTAATTTGCAACTTTTCACTCATAATGAACTTTTATAAAGATATTTTTCTTCAGTCTTTGTAAAGGTGTGTTGATGTTGGAAATCAGTTTTTTAATGTTTTATTACCAGAAAGTATTTACCTCCATCAGTCACACATTATCATTAGAGTGAGTTCCTGTCAATTACCTGTAAGAATTTTTGTTGTAGGACGTTTTGTTCGAAAGGCTTGGTCTAACACAAGTTCCTAAATCTCTGCATCCAAATCTTATCTTTGCTTCTTGCTGTTTTTTTGTTTCAGCTGACAACAACCACCGTTTGAATCTCTTCTATCTTGCCAATGATGTGATACAGAACTGCAAAAGAAGAAATGCCATTGTGTTTCGTTCTGCCTTTGCTGAAGTCCTTCCTAACGCCGCTCAGCTCATCAAGTGAGTACAGAGGCTTTTTTTTTTGTAGCACTGGATCAGTGTTCTGAGTGATTTCATCGACATAGTTGTTTAATGTTTGGTCTACAAGAATGAGTAGATACTGATGCTTTTCTGCTGTTACTGAGTGGTGCCCTGATGTTTTTTTTTCACCTTTGTCAGAGATGGAAAGGTCCGCAGATCAGTGGAAAGGATCTTTGTGATTTGGGAGGAGAGGAGTGTGTATCCTGAGGAGGTCATTGCGCAGTTCAAAGCCAATTTAAACAAGAAGGAGAAAGAGCGAGAGAAACAGAAGGAGAAAGAAAAAGAGAAAGAAAAGGAGAAAGTAAAAGAGAAGGAAAAGGAGGTCTCACCGGCGATTGGTGAGTGTGGCACTCTTATGTGCTCATGTTTCAAAAGTGAAAGGATTTTTCAAATTGGTGACAGTTTTGATTTCTTGCTGTTTAATTTCTATTTCCAGCTCCTGTCAACAAAGCTGCCCTCAAGTCCAAGATTTTAGAGGAGTTCACAGTAAGTCTGTGTCAGTTTGTTTACAGCGACAAAAGTGCTGCAACTTTGTTAATTTTGTTCATTTGGACTCTGCTTTCCCTTCCAGCCACACGCCCTTGTTGAACAGTTGTCTCGATATAAGCGAGCTGTTGCTGAAGAGGAGTTCAGGGAGAAGCAGCTGGCGGCTCTTAGGGTGGACGTTTGCAGCACAGAGGCTCTGAAGAGGCTTAAAGGTCAGATAAACGAATGAATTTCTACTTTTCTAAACATATTATTTTATGTAACACACACACACACCTACTTTCTCCTCATGCCTTGTCAAGAGTTATCTCCCCCTAAGCGGGGATGCAGCAGGAGTATTTGAAGTTATTACCATCGAAAAAGTTGACCCTTGAACTGCTGCTGTTGGTTTAGCTCTGTGTGCTCAGCTTTAGTTTTTAAAACAACAGGGTGTTAAGGGCGCACTCACTCTAGGAAATCTGTACCATCCTCTGGCATGTTTGACCCCTAAAGTCAAGTTTGTTTGGTTAGCGTGAGTGCTCTGTACTGCGCCCAGGCAGCACACACTTCCTTGGCCCTGGCCTGGTTGGGAGAGGTGGACTTCTGCACTGTACAGTCACCCGTGCAAATGCAGGAAAACGACGCAGTGAAGCACCTGGATTTTTTGCTTTCACACGAACTCCACATGTTACATCTGCAAAGCATCACGGATGAAACAGTTGGACCTGAATGCGAAGCGTGTGTCTGATGGTTGTTCAGCAAGACCAGAATTCTGTGATATTACCCAGAGCAGAAAACAAGTGCACCCTGAACTCTGCCACAAAGTCAGTCAACTTTGAGTCATGTTCTCTGTGATGCTGTCCCCTTCATAGTGCGTCTTTTAAATTGAGGACATTACATGGTGAAGGAAAATCATACATGTCTTTTAATGATGGGGGTAATCACGCCCAGCCCATTTTAAACCTGAAGCAGTATGAATGTTGGCCAGCAGGAGAGCAGTAGTATTTTGACACAGTACAGGGCAACTTAGCCTGTTGTGACTGATTCCTCTCTCAAAAACTTTCCTCTCTTGTTCTGAGGCCCTAAGATGAAAAAGATGTGACAAAATGAAATTACAGGAATCACCATCATGTATTACCAGTTGAATAAATCCAAAGTATTATTATCCAAGTTCAGCTTCTGAAGTAAGCCATGTGATTGTGTAGCTGTCCTTAGCACTAGTTAAATAAAAGCCCAATGATATGAATATTCACACACCACTTGATTTTAAAGTTTTTTCATTTACTTTGCCATCTATTTGTTTAAACTGTAAAAATTTTAGCTGCACTTTTTGATTTCCTTTTTTCTTTCTTTGTTATCTCTTTTATTTTTAGACAAAGCAGGAGGGAATAAGTTCGCCAAGGACTTTGAGGATGGAAGTCTGAAGCTGCAGGAGTTTGTCAGCTACCTTGATAAGGAGCTGAAAACAGGGCCTCCTCTGCTGGAAGCTTTGGGAAATGCAGACATTTTCTACGAGATGCAGTACAAGGAGGTTAAGATTGTGGCCAATGTGAGTGTCAAAGCAAATGATTTCCTCCGTTTTTACTGCTGCAATGAAACCTAAAAATCCAAAAATGTAAAAGACGAGGTTAAGTCTCTCTCTGATGCTCACGCTGTAACTTGTGTCTTTTAATTTGCTCCTCCACTCCACTCAGGCCTACAACGCCTTTGCCAACCGTGTGGCCAGTCTAAAAAGGAAATTGGATTCCCTCAAGTCGACTCTACCTGGACCTGAGGACTCTCCCATCCCCTCCCCCTCAGAGGACGCCCCCTCTCCCACTGGTTCTGACTCCCCCTTCCTCGGACTGGGGCCGAGCAGAGCCCAGGTGGACCCGGAGCTGGATGGCAAGGCCATGGATGAAGGAGAGCTACCCAATGACAACAGAGACATGGAGGACATGGATATGTCTGATGAAGAGGCCGAGGCTCTCACAGCAGGGGGTTAGTGACCACATAGGGTTTCAATGGGGTCACAGTGGTCAGTCCGTATTAGGCTGCCCTGTTGTTGTGTTTTCATGTTGATTTGAAAATGTATGAGCTCTTTGAATTATGTCACTAGCAGGTGAGAAGAAAGACAAGGCGTCTGCTGCTGTTGCCAAGACTACAAAGTCAGACACAGCATCAAGGACCCCAACCACACCGACTAAAACGTCCAAGAACAACACTATTGCTGCTGCCACAGCAAACCCCGTTGTCCCCAACTCTGCTGCTGCTCCGAGCACTCCAGCAACCCCTCTGGGAGTCAATCTGGAGAAGGTGGACCTGGGAAAGATCAGCTCCATTCTTAGCTCACTCACTTCTGCCATGAAAAATACAGGTATGTTCAGGGGGTAGGGGGAGATACACGAGCTGCTTTATGTCTGATGCTGATTACGTACCTGATTGGGTACTAACTTAAGTGTACATCAAAACATAGACCTCTGAGTTCCTTGGGCTAAATCATTAAGATTTTGTTTTGGATATTTATTTATGCTTTAAAACAATAAAAAAAGATGTTATCACTTTGACTTAGCAGTGAAATTACACTTCTTGCACAGAGATTGTTATCGTCATATCTTCCAAATTCTGGAAATGTGCTGTTTTGAATTGTAAAAAGTTTTTCGCAGCCTGTTCCCATACAGCTCAAGCAATGAATACAGGATTTTTGGGGTGGCCAGTCAGATTTTAACTGGGGCCCTGGATCTACCTCTGCCACCCAGCCAACATCACCTGAGCCTTTCAAGCTTATTGTGCAACAGGAGAATTTTTTATTTACTGACACCCAAATGCAACATTTAGTGATCGCAGTCGGGGTAAAGGGAAATCAGTGTCAGGTTTGCTCAACAACAGAAGCAGCAGGAAACCACATCTGCGGTGACTTTGAAAGAATGAGAGGAAACAAAATTGGTCTCTCTAGACCACAGTGCAGAAATACAAATAATTTTGAAAAAAAAAACAAAAGAGAAGAATATAATATGGTTGGAGAATAGTATATGTATGTCTGCATCTACGCTTGTGCCTACTTTGTCTATGCACATATACACCCCTCTTCACATGCTCCTTATACATACACATGCAAACCTAATGAGCATAAATTTTGTTACTATAGTTGATGTTAATGTGGTCATTACCCATTTTTATTCAAAGGGAAGTCTGTATATATGTCTATATATATATTTGGATGGCGCTGTTGTGATATTTAAAGGTGATTAAGGCCAACTTGAGAAAGTCAACTCACTTTCCCCCCTACAGTTTTTGCTTAATAAGTGTTTTTTGACCCATACAGCCTAAATTTCAATTAACAGATTACTCTTTAAGTATGGTGAAATATTCCTGACTAAAACCTTCACGCCAGGCTTTGACCTGGAGGCTAACTAACATAAATGAGTTGCTAGGAAACTGGGTAGGGAATAAAACCTTGACAGATGAGAAAAGGACACAAAAGAAGACTTAAGTTATTGCACAGATAAAAGGTATGGAGCTGTAAAAGTGATGGTTTATGTATCTTTCTTTGTGCATCTCGTTATTCACATACTAATGCATTGTTTTGGTACATTAAAGGTCAACTGGGAGACAAACGGGCCATGTCGCCACCTACTGTAGTAGAGGCAGCCATGCTTCTGATAATAACTTGATATTTGCCCAGAGCTAGTAAATCAGGACATAGTTGAACCCTAATGGTAGCTCGACTTAGCTCTTCATGTAAACATACTGACTGTTCAGATCACATTACTACGCTGGTCCATGACATTCTTGCGTCCTCTCTTCAAAGAGGCTGCATTGTAACACGTCCCTCTCTGTCTTTGAATTTCTCTCAGCAGCCAGCCCTGCTCGGCCATCTCCCATAACACCCACCATTCCCTCTGGCCAGTCAGCAGCCAAAGTGACCTCGACTAGCCCTGCGCTGGCCAGCATCCTGTCCCGGGTTGATATTACACCTGAAGGCATTCTCAATGCTCTGTCCAAAACAAACACAGCAGGTAAGATGTAAGCCACAATTTCAGATATAATATGTAGTTTATGAAATGGTATTAATCTTTTCTGCATGTTCTCCTTTTTTCTTTGATTGTACAGGTTTATCCTCTCTCCTGCAGAGTGTGTCAAACACATCCTCTACTCCCACCCGACCCTCCCCAGAATCATCAGCGGTAAAATCTCTCCTCAGCCCGACCACCCCGAAGCCCAAACTGACACTGGGGAACAGCCTCAAACGAGACACATCCGGGAGAAACAGAGACTGGGAGAAAGACAGACAGCTGTCTCCTCCCCCACCTCCTCCCCCACCTCCCCCTCGACCCTCTGCCCCCTCTGTCTCTCCCCCAAGCTTAGAATCAAAAATCAACAGTTTCTTGCAGGGTAATCCAGGATTTAGTCTGGCTTTGGGTGATGTCAGTCCTGATGGGGTTGATGGTACACCGGTGAGAGACGAGGCTGCTGGCACCCCCACCCAAGATGAGATCATGGACACCCCTGGCAGTGTCCCGGAATCTCTTGGGTCATCCGGTCATACCCTTTCCCCCACAGCATACCGCAGTGAACCCTGGGATGCTGTGATCACCCCGTCAGGAAGCAGCAGCAACGGGGACTTTCAGGGCTCTTCCTCCTCTTCCCGATTTGGAGGCGGAAAGAAGAGCAGCACGAAAATAAAAGAAGATGAAGGGATGAATGTGAGGAAGCAGGTTTCCACTTCCCCGAGTCATGATATGAAGAGTAAAAAAGATGGACCGCACACCCAGCTAAGGATGAAGGGAGAGAGAAGACTCTCATCGAGCTCTCGTAAGACAAGCACTGGCTCAGACGAAGGAGGTCTGAGTGGAAAAAGAGAGGATAAGCTCAAAGGTCAAGAGTCTCCGAGTGTAGGTGGAAAGGAAGGCCAGTATCATCGTATTGAGACGCTAGTGTCACCCTGCACTGAAGGGGCTCCCATCCAAACTCTCGGATACTCAAACCGGCCGCTTGCCGGAGAGCGCATCAAGACAGTAGAGAGCATCCGTGTGATTGGCCGAGGCTCCCGGAGAGGAGGAGCCAACAGTCGGCCAGGAGCAGCGATGTGGTATGAAGAAGAGGAATACATGGAAGCTCACCCTGTCTCACCAAACGCTGTCCCCCCTCCTCGTAATATTGGCCAAGGTGCCGCTGACGATATCAACCCCACCATGCCTCCCCCACATCTCCTACTCCCTCATCTCCACCCTCCCCCCTCCCTCTCTCATCCTCCTCCTCCTCCTCCGCAGGCTCAGTTCCAAATGCCTTACCACACAGACATGCAGACCCCTCCTCCATCACTCCTCCACCAGCTACCTCCTCCGACATCCCCTTTCTTCAGTACTCCTCCACCCATCCCTCGACCCCCTCCACCCCCTATTCCACAGGGCCTTTCCCCTCCACCTACTCACCCCCCTGTGCCCTCTGCAGTCATGGTGGGGGGAGTGTTGGTCCCTGTGGACCGTCCCCTTTCTCTTCCTCTCCCAGTCAGACCTGAAGGAGAGCGAGGTGGAGTAGGGCCCAGGGGAAACAAGTTAGGCCCTCCACCTCGCATGTCGTCATTACTAGGTGAGCCCCCAAAGCATCTCCGCCCTGGCACAGTTAAAGAGCCGTTTTCCCCCCGCCATGCCCCGCCTCTCCTTCGCCCAGGTGTTCCCCTACCTTTACTGGGCAGAGTGAAAGAACCCTTAAATCTACCTCTTCCTCCCCTTTCCCCCTCTCCCACATCCTCCACCGCCTCCCCCTCCACCCCTACCTCCCCGGCAGTTGACACAGTCCCCTCTCGCCTCTCCGCTCAGTCCTCCGCTCCTCCTCTTCACAAGACCCCCGCCAGCCCTCCAGCTCAGCCCCGCAACCAAACCTGTAACCCCGTACCCCTCCTTGCCCTCCCCACTACCCGACCCCCAATCCTCTCAAACCCAATCCAACAGAGACCCCTGATGCGAGGCCGAAACCACTCTCAGCACCGTAACCAAGATCTTCACTCGGGTGGGTTTCGAGGGGGCAAGCGGGCTGGTCCTCCATTCACAGGTGGTCCCTTCCACGCACAGAAGAGACCCTTCCTGCCCCCACGCTACTGAAGTGGTCATCCATGACATGCTGAACAAGAAGTGCAAGCACGCTGCGCTGAAAGGCAGAGTGTGTGTTAGCCCTGCTGGTATGAGCCCAGATATTTTTACTCTGTCAAATAGCTTGAATCGAAACTACCTTAGGTTTGTGTAAATAGCTGATTAAACTTAACGCTTCAGCTAATGTCTAGCCAGTCATCTCACACTGTACAGTACAGCTAACGAGGTTATCAGTGCTGAGTGGTGTGTAACAGACCTCAGTCCACAGGGTTTTTCTTTTCTCCGTACTCAATAGATTAGTGTTATAAAAGTGGCATCATTCTGAAGAAAACACAAAACAGTCGGTGACATCCGACGTAAATCAATCTTTTGTTGAGTTTACCCACTTTTGTAATGTTTAGGTTCCTTAACAAGAGAAGAGGAGCAGAGTAAAAAATAATGATTTCACAGGATACACTGCGAGGAAGGAAGCAACAGTTTGTTATTTGAGGAAATAAACTCATTTGTTTTTCTTCTTCTTCTTCTTCAGAATTTACTCTAAACATGAAACGAAAGCCAGCGCTGAAAAGCTTAACATAAAGACAGGAAACAGAGAGGCTAGTCTTCAACGAGCTGATGGTTCAACTAAAATAATCCACTGATTTGTATATATATCGGTTATTTCACAGAAATGACATGTTCAAGTTTTGCAAAGCTAAAGTGGCTTTATCAAGTCTCAGCCGGCTGGAGGACTTTGAATAGTCACTGATCGCTGTCACAAAATTCAGGTTACTTTTCTCATTCACTCTGAGAGAACCAGGCTAGCTGTTTACCCTGTTTCCAGTGTTTATGCCTAGCTAAAATAAGCTAACATTATTCTCTTTCCAAGCAGTGTTTTACTAGACATGAAGGGCAGCACTGATATTTCCCAAAACATCAAACTGTTCTTGTGAAACTATTTGAGTGCAGTGATGACTATAGGCTCCCAAGTAAGCTCTTCTTCAACGAGTGTGTGGGTGTGTGGGCCGCGTGTTTCCTGATAAGGTATTTCTCATTTGAAAGTAATGAGATTTGTGTGTTGCAGCTGAGGTTAACCCTTGTTCCTATTTCTTGAGTACCTGCTGTAAATAACATTCTGCTCTTGCTCAACCTTTTTCACCTTCTATCTGTCCACTGTATAATTCTTTAGCTTGTAAATATAAAAACTGAGATGATACAGCATTTTCTCTTCAAGCTCTTGTTTCTGTTAACGAGGACATTGATGAGCACTCACGCACCCGTACTTACTGTGATCGAGGCCTTGGATAAGCTTTAGCCCCAGAAGAAGTCCTCTACAGTATCTGTTGCACCTTTCTATTCTCCTCAAACCACCGTGCAGAAGAGGAGAAGGAAGATAATTATGTATTCTTATTTCCTACATAAATGTCAGCCTGTGCGCACTTGAACTTAGATTGAGTCATGAAGATACTCAGTAGTCGGGGGGGAAGTATTCAAGCTTGAACTGCGCTCACACTAGGCTTCAAAGTGTACTGACTTGAATAAAATCCAGAGTTTCAATTCAACCAGGGAGGAGGTATTTTATTTGATCATGATTAAAACTTCAATGGCGCCGTTGTAATTCATTTGCGCTGTTTAGCTGTTCTTTTTTTTTTTTTTTTAGGTTTTTCACAGAAATTTTTTTCAGATTTGAACACAGCTCCTGCCATTCATATCTCATTTTTATTAAACGCCTTGAATTTTCTCAATGTACTTACCCACTTGACTAAATCATCCATTTTTGCTTTATAGCAGCGCTCACAGATTGTATCAGGGGGGTCCAAAGCATTTCAGCTAATTAGGACTATTTTGAGTACTCCATTTGTTATGCCCCCTTCTCTTATTTTGTTTCTTTGCTAATTTCATGCTTTTTCCCTTCAAGCCTCTGTGATTACTGTATTCTCTCAGTTCATCAAGATGTACTGAGCACCTGCAAATGTTTCTGCATACAGTTGGTTAACAGGTTGTTCAAATGTAATAACAGTCAGTAGATTTTACACTTGGCACATCACCTATGTTTTATTGAATGTCATCGAGTCTGTCTCTAGCTTCTGTGATCTTTTTTCTTTCTCCTATTATTTTTAAGAGCTAAGCAGCAACCCAAAGCTCTGCAAGGAGAGAAAGCTGCTTTCATATGTATCAACATCCTCCTGCTTTACCAAGTACCTATCAAGATCACCATTAATGTGTCCCTGTATATAATCTCTCTCTCAGATTTCTCTTTACCTCTTCTTTGGCTGATTGAGTTTGAAATTGACTGAACGTGTGACATCTCTGATGGTCTGTGTACATTTATGACGTTGAATTGCTCTCAATGCTGTTCTCATCAATGATGCTATATCACTGGTCTTTGAGTGTCCAATCTTTTCTGGTGTGACAAACACACACACATGCTTTAATTGTCACAGTTAATATGCATACTGAAGGGAGGTATATATCATTTTAGTATACTGCAAAATCACAACAATGTACTCTTATATACTCATATCCATTTTCCCAACATAGTATTTGTACATTTATATTAGTGCCATTGACTATAGGCACATCCAGGGTGGTGACTTGCTGTTTTGTTACCTGTTTCATCTTACACAGACATGATCTCAAACCTTTCTCTTTTTTATTTTGCACAGTACAATGCACAGTTTTGTGGGCAATATCACATTCAAATGATGCAATTTCACAAATCTGTAAGTGATCCCTCAGACCACATTTGCATTGCTCACTTAAAACATTGTGACATGGGCTGACCCAGTTCCAGTGGACCAGCAATAACCCCAGTCAAACTGACGGCTGTACAGTTAGTTGCCATTTGCTCGCAAAGCTGTAAATTTCCATTGATATACTGCAGTAATATTTTGCAAGACTCTTCTCTGCTACAATGAGCACACAAAGGAAAGTTGTAATTTAGGCTTGTGCTATCCAGTTTGGAAGAATTGCAAAATTGTATTAGGTTTTCCTTGCACAGCCAACCTGTTAGGCTCTTAGTTATATAGCTTTAACCTGCATACATCTACCCAAGAACAACGCCATTTTGCAAACATGGAGCTTTGTTAAGCCATGCTTATTATTTGACCCAATTCCACTGTCGACAGTAAAACGAGCAATTAAGTTGGTACCATACTTAAAACTGGACGCAAGGGGTTTCCAGATGTTGAGACTATATGCAGTGAAAGGGGCCAAACTTGCCCCTGTTGACTAACATATCGCGATAGGTGAGACGACAAGTTATATCGGCCAACATCATTTACGAGATGCTGAAAAGCGCGTGTATCCTGAAATATGAGTTTCCAGAATACAGAGCAGATTCCTTTAAATAGTGTTGTGGCGCCCCCATGTGGCCGTTTTAGTGTACTTAGTCTCTATTGCTCCATCGCTCCATCATGTCCCTTTTCAGAAGAAAAGGTTGAGCTAAGTTCTTCGAAAACTTGGGTATCAGTGTTTCCCAAATGTAATACCTGTTGAAGTTATTTTTCTGCATTTGGTGAAATTTAGACATTAACACAAATGCTTACATTTGACACCTGCGGTATCCGTTCCCTGTAGAAGTAATCGTTTGTGTCGATTTTACGACCCTTGGCCCTAAAGAAAATAGTTTTGTGAAGTTAAATTATGACTTGTGTTTAATAAGATTTTTTTGCGTTAAGTGTGATTTTAAGGACACCCCTATTATGGCACTTAAATACGAAAATAATTAATTGGCCTCTAATACAAAGTATGGCAAGTAAGGTGAATATCGACCCCGCTTGTCTGCTAAAACTCGGTGTTTAGATGTGAAAGTACCCCTAAGCTCCTCACTACAGACGTACTGTAGCTGCTCTTATCTAGTTAGGGATGGGGGGTGTATTTTCCTTATATCATTAAGAGCTTCCTCGGTCATGTTTATACATGTTTAATAATCCTGTTTGAAGTCATTGTTTTCTAATGTGCCTCACTCTAACTGCTAACATTGAGAGGCAGTTACATGCTCGCGCCCCTGCAGCTGCGTACTTCACCGCGTGCATTGCTCCCTTTCGGATGCATTACACACGTTCTAGTGAGGATCTTCGCTCCTGTTGCGTAGCAGCGTCATGACGTCACAGCCCCTGTCCCTCTCCTGCGCTTCCGGTGTTATGGCCGCTCGCAGAGAGCTGTGGCTGTTAATGTGAGATATTTGGAGATGAAGCTGTGTGTTTAGGCGAGGTTGTTTAAGGATGGCGATGACACAGCTGTTCCGGCTGGTTGTCAGTGGGCCGACAGTCCGCGCGCACAGGAGGTACAGCAAGGTGCGCGAGCATGTGATTTCAGCAGGATAGGAACTTGAAGCTAACGTTAGCAGCCGGTTACTAAGTCCTCTGTCAGTGTCAGACCTGCAGCTGTCCGTGTGGACTCTTTCCTCTGTGTTTAACCTGAAGACTTCAACATATTTACTTCATTTAAATTTATCTAAAATATCTGCTAATTGTTCCACTGAAGAATATGCTTTACCCTGCTTTTACAGTTACATTTTTTTATTATAAACTGTAATATGTTTTGAAAATAAGGACTCAACTATAGCCTCCACCTTTCCTCTCTGCTGTCTTTCCCTCTCTCATGTTTGGGATCTTTTGTAGGAGACGAGAGCAAAAAAACTGGGTTAGGTTCATGAATGTTTGAATAATGAGTGTAAATTGGGGGTAAAATATATCTGAAGATATGTCAGACAGATTTGGAAGATTGTAATATATCACTTAAATAAAATAAGATGTTTAATAGCAATGCATATGCAGCCAAAGAGCTGAGGGAAATGAGGACTCAACTATAGCCTCCACCTTTTCTCCTTGCTGTCGTTCCCTCTCAGTGTGATTGTTTGGCTCTTTTGTTGGAGAAGAGAGCAAAAAAACTGGGTTAGGTTCATGAATGTTTAATGAATATTAAGTGTAAATTGGGGGTAAAATATATCTGAAGATAGGTCAGGCAGGTTTGGATGATTGTAATGTAAAACTAATTTGGATATCAATACTATCACTAAAATAAAATAAGATGTTTGATAGCATCTTCCCTCAGATGATACTGAAGTCTCACACCACCTTATCATAGTCAGGCAGATCAATATGGATCCAGTTTTGTCATGTTAATTCCAAACAGCCATTGCACATTTTACTGCTTTTGTAGAGTTTAGGTGTTGATGAATCACACTTTTTTTTTCCCTGTAGAGATTTTTGTGTAATACTTTTGTTTTAAATCATTCACTATCTCTCTGTCTCGCCGCAGGTCTGTCCAGCTGAGCGACTGCGAGTGTTCGAGTCCCTCTGGGAAAGGAGGGCCAATAGAAAAAGAGCTAAGGCTGCAGAAACACCTCTCAGTATCCGACTGGCTGACGGCCGAACTGTAACAGGAACAGCTGGTGTTACTACACCCCTCTTTGTTGCACAGAGCGTCCGGTAAATATGTAATGTATATGTGTATTCTTATTTCACTAGTTTGCTCTTCAGTAATACGATAAAGGTTTTTCATTGCAGAGTGAAAGGAGCACTGGTCAGTACAGTGAATGGGGAGTTGTGGGAGCTTGGACGGCCTTTAGAAACAGACTGTGAACTGCAACTTCTCGGGTTTGAAACACTCGAGGGAAAGCAGGTAATTTCACGTATACAGTGCTTTTTTTTTCTCCAATACATCTGAAATGTGCTGTTGGTGAATGTGATTTCTATATTCACATAGTTTCACATGGTGGCAGGGAATTGTGGTTTTGTTCCCAGTCACAATAAATTGACTTCAGCCAACAGCACTCTAAAGTTTTTGTTGAATTGTTGGAAGTAGTATATGGCCAAGGGCTGCATGATGGAAATAAACATGGGCCACTCGCTCACAGGACACTCAGGTTTAATCTGTTGGCCTCAACAACACCAAAAAGTTGGCAGTAATATACGAAAGGTAGAATTCAAACTAAGATGATTTTTTTTATCATCCTTAGCAATACTTCAGTATTAAGAGATTTTTTCATTTCCTGTGGTTTAAACAATCACAGGTACCTGGTCAACATAAAGACTTCCAACAACTGTTTAAAAAAAACCTAGATATTTATTTTAAACCTACCTTCTGCTATTGTCTCTGTTTTTAGGCAGCATGGAGAACAGGAGCGTGTGTCCTGGGTGCAGTGTTGGAGAAAGAATTTGGTGCCAAAGTGTACAGAGAGGGAGCGTCAGAGCATGGGCTTTACTGCGACCACCTACTGGACAACAGGTGAGAGCTTCATGTAATTTGATTCTGACACAGGAAAGTGTATTCAACAAACAACCAACATTTTTACCCCAGAGTGTAAAAAAATACCTCAGGTTCATCTGCTTCTGATTTATCCCAACGTGTCCTCCGCACACAGCTCCCTGCCTCTGAGTGATGTAGAGGACAGATGTAAACAGGCTGCAGCCCTCAAACTTCCTCTGTATGGACTAGAGCTGAATACAGATGAAGTCCGGGAACTCTTCCAGGTCAGCAGTAACAGTGTCTCTGTTATAACAATACACTCATGGTTGTGTCTGAAATCATTCATTCAGTCACTATTACCCCAATCCCCATTCATGAATTCTGTGTCGAGGACAGTACGGTGTGATAGCCCAAATGATTGATTGTGGAATCTTATTAAAGTGAATTTGCTGCATTTGTTGTTATTATTAAAACTGTGCTGTGCCTCTTGCTGATATTTTCTAGTGTCCCATTGTTATTTTATTGAGCTAAAGACAATTCTCATTATCCTGATGTCCATTTTAAAATATTCTTTGTTTTGATTATTGTCAAACTTTTAGGATAGTACGCTACGACTGCAGCTTCTGGAGGAGCAGATGAATGGCCCAACAGCCACAGTATACAGGCATGTATTAAGACACGCACTAATCTGATGCTGTTTTCCTCCAACGTCTGACACGATGATTTAATCAGTGTGATCTTTCTGATGTGATCTAGGTGTGGGGACAGTATTTCAGTCTGCAGTGGCCCTCTCCTCCCACACACCGGCCTCCTCAAGGTCTTCAAGATGCTCCAGGTGTGTATGTGTGTGTGGGGGGGGATTTTTTCTTTCTCATTGCTTTTTTTCTGCACAACTTCTCCAGAAATGTGTGGTGTTTGTTTACTTTCTGTTTACAAATTGGTTGATAGCCTCTTGAAAGCCAAACTGTGATTTATACCTCTTATGTTTTTGTGTGTTTGCCTTCTCAGCCTCTTTACAGACAATTTGAAAAGACATTTAAACGGTACTACTTAATAGCAAAGAGAGATGTGGGGTTAAGTTCATCTTATCACTACAAGTATGTTCTATTTGGACACATTTGTTATCTTCCACCCTAATGGGTACATGCTGGGTAAATGGAAATTCCCTCGTTTCGATCCAGCCAGAGAGATGAGCTTCCATACTGGGCTGTCAATGGGCAGACTGGGATTCCATGGCAGCCAGGCTGGAAATATCAGCAGCAGGATGTTGTGTTTGTCAGAGGCCAGATTCCTGTTCTCAGCCTTTACAAACACACTGCCATCCATCAGTCGTACTGCTGTCACCCCTTCCTCTTCTGGCCTCACTCTCCCTTTCTCTTCCTCCACCTCTTTGTGTGCTCATTATTATTCTCTCTGTCCCTTGTCTCCCCCCACTTATCTTCTGTTACATCCTAGCTGTCTGCAGTGACCCTGACCAATCAGACAGAGTCCTCGGGTTTAGCGCGTCTTCTTGGTGTGGCCTTTCCCGGAGAGAAGGACAAGGAGGTGTGGGAGAGGGAGCAAGAGGAGGCTAGGAGGAGGGACCACAGACGAATAGGGACGGTAAGACAAAGAGGTGCCTAAAATAAAATCAGATAAAAAAAAAAAAACAGTCTGTTAAAGGTGTGTTTTGTGGTCTTAAATGTGTACGTGGGTTTTCCAGGATCAGGAGCTGTTCTTCTTTAATGATGTGAGCCCGGGCAGCTGCTTTTTCCTGCCCAAAGGAGCCCACATTTACAACACCCTCACTGACTTCATCAAGGTAAAAAAACATACAAACACTTAATGCACCTTCACTGATATGGGCCACCAATAATCACTCCATCTACTCTGTGCTGGATGTAATGTTTTCATAATCTCAAACTTTGAGTGATATAGAACAGTCATCAGTCCGGAAATGAAGCTAATGAGAAAGTCTGAAACCTCTATAGCTGTGGGTCCCTCGTTTGGTGTACCTGGATATCACTGGACCTCTGAGTTTACGAGACTTGTACATTAATGATGCCAACAGCATATTACAGATTACAACTTCATAATAACTAGCGATACTCCACCTGCCTCCTATCTTTATTTCTTTTTGCCAGTGTGGTAAACTTAAGTGTCATTCAGCCAATTATGCAAAGTTACAATAAGTAACTGGTGACACAGGGGAGAGTTGCTGTTTTGCCATTAGAACATTAACAGTGATATCAGCTGTGTGACATACACAGTAAACCGAACCAAAACACCATCGCACCATTTGAAAGTCAAATTTAAGGCTTTATGAGACCTTGACGAATGAAATGAAACTTAAGACGTCAAAAGCATGAAACCGCCTTTGATAGAGGATAGGTCTGTATTTGTCACACCATAAAGTCATTTAGAAGCATGATCCACATCCCATAGCTGGGCCCAACTCCACTACTCTCTTTGTTCCTATTGTAAGAGCTCATCAAACTTCAAGTTAAAGTTAGGCCCATTGATTGGCAGAGAGATTGATGATGATGCTCAGATTTATCTACTTGGTACTTACTGGACATTCAAAGCAGGTTACTGTCAATAAAATTCAGAATCCTCATTATGAGGAGGTTTTCTTAACTTTATAATAAGAATAAGAGAGACAGAATTTCACTTTTTTTTTTTAACTTTTTGTGTTATTCAGAATAACTATATACTTTGCAGTTGCTGTTTCCAGAACTTAATCAAATCCTGTAAATGAGCCATGTTCATCGATATGTCTGCACCTCTTGGGTGAAAATGAGTTTCAATGTAAAACATCATACTTTAATAATTTAAAACATATACATCATGTTATACTATGGCTGTATATTGTTCTAGCAATAAACTCTTCAAATTGAATACCTGTGTGAAATTTCCAATAAATTAAAGAGAATTTATAACCCTATGTTTCCAGATTTGGATTAAATATATTTTTAAGGATCAACAGGAACCCTTTAAAACTTTACAACCCAGTAGTTTTTACTTGAATTTGCCAACCCTGGTACTATTTCCACAGTTAGTCTTAATTAGTTGTCAATTTTAAGACTACAGCATCCACTTAAAATAAACTAAAACCTCATAATCCAGTTAAGCTCTGCTTCTGTGTCTGAATTAACTGAACTCCAGTTCATTATGTTTGCTGCACATTTGAACTGAGCTCCATTCATGATGTTATAAATATAATATCGCCTAGCATCAGTCACACACACAAACTTGTGTATGAATTTACACACCAACTCATGTTCTTTGTAAATTGCATCCTGAGGGTGGGCATGTCTCGATCAGCTGTCAGGATATTGCTCTCGTTAGCTTTCAATTATTGTTCTGTTGTGACAGTCTGACCCCGCCCTGCCCTGTTTGTCACTCATATCCTTCCTTCCTGACGTCTCGCAGAGTGAATACCGAAGGCGAGGCTTCACTGAGGTTGTGACCCCGACTCTGTACAGCACCGCGTTATGGGAGCGCTCGGGCCACTGGGAGCACTACAGTGAGAACATGTTCACTGTGACATCAGAGGGCGCTCAGACCTACGCTCTCAAACCCATGAACTGTCCTGCGCACTGGTAAACACACACACTGCAGTACACACACTAACATTCCTGTCTTGTCCTGTGTGTCTTCGATAGACTAAACAGTGCCTCAGTCTCCTCTGTTGTGTTCAGTCTCATGTTTGAGCAGCGTGTTCGCTCGTGGAAGGAGCTCCCCCTGCGATGGGCCGACTTTGGGGCGCTGCATCGTAATGAGCTCTCTGGAGCGCTGGGAGGCCTCACCCGTGTGAGAAGGTTCTGTCAGGATGATGCCCACATCTTCTGCACACCTGAGCAGGTACACAAACCACATGCCAGCATTCGAACATAGCTGTGTTTTCAGCCTTTCCTTCTCTACCCTCCTGCATACCTCTGACGGTGCTGTAAGTGGGGTATGAACTGTGAATGGGACACATGTGGAACCATATTACAGTGATTAGATGGGCTGTTCAAATAACTCCTGAGACATTCCAGGAGGCCTCAGCCTGCATGAATGAAGGTCTTTGTCTTGTTCAAACATTACACCTCCGTATGTGCATCTCTGTGGCTCCACAGTCTCTGTAATCCAGAGTGCCTACCTACGACCTCTCCTCTCCTCTCCCTCCTTCTGTGAACTTCCTGTTTCAATCTAGATCAAAGTCACATGAAAATCATCACTCCATTTAAAATACTGATTAAATCTTCAGAGAGTACTGTAAATACATTTGTAGGTAACTTTGTATTTTCCCACCCCAGCTGGAATTTAAACCCCCTCTGTGGGTTTCTTATTGACATTATTTTGTCCCCTTGTTTCTCTTGGCTTCAGCTGTTTTTCATCCTGTCTTTCCAGCTGCAAGATGAGATTGTGGCGTGTTTGGACTTTGTGAGGCGCGTCTATCAAGTGTTTGGTTTTTCCTTCCAATGCCTCCTGTCCACACGTCCCACACCATGTCTTGGGGAGCCTGAGCAGTGGGATAATGCTGAGCAGGTAAACCCACAAACACACACACACTGACACTCACACATTACTGTATGCTGGAGTCAAAGGCTCCTTAATGCATGCACCCAGGCATGATTTATTAAAGCCATGGAAAATCTTCTTTGTACCAAATGAAATGCTGTACTTATGTCCACTTCATCAGGCTGTTTCATGAGCAGTACTTTAAAGCAGCAATCTGCTTCTTGTCGGGCTGCTGGGCAGATGTATATCTCTTAATCCCAGCGGAAGCCTTTTCAATAGCTGACACGGCGGCAATTTAAACTGATTCAATCGACTGTAATTGAACATTATGTCTCCAAGCTCCCTCAACTCCCTCACTGGCACAAAAAGACTGACATGACAGTTATAATGCACATTAAAATACTTACGTTATCTATAATGCCTACCTAATTAATGCTGTGTGTATGTGTGATTGTGTGTGTGTGAGCAGCAGTTGGAAAGAGGTCTGCAGCAGTTTGGGGAACACTGGGAGGTGAATCCAGGAGATGGAGCTTTCTATGGACCAAAGGTTAGTAGAAAAGGCGTTATGAAAGTGAAGAAAACTGATTTACACTCACAGGTGTACAGAGAGTTTATTTAAGGATAATGTTTAATGACAAGGTTTGTCTTGCCCTGCAGGGATTCAGATTTGCAGAACCACTTTTTCACCAAACATTTTTACCCAGATGCAAACTAAAGGCATAAACAAGTTGACACAAAATATTGACCTAAAGGTGATTCTATTGATTTGGTAATTACCATTACATGCTAAAAAACTGGTCTCATGTTAAGCCTCCATGTTATAAGTCTCTTTGTGGTACGTCGCATTAAATTGAAAATTTCAATCCACAGTGAAGATATGATATTAACCTGTTTATTTGTTATAAATTACACCAAACTGAACTTTTCCATTAGTGGTAACATTCGATTAGGTAAATGAAACTTCTGCTGGACTTTTTAAACTGACGTTTCTCTCTACATTCTGCTCCACTCTCTCTCTCTCTCTCTCTTTCTGGGCTCTGCAGTTGACACATTTTAAACCTGAATGTTTCAGGAGTCAGGATTTAAAACACTGATGCTGTTATCAGTGGAGCTCATGGTTAGAGGTACTTTGTAGAAGTTGTCAACGTAGAGATGCTCTTGCCAGCTCTGCTGCCGTTGCCTGGATTAAAAGACAGGATGTTGCTCGACTCTTTGCTGGTTGGGGCCCTGTAGCTCCTCTGGCTGCTTTCACATCCGTGCTGGTTAATACTTATTATTTTCCTACTTTTAACTCACAAATCTGCCTCAGGAGCAACAGGCAGTAGTTGTACGTGGTATACTCTGTGGCGTGATTTGATGTGTACGATCAGACTGACCCTGAAGTTGCTTTTGGTGTTGAAAAATAATTTAATGTGAGGACTTTTGATTAATCAGAATCAAATATATACATAACACCACTGCGGCAGGTTGAGCTTATAGACCAACACAAAGTAACACTCAAGCTATTTCCAAAAACTGTACCAAGACAGAAGGACAAAAGAGGAAAGCTGTTCTCCTTGTTTCACTCTGTATGATAAATAAGTGAAGTGGCTGCCAGCTTCAGCTTCAAAGTAAACAGTCAGACATGAGCTTGGTATCAAAGTTCTCACCTTACTTTAAGGTGGAAAAACACATCAGCATGTTTTCAAGTAGATAAACCATTAAAATGTTTCATATTTTTAACCATCCACTATCTTATTCTCCATCTTATCTCAGGAATTCCTCTGAAATCCATTTATGAGTGTAACTTCACAGATAAGAGAGCAACACAGAGCTCTTTGTTTTTTCTCTGGCTCTTAACAAATACATCTTTGAGCTCAAAGTGACACAGTTTTTCCTGCCCTAGACCGCAGGAGCAGTCATAAAAATAGCTGTTATACTCGTGCTTTATCATGCTAAGGAGTGGCTCAACATGATGATGACCTTAGTTTTCTTTGAGGTGATATAGTCAGTAAGCATCATGAGGAAGTCAGCGTCAGGCAGGCCTTACATGATCGAGCTCATGTGGATGTACAGAGAGTGGAGGTAGGTCAAATTCAGGGTGGGGCGAGGCGCACTTTTAACATGCACCATGAAACAAACAAACATTCCTCGCTGCCATCGAGCCAGGGTGTGTAAGCCACAATTAGCTGGATCAGCTTCTCTTGTAAACACTACCCGGAGCAATTCTGTCCACAAAAATGCAGTTTGTCCCCCAGCAGTGTCTTTGGCGTCAGAGCTCTGAATCACATTTGTAGATTTTGGCAGGAGGAGGGAGGTGAAGTCTCATGTAACACACTCCTGCGTGGTTTTTTCATAGATTGACATCCAGATAAAAGACGCCATTGGCAGACAACACCAGTGTGCCACGATCCAGCTGGACTTCCAGCTGCCAATCAGATTTGACCTTCAGTATGTTGGGTGAGTCATAAATTTCTGCTTTGGCTTTCAATCACTTTCTCATTCCTACATCTGCAGTGATTTAAATCTGCAGATTGGCACTTTAGCAACGTGTTCGCCTGTTCGATCAACCTCCATGCTTGCTTTGGATGATGATCTATAACCATCATGGAGATGACAGAAGTCTAACTTTATTATGAACTGATTTGATCATCAAAGCCTTGTCCTTTAGTTGAGTTTATTAGTTTAGGTGAGGACACTCAGTCTCCATGATGTCATGAATCTGATCTCTTTTCCATGTGAGATTTTGACCGTCAAACTCAGAACCAAGCAGAAAGGATCAAAACTTGCATCATTATTGAGCTATTTTTATATCACAACATTTAAATGTGTCACACTGTGGTAGATTTTCTGGGAAAGTAATAAAGGAATTGGTAATTTTCCATTAAATAACAACAGAACCAATTTTTCATCATCTCAAAGATATTAAAGGGTGGGGGGGTTCTGTGATTAAGTATTGGAACATCTGATCATCTGACACTATAACTGTCGGGTTGGAAGCAGCTCTAATCTCTGACTCATGGTGACTAACTCTTACCATGTTTGTCAGTCAGTCTGTTGACAGTGGAGCTAAAAACAAAAACAGAAGAGAGGACGTGATAAAAGCTACAAGACACAGGAGAAAATAACGCCTTGTGTGCCAGTATTGTTGAAATTGTGAAAAATCTTCTGTATGAGGTTAGGTCATTTATTTTGGACATCTGCACATGAATGAGTCTGGGACTGCGTTTGTATGTGCCCAGCTGTTTTCATTGACGGGCATTTAACCCTCTCCGTTTACAAAAAAAAATAATAACTTGTGCACACCACTACGTTTTCGGAAAAGTTTTCGTTTACTCTAACCTGTGTATATATGCCATCAAGAGTATATCATACGTTGGTGGCAGTGTTGCAAGAAGCTCAAGCCCATGTTAACCAATCAGAATCCCGCAGAGCAACAACAACAGCAACGTCCCTTTCTTCTTTTCTGCACACAATCTGCCATCGGCTACCCAAATCTCAGTTTTCCTCCATTTTTCTCTGTTTATATGCAAAGGAGTTTTCCGAAATCTCCACTATAGCCAGAGTTTTAAAAAAGCGACCTGTTTTAGGGGCGAATTCCCTGTTTGCGTCTGTATGAAGGGTGCAAACGATGGTTAATGTCTCTGTTTAAAAAAGTAACCGGGTACGTCTAAACGGGGCCTGAGTGACATAGAACTGATTTCATACTGAGAACAACATCGGCAGCCAGCTGAACCTAACGTTTTGAACAGCAGTACGAGAAGGTTCATATCTAACATGAGATTTTGCACCTAAACCAAGAGATTGTCAGGGTCTGATGAGAGATCCTCTGAATAACTGATCCCATTTGACGATCTCATGAGACTAAAAAAAGAAAGTGGTCAGCATTATGTTTATACTTGGGCCACCCACCAAGGTTTTGTCTGTGTATGAGAGACGTTGGCTGTACACGGTGGAGAAATAGTGCTGTGTTTTAATACTGAGATTGACAGCAATGAGGGAGAAAACATGTTTAATGGTGATTTATTTTTACACGGAGTCGTTCTATTCAGCTGTATCATCCCACACCCTATATTACCCCTTACTCCCCCAAACCATCGCTCTGTTGAAACCTTTTATTCATCAACTTTTCTTAAACTCTATCCCAGCCATGATGGGAAGCAGCACAGGCCAGTGATGATCCACAGAGCCGTGCTGGGATCTCTGGAGAGAATGATCGCTATACTGGCGGAAAACTTTGGAGGCAAATGGTGAGATGACGTTGATCATCGTGTAAATCATACATTTGGAAAGACTGTAAAACCACCGACACTCGTCTTTGTTGTTCTTTCCCTCAGGCCACTGTGGCTGTCTCCAGCACAGATCATGGTCATACCTGTAGGGGGCAACAGTGAGTCATACGGCCAACAGGTCAGTCAGTGATGAAGATTTCCTCCCATCAGCACACCAAGAGAACTTTCTGTCTGATTGTATTAATGTGCTCAAAGCTCCACAGTTATCATTTTAAAGACATGCCTGCTGTTCTTTTAAGGTGGTCCGACGGTTTCATGAAGCTGGCTTTACGGCCGATTTGAACAACGATCAGGGAGCCACCTTAAATAAGAAGATCCGCTCTGCTCAGCTGGCTCAGTATAACTACATATTTGGTAAGGATGAATAATAGGATGAAAACTGAAGCTGCACATAAAATAAATCCTGAAAGCCTGCTGCTGCTGCTTTCTTCTTAAAGAAATTCAAACTATAGTATGATGTCTCTGAACTCTGAACCTGATGGTGACTAAGACATGTTTGATTTCTGTGTGTTTTTCCAGTGGTGGGGGATAAAGAGAGAGAGAGTGAGATGGTTAGTGTAAGGACCAGAGGGGGTAAACAGCTGGGGAAAAGGCCGACAGAGGAGGTGCTGACGTCCCTAACACAGCTACGAGACTCCAGGAGCAACCTCGAAGAGTTTTAATAAAAAAACATCCTGGAAGTGATGGGTCACTGGTATAGTTTTTCTTGATTTTTTCCATGTCCAAGCTGTTGTACTCCAAGTATAACAGCTTATTATTTATAATAAAAGCGCAGAAAAAAACATTCCTCACTTGTTGACGTGTCTATCAATGTGATTAGCTGATAAATCTGTGTCCAAAAAAGTATGGGGAGGGGGATTTAAAGCTATTTCTGGATCTCTATCTGTCTTTAATCAGCACTCTGCTACAATTCGTTCACTAAAGCCCATTAAATATGTGAAGCTCCGGCTTACGTAAGTGTGTATCATGATGTCAGATCAGGAAACCAGGCATACCTTTAAAAGACTGGAAGAATAGGAGGATACAGAGGAGGATTTGACTAAAATAGGAGAGGGAATGGACCTGTCAGGGCTGTGTGTGTTTTCACGAGTGTTTAATGGAAACAGCCAAGTCAAGGCAGAGGTCAAAAGGATTGGACATTTTTCCTTTTTAATTGAGAGAGGGCAGCAGGATGGAAAAGACATCAGTCAAAACAGTGACACAGATGGTAAAGGAGAGAGGGGGGGTGTCTGCTCGGTGAGACTGGACAGACTCAAAAGAAGGTTGAGAAACAGGTGAACGGGGTTGTGTGTTTAGTCCAGCGTGGATCATAATAATGGGCTAAAGTGAAAGATGAGACACAAAGACAGAGACCGGCCATGTCAAATTAACTTCAAGTGTTTTTAAAGCTGATCTGGAATAAGACTTAATACAAGCGTTTGGATTCCACTTTCTGGTTCTCGTAAGACAAGACGTTTGTGTAGGGATAAAATGCTGCAAAATATTTCTTTATTTGTTGACAAGCGAGTGATCACAGCAGACCTGAGGCCAAACTTAAAGAGTTAAAGGGTTAGTTCACCCAAAATAACGATGAAGCGTTCGACTTAAAAGTCTTTCAGGCAAACACATGCTATACATTTGTGTTCATACAATAAAGTCTGGAGTTAATACACTCCTTGGATCAGATACATGTTAAACCAGGTAAACATGTTAAAATGATCAGCCTATGGCGCGTAGCCCAAATGTGGGAGGCTCGGTGAAATATTACTTGTAATGTTTTACCATAAATGTAAAGTTTAAGGGTAAATGTTATGTACCGTAAAAGTATTACATTACATAAGATTTACTCTAAAACAGGAGTGCAGAGATCAAAGTCAGGCCAGTGGCGTCCCCCAGCATGTGTCACTGCATATATATATTTTTTTTTATAAATATGCAGTGACACTTTTTTAACTCAAAGTTTCTTAATCTCTTAATTTTTCTCTTTCTGTACCTGTATTATGCTGCTGTAAATTTGGAATTTCCTCCCCACTATTAAAAAATCATCTTATCTTATCTTCTATGCCATTGTCAATTGGCTGGTTTTGCCACCACTCAAGAGTCGTAACTATTGACGATGCTGACCTTGCAATTTACTTCTGCCAGTTCAAAACTTTCATATTCTCAATTAACTCCGTGCAACACAACAGTTTGTCACACTTTAATGCGACCGGGCTAAATTGCATCATTTCAATCAAAGTAAATCCATTCAGATTTATATACTTTCTAATCAGAACTTTCCACCGATGCACAGCTGAGGCTCGTTAAAGTGTCAAGTTGTATTAATAGTAGTTGAACCTAAACCAAAGTATAAAACTGTGAAACTGAGCCAATGATGACAAGAGGAGGGAAAAGTGATCAGTCATCCTAAAGCTACTTGGATATAAATTATTTAACAGCTGTGATGGTAATCCATAAGACTTTCAGCTTTGAAGTAAAAAAATTACCTGCTGCTGGTGTTTGGGGGAAAAAGTCACATGGTTACCAACGTCTGGAATGTTTGCATAAATTTTAGGACAATAAAGCCGAGAGTTATTGAGATATTTAAGTCTCCAACATCCAACATTATAGGCATTCCCAGGAGTTATGAAGCTAGCATAGAAAAATGTACGATAGCAGCATCTGTGTGTATAGTCAATGTCTATTTCTGCACAGCTGAGGAGCTTTAAGTGGAAAAATAACGATAATTGCGTTGACGATTGTTCCCCAGAGGCTAATAAATAGCATTTTTGGAATTTCTAATAAGGGTATGTTTTCTTTAAAAAGGACCCACAGTCCTCTAATTCATTCTCGATGACGAACTATGTTAGTCTTTATAGAACAACTTAATGCAAGCCTGTGTTTTCTTTTTATCATTGGCTCTCTGTAAAAGGAGAAGATAAAATACAGTCCAGGCCACCAGCCAGCATTGCACAGTAGTTGCGTAGTGATGACATACACCATTAGCTCCGGTAAACACTGAAATCTTTACTTTATAGATAACGGAGTCAGGCCCCCTACGCCCTCTTCACTTCCCACTTATCCAGCCCTCTGTCCATACTATCTTTTCTTTAACTTCACACAGCAATCCTTTCTGCCGCTGGCGTGGAGTCGCTCAGAGTTCATAGGAAATTATTTTTAGCTGAAGGGGGTTACCGAAAAAGAAAGCTGATGTGGGGGCAGTAAAAAAAGCTTTTTTACTATGGTACAAAGAGAGACAGTATTAAGAGCTCATTCAAAGAGGGATAGATGGATATTTACAACTGTTAATATCAAGGACAGTGTGGGAAACCATAAAAAAACTGTCCATCAACTCAAGTTAAAAGCCTTGAGAAAGCATTTTTGGAAAAAGCCACTCATTGTCAGTGATTGTTTCCCACGATCACATTACTTTCTGTATCGCTTTTGATTATTCTCTGGTTTTCAGATTTCTGTTTCCACACTTCTCTCTGCTCCACTCGCTGTGTAGGCCAAAGGAAGGAGATGCCACCCACCTCAATGTTTACCTCAATGTAGAATAAAGTTTTAGCAACATTTGGAACATAATTGGATGAATTGTAAAGCCACCCAGAATTGTCATTTAAACAGTCTGCAGCTCTTTCCTCATTGGTGGTTTTGCTTATGAAATATCAGAAAACAGAGAAAGATGCCCCAAACTTTCCCTAAACCCGAGGTGGCATCTGAGAATCCTGTTGTTTGTTAGAACCATCAGGCCAAAACCAAAATAGGTTTGTACATTAAAGGGATATTCCGGAGTAAAATTAAAGTCAAACACACTGTAACACCCAGTTAGACACCCCATCAAGAGATAAATGCCACCGACTGCTTGCTTTTCTAGTTATACCAACTCATAAATGTTCTTCCTTGAGCTGCGTCACCCCGCTGAAGCCGATGGACTCGCCCGGAGGTCTACTTACAAACAGGTGGCTGCTGGAAGAGAGTGGGTGAGTTGTGTTTAGTCTCTTTGCAAAAGAAATTAGGCAAAGTTAAAAAGATGTTTGGTGGCTAGTGCTATGGCTGGGACCCTATATGTACTGTTGTTGAAGTTGGGTGCTGTTCTGAGCTTTATTTGTGGCTATAGAGTGGCGTTTTGGTTGGGCGTGTGGCTCTCTGTATTGTTATCTGCGGTCGTTACTAAAGTTGGTATAACTAGAGAAACAAGCGGTCAGCAATATTCATCTCTCGAAAGGGTGTCCAACTCAACGTTACGGTATATTTACGCCGGAATATCCCTTTAATCAAATTGATAGACATTAAAGCTACATATATAAACGGTTATATCTGATTGTCCGGTCATGAATTTATAAAAAGAGAAATATTTCAGTTTTGTTAAGTTTATTCTACCATAACACTACTGTACTGGATGAAGTGGTTGCAAATGACCAACTTTGTGATCACTGTTCTCCTGGAAGTCCACTTTTTCCTGGAGGGAGGCAGGGTGATGGTGACCCGGGGGGAAGGCAGAGCCGGGCAGGCTGGCCACAGGAAGATAAACAGGCTGCTCTGTATTGTTCTCCTGGTATCACTGAGAAACTGTCAGCCGGACTGATTGAAAGCTCAACCTTCCCCAAAATAGTCCCTGTGAGGCCGAGCTGACTCTCCCTTCCACCCTGTTATAAATAACCCCTGTGTGTGTGTGTGTTTGTGTGGGTGGGTCGGTGTGTGTGTGTGTGTTTGGGCATTTCGTGTGTGTGTGTTTTAGAGTAAGGGCAAGAAAGACAGCGTGTGTTTGCAGAGAGAGAGAGAGAGGGGAGAGAGAGTAATGTGATCAGTGCCAATGCAGCCTTAGAAAGTGAAGCCACCGAAAACAATAACAGGAGGTCTGCGGGGCTTAGAGCCAAACAGTGACAGAGACACTGCGGTCAAGACCCTCTGCTGACCTCTTCTCGAATATCCACACACACACACACAGACACACACACACTGATTTGGACTTCTCAATAATTGCAGTAATAGTACACTCCTCTCACTCTAGTATCCAGGCTGCTTGAGTCCAGCTCTTAAGTGCATGCACCCATGCTTTTGTGTGTTTAAGTCAATAACGTTTGGACAGGGGCTTGTAAATTACCACCTGAGGGAATATCACCGGATCATTCGTTCCACAGGTGTGCTGGGGTAAATGTTTTTCATGCAAATATACGGCAGTAGGTCACCAGTTGAACCAACATTAAAGCGCATATCTCTGCAGGTGGGTGGAGATTCCTGTGCTTGTTTGCGGCTCTCGGCAACAATTAAACACAACAATCTTTCCTTTTTAAATGCAGAATGAAGCTGTCAGAAAGTTTCAACCAAACTTCAACCCCAAAAACCTCAGCCCACCCGTGCTGCCTGGCCTCGCTCAGCTCTCATTCCCAGCCGCCAACTCCCCTCTCTTCTCCTCTTTCCTATTTCCCCTCACTCTACTGGGTGCACTAACTCCACTCAGCTCAGCCCAAACTCCCAGTTTATACAAAGAGTTTTTGGGCATGTTGCTTTTTGTTTGATCTGGCTGCTCTTTAGACGCGTCAGAAAGTCTCCACTTTGAATCCACGTGTCCAATGCTTCACCTCTGATTCAGACAGGCTCTTGCGCTCAACTTGAGATGAATTTAAAAGTGATAGATGTTCCTGCATGCTGAGCTGGTGGCTGTGCTGTGTGAAGTCCCACTCACAAAGACTCATAGATCAGTCAAAACTCTGCACAGTAGTGTACAGTCTCTGCTTGGCCTCAGTCTGCTCCCAAGTATGTCTGCTATGCTCTGCACTCTGCTGACCTGATTTTCTATCCTGCTCTCATCAGGAGCAGGATACCTCGAGAGAAGAGGGAGCAGATCGAGGCCACAGAGAGAGAAACTTTCTCCAATCAACAGCTTCGGTGTGACAGCGGTTTATTGTTCTAACCAACCTGTTGAATCGCTCTCGGGAGGGAGAAGTTTATGGGTTCAGGAGGAGGTCAGAGGTCATGTTTACTCTTTGACCACTTTAGTAATCGAGGAGAATAAACCAAACCCCTCTGTAAATTTACAAACATTTGCATTTGCTGCTCACTGTAAATTCTTTATGGTGAGTAGAGTGAAGAAAAAGAAGGCTTAGGGAGGCAAGCATCAGTTTTGAATTTACTTGCATGACTTTGTGCCAACCCATGTGGACGACGCCCATGCTCTGACATCCCATACTGCTGCTGCTCGAGTTGTTCAAATCACACAGGGTGCAAAAGAAGCAAGGCAGACTCAGGAAATCATTGCAATCGAACAGAAAACACAAGGGAAGGATATTTATCCAGACTGAGAATTTGAGGCTACTAGTGCCAGCAGCAAGACTTGATTTATTGTGCCAAATTCAAAAGATGTGGTATTTTATGAAACAATTATTAAGAAACCACTTTTGAATTCTGATAAACCATCTTATAAAGAGTTGTTATTGAAGATTCTTGCAGAATCTATTGATGAAATATGCTGTTGTAATAATTGAAGCCATGTGTAAACCATCTTAGGCGAGAAAGAGTTCAATCAATTTCAGCCCTGCATGGTCCTCTGTAGTGTTTATATCCAGTGCATGTTTAAAACCCAGTGACTCCCTTTTCTCTTCTTCATACTCTGTGTGGAAACTAGTGAAGCCTTAGGGAGTAAGAGGAGGAGAAGCTGACCTCAGGCTTTGACCTCAGGTTGTTTTCTGGATTCCTGCTTCTGGTGCGTAGTGTAACTTAAACCTGAGTGGAGGAAAGAGAGATGGACCGGTCAGTTCATACGAGGCGAAAGGATGAGAGGTAGTCAGCCAAATTATGAGGCTTTGTTGGATGTGTTGTGGTGGATTATGAAGAATGTTTCAGATCTGTTAGGGTGCAGGTAGTTTCAGGGATGTAGTTGCAAAATGTTTCAACAGTGATTTTATATTTGTGCATGCATTTGCCCCTTGCAGGGAGGGAAACATGCATCACTACTTTTCCTTAATGCCCACTTTATTATCATTTTCTAAGGTTTTATAACTTCATCTCTTGTTCTTCAAGAGTGTTCACTTAAGGGTATTTTCTTTACACAGCACTCACACTTCAGATAGTATTCAGGGAGGATTGTTTCTACAGAGGTTGGATTACAACCCAAGCATGGCAGTCTGCTGCCCCACAGTCCTGAATGCAGAGGGGCCCAGTTCACCCCAGGTTTACCTTGTCTCATTTGTTATTCACTAATTTGATTAAATGCAAATTAGTTGGGGCCTCTCTTTAAGTCCTGCATTATTATCCTGTCTTGTGTCTCCGCTGTGAGGGGATGTGGGCCCCTTCACATGACAGCGGTTTAGGAACTTAAAGAGCATTTCTAGCGTGGGTCTGCCAAAGTGTAACAATCTAGACAGGAATTTCATTTACATAGACGGATGTAAAGAAAGTTATTGTTTTGTCTCAGCATAGATATAAAATATCCACAGTTTAAGATGTTTAAGTGACATTTCACCAGTTTTGTAAACTTGTAATTCAGCTCAGGTTTCATTCTGTCATGAAATCAGGTGTTTTATATTTCTGGGTTTACAAAATGTTTTTTTTTAAAGATACAGCTACTAATGCCGCTGAGGTTTTGGCCCCTTAATTTTAACAGAACGTTTGTGTTAGAAAGTACAAACTTGGAACTTAAGACTGATTTATACGTGTTTGAGAGGTCAAGATGATAGAAAGAGTCAAAGTGTAGGAAAAAATGCCAGCTACATTTCTGAAGGTCAACTTACCCCATACACGGGGTAAGTTGACCATAGGAGACCACTTTTTTTTTGCATGCTATATTATCAAGACAGTTCTGTTTACACTCATTCTGTTGGTTTGCAGGGATGAACAACATCTTGAAATATATGCAGATACACTAGTTAGAGACAAAACTATGATTTACTTGATCACAGCCTCTCAATGCCCACAGAGTTAAAGTCTAATATCATGTCTGTGCCCCACATACAGCTCTGCAGTCTAAAAGTAACACAAACGTTACAGGTGGGTGTCAGGTCTGTCATCACTGACTGAGATCTCCATGACTGAACAGGACAGGAATTCATATCAGCAGTTAAATGAGAGGCGGGCTGTGATTAAGCACAGTACTGTATAACCAATCGACCATAAACATACCAAGGTACTTATTACCCAGCTGCATTGCTCTTCTCTGTCTTTTGTTGTACAGTGTCTGCCATGCCAAACCATACCACACAGGCCTGTCTACACAAACATAAACCTTATTGTTTGTTGTTGTTGCTTTGTGTACATTTTTGGCCCAGTGGCTCGTCTGAATGGGCAACAATTGCTCTTTGTCAGAATAATTGGAACAAGGTTATTTCAGCAGTTTTGTTAGCCAATTAAGGTCCAACCAAGCCGCCCTCGTCCTCTCCCTCTCATGTCCTGGTCTCGCCAGTGACGACTGTAACCCCTCATTAGAAAGCTCCGCCCATTTTCCCTCTTATCTCCCAGATTCACCCGATTTGAACCCTCTTCTTTTTGCTCTTATCCCCCCCCTGTAATGATCCTCCCACCTGAAGAGCATCAGTGTGTTTACGGGTTCACAGAACTTTAAACTGAAGTGCTTTTAGAGAGGAGGTATTTCTCAGCCACGTCCAGACCACACTGTAAAGATGTCAGCCGTTTTCAGAGCACACACGCCCTGCTTTGATCTGGACCCTGGCAGAGGATTGGTGGAATGGAGCAAATATTGACTCCATCTGAGCCAGACAAATCGCTCCCCCTTCCTGCGTTCCTTCTCTTTCAGTCTCCTTTACACTTGCTCAGTTCTCGTCTAATCTGCCATTACCTCTTTCTCCCACATTCCCTTTCATCCCCTTTCTGCTGCGGCCTTTCTTTTTGCTCCCTTTGTGTCCCCGTCTGTCAGTCCTCCCTGCCCTCCCCTCTCTACTACTCTGTCTGTGTAGCTGGAACAGTTGAGTACGTTCCCCTAGCTTCACTGCATGGATTTCTACATCTCAATGTGTAGCCAGTTTGGATTTCATGCTGTCCGAATCGATGTGTTTCGCCTTTATCTGCTGTATAAATTGAACTACATGCTTCAGCCTTAAGCCTGCATGAGGGAGTTTTCAAACATGCACAGGCAAAATGTGAAGATGTTAATAAGAGACATGCGCTGACATACTTTATGAAATGTTCACATACTGTATGTTACGGCCAACTGCCACAAATATGAAACCTGAATCGGTGTCTGTTTACAGAAAAAGACTAAAGGGATCTAGATTATATGTATCTGAATTTTGTAGGTGTTCCCACCAGCTCTGAAGTAGAACTGGAGTTTCCCCAAAAAGACCAAAGCTTAAGTTAAACCTCTGCAAAGATACTTGGCAATGTTTCTGTGAAACTACTCAGAGAGGAGAGTTATAGGCGACCAGAAGTTCATCTTGAGCGTCTGAAACATCAGGGAAGCACATTTGTTAATCCTATTCCTGTTGGCAGGTTTTGAAGTAGAGAAGAAAAACCCATAATGTTACATAAGTTACTTGCACAAAAACAAGCTCAGAGCCCACCAAATATCATCATCACAGCCTCACAGAAAGATGGCCGACTCTTTGGAGCTTCTGGTGTAACAATTTTGATGGTAATGTAAGACTTGATTTTCTGAATGTTACCTTTGTTGAAGCCTGATATTTGTAAGGCCTGAAAGGAGTTTGGAGACCAAATTGTTAGCTGAACTTTTGTGCAAACTTGTGCTTAAAAGCATTAAGTTAAAGATCATCACTGTGAGCTGAGGTGTTCAAGGACGGTATTGTACTGTGGTTTGCTCCTTGCTCTCTACATAGACTCCCCTCCTCCCACACACACTCTCCTATTACACACTGAAATGAAAGTAGACGACTCTACTCAAACTATGGACCAAAACCAGGACTCTTCTGATGCGGTCTCATTTCAACTTAGATAATGTGATGAACAGTTTCAGCCAAACTGCTGTAATTAAAGGGATATTCCGATGTAAAATGAAGTTCGGGTTAACACTGTAACACTGAGTTAGACACCCCGACTAGAGATGAATGTTGCCGACCGCTTTCTTCTCTAGTTATACCAACTTTAGTAACGACCATAGATAGCAATATAGAGAGACAACCAAAACGCCACTCTATAGCCACAAATAATGCTCAGAACAGCACCTAACTTCATCAACAGTACATATAAGGTCCCAGCCACAGCACTAGCCACTAAACATTTTTTTAACTTAACCAGCTTTAGCCTAATTTCTTTAGCAAAGAGACTAAACACAACTCACCTACTCTCTTTCAGCGGCCTCTTGTTTGTAAGGAGACCTCTGGGCGAGTCCATACAGACTACAGTGGGGTGACGCAGCTCAAGGAAGAACATTTATGATCATTTCTCCAAGGAAATGCAATCAGACAGAGACGCTAAGGCAGAAGAACTACCGTGTCTGCAGTGCAAAATGATTAATATGATGATTATTACGTCAAGGAAATTATAAAGAAATGATCATGAATGTTCTTCCTTGAGCTGCATCACCCCACTGTAGTCTGTATGGACTCACCCAGAGGTCTCCTTACAAACAAGCGACCGCTGGAAGAGAGTAGGTGACTTATGTTAAGTCTCTTCACTAAAGAAATCAGGCAAAGCTAAAAAGATGTTTGATGGCTAGTGCTGTAGCTGGGACCCTATATGTACTGTTGGCTTTTTAGTTGAGCGCGTGGCTCTCTGTATTGCTGTCTGCGGTTGTTACTAAAGTTGGTATAACAAGTGAAACAAGAGGTTGGCAACATTCATCTCTCGACAGGGTGTCTAACTCAGTGTTACGGTGTGTTTGACCCTAACTTGATTTTACGCTGGAATATCTGTTTGAGTTTTCTAGTTTATAGAGCTGAATGAAAAGTCATTTATTATCAGACTTTATCCTCAGAGGACCAAGAACAAAAGTTTGGTTTCAATTTCCAATTAACTAAGGAGATGTTAAGATGTGGGAACTTTGACTCGCTGAAAGTTCAAGAGGTCTTTTCAAGGAATCCCAAGTCAGCAAAGTACATCCTCTGGAAACCATGAGCTAACGTATGAACCATCTTGAAGAGAGCACATGAATTCTTGTTAAATCTTGACAAACTGTTTTATCTTCCGGAGTTTATAATGTCAGTAGAGATTTCAGGGGGATTAATTTGGACTTGTTGACTTATTTCAGTCTTGACCAAAGAGGTGGACAAACCAACTGACAACCTTATCAGCGTTACTTCACAGATGATGACACCCTCTCCTCCTTTATCACATACAGCCCTGACTCTCTTCTCTGTTGGTTGATGAGCTCTCCTCTTATCACCGCTGGAACAATAAATGACCTGAACAGGCGTTACTTTGGCCTGTGGTCTAAAATAGTTAGTGATAATCATCAAATAGGCCTTCATGCTGGTCCTGTCTTTGTAGGCTACTGCAGACGCCTGATCCCTGACCCCTCAGCTGGTCCAGAGAAGCCTGGAGGCCTCATTAACTCTGACTGTTCAGAAGTTTTTCACCTACTGTGTCTGGGCCTGAGGCTGGGGCGTGTTTATGTTTTCTGGAGGAAGGGGCCGTGAAAGCAAAAAGTTCCTCAAGTGGTATATCACTCCCTTGGGGGGCTGTGCTGCTCTGATATACGGCCACATTACTCAGATCAGCCATCCGAGACAAATGACAGATCTACTGCTACATGCAGACCACCCCCTCTTGATAAGCTTTGTGTGTTGTGGTTAGTAGTTAATACTGACATTTTGCTTATCAGGGTTGTGTGGTTGGTGGTGCATGCCGACAGACCAACACGTATGTTAGTGCTTCTTGAGATCCAAGGAGTGAGGAGAGAGTGGGAGGGAGAAGAAAGAGACAGGAGGGAGGAGAAGGGGAGTGTTCGGTTATAAGTAGTCACGGGCCACTGGTGGCCATGGCAATGACCTCTGGCTAATTGTAGTTACTGATAGACATGCTGCTTAGAAGTACAGAGATATCCATTACACTAATCACACATGAAACACACACACACACACACCCTGAGTGATTGCATGTGTGTCTATGTATGTGCGCAGACCTCTGGAATCCACCCTCGTCATTTTTCCTACGCCTTCACATTAACTTTTGTATTTTGACAGATCAGATCTTAAGCCCACTCTGTTATGTGGTTCAAGTCTTGAGTTTTGGGCTTTGAAGTCGCTAATCTCCGTCACCATCGATGCGCCCATGTTGTAGGACGCCGGTCCAAGAAAAGCAGCAGCCTGGCCCTGGGACATCTCAGAGTCCTGGGTGAGACCATAACTCACTGCACACCCACCCTCCGTTCCACTTAACGCTCTCGCTCTCTCACATTTCCACCATCTCGCCTCTCCTCTCACATGCTCTTCTCCGGGTGGGAAATGTTAATAAGGAGGTTCAAGAAGGATCAGAGGAGTCCCCCAAGACCGACCAACTGTAGCAGCGTTGTTATGTTGATGAGCAGGGCTGTGATCTCACATGGGATTGTAGTAAACAATGTTCTTCATATCCCAGCAGTACAAATATCCTTCCTTTTCCATCATTCATCCAATTTTTATCTCATTTTTCTTCCTCTCCTGTCTTCACTAATCATGACGGCTTTATCCTCTTGTTCTTTTTCATGAAGAAGACGATGTTTTGTATTAGTTACACGCTACTGCGTCCAAACCTCCTGGGTTCAAAGACACCACTGAGTAACAAAAACCAGATCCTGAATTCAGAGCATAGACATAAAGTGAAGCTACAAAGACTCCCAAATGAAAGAAAACAAATTTCAAGCTTGTTCAACACGTTTTTCATATTTTCATGTTTCCAGTTGTTTGCGGACTTTTACTGTCAGCTACTGAATAAACACAACAGCCAGATAATCAAACTCACCTTCTCTTTTTCTAGGAGAAATAATCATAAATGTTCTTCCTTGAGCTGTGTCTGAGGTCTCGCTACAAACAAGCGGCTGCTGGAAGAGAGTAGGTAAGTTGTGTTTAGTCTCTTTGCTAAAGAAATCAGGCAAAGCTAAAAAGATGTTTGGTGGCCAGTGCTAAGGCGGGGACCCTAAATATGCTGTACTTCTTTTTCTTTGAAAGCTGTTGAACTTCATTTCACAGTTTTGAGAAATGTTAAAGCATACATTTCTCTTTTTTTCCACCATTTTATAGAATTCTTAAATCATCTTATTACAGGAGAAAATGAAGTTGTTTCCATTATAAATAGAAAAGAATTCAACTCTGTTTCTTGAGCTTTTCGCAAGACTGCTTGAAACTCATGTCCTTTTTCAGTCTATATTTCAGAGACGTGTTTCTCCAAATATGGATGTAAAATTTTTCACATCTCACCAAAAGTTTTTCTTATCAGATTCCTTATATATCTGCCTCTCTCGACTCTGAGTACAAATCTTTATCCAGTTACTAATCTTATTTTTTCTTCTCCACCTCTGCCCGGCTTTTTACCCCCAGCTGTCCTCTGTGGGTCGTGTTTGGTCAGACTGAAAAACTACACAGACTGACTGGGAAAGTAGGTGGATAAACCCCGAATACATCAGACAGTTTTCACATCTGCTTCAAACCACAAGGAAGAAGAGATCACAGCCCACATAAACATTTATACGTACACACACGCACACTTATCCACACAGAGATCTCATCCCCTCTCAGAAGTGTCATGTCTCTTGAGTGCACTTATAGGAGCAAGCTGAACTGGCAGAGCACATCTCTCTGCTGGTGTGAGTATGAGAAAACACAACCATGCTTATATCATTCAACCCTAACTCTTACAACACAACAATATACATGTTGCCAGTAAGTCAAGAACCATATTTCCTGCATGCAGACTTCAAAACAACCATTTTTCACTTTGCATTTTCTTTTTCCACTTTGCTGCAGGACAATTAGTGTTTGTATTGGCACAATGGTGAGCCCATAAAGCCCTGTACTTCCCCGACAAAGTGTCCCTGCTGCAGATGCTGCCAGCTCAGGGCTGTTTCCGACAATGAGCAGATCATTACTACTGATCAGTGTGACCCAGTACAATGGAGCATTCTTATGTCGGATTGTGCAACTAAGGAAAGCGGCTCTGAGAGTTATTATAGCTTAGTCAGGGCCCATAGTGGTGCGCGTATGTGTGTGTGTCCGTATATGTGTGCGAGAAAGAGACGGGTAGAGGGAGTGTATGCGTGTGAAAGAGAGAGGGAGAGTTGTGTAATCTGTTCATTTTGTGTCTCCTGTCTCCCCACCTCTCTCTCTCTCCCCCCTGGCCCCCTGGCTGCCAGGCGTCACACCAGTTTATAATAAGGATCCAAAAAAAAAAAAAAGAAAAGTTGTCGAGTGAACGGATTGAAAGGAGAGGAAAAAAAAAACGAAACCCTTCCCACTCTCCAAAAATCACGGGGAGTGACTGTGACAGGAGGAAGGGGACAGAGAGAGAGAGAGAGAAAGAGAGAGAGAGCTGAAGAAGCCTTCAGCAGGACTTCATCACGTTTCTTTCAGTACTGCGCGGACCAGAACGGACCACAAACCAAAACAAGACTGGACTGGTGATCAATCGCGGTGATTAGCAGCGGAGTGACTTCTTGGCGGAGAGTTTATTTCTCGAAGGAGCATGCGGCTTAGTTTACTCTTCAGGTAAGAAACTTTGATGACTGCTACAGCGACAACCTGTTGCTTCTCGTGGACTTGAGTGTACACAACCTCACATGTGGATGTCTGCATCCTTCTCTGTCAGCGGCTACGCTTGTTGAGGTTTTTTCCATAAAGTTGGCACTTCTGGCGGCGAAGTTTTTTGGCTTTTACGCACGAAGTCTTGTCGTTGCGCACTGGGCGCTGTTTAAGGATATATGATCGGAATTTAACCGAAGGCATCTGGGTTTAAAAAGAGGTCCCTCTTTCTCCTCAGGGCGGATTTTTGAGAGTTTCCCCCCCTCTTCTCTGCATATCTCCCTCTTCTCCTCTCCTCTCCTTCCCTCTATCTCCGCTGCTCTGAGTTTATCCTACAATGTGCCACTGTAGCGGCCAGGGAGAAACGTGGACCCGGGTAGGGGGTCGTTACTTCGGCCTGAGCAGCTCTGTTGTGTGGGACTGTGCGGGACCTTTGTCTGTGTTTTTCGGGGTAGTTATGTAGACTGGTGTGGGGAAGCTTCCAGAGACCACGGCGGTGCACCACAGTGGGAAGAAGGCAGCAATTATACTGACTACATGTGGCCTGCGGACTGCTGGTTGTGGTGATGGTTGGGTTCTCGTGGTGAGCGGTGAAATGTCCATCTTAGCGAAACGTTTAGTATCATGTTGAGGCTATTTTTCTTGGCAGATGCGGGGATGATATTCCACTTGTTCTCGATGCACTTGTCGCGGTGGTTTATGGAGATTTTTTGATAAACCCAACAAGAAAACAGCAGAGGAAATTTCAGTTTCACCTTAAAACATCCAAAATCTGTTATCTAAAAAGGAAGAAAAATACTTTAAAGCCTCGATATGAGATTAAAAACTTTTTTAACTGGACAGCTTTTGCACTGCACACTCTGTGGTTGTGTTTTATGCTTCCTTAAGTGGTTTCATGTCAAATTTAAAGACTCAAACCCCAAATTAAAGGCGACAGTCAACACCATCCTACACCAAAAACCACATCAATCCAGAAATAAAAAGTCCCTCACTGCACAAGATGACTTTGCTTGTTTTGCTTGATTATGCCTGTGTTGGCTGTTCTCTGTGTTAAAACCACATCCTTAGGGTGTGTTAAGTCCCAGAGAGAGAGAGAGGGAGGCCATGCATACTTGCTGTTTAAACCCATTAGTTTGTCAAGGCCTCCCAGGCTTCCCCAGATTGATTGAGTTTGCCTGTGAACCCTGAGGGGAGAAAGACACTTTTGTTCAAGCCCCCAGAGTCCCACCAGCACCTGTAATGGGAGAGAAAGTGGCATAAGTGGTCACGAATGTACACTTAGGTCACTGGAACATTTGAGAGGGAGTCCACTCAACACATTTGACATCAATTTTAAACAGTTTAGGAGGGAGGCATTCAAAAATAAAGACGATATATAAGAATAATGAAAGTCTGTGTGGGTTAAGACTGCATATAGAAACTTCAGCTTTAGGTCATGGAACCTTTTTGTGTTTTTATGAAAGGCTTCATTCAGTCTGCTGATGTTTAAAATCCTGTATATCTGCCACTTCTTTCAGCCTCTGGTCTTCTTTCCTTCAGGCTCTATGTGCTGTGGGGCTTTGTGGCGGTCACGACCTCTGTGACCAAGGCTGCCAAGAAGAAGGTGAGTCATCCGCTCTTTAAAAACAGAGAGATTCACAGACAACAGCATCACTATAGAGGAAGTGAAAAGTGAACATTTTTCAAGGCTGTCTTAAAACAATCCTGAAAGGGCTGTGTTAAAATTTAAGAGTTGTGTGACAGTATAAATGTCAACGCTGTCTAAGAAAACACAGAGAGAGAATTTTTCACTAAAAACATAGCAAAGCTGTAAAACAGCTTCTTAGATTTACCTTTTCAGTCTGCCAGATCCTCGTATCAGTTTCTGCTGAACTTTGGGAAGCATTTTGTCATAGATTTCAACATCCCTTTGTGAGGTGCTGTTAACAAAAACAGCCCTGTGTTCAGGTTTGTGTCTGTGCATTTTTCTGTTAATTTGATAAACTCTAAAAACATTTGCCGTGTGTCGAGCAGCTGAAATACATGTTTTTATAACAGCCATGTTATCTCTTGAACGCTTGAAAGTTTTCAGATTTCCAGATGTTTTGATTCACTATCATCACCCTCAAAGCTTGTGTCATCAGATGCCATTTTCATTTAAAAAAACGTAAACGTTAGGAGTCAAAGACTTATCTAATGGGTGGTGGAGACCAAACAGAGCTCAAAGGAGAGTTAATTGTGGGATTACTCTTATCAGTTGACTAGAATGTCTCTTCAAATCAATGGTAATGTTTCCAGTAAACATTGGCAGTCAGATTATAGACTGAAATGCTCCACTGCTCACCCCTCCAGTTTTTGCCTTGCGACCCTTTGCAGCCATTCAAATATATAAACACTTACAGTAAGTTACAAGTTTGTTTGTCCTTAATCAGATCACTAGAAGGCAACAAAACCAAAATAATTTTACATTCAAGTGATTTTGTTTAAATATACTTTCAAATATAATTTTCAATTTCTGTCAAAGCTGCTCTGCGAACTATTTCACTGTGTACTTTTAACTGCAAGATGTGTAGATGGTTAGTTACAACACATATATGAGGTGATTTTATGTCATTGACGCTGCTACAGCAGACTCTTACAGGCCCCTAGAGGTGAAAAAGGTTTATAAAAAAACGAGTTTCTTAGTCAGAGAAAGTGCAGAAGTTTGCTTTCATTTTTAAATATAATGACTGTGGACGGATGGTCTCCACTCTGTTAATTTTACCTTAATGGTTAAAACATTGAACACGAGAGTATTAAATCTGTTTGATACATAGATGTTAGTGGTTATAGTAGATGTGACAGAGAGGACAATTAAATGATATTTACCATTTTTATATGCACACATACTGAGTGTCTTGACTAAAACACTGCTCCAGCTTGGCCTCCCCAGTCAAAAAATCAAAGACACACCCCTAACCCAGTTGTACAATCTTTGAACCTTGAGGCTATTGTCTGACGATGATGATGGTCCAACTTTTCAGGTCAGGTCTTCTGGTGTAGCCATGTGGTTGACAATAAAGGTCTTCCAGCCAAGACTTTCTTTCTGTGCTGGGCTGTTGCTTGTAGTCAGATATTCAACTTTAGAAGTGAGGATGTGGCTGGTGTTGAGAATTGATGTCCAAGAGTGGAATTTTAGCTGCACTTGATTACAGATATCCGTTTAAAGACACTGATTAAAGCTGAACCGTTCCATGAGTTCCAGGATTTGCTCTCTGTGTGCCAAACCCTGTGGAAACGTTGTCTGGCTGAACTACTTCAAACAGAAACCAGAACACTTCAGATCCCAAAATCCCACCTCAAGCAGTCACAGATCTCTGCGTGCTACATGAAGAATATCCTGCACTTGAGTCTTCATTGGATCTTCTCTCTGGCCATTGTGTGTGACTGTTTTTGGTCATGGTTTGCTGTTAATGTGCTTACTGTACGTCCAGTATCATTGTGTAAACACTTCCTATTCCCTGAATTTTCTAAATCAGGTCTCTGATAAAGAATCTGTTATCAATGTAAAAAAAACAAAAACCCTCTAGATTTAGTTTCCTTATACTTTCAGTTTTAAGTCCCAGTACAGAGGGAAGGCATGGCAATTATAAACACAGCAAAAGTCCATTTATGTACAGGCATGTTAGTATTGTTTTAAGACAGAATTCAAAAAATGTGAACCTGACCTTCAAAGGGCCCCACAGCTGGAGAGGGCCCGCTCTCATACCAGAGGCATCATTTGTTCAAAAGGATGTGATAACAGTCGAGGCAGAATTCACAGCTTCAGTCCAGTCTGGTTTAGGTCTGGGGGTACAGTGTGTCGGATTTTAACCAGTAGCACCACAGGTCAGCAGTGGCTGCTGCAGGGTCACTGCACCCTGCTCATTAATGGTCCCAGTTATGTGGCAGCTGTGGGTTTGATGTCACCCATTACGACAGACCACACCTCACACACACATGCATGCACAGGCAGCCAGGGTCATTTGGGCTTGACTCAACACCTCCCTTCCTCTTTATATTTCCCTCACTCCTTTTTATTTCCTTCTCTCACACAAACCTCTTAGAGAAATGGACTCTTAATCTTGATTTGCACGCAGGGATACAGCTTACACCTGTCCTGTGCCTCCACACATCCACACACAGTTTGTACAGCATGTTTACCTGCATATTTCTACCATGTACACACACATTAACACACTCAGGGAGAAAGCGAGGGGGGGAGCAATAGAGCTCAGATTTATGTTTTGGTCCTCTCTGAATGGAAACTTTTGTTCAGCTCTCAAGTTTACGGACGTGCCAACCAGGCCGACGCTTCACTTATGACATGAGAGAAGAAACATTTATCTACAGCCGCAGAGGAAGACATCAAAGCCAGACCTGGCACTGATGTTCGAGCTCTCCAACATACAAACACACAGGCACAGCCAGATCAGCCACGATCTGGTCGTCTCTGCAGCGCTTTCATACAACACCAACTCCAGTGGTTTTATCCATCTGCTCATAAGCTGCTGGCAGGTGACCGAGTCCCCTCTAAACCCCTGTGAACTATGAGGAGTTCAGGATTTTTATTTTGGCCTCAGAGGAAGGAAACTCACGAGACTGCAGCTCATCAGTGGACTGTGAAGAAAAAAGTCCACACAGAGGTTTTTGATTTTGCAAAGGCAAAGATTTTGCTAAGTACTTCTGTAAAATATTGCCAAGGCTGGCAGTTTTCACCTCTTCTGCAGCAGAGTCATAAACACTTGTGACGTACTCCGACATTAGATCTAGAAGTGCCTTCTGAACAAGCTTGACTTTATTTATCCTATTTTATGTTACGGATAATGTTTAGTGAGCAAGTGGAAATGCAAATGAAAATCCAGAGCAAGACCTGAAACAAAGCAAAAGCAATTATCGTTACCTCCTGACACACACGACCAGTCTGAGACGGGAAACGGCATTGACAGGCAGAGGTGTTTTTTTGCTGTTGAGGAAGAACCGCTGTTGTTTTGGGGTTCTGTCCAATCAGAATCAAGTAAACACAGCCAGGCGTGAGCAACCAATGATTATTGAGGATGCTTCAAAATGAGCAGAGGACCAACTTTGGGGTTAACTTTTCTCGGAGGTGGATTCAGGAGTTCCTAAGTATGCGAACGTGAAGCTCAAAAAAATCAAAACGTCCCGAAAGGGTTCATTTCAGTTTAATTTAAAAAGTGAAACCTCCTATTGTTACAGATTCATCACACACAGAGTGAGATATTTTAAGACTTTTTATGTTTGAAGCTTGATGGTTACTGCTAACAGCTGACAAAAATTTAAAAAATCCATTATATCAGTATGTTAGAATAAAATACCGATCCGATTGTACAGAAATGTAGATCTTCTGGAAAATTATGTTCATTTATGAACTCAGGTTTTGGTCGGAGCTCCTGCGTGAATTCCTGCATCAGTGCATCGAGACATCTAGGTAATCAGTCTGTACCTCTGCTTGTAAACCCAGGTTGCTTCAATAGCGGTCTTCAGCCCCTCATTGTTGGCTTTGTTGTCTCTCGTCTTTCTCTTGATGATAACTCCAGAGATTCTTTGTGGGGTTCAGGTCAGGCGAGTTGGCTGGCCAATCAAGCACAATAATACTGTGGTCAGCAAATCAGTTTCTGGACATTTTGGCGTTGTGGGCAAGTGTCCCGTCCTGCTGGAAAAGGAAATCTGTGCCTCTACAGAGCTTCTCAGCAGCATGAAGTGCTCTTGAATCTCCTGGTAGACTTTATGTTGTGTCGACTCTGGGCTTGATGAAACACAGTAGGCCAACACCAGCAGATGACATGGCACCGCAAATCATTACAGACTGTAAAAACTGGACACTGGACTTCAAGCAGCTTGGATTCGAGGCCTCAACAGTCCTTATCCAGACTCTGGGACCTTGACTTTAAAATGATGCAGAACTGACTTTCATCTGAAAACAGGATGTTTGACTCTCAGCAATAGTCCGGTTCTTTTTCTTAGCCTTAGTGAAACACTCATGACATCGCCTCTTGTTCAGGAGCATCTTGACAGTAGAAACACAACACTTGTAGTCCATTTCTTTGACACGTCGGTGTTTAGTGGCTGTTGATGCGCCAACTCTAGACTCAGTCCACACCTTGTGAAGCTCCTGTAAGTTCTTGGATCTGCTTTGTTTGACAATCCTCTAAAGGCTTGACGACTGTCAGCAGTCTTACTCACGATTGTTGTTGCCTGTACTGAACCAGAGTGAGAGAATAAAGGCTCAGTAAACCTTTTCAGGTGTTGAGGTTTAAAAAGCAGATCAGGACTAAAATCACTGACAAGAAACTGGACTTTTCCACCATATTCCAACGTTTTAAGATAGTAGATTTTTGATTTCTGTGGGTTGAAATCGAGAGCATATGGAAGTTTCACTTTCTGAATCAAACTATGGAGGAAAAAAATAACTTTTAATTTTTTATTAACACATTATCTCTTTATAGTTTGATCCATTCTTCACTTCATTGGGTTGCTAAGCTAGAAAAAAAATAAGTTGTGCAGGTCCACGTAGTGACTTCTCACAGATGTCTTGTACTGCTGAGTGCTGAAAGGTGGTGATGATAGAGCGCTTACCTCAGGAACAGATGACCTTTTGTTAAATTACTCTATTTTGTTGTCAGGGGACTGACAGCGAGTGATGATGGGGAAATGTGGCATGAACAGATTTGGGGTAATTACCACAAAAATAGCCTCTAATAGCATGCATGGTTATCAAAGCTGACAGGATTTGTCGATGAGCTGATAAAAAAACACTGGTCAGAGTTTCTCCCATGTATGTATGCTCTGGTTTCTCAAACTTTATACATGTGCAAACAGAACAGTGAAGGTTTTACGGTGTCAGACCTCAGTAGAGTCTCTTGATGTGCTTCTTCTTATTTCTTTATTTGTGTGTTTTTGTTTACGATCCAGGTGGCAGGCCGGAGGTCCAGACAGGCATATGAGCCGGAGCCTGTTGAGGGGGTGTGGTCTGTCTGGGGGGAGTGGTCAGAGTGCAGTCAGACTTGTGGTGTTGGCGTCTCACAGAGGAGTAGGAAGTGTTTACCTCCTCCGCCTCCCCAAGCTCCTCCCATCTCCCACTCACCACCAAACTGGGCGGGTTATTTACCCGGAGGTGGAGGTGTTGGAGGTGTTGGAGGTGTCTCACCTTCTCGCCCCTTCTACCCTCAGCGCTACCCAGGGCAGCACGTGCCCTATCACCCCCCACAGATCCCCACAAATCGCAACCCAGGACTGCCGCTGTATCGGGACACTGACGGCGGTGGAGGAGGAGGAAGAGGAGGAGTTCCTGTGCCGGGACAGGCCAATCCAGCACTTCCTTTTTACCAGCCAGAGTTTTCCCCCACAAACCAAGACTTCCCGTCAGTCTATCGACCCCCATACCACCCTCCGTCACACAGCTACAACCAGCCGGCTCGCATCATCAGGAGGCCGACCAATCCAGGAGCAGCCAGGGCAGGGAGTAGGAGATCCATCTCCCCCAATCGGGAGGTGCCTGCAAGGAGGTGAGTGTGACTTGGGAATAAGGACACAAACCAACTCCCAGAGCTTTGTTTATCACAAATATGTCAGTATATTTTAAAATCCAACAATAGTGGTTACCTTGTTGAAAATGCTGACTCCACCTAAGGTTGGATTGAAAACACAAAAGGCAAAGAGGCGGCGTTGAGGCAGATCTTTAGTCTGTCAAGCTAGCTGCACCCCTGATTTTGCAAAACTTATAACCTTGCAAAAGTCATTAGCAGGTGCTAACATACCACCACTTAAGGTTGGGTGTAGGTGGAGATGTGGAGCATCAGTTTCAGAGGTGTTGTGTGTCTTTGCATGTCTGAGGATGTGTGGATGTGGCGCTTCCTTAGTTTGTTGACCAACCGTTCCCATCACATTCATGCAACAAGGCAATGCAACACTGAGACGACAACTTTACAACTTTTTAGGTGTGTGCAAGTACAAAGGTGTGATGATGTCATGATTAGAGTGCATAAGAAGATAGTTTACACTTTACCTCCCATGTCGTTTGCAAAAGAGAAAGAAGAGTTTAAGACTGAAATGTTTTTTAAATCAGGCAGTAAACATTTTATTTTTCTTTCAAAGGTGGGCTTTTGTGACCCCGTCTATATGGCCTCTGAGGCTCTTGGAGACTGCCCCAAGTGAAAACTCAAGGAACTGCAGTTTTTAACACTTCCCCCACTTCATTTCTCAACCTTTGTGTTTTTTTCCCTTAGATACAGAAACATTGACTCAGACAACTTCCAGTGAATTCAAACTCTACTTATGCTTTGCTCAGCATCCCCAATCTCTCTCTCTCTTTTTTTTTTCCCAAGAAATGACTTGAGGCCACAGGAAGTGAGTTTTACATCACTCTCAGTAGCAACAGCGGCTTGTTCAGAATAAACAGAAAAATGCAATTATAAGCAAAAGAGGTATAAGATCACCACAGGGACACACACAAAGCAGAGATTTGTACCTTAATTACCATCAGAGAGGTCACAAAAAAAGACAAAGTGCTGACTCTGCAGCTTTGAATTCATTTGGGTGATGTTGTTGGAGAAAGTGCTGACTTTGTTGAGGCCTCGGAGAGTTCTAATGGTTTGAGTATTTGGAGTTATGCCCATCTGTGCCTCTGGTATCTGCCGAGCCATTACATCATTACTTCTGGTTTTTGTCACACAAACAGGCACCGCATTGCTCGGCCCGCTCGCCACAGCCTGCTGGCTCCACGTCGGTCATAATTAAGTTGAACCGCTAACATAAGCTGTGTCTGAAAACCGTCCTGTATTTCTTCTTTATCTGTGTCACTGCTTCTGTGAATACTTGTCTCTTAATGCCCCTTGTGTCTTCATGTAGGTCCTCCAGCATCCGCCCTGGTCAGTTTGGGTACGGCAGAGTCCCGTTCTCCTTACCTCTTCATCGTCCCAACCGCCAGGCACGCCACACTGCTAATGGTACTGAAGATGCAACACAAGGACCCAGGCTCGATGAAGACACCACAGAGAACGTCAGGAGAGAGGAGGAGGAGGAGACGAGGAGTAATAGAGAAGACAGGGATAAAAGGAGGAGTGAGGAGGAGGAGGAGGAGATCACTGAGGGCCCTGCTGCTGAGGAATCTCCTACAATGACCACGACCACAACTGGCAACCCACACCGCCACGTTGCCAGACCCTCCCAGTCCAACTCACAGCACAGCAGAGTGAGGGAGAGAGCCCCATCCTCTCACTCCTTCTCCCGTTCTTCATCGCCTTCTCTCACATCCAGCCGCCAACGCTTTGATTGGCACTCTGTTACCGCTCCGCCTCCCCCCATCTCTCCCCTCTCCCGCCCCGCTGCTGCTGCTTCACCTTATTCCACTTCTCTCCACCGCTCTGCTACACCCGCTCATAGAGACAGAGAGCTGCACCCAGGCTTCAGCCCTCAGGTCCCACAAGCTGGAAACGTCTACCCACTACAGCATCCACACATCCCACACCTGGGGGTCGAACCAGGCAGGGATGGAGTGAGAGGAGCTCCACAGGTGTACAGATGCTCTGGGCCAGAGAAGGAGTACCGCAGGTGCTTCTCACAGGTAGGAAAACTCCTGAAACTACTGTCAAATATCATCTGATACACTGATGGAGCACAGTTTTAATAATCAGCTCACCTATTCTCTATTAAAGGGATATTCCGGCGTAAATTAAGTTAGGGTCAAACACACCGTAACACCAAGATAGACAGCCCCTCGAGAGATGAATGTTGCCGACCGCTTGCTTCTCTAGTTATACCAACTTTAGTAATGACTGCACGATAGCAATACACAGTGGTCTGAGGAGCCATTAACAAACCTCAACCAAAACGCCACTCTATAGCCACAGATAATGCTCAGAACAGCACCTAACTTCATCAACAGTACATATAAGGTCCCAGCCACAGCACTAGCCACCAAACATCTTTTTAACTTTGCCTAATTTCTTTCGCAAAGGGACTAAACATAACTCACCCACTCTCTTCCAGCATCCGCTTGTTTGTAGCGAGACCTCGGGCGAGTCCATTACGGACTACAGCGGGGCGATGCAGCTCAAGGAAGAACATTTATGATCATTTCTTCATGGAAATGCAATCAGACCGAGACGTTAAGTCAGAAGAACTACAGCGTCTGCAGTGCAAAATGATTAATATGGTGATCAGTACTTTAAGGAAATGAAAAAGTAATGATCATAAATGTTCTTCCTTGAGCTGCGTCACCCCGCTGTAGTTGGTAATGGACAGATCCAAGGTCTCACTAAGTGCTGTTCTGAGCATTATTTGTGGCGTTTTGTTTGAGGTTTGTGTGTGGCTCCCAAGACCGCTGTGCATTGCTATGCTATCCTGCGGTCGTTACTAAAGTTGGTATAACTAGAGAATCATGCAGCAACATTCATTTCTCGAGGGGGTGTCTAACTCGGTGTTACGGTCTGTTGACCCCAAATCAATTTTACGCCGGAATATCCCTTTAAACCTGGAGAATGGAGAAGTGAGGTGGCAATAAACAGAGAGGTTAAATGTCATCAGGGTGTACTCGATAGGTAGATCATTCCCTGACTCCAACAATGGCTGCTTGTCTATGAGCGCTCAGTTAGAAACTGACTGCAAGTGCCTCCAAAGTGCCCGTCCTGGTCCACAAACAGAGTCCTCATCTACCCTGTGAAGCCATACTTCTACATTTGCGTTCTGATTGCACACATGTGAAAGAGTATGAATGTGTATTGTTGTACCTGTGTGTGTGTATCGGTGTATCATCTGGCTTGCAGCCTGCAGTGACAATTGGGGTTGTAACCTGCTTTACGCCTCTCAGTGCGGATCAGTGTGAGCATGATCTGTAGCAGAGTTTGTGCTGCCAACAGGAACAGACAGGCCGATCCAATCAGATGTGAGCCTGAACACTCAGGTGAGACAGTGAAGTTGCCCTCGCAGTCACTCAGATTTCACCCAGACAAGAATTTCATGCTTGATTTGACTCAATGAAACGCTGGAATTAGGCTGAATCATGTGTATAAAGAGCTCAGACTGCAAAATGAGTTTTCAGGGTTTCAGATTATATAAGCATTGTTGTCAACGTAATGAATTGTTTACATTTAGTCTCTTTATTGTAAAGCTTTACATTTAGAGACATAAAAACAACCATTTTGAGCTGTCGCCATAATTCACATAATTCATCTCTCAGCTGTTTGAGTGTACAGTTTCACTCTTGGCCCAGCTGCACATTTTCCATATTTGCTCTGAGGAAGAGCCAGTTTTTGGGAGAAATCTTGAATGTAAACATTTCCCCTCCCAACCAGTTTTCCCCCCAACTCCTCCTCTCCCCTCCCTCTCTGCTCCAGCAAGCCCCGCCCACAAAAAGACGCTCCTGCTCGCTCGTATCGTTTCAATTAAATTCAGATATAATGCAGATAAAGATTTTAGATAATTACAAATGGGGCCCAGTCAACGTGAAAGTAAACAGCATTGGTGCTACTGTAGACGCCAACAGACTACCAGCAAACACAATGTTTGCAGGACTTCTACAACTAGGATAAAGTGACATAAACCAGGACCTGAGGTCAACAGTTCACCTCTGTACAACACGCCGCAGGTCCCGCTCGTGAACATAATTCAAGGAAGTGGAGCGTACCAATCAGGTTGGAGGAGGCGGAGAATGGCTTTGTTTACAGTCAGAAAGAGCGGGCCGCTCAAAAATCTTTAAATGTTGACTACACAGACAAAAAAAACACAGCGATATCGCGATATTCCTAAATGTCATCAATAACTAATAGCTATTGACTGATATTAAAAGTTTTTTTATTTATACACCATAATAAAAAGATGCTCCTTTAACTGAATCCTGCCTACCCCACCTTTAAGAATCTATGAATAAACTGTATTCTCCGGCATGATATCTAACATCTTCAACTACAGCATCTTCAAATGTGAACATTGAGTCATTTGGTAAAATATTGTGTCTCTGGAATATCATAAAGAAAAACAAAAAAACAGAGGGTGAATCACAGTCCACTTCTTGTAAATAAGACATCACATGTGACAGATGAATGGGCTGACGAATGAAAAAATAAACACAAGAAAACTGATCCATCGTCCCCCTTTTAGATCTGATCTTTGGGACCAGAATACTCAGAGCGACATGTGAGCAGGTTATTAATGCCAGCAGGCCACTTCAAGCTTTTTTTTAAGTGAGAGAGCAGGAGGAGATGATAAGGTTGAAGTGACACACTTTGACACACTTGTGCATTTTTTTTACTCTCTTGAGTTATTTCCACAACTTGCTCTTCGGCTGAGTGGAAGTAGACACTTCAAATCCAGAGTTGGGTTGGCACTCGGAGGCTCTTGACTTCTCTCTGTTAAGATAATTTGGCTGCCGCTCTCGCCCTCTTTCACCCCCTCTTCGCCCTTTCTTTCTGTGCCTGTGTGTGATCGTCCCCATGTTGAAACAGATTTAGCAGCTGGCAGAGAACTTGCTTTGTGTGTATGTGCATGCATGTGTGTGTTAGTAGTGCTAATAGCAGTCCTGTGATGGCTGAACCTGATTCATTGGATTACATATTTACCCGACATTAGTCTCTCCTGCAGCCTTGTTTGCTCCTGCAGAAGACTGTCGACACACATTTGCTTAAAAGTAGGTTCCGATGAATGCAAGACTTTGCCCAGGCTTGAATACGATGTATGTGTAAGTGTGTGAGAGTGTGTGTATATGTGCGTGTGTGTGATTGAGGGAGTGAGCCAGACTGAGTGTGACACATCCTGTTATCTGTGAGGTGTGTTTGTCATAACACACTTCGCCCGAGGCCCACCATAAGTGTGACTGGCTGTGTGTTCCTGTGTTTTGGAGTTGCACAGAAGCGAGTGGGGAACCAGGAGCTGGACAGAGGAAATGAGGAGGGCAAAAAGGGGAAGTGTGTGTGCGTGTGTAATGTGATGATGATGATGTGTGTAGGGGTGTAAAGGAAATGATGCAGTGAAATAGTAGTGAAAGAGAGCACTGTTTTTAGCCAAATCTGCACAGAGTAGTGGGAGGCTGTGCTAAAGGGTGAAGAGAGGGGAGAACAAATGGGGATGAAAGTTTGTGGGGATGAGTGTTGAGAGAGAGAAATAGAGAAGTGTAAGAGTCAGCAACAACAACAGGGAGTGATGGAGAGAAAGAGACTTTCAGGAAGTTTGTGTCAGAGGAACAGTAAGATTCATGGAAAAGCCTACGTGTGCGTGCCTGTGTGTGCGGAGCATAACAAGAGCAGAAGTTATTCTGTCAGAGGGAGAGAGGAGGAAAAACAAAACTGTAGAGACATCAGATTCAAGCAGACTTTTCATAAAAAGACCCAGTCCTCCTCCTTCCCTCTTTAAGATGACCTTCAAGTGTTTTTATCCCCTTTATATGTCCTCCTGCTGTAAATGTTGACCATGAATCACCAACAGTGAACGCTCATGCAGAGACAAGTAAGGTTGGATCAGAAGCACGAGGTTTTAAGATGCACTAAGGCAGCAGTTCACCACCACATTTTCATAGCCTGAGTCTAATAAATTAGATTACCAGCTCTCCTTCACAGGCTGTTTTCCTGCAGTTTGAAGCTTAAGGCAGAGAAAACGTTCAGCATTACACAATGTTAATGCTTCAGTTGTTCAGTTACAGTTGCAAACTTGTCATGAGCTTTATCTCAGTGTTGAACATTATAAATACTTGTATTCTGGTTTCTGATAACTGCTAAATCTACAGCTACAGTATCTTTTGATATAGTCAACTATATCAAACCTTAGCTAATCAATTGACCAAGATTCTGTCTATTTACCTCCAAAGGCTCAGCATCTGTTGCCCTTAGAAAACACAGCCATTTGCCATGGTGCACAGCAAGAGTCACGCCCAAGATTTTCTAAAATTTAAAGTTGCTGGATCAGAGACACTTCTTTAGTTTCACCAACATGTTCGTCTCGCCAATATGACACTTGGCTTGGACCGAGCCTGCACGGGTAGCAGGCAGCTATCAGAAATCAAGTGCCTCTGTGTAGACAGTATCCTATTTTCAGTCGCTTAATCCTTCAAATAGTGAAATTGCATTTCTCTAAACCAGGAGGAAGGCTTAAAGACCCATTCTGATGAAAATCAAGTTTTTCTTGTTTTTTTAATATGTTCGTATAGTATTTTTCTGATGCTGCAGGACATATCAGGAGAAAGCTAAATGCGAAATTACTTTTCTGAGTATTTCTTCATTCAAATCACTGTGAATCTCTGGCAGACCCAAACAGCAGGTTCAGAAACAGTGAGATTTCATATGTAATCAATCCAAGCTCCGCCCCCGGAGCCTCGCTACGTAGGCCACACTCTGCATGTAGAGAAGAAATACAGAGGACGAACGCGGAACAAGCGTGTGCGTTAGTGGATTGCAATGTCCCTAAGAAATCTAATTATGATATTAACTTTCATCGTGTTCCTAAAGACATTAGCGTCCGAGAGCTGAATAGCTCTTATGTTACCTGCCATTTCTACTACACCGGCAATGTTAGGCTGCAAGCTAACGTGAAGAGGAAGCTAACGTGAAGCAGCGCTGTCTCCGCCCACGACTCGGAGGCGAATTGCTAATGATCTACTTGAGCTCTGCAGAAGAAAAGCCCTTGAAAATAACACAAGTAATGCGTTTTTTGGAGGAAAAAAACAAAAAACTTATCACAATTTAAAGACCACTGAGAACACATTAAGTAGTAAAAATAAAAAAACGATTGGTGTGGGACTTAAACCCACAGTCTGAAGCGGGTAAATGGTGTTTACATGAACAAAGAGAACCCAGTCAAAAGGCAGGAAACTCGAGTCTATATATATGCCGTCTACGTAAGTCCTAGATGCACCCTTATGTTTTCACAGTCCCTGTTTATTGATTCTTGTGGTCTCTGTTGGTGAAGACTTTCAGGTACATCAAGAGTGCCTCGCTGTGGTTTTTGTTGACGTTGTGGTCACTGCATGTTTAATGAAATGCTATCTGTTACTGCAGAGGCAAAACCTGATCAGAGTCAGTTACAGCAGACAGAGATAAGCTGTGTTTTTCGATGCTTCAGGACGACACACTATCAAATCTGCTAGATCACTGTCAGTATTAATTATTCATGATAATTGATGACCAAAATAATGAAGAAACACTCATATTGTAATATCTCATAATGATCAGTTTGAGTGACAGAAAAGGATCAGCAGAAATTTGAAGCCAATGTGTTTTTTTTAATAACTGCAGTGTTAAATTAATAGTAAAAGATCCAGTTGTTTTTTCTGCTGATTAAATTATTGAGCCTGATATTAATACAGTACAGACTATACATGAGTGGGAGTTTGGTATGACAGGCTCTCTCCCCCACTGACAAAACTTATACATCCCATGTGATAAACATGACAGCAAAGATAACAGAATAAGTCATACCGAGAAGCTATCCAAGATTTGAATTCTGGTTATTGCACAGAAACCAATTTATGTTAAAAAAAAATCTGATTTTTGTAGAACTTAACACATACATCGTAAATGATTTTGTTGATGCAGCTGAAGCCTGAGGAGATTTTGTTGCACACTAACATTGATTCAGGTTGCTGCAGAGTAAAATCAGATGATCTAATCCCAGCGTGTCATTACTCTGGCATTGATGTAGAGGTAATATATCACTCCAACTCTCATCACCCAGCCACACTTCTCCGCTGTAATGAGTGTTTGCAGCCGTGCACTTTGTTGTTCTTGTGAAGTGACAAACAGGCCCAGATGTGTTCGTTTATTAGACTGACACACAACCAGCCACGCAGACTCGATCAGACCGATCTGTGCTTTAGTTGCTTTGGTGTTTTAACAAGCAGCGGTACCTGTTGCTGTACAGAAACCAGGTACCGCTGCTTGTTAAAGTCTGTTTAAATCAGCTCCTGTGTGATCTGAGGTCACATCAAATCCTGGCCTCGTGTTTTTCATCTCATGCGTCCCTTTTTCTCCCGCACTTTGGACTTTGACATGCAATTTCTATTGAACGGAAGAAAATGTAAATATACTTTTAATTCCTCACACGATTGTTTTCTCTCTGACGAAACTAAGCGGTTTGCTCAGTGTCTGAATCAAGGGAAAAAGCTTGCCTGTTTTTTTTTCTAAGGGTAATAAATTGAATCGTTAAAAGTAAGTGTTTGGATTGTCCATGAAATAGACAGTGAACATCTGCAAACCTACAAGACTTGTTTTTACCCTTCAGTTTCCAGATTTCAGACAAGGGTAAACTAATCAGCTCTTGGCTGCTGCCTTTTATTCAGTGGAATGGATACAAGCCTGGAATTGCTCTTCATTTTTTTTCCTCAGCAAGAAGTTTAACAAGTGTCCTAAATGCCAAACAACTTCTTGAACTAGAAAAGGCCCATTTTGATCAAAAAAATCTCTCCATTAGTGTGCCTGCCAGTATAAGGAGCAGGAGAGACAGTTTGGCCGTGAACACGAGACATGGCAAAAAAAGAAACTAACTGAAACGTGATCGAGAAGCATGGATTACATTTAAAATACACTCATAACAAAGCTCCTGACCTAGAAAGCAGCACCAACGACCCCTTACAACAACTAAAGAGCTTTCTAAATCCATCAAGATAAATAAGACTAAACTGAAATACTCTAAAACATCTGCACTCAGAGACCAGAGCACACAATTTCCAATTTTTGCAATTCCAGATCCACTTGCAGAAGATTTCCGGGCAGAGGAAACAGCATTACTGTAAACACTTAAAGCTCCTCTACATAGCTCAGTACAGGCTGATTTTTAAAAGGAGATCCTGGGAAAATGGAGCATTTCTGTTCACACTCCCTTTCCCTACTCCCCCACCCTGTGAGTATGTGTTATATTAAGATTAACAGGACATAAAATAACTGTGGTGTGTAGAAATATGTTTTGAGTTTATAAAAAAGCTGCTGTAGGGACAGGAGAACATGGAAAGCTGTCACTTTCAGAGGCTTTGAGCAGAGATGTGGTTTCATTTATTGATCTTGGGGTTGCAGTGTTTATCTTTTGTTATTTTCTTTCCATACAATGGCTTAACTGTTTTCAGGCCTAAACTCAAATATTTCCTTGCATTTTGTTTGGCACAGAGCGGGGCCTCCTGCTTTAGAAAGTTTGCTTGTCATTGATAGATGAGAAGTGTTTCCTCTAGGGGACTCCTGACGCCCCCTCACTCAGCCCCTCCAGGGGGTCAAGGCCGAGACCTGGGTGTTACTCTGCAAAGCACCGACACACGGCCTCGGCCACGAGATTAGCCCGAGAATGTTAATCACGGAGGACAAACACATACGTGACCGTATACACACATATTAACATATGTCGTGGATTTGTGTGTGTTGCATACAGTGATTAGTGCTGGCAGGTGGAGTGTGTTGATTTATGGCCGCAGGGGCCGGCGGTCACTTGCTTTGTCTGTGCAGTGTTGCAGTAATGCTTGAGGAATGACCGGCCAGCCTTAACCTGTATGTGTGAGTGAGGCGATGTGACCAGCTGTGTGCAGGCACAGGCCTGCAGAGAAAAAACTGAGTCTGAGAGCACCAAGGAGGGCCATGACGACATCACCTGGGCTTTCCCTGTGGAAATGCACATGTGGTTGAAGGTTCCCGCTTAACTCATAATCTCTCCCTCCTCAAAACTCATTAGTCCTGTCTGGGTCGCTCTGAGTGTTTGTGTTTCACGTCACAGTGTTATGCATGACCAGGACCTTGGCTTGTGTGTTTGTGTGTGTGTGGCATGAGTTTGTGTGTGTGTGTGCGTGTGAAGAACAAAGCTTCAAGCCTTCAGGCAGTAACCTCCCCCTGTTCTCCTCGTATATATTGTACAGAAACCTCCCCTCTCCTCCTCCCCCTCCCTGCTGGTTAAACACACCTATAACTTTCTCAGCTTCTGTAGAAAAACACCCACTGTCTTTCTTTCAGCAGCTGGATTCACTTTTCTTTCACCTGCTCTGTACTCAGATCCATCTTTCACTCTTTCACCCCGTCACTCAGCCACCACATAGCTGCCAGTTTTTATACCTTTCACTTCAGGCTTCTTTTACGTCTGCCTATGGATCAGCGGGCCTTTCAGCGGATCTGGTTGATAGAAAAATCTTGGTTCTATAGTACTTGGGTGTTCCAGTGAGTCATCTTATTGACAAAGAATTTGTGCCAATAAGCCTGACATTTTAATGGTTTGTCTTATTGTTTCGATGTCCTGATGAAGACTCAGTTAACTAAGGTTTTTCTTCTGTGTCAGTGTCCTTGGATTTTCACATTTTCAAACTTTCTGAAACTTAAAGGCGTGGTTGACGATTGGAGAAGCAGTTGAAAAAAACTGAGCCGTTGAGTCAGATTTGAAAAAAGCATCCCACCCCCCACCCACAAACCTCTCTCCTCTGTGCTCCATGATAACTCCCCCCTGAACCTGTATCGCCCTCCCCACGACACGCCTCCTCTGGCAGAGCAAGAAGCTGGCCAGCAGAAGATCCTACGCTGGCTTCAAATAGGATTCACAATGTCGGATTGCTAGTGACTACCGGCAGTAAACAGCAGCTCTGCTAGCGAACACCATCTGTTGACATTGCAGGGACTAATAAGAGTTATTTATGTAACATGTGTCACAATAAAAAGCTAAAATTACCTGTTCAATAAAAACTCTGCTGTCTCAGCGTCTGTTTTCAGGCCCAAATCCTGGCGGAGCTTTCTCCACCGCTCGAAGGATGACCCGATGTTCCTCACATTTCCTCTTCGTCTCTGCCCTTTATTTTTGTGTCCTTCTCCATCACAGCTCCTGTAGCTAAGCCGCTATGCTACTTTTGGCTGCTCAGAGCTCCGAGGAGGGCCGGGAGAGTGGGAGGGGACGAGTCAGAACTATGGGAAAGGGGCGTGTCGAATACAGCGAGGTGATTGGATGGAGAGGCGGGGCAGAAGATTGACCAATAGGAGCTGTCCGGGACGGATGGCTCACATTGGTCAATAGTTTTGCAGCCCTGCACCAGCTAGGGTGAACAGATTTTTTTCCATTCTTTTTTCTCTTCACTTTGTGGCGATCGCACTACAGGACCATGATCGACATATAAACGAGGTTAATAATAATTACCAATCTCTCCCATCGTCAACTGTGCCTTTAAAACTACAGAGCAGCAAACACAAGTGGATCACATGTTCACTCTGACTCCCTCCTTCAACTCTCATTTATAGTTTCCTATAAGCACTTTGTTCAGGATCACTCTCTTCAGGTAATCTGGCGAACTTGCTGACCTGCTTACTTCCTGTCTGACCACACGTGCCACTCGCCCCTTGTGAAGTGCAATCAAGGTGTTTCCAGGTATCGGTCATTATACGGCTTTATGTTATAGTCACTGATTGATTGCCAAGTGGAGTGTTAATGATTGCTAGAACTGCAAACACAAAGAGACGGTGATTTTCCTCAGTCTGAACCAAAAAGAAAGTGAACAAAGAGGAGAGTAAAAACACGACTGTACGACTGCTTATTGTGTAACCAAACTTCTGTCATGAAGGATCTGTGTCCACTAACACAGTTTATGGTTTTCTGTGTTATGACCTCACCAGCTGGCCTGACTTGGGGCTTATACAAAACCTCAGTCACAAAAGGTCAAAACAAAACTGTTTATTTTGGAGATTTTAAATGAGGACGATATAACAGAGGAGCTCTTGATCTAATTCTGGTCAGGGGCCTTGGTTATACCTCAGACTCCTTTCTAATATCCTGTCTGTTTCCCTTCGTGACGAAACAGATTTATGATTTAAAAACCTCTATGTCATGATGAATCCATGAAAACATCTAATAACCTGTATTTTCTTTGCTTACTTGCGTCAGAAGTGAATTTGTTGAGTTTTCAGCTCAGACTCATTTTTGCTCGCCCCCTCCTCACACCACCTCTCTCCCCCTCCCTCACCCCCACTTCTTCAACTATTTGCCCCCCCACTCGCCTTTTCAATACCTGTCACTCTCCCTTTCTCTTCCCCTCTGTCACCACTCCCACCCCTCTCCTCCCCTTCTGTTCATGACCCCCTCTCGCAGGTTATAGGGACCCACAGTAAACAAGGGAAAGAGAGAAGTATACCACTCCTTATAAAAATAACACTCACAGCTCTTTTCCAAAACTGTGAAACAGCAGCACTCCCACGTCACCTCCCCTCCCCTTTTTTTCCTCCATTCAGTCCATTAGCCTCCCTCTGTTTTTACATACCCTAAACTGTTTTTAGGAGAAGAAGCCCCTCACTCTTTTGTGGTCATACAATCACCAACACATGAAAGCACACTCTTGACTTTTTCTGTCTCCTTTCTTTTCATTTCAAATTCCTTCCTCTGACTTTATGAAAGCTTTTTCTTTTTTGTTTTGTCTAGTTACTTTGCCAAAGCGCCTCATGACTATCGCACCATTTTGTGCGTGTATTTAGGGTTGTTGTAAACTTGGTGTTTATAGTCCCGCAGACACACACAGTAAGATACACAAAAACTATCTAGTTTAAACTGGGGCTCAACATATTTATGTCCAGCAGAAATATTTACAACCATTACCAACCACATTTCACACATGCATCCGGGGCAGATTTACAGTGTTACTTAAAAACATCAGGTCACATACAGGCGCCCACGTGCACACAAAATCAGCGGATGTTGCCCAAACACACTCTTGTATAAGAGGCTTTAGCCGGCTTATAATGTAAACGCTCATAAACGACACAAAAATAAGTCTGTTTCAGCAGCGTGAAACTGTGAGGCGTAAAGTTTCATATGCTGGTTTCACACGTCTGTAAGGCAGAAACAGAAAATGATCCTTATGAGAGCCTTGTGACAGGATGGCCACATGCACTCCTTCACTCACTCACACACACACACACACATATAAAGTGCAGTGAAAGTGTGAAATTCAGTGCAAGCTATTTCGGTTTATCCATGAGAGTCTTTTAGTTACACTTTGTCGCAAAAAAAAATGGTTCACATGGGAAATGAAGATCTCTGTGTGCAAAAGTGAGTGGGTAAAATTGAGTTACTCCCGTTCTTTTGTCCTTGCAGAAGAGTGAAGAGGATCTTTCCAGCTGTTTGTGGCAGCTGTGAGAGTGAGAGATGTTCAGAAAGAAAGAATAACAAAAGAGAAACGAATCAAAGAAAGAGAGGAGTGAAAGACAAGAAGATTGCAGAGCTGACTAGGATAAGAGTGACGAGGAAATCTGAGAGCTCTGTTTGCCCCATCTGTCTGTCTGTCTGTGTGTGTAGATATACTTCAAAGAGTGGTACAGGATAGTTGTGGTTTCCAGTGCTACCTGATGAAGCTAATTGAGTGTACTCTAGTAAAAGTACAGTTAGAATAAATACTAAAACACTGTATCAATATCGCTTATTAAAATAATTCCCTAAAAAACAAAGTAAATCTGCAAAAGGTACTTTGAAGAGCCGTGTAACATCTATCCATTGCGTTGGAACAGATAGATTGCTAACAGTATGCTAGCAACTTGTTCTCTTGGCATAGCACCCTTGGCTCTGTCCAAAGGTTATGAAATCTGCCTACTGAAAACTGTAACAAGTAGATTAGTGAGCTTTAAAGACCTGGAATGTGGAGTTTGTGACTCTTGGACGCAGCTTGGCTATTTTTTTCTCGCCTGCTTTCAGTCTCTGTGATATGCTAAGCTGCCCGGCTGCTAGCAATAATTTCATAGCTTTATAGTTTGATGCCAAAGCAGTGGAACTGTAATCTCATAGTTGTACGGCAGCGAGTCGAACGGCGTACAGATATGGTAGTGCCAGCAACAGAACTTAATACAGATGTAGTTCTGTTTAGCAAATTGACTATCTTATCCAACCATGATAGCAAACTAGATTTTTGTAGTTAGGGCTTCAAATAATAAAGAATAACTGAGGAAATCCTTCAGAAGGAACCCTCTGAGCAATAGACGGCTATTAGACATATAGTTTATTTTAGACCTAATTTCAACCGTCTAGATTCTGTATATTTTTGGACAGAATTTAGACATTATTCGATAACTATTTATTTCAAAAAGCAACTGTGAGTTGCATAACTGATTTCCAAGTACTTAACCAAAATAATCAGACAGCTGTTAAGCAATATACAGTGTGGTTTAGATATAGCTCTGCTAACTTGCTAGTCTCAACTTGGTCTAAATTTAGATGTCTTAAAAACTTTCATTTCTAGACCTGTAATAGCCTGATTTTAGACCAGTTGTCTAGGCTACATCTAGTTGTCTATTAGACCTCTTTTAGATCAAAAAATGCTCAGTTGGTACTTAAAGGGATATTCCAGTGTAAGATTAATGTAGGGTCATGGAAATGCAATCAGACCGAGACGCCAAGGCACCATACCAGTACCGTACTACTTCAAGGAAATGATAAAGTAATGATCATAAATGTTCTTCCTTGAGCTGCGTCACCCCGCTGTAGTCCGTAATGGATTGGCCTTAGGTCTCACAATAAACAAGCGGCTGCTGGAAGAGAATAGGTGAGTTGTGTTTTGTCTCTTTGCTCTTTGTCTCTTTGTGCTATGGCTGGGACCCTATATGTACTGTTGATGAAGTTAGGTGCTGTTCTGAGCATTATTTGTGGCTATAGAGTGGCGTTTTGGTTGAGGTTTGTTTATGGCTCCTCAGACCGCTGTGTATCACTATCTGCGGTCGTTACTAAAGTTGGTAAAACTAGAAAAGAAAACGATCGGCAACATTCATCTCTCAAGGGGGTGTCTCGGTATTACAGTGTGTTTGACCCTAAATTAATTTCACACCAGAATATCCCTTTAATCTTTGGGTTTGAACAGAACTTTGTGGTTTATTGTGCAAAATCGCCAAACCTTTAACATCTGAGGATGTGATTCCTTATTGTAAAGGTATCCAGCTGTATCACAGACTGCACTAACCAGACAGACAGACTTTACAGTAGAGCCATACAATCACCGTGGCTTTAAGATTATATAACTTTCCTCTGAAGCTCAGTGAAGTATAAAATAGCATGAAATGGGAATACTACCTGGAGATTATACTACAGTGCAGCACTTGAGTAAGTCATATTTCCCTTTGTGTGTGTGTGTATTTGTGTTTATATGTCCCACAGGGCATGGGCAAAGCTCAGAGAGTTATAGTCAGTACAGTAGAATAAACCAGGAGCTGTGTGTCTGCCTGATGCTGCAGCTGTTGTTTAAGTGCAGGTATGCTTAAACTCTTTCCACTGAACAGCTCCTCAAGGACTCTGCTCCAAGAAGCACAGGCTGGACATGTGCACATAGACGCATGCATACATACGCATGCACGTGCTCGCACGGATGCGCGCGCACACACAGTCACAAACATTCTGCGGTCATGCACTAAAAGCCACGGTGGATTTACGAGAGGAGTCCTTTCCAAAAATCTATTATTTCCATATGGTTCTAATACACACTCGGACTGCCAAGAGCAGCACAGAGACTAAATGAATAGATGTGTGTTAGAGTGTGTATATCGGGCATGATTGCGTGTTTGCACTTACTCCAGGATCTCAAGTTAATTTTCTCGTCTTTATTAGCTGTTTTTCCTCAATTTTTCTTCACAGCATCCAACTCCACCCTCATTTCTCCTGGGACTTGGAGAAAAATATCCATCTGTGCTTAACAGCAGCTGATTTCGTATTGGATCAATGTGTGGCACCTCACTCTCACTTTCTATCTCTCACTCTCACTCTCTGCGTTTCTGTCCTGCAGGTGTGTGGAGGAGGTGCGTTGGACTCCAGAGCTGAGCAGTGTGCAGCGTTTAACACCCAGGAGTTCATGGGTCGCCTCTACAACTGGGAACCTTTCACTGAGGGTGAGGACTGAGTAAACACACACATTTTGCTGCACAGAGCTTCAATGTGATAATAGGCTTATAGTTTAAGAATTAAATGTTGAAAGAGGGAGGAAGCAGGAGGGGGGAACCATCTGTAAAATGTGTGTTTAAGTGAGTGAAATGTTGCTACGGTATTAGTGTGTTGGCAGGCCTCCACCGCCTGCCCAACCCTCCGCAACCCCTCCTCTCGGAGAGGTGGTGCGTGTGGTGTCAAGGGTGTTGAGAGTCGAGGGGAAAAGAGAATGACTGGAACTCAATCTGCTTTTTATTCTTTGCTCTAAATGCTCTCCTTCCTCTCTTTTTCCTCCCATTTGTCCAATGTCTCCCGTCCTCTCCTGCCAAATTTTCTCCTCCCTGCTCTGACTAAGCACTCAGATTCCTACTGAGTGAGACAAAGAGGGAGCGAGTGAGAGAGAGAGAAAGAGAGAGAGAGAGTCTGAAAAAAAGGGAGGTGAGAGGTGATGAGATGCGAGTGTTTTTGTCACATGACGGCTGGGAGCAAAGGGAGAAAACGTGGCTGTGTCTGTGTGCGTATCTGACTTTCTTTCTGAGTGCGTCCTTGTGTGGTTGAGTGTGTTTGTTTACTTTCTTGTTAAGAGTACAATGGTCCAACTGCATGGCGGAGATTGTGTCTATTTATCTTTGTTTTCCAATGCTGGGGGGGAAGTAGGGGACAGAGAGGAAAAACAGATATTTGAAGAATTTGGAAGAAAAGGGGGACAGTAAATAGAGAAAATATTGAAAACGTGGGGACTTAGGGAGTAAGAGAAGGAGGAGGGGAAGAGAAAGAAGCACAGCTGTTCGCTGATATCAACAGTACTTGGCATAAGAGTCGTATATACGGTGAAGATGCCTCTGTGTGTTTACAGTATGGGCTCGCTGGTATGTGTGCTTCTGCGGTAGAAGAACAGCTCAGTGGATCTGAGATAACATGTGGAAAAATGTTTGTGGATGTAAGTCTGTGTATGTGTCTGCCTGTGCACTGTATCTGCTGGCAGATGTTCCTAAACATAGAGCCAAAACACTAGAACAGCAACACAAATCAACGACGTTAATTCAGTCTTACTCCGTGTACAACAACACAAGCATAACAAGAACACTTGTTCAAGCATACTACTAAAACCAGACTAAAACTTTTGCTGAGACTGTAACATAAATAAGGTTTCATGACATTTTGAGAATATTTTGGTATGACCAGGTTACAGGCCTGTTTTGGAAAGTAAAAAAAGATTTTTGGCGATACTTTCTGCTTTTTCAAACAACAAAATGTCAGTAAATTTGCAAAGATGTCAGGTGTTTAAAACTTGCACACGTTGACTCTTCTGTGAACACCATCTCCTCATAAATAAAAACAGATATATTTTCACTGGCAGCAGAGTTTGTTTAAAAATGAGAAAAACAAGACAGATGATTTTACGTGTCTTTGCCAGACCACTAAACCACATCTTTTATCACTTTTCTGATTAAGTGGCCTTGATGAAAATTTTATGTTCCGTGTTAAATTGGACTTTAAAGTTGCTCCAATTAAGAAATACCCCAAAGGTAATGTTGTAACCTAAAGGAGTAAAGTGCTTATAACCCACCGAAAAATATCCCTCAACACCCCCACAGCTTTTTCCTACGGATCATTTTAGCGTCTTTTAGTCGGTTGTTTGAGTTTCACTTTCACCAACCTCACAGTCTTGGTTCCAGATGCAGCTGGCAGATGTTTTGAGTTAAAAAGCTCTGACAGAAAAAAAGCATTACGCTCTACCTGCTCAGCACTGAAATAACAAACAGACAAATACTTGATTAGACAGAAAGTGGGACATCCAAGCCGCTAAAGTGGAAAAGGTTTCCTGTTGTCTGAGAAAAAGGAGAAAAACATACAAGACAAGTGAAAATTGGACCCAGTTTCTTTGTGGTATTCAAGAAATTAACTCCAAATACATTTGCAGATACTTTGTGACTTCTAAAAACCCAAACTTCTTAGGTTTCATACTTAATGTGTTTCTGTTGAGACCCTTAAATGATACTTTAAAGCTGTCAAAACCAAAACACATAAAGCAGCTTTTAATGTATTTCTGTTTTATGTGCTCAAACACAACATGAACTGAGCTCCATGAATAAGCAAGAGTGACCCTTTGCTTCTTTTATTCTGTGTCATGCATGCGTTTGAAATTACCATAAAGCCCTTTAGGGCGTTTCGTTGGTGCAGCAGTCCTAGATTTGATTTATCCACCCAGATCCCGGCCTTTCTTTGCAGGCCTTGCATGTTTCCCTGATTCCTGAATGGATTTCCTTCTGCAAATCCAAAGACATGCTGGTTGGAGTGGACCATATGGACAAAATTATGGTGCCATTTTGTTTTGCAACCAAAAACTTTGTGATATAACATTTTTATTCATCTGGAAACTTTGAATCTGCAGGAGAAAAAAACTGATAAGAAAGTTGCCACTATGCAAACCCTGTCCCCTCAGTTGTGTCTGTGGTTGTGTTTGCCCTGTTGCCCCAGTTTGTGCTCAATATCCTCCTGTGTCCCCAGAGGATCTGCGGTTATAGATAATTGGTAGATTGCAAATTGCATTTACATTTCTAATATGAAAGGTCAGAGGCAGGTGTTTTCTTGTTAGAGAACTTCTGTTGATTTTGCTGACGTGTTGCGTCTTGTCAGAGCAGCCGATCAATTACGTAGATGCAGTCAGATCTAGACTCCATATGCCGTACATGTGCCTCAGAAGTCATCACGGGGGTATCAGCTGGAGTCTTGCTGTCTGCACAAACACAGGGGCTTTCCTTTCACCGACCACCCCCTGTTTTGTGTGTTTCAGGGAAAAGATAGAGATTACTGTATTTATCTGCTCTTAAATTCTTCATACCTGCTCTGCCTCCTTGCCCTTTTGCTGAGAGGGGAAGAAAAACAGACAGTTTCTGATGGGGAGGGGACCGGGGAATGTGAAACCATGAATATGTTGTTCGAAGCCACATTCTAGTCGAGTTAATGTGAGAATAATTTGGATGAAAGAAGCCACCAAATGGCTGATGTTGGATTTATAGGTTGACAGTAATACGAGAAGATATAAGGCTGTATTTGTCTGAAGGTTTTTCAGATGACGTCAGCCGGGTCACACACACTCCATCAGTGCTGGAGATGATCCTTTCCACTCTGCTAAGTAAACTGTATCACACTGTTTACTCCAGCCCGCTCCCATTGGCTGCAGCCCAATCCTTCATATCTAGTTTCCCATCAGCACACTGCAGGCTGCAGGAGTGTGCGTGTGCGTGCGTGATGTATTAGTCATTTATCTCCAGCTGCACTCATCTGTTTAGGACTTCATGTGGCACTGCATACATTTCCACTTTGTATTTATGTTTGACCCCGCAGTTAGCTTTTGCTACTTAGCATGTGATTTTTCTGCCCCAAAGGTGACAGCTGGGCTATGTATGTACTACAGAGTGTTGTGGCCTATGGTTTGAAACTGGATGCTTACACTGTAAAGCTGCCACTACAGCTGTAAACCACAGAAGTTATAGTCCTGATTCATTTCAGCGGTTTCCCCCCCCCGTCCACAAGCTGAGCTCTCAATAGCACTTCCTCTTAGTTTTGTTAACGCTGCACGTGCAGGTGTTGTTTTACTTGAATATTCCCTTTTTTCAGGCTTCATCCCCTCTCTGCGCACTCATCCTCTCCTCTTCCTGTCCCACTGCCTCTCTCTTTCTCTCTCCCTGTTGGAGTTTGTTTAGACGGAGAGATAGTGGGGAAGTATATTTAGACGACATATATTCCACTGTCTGAACACTAAGCTCAGAGAGAGAGATAAAGGGAGGGAGACAGTGGAAGAGAAAGAGAGGCGGAAAAAAAAGAGAGACAGAGAAGTAGTGAGAGACAAATAAAAGATAAAGCCAGGAAAGGAGGGAAAGAATTCAAGGTGACTGGGAGATGGAAGAGAGGGAAGAGGAGTGGCGAAGGAGACGAGGAAGGTGAACGCAGAGAGGGAGAGGCAGGGAGTGCATGAGTGGCAACACGTCTCCCACTTTTAGCTCTCCCTCTCTTTTCGGTCACTGTCTCCAGTCTCTAATCTCTTGGAGATAACCATGACAGGCTGATGGAGAGAACATGAGTGGAGAGAGAGAGCAGCAGGAAACTCTGCCTCCCTTTCTGTTTCTTTCTAAATATGTACTTTATATCTGCTTCCATGTCATTATCAGACGGTAGACAATTAATCTGCTCTCCTAAAGTAGCACAAGCTCTTACGTTGTTTTTGGATTCACAATAAGTCTTTGGATATCCGTTTTTAAAGTGGAAAGTGTTTCTCGAACTCACTACAACAGTACTGTATGAAAAATAATTATCTTATGGCTATAATTAATCATATAAATGGATCCATATATCTGTATAAAGTTCGCCAGAGGAACTGAGAGCTAGTCTGGTGAAATATGATCAGAGTAAAGCATATTGAGAGAAGAAACCAAGGCCAGAGTCATCTTCACATATAACCAAAACTTACATGTTGTTTTTTGTAAATGTTAAGTGACCCTTCTTTACTCACATTGGCACCACATATGCTGATGATACCTTGTTGTATGTTAGTGATCTTACATACTGAATGCTTTCTTTCACAAGTTGGTTCAAACATTGAAGAAATTACTGATTTTTAACAACAGGAAAATAAACTAATAAGTCTGCCTTAGTGCACACAAAAGAGCCGTGTACCTGACTTTGACATCTGCTGAAGCACCAGCACAACATATTTGAAGCATTTATAAGCCAAGTCATCCAGCCGGTGATGCAGTGACTAAATTCGCCTGCAAAGTTTTGGAAAGATAAACATCCAGCCGGGGTCAACTGTTTGGTGTGGAAAGCTTGCTGACCCACTTCTAAGCCACTACTACACACCTTAATGTCCCTAACATTCAGAATTTGGCAAACAAAGCCATGAATCAGGATCGATGACTCACAGATTATAAACACACACATGGAGTGAAGGTCGGAGTTTTTATTTTTAGGGAGTTTAACCGCAGAGAGTCCACCACATTTATTATTCAAGTGGCAACAATAACGTCATGACTTGGTTTTCCCTCTTTAATCTTACAACCCCTACATCTGGCCCTTCTCTTTAGGCTGGATGAGACTTGTGCACTTCTTACTTACACACTTAATAGAAAAGTTGTTTTAATTCAGCTCTGAGATTCAATGTGCTTTATTTGGATTTATGATTTTGTGCTCTCTATAGGACCCTCAAGCTCAAACCAAGGATCTGATGACCTTTCATCCATGTCCTCTCCTTTATCTCCTGTGAACCTCTTGCCTCTGAAAACAATAAGCTTTTGGCTATTTGCTGAAAGGACATTTTCCCATGGCTTAAACAGTCTTTAATATTATCATATGAAAATGTAGTGACAGTATAATATCAGAATCATTCCACGGTTTAATTAGATTTTCCTAAAGGAGGAACTGTTTCAAAGAAACGCCTAGTTCTCAAACCGCTCCAGGGACAGTACAATAAAACTGTACAATATTTTCTTCTGACCACTTTTTGGCAAGGTGTTCGAGTTATTCTGTGAATGTAAATGAAGTATCAGGTACATTTCTGTCTGAATTTGGCAGAGAAATAGGAAACCACAGTATAAGAAGTCATATATCCTGAAGGTCAGAATTTGTCCTTTTAACCCCTGAACCACCACAGACACACATACCTCTCCTCTATAGGTAACTAAACCTATAAGGCATTATTACCCATACCAGGATCTCAGGTTTGAACTCTGTTTGACACACGCACAACAGCTTTGCCCGAGCCCTTTAACCCTGTTGCACAACCTCAGTCTATAACCTTAAAGAAAACATGTAGCTGCTCAGTGCTCCTCTTTGTTCTCCAACATTGTCTGTCATGTAATAGGATAAGTTTAATATTTTTTCTTCTATTTGAGACAGTGATCCCTCCTCCTGTGTTAGGGTCTGCACCAACCCGTTTTTGATTTTAAATGCTTAAAAGAAACACATAAATTAGCTTTTTCGCATCAAGACTTTTTGACTTTGTCAGGAACCTCTATTTCAACAAAAAAAAAAAAAAATGAAATTGACTAAATTATAAAATGCTCTCATTAATATTATGGCACTTGTCGTGTTAGGGTCGCTGTTGACCTTGTTAGATCAATATCTAATAATTTGAGCAAAAATCATAAGTGTACTGTCAAGCACCACACTGACAGTCAGATCCTCTTCCAATCATGTGAGATTTAGGAAAGTCTTATTTTGCCTGTTTTTTCCCTGCACAAAAAACAACGTTGGGCATGTCCAGACATGTGAGATCAATTCAGTATAGATGTCTGTGTGAGGGGTATTCTGACAAAGAAAGGCCCGGCAGCACACAACAAAAACTATTATAAGCAATATTTTCATGGATAATGAAGCCAAACAAGGTAACCTAGAGATGAGAACCAAAGTGGATGACAGAGAATTGTTTTTAGTGTAATTTACAGCTGATTTAAGACACAGGTTGAGAGAGTTATTTTCAACTGTCTGTATCACAGTTATCAAAATATATATACATAATGGCAAATAAAAGTCATACGATTCATTTAAACTGTACATACTTCACCACAGTTCATTCAGAAGATCATACTTCAAATAAAGTAGTCGGGAAGTGACAGTAATAAAGATTACCAACTAACCAAAGACTGGAGAGCTCAGTTCTCTGCTCCCACCTTCTTAGGTAGGTTACCAACCTCTGCTGGGTGGTGACTGTACAATCAGTCTGTAAGGTCTAAAATTACTTCACTCAGTGGGCTCACAGGATGGATTAAAAAAAACACGGATGGCACAACAGCTACCCCATGTAAAGCTGAAAAGTTTAGAGCTCCCTCTGGTGACGTCTCCATAGTAACAGATGGGACATGGGAGATTACATGATTTCAGTTTAGAACAAAGAAACTGATTATTTGAGGTTTTAGTAAGAAGAGGTTACATGATGCAGCTAAAGCATACACCCAGACTGATATGCTGTCATACCGATAAAGGAGATGAGGATGTATTTTACTTCTAAGACAAACCCTTTTTGTATCTCCCTTTGTGTTCTCAACAGGCCTGTTTGTCGGCCTATTCTCTTGGTATCAAAGCACGCCGATTCCTGTCTTTCCCTTGAAGCTATCTCGTCTTTCTCTGAGCTTTCTTTCTCTTCTTTCTGTCCAGCTACATGCCTCCCTGTTGTGGGTGTCTGTTTGGTTCCTCTCATAAATCAAACCCTCCTCAGGCTCATGTTTTCACTGCTCTTCTGCTCTTCTGGGGAAGTTTCTCCAGGGAATGTGCAACAGAGAGTGCACTTTAAGCAGGGGGGAAATAATGAATTACTTTAGTGCTTCTTGACAGTCAGGGGTTAGATGGTCTTACCTCGGTTTCCTGACCACATGGAAAGATGTTCATCACCCAGCTGTGTCTTCTCAACACCAGGCAGAAATAAAAGAACAGGAGATCTATTTCACTTATGCAACTTACAAGCTGTGCTATAATCCACCTAATGTGTGTACGTGTTTATGCGTGTGTGTGTGTTTGTGTTGCAGTTGGTGCGGACAAGCAGTGTGAGCTGACCTGCAGACCAGCTGGCTACCGTTTTTATGTCCGTCAGGCTGAGCGGGTCAGAGATGGGACCCTGTGCTTCAACGTGAGCACAAATGACGTCTGTGTCGAAGGACGGTGTCTGGTGAGTGTGTTTAGATGTGAGTTTGTGTGTGTGATAAAATTTCACGTTCACATCAGCGAACTGAGCCCAAGACTCTGCTGTGCAGCCAAGGTTGAGAAAAACCAGAACCTGGCTCTCCAAGTCTCTCGTCTGGAGGCTGATTTAAGCATGGCATTCAAACTCAGGTTGTCTCCAGTCTTCTTTACTAGCTAGCCCCTGACCTTTTTCTCTGTGCTCCCCCTCTCTTTCTTTCATTTGGCCTTTTTGATTCACTTTCTAATTTTGCCCTTTTTAAATCACCTCTTTCTAGTAGGAATCTTGCCAGAAACAGTCCCCAATTCACACAAACACCGGTGAAATAAACACTGCCAATGGACACGAAATGTCAACAAGTTTCAAGCAGCTTTTTCCTGCCTCTCCTGCTTCTCTCTACTCCTTTCATTGTCCGTCCCATCATTCATGTCATTCCACCTTCTCTTGCCAGACGGAGGGCTGCGACGGTGTCCTTGGCTCCGGCTCTGTGATTGACAAGTGTGGAGTGTGCGGAGGGCAAGAAACCTCCTGCCGAAAGGTGACTGGAAGCTTCCAAAATGTCACCGTTCCCCTCGGTTACCACAAGATCCTGGACATCCCTCCTGGAGCGACATTTATCAATATTACAGAGAGACGAGCCAGTCCAAATTACCTGGGTAAGACCTTGTTTAAGACGAAAAACTGTTCTCACACACAAGCATTTGCAGATTTATTGGCGTGCTGGTTACAGTGTGAGTCGCAGAGGAAAATGCAGATGTTGCTGGCTTGGACTAAGGAGACTGCGGGTGTTGTGGCAAACTCAAAGCAGATAAATTCAGAGTTTTAACAGCTTATAAGGAACCGTTGAAGTGTGTGCATGTGTGCTTGTGAATGTTTGTCATCTCCCTGTGTAGTAAGGAGACAGCACTCCGAAGTCTGTGTTTGTCTTTCTGGAAGTGTATTTGAGCTCATGGGGTTATCCTCAGAACTCACTGCTTTGTAGACTAAACATGGTCAAAACAAGAGAAAGACAAAACTTGACCCAAATCTTCTCCATCTAACCCCCCACCACTCTCTTTCTTCAGCCATGAGAAGCGGCACTGGGGTGTCGGTGGTGAACGGGCGTTGGGCTGTGGATCCACCAGGGGAATACCAGGCTGGAGGGACCTCCTTCACCTACGCCCGACCTCGAGCACAGGTCGAGGGGGAGGAGGAGAAAGGAGAGTCCCTGAGGGCTCGAGGACCCACCACTGCCCAGCTGCAGCTATATGTGAGCACAGGAGCACAGGAAGGCTTTTAATTTAACCCTATAAGCAAACATGCACCGTGGAATGGCGAAATTAAGTTACCGATAAGAATCACATTCATACTCATAGACACATATGTGAACATACATCTCCATAACATTTTTCTAAGCCTAAGGCTACACATGCCTGCTCTGTGTCAAGATCCGCAAGATAGACTGCATTAAATTGGTATTACTGCAGGATAAAGACAGCTATACTAGAGCTTAACCTGAGCCACATCATCGTATCCAGAGCTCAATAATAACAACTCTAACCTCAGGCTAAGATCTTATTAAAGAACGGGAGTCATCTACAGCTTTGCATCCAGCAGCTTTGGAGCAGGAGGGGGTAAAAACAGCCAGGATCAGCCAGAGCCGGAGTTTGAACTCCTCTTGAATCGCTGGAATTTTTAAGACTCCGTGAGGTTTTGAAATAAGACACAAAAAGACTAAAAGTCAGTTACCACCCAAGTGGTTCTGCAAGGATGAAATTCTTATTACATGCTCTAAATAAACTCTTGATAATTGAAAAACAGAAAAACAAATCTGCTCTCAGTGGTCTGGGACAAGATTTACAGGTCTGTATCTGGTGTATGTCGCTGTAGAGGAAAGTCAATATAGAGTGTTTGTTGAAGTGTTTATAGCAAACATTCGCTCACACTATGAGTTTTTTTTTATCTTTAAATATAACTCAGAGCCACTGAGCATGATGCCATCAGATGTAAATAAAGATCAAAGTGTCTATCATTATGCAATAATTAAGTCAGGATGATAGTTATCATTAGATCCTGTCCAACAGTGTCAACATGTCCTCAGTTTGAGTTATTAATGTAGTGCCTTGTGTGCAGATGTACAGGTTTGTTAATTTGAAGAGTCCCTGATTGTGTCTGCAGTGTATAGAATATCAATACATGCACATAACTCATGCAGGGACCTGTATTTACTCTCTGCACTTGTAGGGGAATGAGGGAGAGGAATTGAATATGCCAGCTTCAGCCCAGTGTATTTTAGTCTAAAGGCTAAAATCTGCCATGCAAATATCAACATGCCAGCCTGCATGTGCACCTGGCTCTTAAAGGGAATGTGAGCAGGCATCCTGACTGCTTGTGCTTTACTTAGCACTGAGATTGTGCACCATTTAACCAGCAAATGTGGTGGATCATGTCCTAGTTCACGCTGCACTATGCGCCTTTAGACCGTGCATTTTAGATCAGTTACACAGCGCCATGAATCATTGCCGGATCAAAAAGAAAAGAGCATTTTTGGCTGTTGATCAAACTATATTTACATCATTTGAAAAAAAGTCAGTGTGGATAAAAGTTTTGCTGTCGTGCAACTGTAGTTTATGAAGTTTTGCGGGCATTGACTGTATAAGATCCCGTAGGAGGGGTCAGTATTAAGAGGAGGGACACATAATGACACACAGGCATCCTCAAGCAGTCTTTGTCAGTGTAGCTCTGTAGCTCACCTCGCCCTTTGACCCCCTGTGAGGGAGGAAAAAAGCTGTTTTAAGGGTGTTTTCCATCTCTGACTCTTCTTTAGCTTTGTTTCTCTCTCTCTTCTTTCCCTCTCCTCAGATCATTTTCCATAAGGAGAACCCAGGAATTGACTATGAGTTTTATGTCCCTGTGGAGAAGAAGGACGGAGAGAGGGAGCCACCCAGAGAAGCACCCAGAGAGGCACCCAGAGACAGGCCGAGGGAGCGAGAGCCAGGAAGGGCACCCCTTCGCAGTACGAAAATCCCTTAATCTTTTTAATTTTCTTTGTTTTTACGGTCAGCTGTGTTCTGTGCTTGTTCTTTAAGGTAACACAGAGACACCAGGTCGTATATGTACATCTGAAATGAATCTTAAATAGAGCGGAAGATCTTGAGATTCATTCTTTCCAAATTAGTCAGGGAAACACCACTCCAGCCCACATCCTTGGAGAATGATTGACGTGTTTATGGATCAGGACGGGTGTGGTTGTGGGCCAAGTAGGAGGGATTATTGTGTTTGTGTGTTTGTGTTTGACCTAGATGGGAGGCTATCTGGTCCACATGTTCGCTGTCATGAGACCCTGACCTCATCATGACATCATTAGCCTCTGACTCACTGCCTTCCTCCTATTTTAGATATTTCAACATTCAGCTCTTCCCTCTCTCTTTATCGCCTTTTCCTCTCCCTCCTCCTGTCTGTTTCCCAGTCTCTCCCCCTTTACCTCCAGTGTTTCCCATTTGTCTTTATGTCCACCTTTGTTTTTTCTACCATCACAGGTCCTCACTCCGTGTCAGTAGAAGACTCCCCTCCTGTTCCTCCTGTTTCACGCCCTTCTTTCCCCTCTCACTCGTCTGATCGTTGGGCGCTTGAGAGATCCCGTCCACGGGGCTCTGCACCCAACAGGAATGCCCGGATCCCCCCTCGCACTGACCTGCCACCTGACACTCATCCTCCATTTGTGTGGAGGAGAGGTGGACTCACAGAGTGTTCAGCTTCCTGTGGCAAAGGTCAGAACCAGATAAACCTTTTAGATCTTCATATTTATGTCATGCTTTGATAAACTCCCCTAAACACAAAATTCAACCTACATACATTGAGTGCTGTGACGTTGCCCTCCTCTGGCTGCAGGATGCAACTACATGAGTATGAGAAAAAGGGGTTTTGAGCACATATTCTTCTCTCTCTTTTTTTTCTGAAGGTTTCCAGCACAGAGTCATTCTATGTATAGATCGCCACAATGACGAGGAAGTCCCTGAGAGAAAATGTGACTCCGCCGCCAAACCTGTCCCTGAGGAGGAACCGTGTAACACACACCCCTGCCCACCATTGTGAGGAGATACACAGTCATATATCACACAGACAATTTAAAGATTTATATTCGGTTAAAAAACTTGAGTCCTCCAGGGATGCTTCCTGCATTTTTCACAGCTTGTAAGTCACTGCATAAAGACTGCACTACACTTACCCCCTTTTGCCTCTTTTAATCAATAAAGAAAACTATGACAGTTTATGAATGTCCAGAACAGAAAAAAAAGTCACAGATTTTTCTGGAGCAGCATATCTAGTAAAATGTGCCTTCATTCTGTCTCTCCTCGGTTCACTGTCTCTCTCAGCTGGGAGGCGAGTTCATGGTCAGAGTGCAGCGTGTCCTGTGGCCCCGGGGTGCAGCAGCGGCAGCTCCAGTGCAGGCAGAGCTTCGGAAATCGCTCCACCATGGTCCACCCGCAACGTTGTGCCAACCTCACCCCACCAGAGTCCACACAGGCGTGTCAGCTCACCCTCTGCTCCCACTGGGAGGTCAGCTCTGACTGGAGCTCGGTAGGTCAAAATCACCAGGACAATGAGTGCTACATGCACCACCTGATGGGCGAAAGTAGGCCAAATGATGCATTACATGATGTGTCAGTGAAAAAGAGGATTCATGGGTGGAGTGGTCTTTTAATAAATACCAAGGCTTTGGGAATGGAGTGTCTTTATATTGGGTGTGTTGCATGTTTAAAAACCATGTTCCTGTTGATTGAGTCACATGTTATGGATGATCTTAAAATCCCAAGACATCACAGATAAAACTAACAGGCGCCTGTAGCTTTAAATGACAAATTGAAACCACTAATTTTGTTCCTCTAGCAAAGATTTGATGTTTGTTTCACAGACTTTCCCCCTCAGTTTTCTTAGATACTAGTTAAATAGATTGTTTTTATTCATATTTGACAACTGTGAGAAGAATAATGGAGAAGTACTGACTTATATCTGATACCTGATCAGTCTCTGTTATTAACTGTAACTGATCAGCTTCCGTTTATTTAAGCTAAAGTGAGTGTTAACTGTATATGTCTTGATATCATGTTTTTTTAAAGCGCTCCTAATCATTCTCATGTTTCTCTCCTCTGTTTTTCACAGTGCTCAGTGGACTGCGGAGTTGGTAGAAGGACAAGGAGTGTGCGCTGCGTCAGCGATCAAGGGGCCGTTGTAAACGACAAGGAGTGCAACTCCAGAGCTCGGCCACAGGGGAGCGAGGAGTGCAACATGGGCCCGTGTGTAACAAACTGGTACTTTACTGGCTGGTCTAGTACTGTGAGTAACACACAAGCACAAGAACCAAAAGAACAAAAAACATTAACAGCAGCACTTAAGTGTAATCCTCAACATGATCTTCCACTTTGTCCCTCAGTGTTCAGCACAGTGTGGCCCCGGGGTGCAGAAGAGGGAGGTGGTGTGTCTGACTCGAGGTGGAGTGAGAGAGGGTGAGGGAGGAGGGGACTGTGTTGGGGAGAAACCAGCAGAGATGAAGGCCTGCAATGGTGGTCCCTGCGTGTCCACAACCATGTGGTACAGCAGCCCCTGGACACAGGTGGGATAATGGAAGGAGAGAAAAAGGAAAATATGAAGATTAATGAGGAAAAATTGAAGGACCTGTGTTTCTATTCCATTTTTTTGTGTGTAGTTAGTTTTTATGTGAAAGATGTTTGTTTGTCATTTTCTTGTTTGTTTTTTGACCTTACTTTTTTGATTTATTAAGTTAGAGACGTTCTCAGTAACGTGTTGTCTCTTGAATTTGAATTATTGCACTCTAAATCTAAGAAAAAAAGGTCACCACGATTCATTTTATAGGTTTATTGGTTTGTCACTTGGATTTCAGAAATAAATTTATCATGGTAGTTTTTCTGAAAACACATGATTCAAAATTTTTGTTGGTCTTTCAGTGTAACGTCCGCTGTGGGAACGGAACTCAGCGACGAGACATCATCTGTGTCCGGAAAACGGGGAATGATTTGACTGTCGTACCGGCCAGTGAGTGTGCTCATCTGGACAAACCTGCTGCGGTGCAACAGTGTGAGATGGGCGAGTGTCAGTCGCAGTGGTTCACAACAGAGTGGAGCGCAGTAAGACATGCAAAGACACGGTAACCATGAGTGGAAATGAACTTTTATTTCAAACCAGATTGTTAACGCTCCCTTTGCCTTTATTTTCAGTGCTCACGTTCATGTGGGAAAGGCTTACAAATGAGGGAGGTACGGTGTCTGACGCAGGACAAAAAGCACAGTCATGAATGTGATCCCAGCACAAAACCTGACCAGGAGCAAACATGCAACACGATACCCTGTAGTCCACAGGTTGCAGGTGAGTGTGAGACCATAGAGTTGTATTTTAATTCAGATGTTTGTTTTTCTCTGTATCAAATTTTCCTCCTTCTCTTTCCTGCTCATAGATGAGAACTGCAGAGACAGACGTCATAACTGTGTGACGGTGGTTCAGGCCAGGCTGTGTGTCTACTCCTACTACAAAACCGCCTGTTGTGCTTCCTGTACCCAGAGTGCTCAGCGCACCAAGAGGCACTGACCCACCAGTCAAAGACAGTCTGGGTATGCAAAAGACAGGGATTTTATTAAACGGACACATTAGATCTGAAAGAAACCGACAGCCCAGAGTAGGCCTAATCCCTGTGACAGTTTCGCTATTTTCTCCCGATTCTTCAGGGAAAACACTGTGAAAGCAGCCAGTTTCCTTTCCCAGTTCTCATTACGCTGTTTACATTCTCTTTTAGATTCACATCTTCCACCCAGCTTGCTTCTTTTTACTTTATGCAGTAGCCGTACATGTGTCACGCAGGTCTGAGTGATGCATTGGCTGTCATTACACATCTTTTCTTTGGCTAAGATATTGTAATGGAAGGTTCTCCTTGAGGACACAGCTGTGTTTCAGCAGCAAAAAAAGCCTTTTTAATATCCTCTCTAATGTACAAGGACTTAAACTAAATGAAACCAGACATGCAAACCACTAATTATGAAAAAAAAATGTGCTGAAAAATTAATTTGCATGTGTGCTAGTCAAACTGTGTAGTAACATGTGTGCTGAAGATCTGCTGGGATAGATCTACAGTGTTTCTGGGCACTGAAAATCTAGTGTCTTCCCCCCAACCAAGCTAGAAGGATTTCATTTTAAAATTGCTTTTCTTTATCTGTTCTGCCAAAAAAGAAAAAAAAGTGTTTTTATATTGATCACTTCAGTACTAGGATAAATGAACCAAAGGTGTGGGGCAATCATGGCAGTATATGACCAAATATATCAGAGCAGGAAGAGGTGAGATTCTGCTCATACAGAAGAATGGATTTTAAAGCCAGCAACATAGACTCTGAACACTCCTTCATCAATGTCGTGGCAGTCAAACACATCTGTAGACCTTTTGAAGGAGAGCTGCTGAAGCAAGCTTTATAAGACTACATACCTAATAAGACCTGTAAAAACATACTACACAGGTGATGTTTAACCCTTTTTTTTTTCATGTCAATATACCACAAAAAAAATCTTATGACTTCTTAGTCGTGTGTCTTGCACTAAGCCTTGAGCCCCAATTGCTCTTCCTTGTATTGGAAATCTCAGACAACGACAAAAAATTTAGTTTTTTTTTTAAATCTTCTGTTATTTTCTACAGCAGGAAACTGTATTTCTGAGCATTACTGAAACAAAACAAAAAAACCTTGCCTTTCTCTTGTTTGAGGGACTATTTTCAGCTGCGTATTAATACACAACCATGAGCACTAAATGTCACCAGGACTGGATTTGAGAGTAAGCAAAAGAAGAGCACATTCAGTGCAGATTTTAAAGCACAAATCCAGTGCAAAAGTGTGGCCCTTCAGTGTGTTTTTCATATTTTTTGGAAATATGGCTGCTCCAAAGCTTCATAAGCTAAATGGTTGTTTTTTTAATTTTTCCTGCATTGTCTTGACAAAAGAAAAATACCAAATAGACCCCCTGTAACTATGAACTCAGCAATGGACAGATTTGTAAAGGTGATTCACTCCTGGCTGACCTATATTTTCGTGATCACGTCACTGTTACACTGAAAAAAAGAACTTCACATCCTCCCTGTTTTAATACATCATCTCGATATAACTTTAATGTGGTTCCCTCATTCTCTTTTTGGGAGTGGATGATGAATCTGTCCTGTGAGAGTAGGTGAAGCCTGATTTAAAAAAAAAAAAAACTTGCTCTCTTACAACAGCTTTTTGATTGGGCAACTTGTTTTGCCGATCAATCCTTCTGACCCGAAAGTAAAAAATTCCCATTCTGAGATGTCAACCTTTGTACGTGTGTGAGTATGTTTTTGTTTTTGCCTTGTTTTGTTTTCTAAGGGCTGATTTTACTTTTCTTTTTTTCATACCTCTTTGAAAGTCACACTCACACAATCCTCCCGCCCTGTCAAAGGGGAGGAGTCTGTACATTTGTCAGATATGTTTTAATGTCTATATTTCTTTGAACATACCGTAGGCGCTTATGTTTTATAACTAAATAGAGTTATCAGAAGTTGTTGTAGACTGCATTTATTCATATCAAACTGTCATATTCTTATCGTATTTCACGTTTGGCAAGAGAATCAGTGGCTCTTATTGTGCTGAGTTTGCAGTGTGTGCATGTGTAATTTGTGTGTTTGAGTTGAGTATGATAGAGAGTGTGTGTTTTTTGACTGTGAGTGAATATGGTCAGGTGCTTTTGCTGTGAATGTGTCATTCTCGTTTCTAATCCCTCGTAGATTAAAAAACTCTTTTTATATAAAACAAACAAAAAAAGGATAGTAATTTATCTATTATCTAAAGAACATGTAATTTATTTTCGGTTTTAAAGAGCTGTAGCAAATTTTCTTTGTTACCACCAGAGTTTTATGAGATTGTTATTTCTGATACACAGACATTTTTTATCTTGCAAAAATACCTAAAAAGAAACAGTGTGGGAAAACTATTATCTCAAAGCTTCATTTTAAATAAAAAAAATGAAACAGGAATGAAGTGTCATGTTTTATTTTGTCCAGTGAGAGGGAAGTGTCCTCCAAAGGGTGGTGCTGTTGAGTCTTAGTTGTGAATGAACTGTCCTACCAAGGAAATCTCTGGTCTGTGAGGTAGATTTCCCATTTTGGTGCCAAGTCTGCTCTGTGACTGGTTGTTTGCTTGTTTGTTTTTGTCTCAATGAGGTTTCAATGACAAGCCTGGCTTGTTTATCCTAAGGATATTTGAATAATTTAAGGTATTTTCATGCCAACATGTCAACAATGTTTATTTTACATTTAAGTATTAATAAATGATCATGTGTTTCTACTCCTCTGTTGCGAAAGAAAGCTTACATTTTCTGTTCTTTCATAAAAATCGGCCCTAAAAACGCATCAGGTGCAGAAAAGTGAACATAAAACTTAAAGTACTCAGAAACAACACAGTGACTAAGGCACTCAAGATACAACTTTTAATATGGATGTGGACTCATAGCCCGACAGCAGCGTTCTGCGATCAACTTTATTGTGCAAATTATTTCTAGATATACGGCTAAATTATCATCTACAAAGTTAAATGACAACAGACTTAAAGCAAGAGAAAATACAAGAATTGCTTGAGTACGGGCACTGGTAGAACAAAGTGAAAGCAGAGAGATGAGAGACCTAACTTTTTTGAACTGTAATATGACTCTGTATTAAAGGATGTGCAATTTAATGACTTCCACTGGGAGCGTAGTTGTCCAAAGTCCTACTGCTTCTTTAAAACCTTATCTAGGCTATTGGTTAAACAATCCTAACACTAAAAACTGATAAGTTCAATGTGGTTCACCTTACTTTTCTCAATACACTTTTCAATTATTAGATCTCTATTATTTACTTTGATCCCAATCAAAAGTGTGCAGGTGTCACATGTAACTCTAAGTTCTTAAACCTTCACACACTGCAATAAGCTCTAGGTTCACATTACAGATGAGTGTCTAAGCCTGACAGTGCAGCTACTAATTGCCCTACCAGGATGCATTGGGCATTACATAATATTACCAGGCTGTGGTACTCTCAAGATAAGTTTAAATATAAGTAAACATGCATGTGAAGACAAGAGATGTTGAAAGGTCTTTTTTTTTTTTTTTTTTTTTTCAAAATTCTACAGAAATGTAGGCCAAACTTTGGCTTGGAAGATACTTTATAAGGTTTATTTTGGTAACATTTCTTTCTGGCATCCTTTCTGTTGGACTAATACCTCAAAGACACGCTTCCCCATCGTGTGGGGAGGCTTAACAAACAGCTCCCGTGGCGTGATGCCCTCTACTTTCCAGCACACTGTTCACACCTCCAGGCCGCAGGGAGCCTTGCGTGCTTCCTTCAAGAAGAAGAAGGAGACCCTTGGTTTGGTATTTATATGTACACGTGCGAATGTGTATGTGAGTTTCTATTTGGGGGGTGTATGTATGGTTAATATATGTCGAGGCGGGGGATGCTGGTTCACAAAGGGCACGAGGCAAGGCAGGCAGATGGTGACCTTTTGGAGTAAATTACCATGAACCCAATGACTCTCTCTTTTCACTCGAGCTGACTATCGGCGCGCGCAAACACACATTAAAGATACCAAAAAAGTGTCATCTGGAAGTGAGTTTGTTTAGCATGAACAAACAGAAGACTCTTTCCATATTCGAGTGAATTTGCCCAATGTCGGCCGGCTTTCCAAAGTACAGGCTGTAAAGTAGGCCAACTCCAACCCCGAGGTATCTCTCCTTCTGACTCTGTCACACATTTTACTCTGTGTGGGTGTGAGCGTGATTCCGAGCTCGGGCGTGAACAGCTGTAGTAGTCGTGACTGCGTGCACGTCATCGGCCGCGCGCTTCGGCTTCACGTCAGGAGGCATCGTTTCAGCACCAAGGCCAGGGCTCGCGGCTAGAACAATAGGCGGCTCCGCGCACAGCGTCGCCCAGGGAACGTCTACAAAGTTTCACCCGCAGTCCGAGGGTGAAGGAGGAGGGGAAGAGCATATTATATAGTAAAATTTCAGACACAACGTAGGTTTGATTCTTAGTGTGACAGGGGGCGTTGTAAATCTGAGAGAACAAGCGGAAGACGGTGTAGTTTATTTTCACGAGTGTACGTTGCGAATATTTACAGACGGTCCCCGGGAGTTACGTCACAAGCTAGCAACCGCTTTGGTCCGAGGAGGGGGAGGGAGAGAAAGAGAGTAGAGGAGGAGATACCGGTAACGACGTGAGAAGACATCCAGCCGGTGAACGGGTGAGACGTTACAAAAAATTAGGGAACCGCGACAACAGCAAAGAAAAAGCATCTCCCGGTAAAACAGCTGGAACTACAACGACACGGCTAGAAACGGCCGTTGTGAGCGTAACGGTCAGGTTTAAAAGCCTTTGAACGCAGCCGGTTCGCTCGTTATCACTTTGTAATTAAACAGAAATCAAGAGTGGGCTTTCGTGAAAGTGAAAACTACCAAGCTAAGGTCCACTAAGAGTCTATAGTGGTTTGGCTGAATCTCCAGTGGGAGCCCGGTGTCAAGCTGTGATCTGGACTCACCTGCTACATCCACTACTTCCAGACCTCCGGGGCAAGAAACACGGGGGGATTTTTAAAAAACACAGCCGAGCCTGTAGTATCTCCGTTCCGAAGAGGAGGAGGAGGAGGTGGTGGTGGAGGAGGAGGAGGAGGAGGAGAGCACGGCAGGCACAAAGAGCGGAGAGCATCCAGAGAGAGGGGAGGCAGGAGGACGGGACAACAACGGGGACCCAACAGAGAGCATCCCTATTTCACATCTGATCCACATCACTCTGCACACAGACACCATCTAAAAAACGGTGAGTGTTTTCATATATATATGTATCCTGTACATTTCCCTGTGTTGTTTTGCTCGGTGTGTGCGTGTGCGCGCGTGCGTGTGTATATGTGTATGTGTACATTGAGAGGGGGGGGATCGGACAAAGAGCAAGGGAGCCCCATGACATCCGTGCGTATGCTGTAACCTACAGCTGGCTAAACAAAGAAACCGCTCTGTTGCGATGATTTACCCCCAATCACGCCGTCTCTTCTCTTTTTCAGTGTGTAGGGATCCTGAGCGCTGTTTATACATCAAAAGGTAATGCACGCTTTTGGATATTTTCGATTTCTATCTATTTAATTAGAGAGAAATAAAAGTCACATGATTGGTTTTTGATTAGCTAATTAACATTTGCATAATTGTTTTAGCAAAAGCTACTGGAGCCCTTTGTCATCAGGCTAGGCGATAATTACTCACACTCTGATCTGTACATTTTCACACATTTAGGACAAGTATTAGGATATAAAATAAAGCATTTTGTTAAAAAAATTTGTTAAAATTTTTGTTATTTATTTTAGCCTTGCATCTATGAGTTTGATTAAATAAATGTAATACATGTCAAGCCAAAATATGCAAATATTAAGAAAAATAATGTGATAGTGTTGATGTATTAAACTGAAAAACTCTCCTATAAAAGTAATCAAAAATGATAACCTCGAATCAAACTGTTTCTTAGTAGTCTTTTTATTGTCCACTTCTTCAACTGCCGCCACTCATCCAGCTTCATTTGCTCCCTCCAGGGATACCTACTCCTGATCTGTCTGCCCCTTGGCCCCCGCAGTAACCAGTCGTCTTCTCCACACTGTCCCGATGAAGGAGGCCGACGCCATCAAGCTGTTTGTGGGGCAGATTCCCCGGAATCTGGAAGAGAAGGACCTCAAGCCTATCTTCGAGCAGTTTGGCAAAATCTATGAGCTAACTGTGATAAAGGACAAATACACTGGCATGCACAAAGGTGGGTCTCAGCCTTAAAACACAGGCTTTCCTTAGACAGAGAGCTGAAAACTAGATAGGTAGACGTGTGACATAAAGGCAGATAGATGGGTGGATTTTCCTTTGCTGAGTGTCACATATCACCATGGAAACTGTCACACCTCCTCCCGTCTACTTCTCCTGTTAACGCTTTGACATGAGAGCATGAAGACAAGCGAACAAACTCACTGACACAAATAGGAGTCAGAATTTACTACGAAAAGGAACCTGTGCAAAGCTGTGATGAAGAGCTTTGGACACCATGGTATGAAGACAGCAGAACTGAGAGCCTCCTAATGGTGTTAATGATTAGGTAGCTTGAAATAATGGCCCCCCTTCAACCAAAGATAGGTAATAAACAGTAGAAAACACATGCACACACTGTTTCCAACACACACATACACATACGCACACACGCGCGCACTGACCTGGGGGTCCTGTGTGTTATGAACAAGATTAGGCTGTATGCTCCAATCAGTGTAATGGCTCTGTAAGCCTGGGTGACACAGGGGAAAGAGTCTGTTGTTTTGAGAATCCCCACGGCCACAGTAAGCCCCTCTTAAAAGCAATGAGATGGACCATAAGATGTGTGTGTGTGTGTGTGTCCGTGTGTGTGTGTGTTGTGTATTTTCCCGTATGTCGAGTCATTCTTAGTTCTTCTGACGTACGTTTTGTGTGAATGTTTTCTTCCTAATCGTCAAATCTTCTCTTCTTTACTCTGGCTCTACATTAGTGTGTCTGGATGCTAACCTACTGCTAATCTTGTTGTCTTAGTGCTGGTGACAGGTGTAGTAAACAGCCCTGGCCAGCCAGCTCTGCTACCTACCCCTCCCTCACACACACAGACACAGGTACAGCACATAGGAGAAACAGAGGGAGTGTATTTGGAGTGATCGTGAGGCATGCATAGTGGTTGGTATAGGGAAGGAACTTGACTGTTCCCAGCCTGTGAGGCCTTGTTAGCCCCACGCACACGTCTGTGGTGCTGTCATGTGTGCTGACTCGTGCCGTGACGTTTCTGAAATGTGCCGTGCTGTGGAGTGTCCTTCTCTGCTCTAGAGTGCATCATCATGGTGTTGTCAAGTTTAGTTACAGTGCATGATTTTATATTTCTAAGCTCTCGCACAGTATTTCCACAGCAATAGCTTGAAGTAGTTTTGAAGTAAACAGGGACGGCATAAGAAAACAGGGACATTTAAATGATTTAAATTGCGTGTGACTGTGTGTGTGTGTTTTTGTAGGGGGTAATACAGAGACAGAGATAGAGAACGACAAATATTAGAGTTGCTTGCTGACCTTTTCTACCTTTACTTCTTTTTCTTTCTCTCTCTCTCTGTCTCTTTCTATCGGACAGGATGTGCGTTTCTGACGTACTGTGCCAGAGAGTCAGCGCTGAAAGCTCAGAGCGCTCTTCACGAGCAGAAAACACTACCAGGGGTAAGTACACACAAACACACATGTATGTATGTTTACACCGACACATCCTCAAACTTATGCAACAATGCACACAAGCACGCACATACGCTCAAATCACAAAAGCACCCCCCTCCTCACACACACTCAAATACACACAGATGCTGCCAACTACACACACGCGTACACAGAAGCGCTCAGATCAGTATGTGTGTGTGTTATTGGAAGTTCAGCTCCCATTAGTAACACTGTGACATAACTCAGCAGCCAGTAGGCGTCTTGCTGCTAAGGACAAACACTACCTCTCACAGGAGACACATAGGGTCTGCGGGCATTATCATCTCCATTTCTCTGTCGCTCTCTGTCTCTCCATCTCTCCGTCAGTCCCCTCTCCTGTTACCCTCCGGTGATAGCTCCCGCCTGGAGAGAGTGTGTAATTAATGTAGCCGTTCCCCTTTGTCTCATCTCAGTCTCCCTCAGTCTCTCCTGTGAGGGATCGTGTGCTGCGGCTGGGCTCGGGGTAGGACACTGTTCATTATGGATGGGGCACAGTGCAAGATTCGCGTCTGTCTCTTGGGCTGTACCTCTCTGTCGCTCTTTCTCTATTTTTTTCCCTCTCTGACCTGGTTTCCGCTGCACTCAGAGGCTGATATTTACAGTAACTGTTTTGGGAAATTGAGCGTTTCAACCTTTTTTTTTTTAACTCTTCTACTAAGCGTACAGAGGGTGCTTTGATAGTATGGGGTGTTTTGTAGGGATGAGGCTGACATTTTGCAGCAGTTGTAACAAAATGTACCTTCAATGTCTCTGTTGAGTATTTTCCATCTCGCTCTTTCTGTCGCCTTGCTATGATCAGAGTTTCAGTTTCTGCACCTTCTCTGCAAGCTGGGGTGTTGATAAGATCTCTGTGAGAAAATGGTTGGAAGAGTGCCTGAAAAGAAGGCTTTGGGGGAGGGGAAATGTTCTGAAACACTCCAACACAAATCCCCGCGTACATACATATTTCAATCACGCATGCTTCCCATGCTGCTGGAGCATGCTTCATACTAACGCAGCATGTTAATAATGACATTAATCCAATTAGGGCCCACTAAGGAGTCTGACCTTTCTACTGTCTACTGAGTCCCATTCCTCTTTCCTGCGCTGCCCTTTGTCCTTTGACTCATTCTCTAACATTATCCGCTGGCTTTTACTTCATCCTTTCCTGTTTGTGACATCAATAACAGGATCCTTGCAGGAGAAGATAGTTTGCAGCACACTTCCAGATTAATTGTGATAAATATTCTTGGAGACTTGGAGGAAACATTTGCGAGGAGCATACTCGTTAGCAGTAGAGATTTGCTTAAGAGCCAGCACACACACAATCAGAGGCCCCACTCCCTAGAGGAAGAATAGTGCTGAAATGAGGGTGTGGCGATTGTGTGCTGGTTTTTCAATAAGACTGGACTGTTAATGAGCAACATTATTGGCTTTTCTCGATTAGGAGTATCTTGCTTTTCTATTTGAGCCTTACAGAAGAGCAGTAGTATCCCTTACTCTGTTTGGAAGTCTTTGCAGTGAACAACTTGCAAAAATATAAACATTTATGGTTGATGAATGACAATAAATTGAGCACAGATGTGCACAAAGTCACACAGAATCATAGATTTTTTGACTCATTTTCCAAACAATGTAGTTACGATTTTAATTACCAGTTATTTTCGTGATTAAGCAATAAATCATTTAAGCACTAATTGTTAGAGATGTGAAAAATGGATTTTTCCCAATTTTGAAAATTGTTTTGTCAGGATATTCTCAGAAGTAAATGTGTTTTTAAATTGCCTCTTTTGTCTGGAAACCACAGACTTTTCATCAACTCTTATTAGAAACAAAGAAAAGAAGCAAACTCTCATATCACAGAGGAGGAAAACAGCAAATGTTTGGCTTTTATTACTTGGGAACGAACAGAAAAATTAATCGAGGAAAATAGATTTTATTCTTCTTTGATCTACAATTAATCTAGTAAAACAGTGCGGCTTAGAGGAACGAGACAGATCTTTTCTCCAAATATTTCCAAAGCAGTGTCTTTGTTTTAGCCTGAAGGCTGCCTCCTAGTCCTCCCCGTCTCTGCTGGAAAGTTTCACTCCGCTATCACTTACCTCTACCTGTCTATATCCACTCTCTAAGCTGAGCATCTTCTTTCTCCTCCCTTTTCTTGTCTTCAACCATTTTTGACAGGATTTAGAAATGACTTCAGACCGTTTCTTTTCCCTGTCACATGTCTACTCCATTGTCCAATTCTTTTCTTTCCCAAAGAATTGCTTTTTATCCCTCCTTTACGCCTCCTTTTCTTTTTTGTCCACTAACCCACTATGCTGTCCCTCTTTCTATTTTATCTCTTCTTCCCCTTCAAATCCCCTCTGTCCTCTGTTCAACTCCTCCCCTCACATCCCCCAGTTTCCTTGCACCAGTAAAATATTACAGAATGTTCTCTTCTCTACGCCCAGCCCTGTCATCGCTCGCTCCTCTTCCTCCCTAAAATCTCTTCATGGTATCCTTCTTTCATCCCCCCCTCTTCTCCTCCTACTGTCTTATACTCGTTTTTTTCCCTCACTGCACACTCACACTTCCTCCTCGGATTCTCATTTCACAGTCATTTATGGTAACCCTTCTTCTAAGTCCTCCTCTCGACGTCAGTCCTTTCTCGCGCTCTCTCCATCACCCTCCTCCCCCCCTCGCAGTTCCTCTACCCCTCGTCTCATTTCCCCTCCTCTTGATTAGTTGACCCTTTTGACCGTTTCACACCCCCATCTCCTCCCTCTCCTCCCTCTTCTTTCCCCGGCTCCACTTGTTAAGCTGCATGATTAGTTTCTCACAAACTCATTTTCATAGTCAGATCCCGGGCTTGCAATGGGGCAAGAGGGACACGGAGGTGTGTGTGCATGCATACATGTGTGCGTTTTTAATTGCAGATTCTGGTGAAACGTCAGGCGGCTCATACAATTTTAATGTGGCTGTAGCATCACACGCTCATACAGATGTGTTTCTCTTCCTATGCCGGTGACAAGTCTGATGCTGCAGAGCTCTTCTGCCGCTTCTGTCTGCCACTCACTGATGGGATTTAACGCTGATTTAACAGTTCCAACCAGCCAGTAGAGAAAAGAGACAAACACAGAGAACTTCAAAGAAACTATACCCCACTCAAAAACCCTGCTAGCTGCAGCAGGGGCAGTCGACTGTTAGGTCGGAAAATGAGGAAAAAGGGACAGAGGGATTGAGAGATAGAGCGAGAGAGAGAGATGAACAGATGGCCTTATCAGAGTGTCCTGTGCCTTGTGTTTAATTTGGACACAGAGAGGAAAGAGAAGCACAGAGGGAGCATGAGATGAAGCGAGGGAGAGGAAGAGACTTACATTATATTAGTCACAGTGGCAGAAATTCAACAGCGGAACCACAAGCAAGTCCCACTGTCGTGCACAGATGTTTCGGTGTATTAGATGTGGTGCTGTGATTCCCTCTGGGATGCATCCACATGAAAGAGCTCATGTTTTGCTGCCGCACATCAGTGCTAATTTGCACTTGGAAATTGAATTTTTTCATCCTTTTTTGCATGCAGGGTTCGCACTTAATGGAAATAATGAGGGAAATATCCTCTGAGATAAATTTTTTTTGCTGTCATAAATGTGTTTTGGGGGGCTTACCTTGTCGAGGCTAAAATAGTAGAAGTATGCATAATATTGTGAAATGAGTGTACAGGACACACAAGAACAAAAACAACACACGAAGGAGTGTGTGTTAGATTTGGTTGATTCAGTCACATTGGAAGATATGTTGCACCGCCGGCTATTGTCCTGCTAATTCAGAGGGTCGGTGGCAGGAGGCTGACGGCATGTGTCTGAGGTCAGAGGTCAGGGCTAACCGTTGAGTCTAATCGCTGAAAAACTTTCCGGGGACATTTAAAGGGACATCACCACTGCTTATACTGTTTGGACAACCTTTATGTGGCACAATACATCTGAAAGAAGGGTTTGGATTTGTCTACGATGAAAAATATAGAACCGTAATTAGTTTTAATGCATTTTTCAATAACTCAGGAGTAATTTCATTTGGGTAACAATTACCCAGGCAGAGTTGAATCCTCATAATCTAAGAAGCAGCTACAATAATCATCATTCACACCCTGAAAGGGGTTGAAGAAAACCCATGTACACCAAAGAATCACAATATTTTGTTTTGTGATACTGATGATTCTCAAAAAGATCGAATTGTAGTTCATGTACAATGATATTTTTTTCAGCCTTGTTTTTAGCCTTTTTCTTAGACTTCTTAAAAACAAGTTTTATATTGTTGGATATTACAGGGACTGATAAATACCACTGCAGACCCCAGTTTTCAGATTACAGATAAAAAGAGGATTAAATGGGAACCATTTGTGATGTATTTTTATTGTTTAGTTACTTTTACTCTTGCAGTTTTCTCTAATTAGATTCAGAAATTACTTTTCTTACAATATCACAAAATGTTCCAGTACCTTGGACAGTAACCCCTGTATCATAACACAAACTGACTCACCAGATTACAGCAGATAGGAACCTTTACCCAGAGCTCCTGCTGATGTTTTTAGGTAAAAAGCACTGACTAAAAAAATATTATTCTGATAACTTTTGGAAAACTTTAAGTTGTTTCAACCATTTGTAGTGTATTTTGTCATTTCTATCAAAATCATTTCTAAGGACTCTAACAGATCGGTGCAACAGAGATGCCAGAAAATGCAAATGCACACACAGAATTTGCTGTAATCAGTCATACAAAACTGTCCTTGCTTTATCCTAATCCCTCCAATCCATCCTTCCTCTTTCTCTCTCTCCCTCTGCTTGAATTTTAACCTGGTATCTCCCCCCCTCTCTTTTTATCACTCTATCTCTCCCAAGGCTACTACTGCTGTATTTCCTCCCTTATCTCCCCCCTTATCTTTTCCTTTTGTTCTTTGCTGTTGATATCTCTCTCTCCATTTAATCTGCACTCTCTTCTCCCAGCGTTTATCACTCCCTTCATCTTTGTTCTACTTCAAACACAACGTTGGCCGACACACAAACGCACTCACACACACTCATGTGGACACGATCGTACACACAAACACATTCGGGCACATCTGTTTGGTCACGCTAGCATCCGCAGATCTCAGTGTAGGTGAAATTAAAGTGTGATAAGCAGCTTACCAGGTGTGTGTTGTCATGCTCCACTGCTCTCCAGGCAGCACTCTGCTCCCTGTTCTTTGATTAGAGCCAAACTGCTTGCACACACACACACACAAACAAAACCACACACACAAACACACACACACTTATTTATGCACACATTGTTCTCCCCATGACCACTTGATGTCTAATGAATTATTAAAAACGCATGAAAAAGTGCCACGAGCAGTTAACAACAAATGTAGTAGCAGAAGATCAATACACTTATGAAAAATATAATAAAAGTTTGTTGTTGTGATATTGATTAAATGCATATGGTAGGACAGCGTTCCTCGGGCCATAAATTGGGATAATTCTATAGCTATTGCGAGCTCATGCAGAAGATGAATGCTTTTATATATTTTATTGAACCTGCTTGGAGAGGAGATACAGTAGATTCTTAATTTATGTTGGTGGCTGAAATGGCTCTGTTTGTTTACATGCACAGTTCAGACATGCGTTGACTCGGCTGGGTACTTCCCAGAGGCAACCCATTTACAATTAATGTGACATTAAAGACAATAGAGATTCATTTGCTTTGCAGCCGCAAAAAAAAAAAAAATATTGGAGCGTTGTTCACAAGCCTTTCTTTCAAGTACTCGGACCAAAGAACTCAGGGACCAAAGCTCTCTGTTGGTGCTGAACTTTTAGTGTTTCTGATGTCTTTTCTGACCTCACAGACAATATTTTAAAGGGTTACATGTGAAACTAGGGCTGAGAATCACCAGTGGCCCAATGATACAATATTTTCATGATACTTGGGCCACGATATGATATTATCATGATACTTGGGCCATGATATAAAATATTATCACGATACTTGGGCCACAATATGATATTATCATGATACTTGGGCCACGATATGATATTATCATGATACTTGGGCCACGATAAAAAATTTTATCATGATACTTGGGCCACAATATGATATTATCAGGATACTTGGGCCACGATATAAAATATTATCAGGATACTTGGGCCATGATATGATATTATCATGATACTTGGGCCACGATATGATATTATCATGATACTTGGGCCATGATACAAAGTTATCACGATACTTGGGCCACGATGCAATTTTTAACATTTTGCAAACAGTGAGTATTGCAATACAATGTATTGCGATTTATATAGTTTTTTTCAACTGTTTAGCTAATTTAGCATTTGTCTTTCCTTTATGTTTGCCTTATTTACGCAGTATTTTATTTTCATGTAGCACATCTTGCAAACCTTTTATATATTTGTTGTACTAACTTTCTCCTGCTCTATGATGTCACCTCTGCCAGCCTCAATGGACAAACAGTTGATTTTATTTTTCCGTTATCATAGATTTGACTTCATATTAGCAATTAATTTGAAAAATTGACGATACGATATATCACCAGACAAAATATTGCAATACTATGCTGTATCAATTTTTTCTCCCACCCCTATGTGAAACCATTAAAAAAATTTGTTACAGTTTTGAATTTGCTGAAGAAGGTGGAAAAAGTCCATGCCTGTTAATAAAATAACTTGACTTGACTAGGAGTCCCTCAGAAAAACTCATAGTGGGTCACCTTTGTTGTATAGAATCTTGTTTGAGATCAACTTGAGTAAAACCTCCAACATGATGCAATTTCATCTCGTTAGGTTGCCATGTCCGCTGTGTTTAATCTGGGAGGTTCCTCGCTGTCTCTTAACTTGTCTGTCATCCTGCGTTTGTTGTTGATGTGTATTAAAGCCCCTCAGGACTTGTGACGTGTGCATGTTGTGTATGTTCAGTGTGTGTTTCCATGTGGAATCTAAGATGCCTGGCAGGCATCCTCCCTGTGGGGCAAAGCTATGATGAGCAATTATCCACTAGGGCGACTTAGTAGGCTAATTTAGCATATTTATGTGGTCAGCAGCACTGTTTACTATTCCCCTTCACTGCTTACTGCTGCACTTTCAATTTAGAACAGACCCCAGCTTCCTCTCTCATTCACTCTCTCTCTCTGTCTCTCATTTTCTCTCCATCTCTTCCTCCTCTGCCATCCCTCTGCCTCTATCTCTCCCCGCCTGATGGGGTTTGTGATGTGTATCGCTCCCTCCTCCCCCGTGCTGTTTCTCTATTTTTATCCTCACTGTGTGTGGGATGGAAAGGGAGAAGAGGGACAGGTGTAGAATCAAGTGTGTGTGCATGTGTGTGCCAGCCGTAGATGGAAAGAGGGGGTGCCAGAGAGAGAGAGAGAGGAGAGGGGGAGAGAAAGATGGAGGGGGGTTTGCAGAGTAGAGGGGTGTTAGTGTTGGGTTGTGTACAGCTAAGACTGAGGGGGATTTAGCTTGTTTGTTTTTAAACTAAGTCTTTGCTTTGTGTGACTGTGTGTTGATACTTGCCATATATGTGTGTTCTTGTATGTGTGTGTGGGTATATGAGTGCACTTGTGCATGCAACATGAACAGAGAAAGAGTGCCTGCCTCATATTTCACCACAAAATTGAGGCAGAATCTAATCATAGCCTCATAAAAGCCTGACCCTGGAGAGGGCCTGCCTCTTTAAGGCCTGACACGCACACAAAGACACGCACACACACACACACACAGGGGGACATTTTGTATCTTTGCCAGTTTGAAAATGACGTTTGTGTGGACACATGAATACCAGGTTATGTGATTGTTCTCTGCCAAATCTCAATCTCTGTGACGCCGAGCTCTGAAGTCTCGCAAAGTTGACTTGAGTCCATTTCACACACCATCTGTTTTGTAAATCCAGCCAGCTACAGAAATCTGCAGGCAGTTTCCACGCTCATGCAATGAAATGGCTCTTAAGTTTTAATTATCATTCATCATTATTGCATCAGATGCTGGACTTACATGTGCAACTTAAAGCTGGCTTTAAACCTAGACTGAGGCACAGCATGGGCAGCTTTAGTGTGCCCATTTACAGTAAATCCTGGATTCACACATGGCTTACTGCAAGCTGCACGCTTAAGGTGTTGAATCCAGAAATCAAGGCACGTCCAGTGGAAATATATCTACATCTAAATTAGAGCCACACATCTACACTAACAGATAGTTTGATTAATTATCAGATACAAAAAAAAGGTGGTGTTTTGGTACGATGTACTTTTCACGAATAATCAAGGAATAGGACAAGAACCAATAAAAAAATTGTTTTCTTAAAAAAAAAAAAAAAAAAAATCAGTGACCGTAATGTGTACCCATGTCTTAGCATTTGCATTAAAGTATGTTTTTTATCAAATGGCAAATAGCAAAGTTGTACAAGACCTACAGCATTTCCCTCAGACACCTTGTCTTAGCATGTAAATTTATACATCTGCACTAAGCCGTATGTACGTAGAGCAAGATTCACATTGACTGAGAGTGTGAATGAAAGGGGGGCCAAGGGTGCTGATGGAGCAGGGCCATGAAGAGGGTCGGTATGAATAGGGTTGTATAGACAGGGAGGGGGCAGGGTGAGACAGGGGAGGAGCAGAGGAGGTCGGGTTAGAGAGAAGGAGGAAACAAGACAAAAGTTTGCCATAATGAGCGTGGAAGAAGGGGCAGGCGGGTGGTGTGCAGAAGAAAGGCCTTTTCTGGGTGGTGGAGGAGAGGGGGGGAGTCAGGGTGCACTTGTGTCAGTTTAAACAGAGACATCTGTCAGAGGGGGCCACCGTGTGTGTGTGTGTGAAAAAGAGAGAGTGTGTGTGTGTGTGTGTGTGTGTGTGTGTGTGTGTGTGTGTGTGTGTGTGTGTGTGTGTGTGTGTGTGTTTGTATGTGATTAGGCAGGCAAAGGCATGACAGGACTTTAGCTGCACCTGGGGTGTGACCTCCTCTTTGAGGTCTCCTCTCTAACCACACTTCAACCTGCTGTCTAAAGATAATGGCCTTTTCACACTGACCACAGGGCAAAGCTGGAGCTTTATTACACCAAATTACTCTGTTGTAGATCACCACACTTTACAATGCTCCGTCCAACAGCAGAAGAAGAGAGGAGAAAAGGACAACATGCCCTGTGTAGCCCTGTCCTCCCTGCTTCATTAAGGACTGATTTAGTCTTTTATTAATGACATACTTTAGGCATGTATGTGGGAACATGTATGTCCTGGGGGATATAGCCTTAAAACCAATATCACCATCAACTGAACATTTGCCTCATTTAGGATCTTGTTTTGTTTTTGTTGTTTTCCCCCTCATATTCATTGACTAGGTTCATTTATTTGTTTATGGTTTATTTGTTAGCGACAGATGCAATATAAATAGATAAACTAGGAGCAGCCTTCCACTGCAAGTATCTTAGAGTTAATGGCATATGTTTATTTGCAGCACCCGTCACCAGAAGGACTATAATGAAATAATGCAGATTTAACTGTGATGATTTTTTTTTAAGTGGTTCAACTGAATCCTTTTCATTCTGTGTAGGGTTTGTATGCACATGTGTTATTGACAGCTGCTTTGTGTAAGTGCTTGTTGCTAGGCAGGTGTCAGTCTCGCTAATTTCCTAAACCACTGTTCATTGATTGGTGGTATTACCATTGGTGATTGACTCGTGTTTGTTAAGTGTCTCTCGAAACAGTGGACACGATATTCTTCTTTGGTACAAGCTGCCTGAGTGGCTCAAGTCTTACAGTTCTCCTTCAGGGTCACATGACCACACACAGAGTAGTATTTTTAAGGGGACAATGCATCAGTGCACAAAGTGGAGAAATCATCAACCAAATGTAAGTATTAACAGACTTTAGAAAATAGCAAAAAAAGAAACAATTGACTTAAGCAAGATTTTGATTACTCTTCCATCAGTCGCCCAGCTCTTGTATATGCAGCGTCAAATGTCAAGATTTAGGTTCAGTTAGAATTTGTAGACCAGTCTGTTTATTTTTATGTTGGTTTTGAAGCATATTTTAAACAGTTGGATGCAAAATCGCGTTTCTTTTTTCTCTATCTAGTGAAGATTTTAATGATCGTAAGTGAGGTTGGTTCATTTTTAAAGGACTCATTGTAAAAACTCATGATAAAACTCATTTCTGACTTTTTATGAGCTCCCCTCAAATTCTAATGAAAGACAGTAAAGATGTAAAAGCAGACAGTCTGCCCCATTTAGCAGCAGGTGAATCAAACAACATTTACAGGACAAGCTTAGCATTTCTTGGATGGCTTAAGGTGTTAGAGAGATCTTAAAATACAGTCTTGGATCCGATCAGCGGAAAATTAGCACCCTCAGCAGTGACTGCAGGCCCACAAAGTATATATTAGGAGATGTAAGTATCTCTTATGAGTTGTCCTAAAATAAAAGAGAAGATACACTTCTTCAGAATATGCTAATATTAATCCATTTTAATGCTCAAAAGAAGTGAAAGTCAATACGAGGCCTTTTTTTTTTACTTTCCATTAAACCTTCATGAGAATTTGCAGCCATTTACATAATTTTATGAAATCCTTCCTGACGCTGTAACTATCTGAGCATCCCAAAAATGTGTCACTGCCGCTGTATTGAATGTAATCTCACATTTGCGATTTTTGCAATCATGAATTTGTAAGCCTTGGAGCAGCGTTTTAATTCACCAGCTCATTTCCCAAAGGACTTACACTCCCTAAAATAGAAAGAAGGTCCAAGTGCATAGGTCTAACAGTTATCCGCTATAGTGCTGCTGGATTATGTTGGACTAAATCCAAAGGATCAAATTTCAGTGAGTGCTCCACCGCTGCATGCAGAATGCTCTCATTGGGGTTTGACAAAAACAGCATAATATTATAGGGATCAACAAGGTAGTTAGTTCTGCTTTATGCATGGTTTGATGCCATTACTATGCAGAGTGATAAAGACAGACAGAGAGGGAGCGAAAGGAGAGAGCATGTTGGTAATCCATGCTCCAGTAGAGAGGCTGATGAAGGGTTAACTGCCAGATAATGTATTGAGTGGAGGAGAAGGAGGGCAGACTTCTCAGGTGTGAAGAATGGAATGAGAGAGACACTGAGAGAGAGAGAGGGAGGGATGAGAGAAGGGGGATGGGCCACTCACAAGCTTGTATTATGGTTGCAGGCCCCCCGTTGCCAGGCAACGGAGCAGAGCAAGATGCCAGGTTGCTAGGTAACCTGAGAGATGCAAAGCTTAGCTGGGTGTGATATAGTGAGACGAGACAGAGCAGAGGTGGGGTAGAGCTGTGCTGCTGGCTTGCTCCACCCTCACACCCACTCTCTCTCTCTGTGTTTCACATGTCAATGTCTAGATCCAGCTGTGGATCCGAACTGTAATGAAGTTTCATCAAGGAGACAGGGCGTGCTCCAGTGTGAGGGCCAGGTCTAATAAAATGTAAACACACTGACAAACACACAACAGCTTTTAGAGCCATTCTGGCACTGATGTTTAGATAAAGAAGAATCATTCATAAAACAGATGTAACATCAAATACTGCTCATTAAACTGGTTTTTATGACATGACACAGTTATGTGATGATAAAGGACTGAAACTGTTTATTCATATTTCTGGTACCAGTTTAACTCCTGATCATTTGATTTGCTTAAGTGTTATTTGTTTTAGCACAAGAGAAAAGGTTAATAGTAAAGCGTTGAATTGTCATTTTCAGTGCACACTGTGATTAACTTAACATATTTAAAACTAAAGGTTTTCACTATTCCATTGGTTGTGGTTGAAAATGTTAAAAGTACTAGTAAATATCAGCTGAGTGACAGAAATCAAATCTCTCTACAATCTCTCATTTATGTTCCACAATGAAATATGTATTTAAATTAAATATGTAATATAAATGTGTATATAAATTCTCTGAGCTCAATTTATTATTGGTGGAAAAATTCATTGATGTGACCCTGGTCCTGATTCTGGTTGCATTACTTCCATACAAATCCATATTTAATTGTCAATATCTTCTGAAAACACCAATAACCATACCCAAGGCTTATAAGACATCATGTCATAAGTTATCCTGCGACCCACATCCACGATAACATCAAAGTGATTCATTATTGATATTGTAGTTTTAAGTATTACTAGCATTAAAACGCCAGAGGGCAATTTCACTATTAATGGAGTGGAAACAATAGACCTCTTTATATTCATCATCTTTTTAATGATTGTGCATCCACTCTCATTGGTTCTTAGGTTCTGCACAGAGATTCTACCTTTTTCGACCCAGGAAATTATATGACACATGAATAAAGTTTTATGTGAAAAAAAATCTAACACGACAAAGGGGACATATATGGGTCATTACTCTTGCTACTTAGCTCGTTTAAGGTTTTTGCAAAGTCACCATGCTGGCTCACTCTAATGAGTTTGTACAGCATAAGCAATGATGGAGAATAAGGGCAAAGTGAAAGAGAAGGGGATAAAAACCGAGAAGGAAATGGATGGAAAACGATGAAAAAGCAGGGATGCCCATGTCATCGTCAGGAAGGGGATGGGGGGATTATGGAGCTGAGAGTGGAAAGAGGGGAAATCAAGGATGGAGTGGAGGGAAAAAGGGAGAGAGAGAAAGAGAGAGAGAGAGAGAGAGAGAGAGAGAGGGGAATAATGCTAGATCGTGGAAAGGGGATAAAAATAGTTTTCCTTTCTTGTGCACTCTGGAAAATGGACATCTGAAATTGTGTGGATGGAGTGTTCCAGAGGAAGATGAAGGGGGGAAGGGTGAGTGAGTGACTGAGTGAGTAAGTGAGTGAGTGAGTGAGGGGAAGAGATAAGAGAAAGTGACTGTACACACATGCACACACAATAGTCTTTTGTCACGCTAGAATTACTTTATATTTCTGTTTGCGTGAACATTTGTTAGTATTGCCCTCTGATGCTTCGATGTCATCAAAAAGGGATTGAAAGACCAAAAAGATAACATTGATTTAACACTGTACTTTAATCCATGTTCCAGATCGTGCATGTACACACACATTTACATACGCACACTTCCCCCTACCCTCATGATGTGGCGCAATGGTTTGTTCCACTGATTTTGTGTAGGTGGGGGAGGGGGGTGAATACGATTTGATTGGATAATCCAAGGATTTAATATCCCCTAATCCTGGCACAATCCTCTCTGCATTACTGCAGGGAGTAAGATTAACTGTATGTGTGTAGTATGTGTTTGTTTCTGCATGCGCGAAAAGGGCGGGCAGGGTGCTCTGGGAGCGAGGAAAAGTGTGGTGTACACTGTGTGATGAGTGCATGTGTGTGTGTGTGCATATGTGAGTGTCATATACTGTGTGTGTGTATTTGTGTTGGCACCACAGCATGCAAATGGAGCTGTGTTTGCATGCAGAGTCTGGTCAGGCGTGAGTACGAGTGGACGTGCCTCAGCCGAGCGTGAGTGGTCATGCAAGCTCACACAAGATCATATATCACATATCTGGCCCTCATGCATGGCTGAGCTGCTGCTGCTGCTGCTGCTGCTGCTTCTCACATATGAATCCTTGGTCCTCAGAGATACACAAACTCTCAGCAAAGGCTTCTTAGTATGCAGCAGGACAGATCAAACCATGCTACAGTATGAAGCCGGCTCCTTGTAGGAGCGCACGTTTGCAGATGGTTACTGTTGATTAAGTCTTAATTGGAACGTGAGTAATTAGAGGATAATTTGACTTGAAAGGAGCGTGAGGCTGTTCATGTGTGTTGGAGTATAGAAGGAGAGAAAAGACTGAGTAGAGTACAGTGTGACTGACTAGTAGGGACTGTACTTTATTTGCATTTTTCTCTCAAGGCTCAAGGGAATTTTAATTACTCTACTATAATATAGATTCAGTTCCCTCACCTTCTCCTTCTCCATGTCTTCGCTCAGAGCCAAATCACACTTATTCCTCCCTTCCCACATCTTATTCTCATAAATTTTCCGTCCCGTTCATTTTGTTCTCATACATTTTTACTAATACTCACGGCTCATTTGTCCCTGGAGATAAAGCGGGTTAAGAAAAGATAATGAAGAGGAGAGCACGGAGCCAGCAAAGCGCTCCTCCAGCATTAAATTCTTTGTTTACCCGAAGAGCACAGCAGTCGCCCTTGGCAACCAGCATCCTTGTTTACCTACCCAGTATGCCGTCATATGATTGCCATGACAACAAGCGGGTTGCCATGCCAATTTTCCGATGCCATTGTGTTGTCTTTGTAGTGGCAGTGTGCACCCTCACCTGCCATCTTGTGTTCAGACTCTCAGCTTTTTTTCTCCATCATCACCTGCTTCTTTTTTTTTTACAGCATAATATGAATTTTAGATCAGGTGGTTACCTTGTCAGAAACGCAAAGGTCATTGTAGTTCAAGCAAATACACACACTCTCACACACTCACAAACATTCTCAGAAACACACTGATCAGCTTTGATTGATAAGCCGTAGTTGGCAATCATTAGGTGCCCGTGTTCGTCCTGTTTTACGATCACAGGGATGAGCTTGAATAGGCCTAATGAGGGAAGAAATGGAAGAGGTGATGGATGGAGAGACGGGTAGAGAAAGGGTTAGTGGACACAAATCTCGCTACAATCAGCCCGCGCTACAACACGGCCCCGAATCAATGAACAAGACGGGACTGATCGATGAGTTGATAGCAGAAGATGGATGGCAGCGTGGATGGACAGCAATAGCACCAGATCTGGGATATGATGGATGGATGGATAGATAGATGGATGGATGGATAGATAGATGGATGGACGAGTGGACAGTGTTCAACTGAAAGGGTGGGTTGTGTGAATTTTCTGTACATTTTACTCTAACGCTGATAGCCCCTGTCAGTTCAGGTGTGTAAGTGGAAAAAATGAGCGCTCCTCCTGCAGCGGATCTTAGGTGTGTGATTCTCTTGTACTCTGAGTGTATGTGTGTCCGTATGATGGCCTTGCACGGATCAATTCCTCTGTGGTGACAGCTAAGAACTGATTAATCAAATGTATGGACCAGTCCCTCTCTGCTCTGCCCTCTCCTCAATTACCAGCTTCATTACATTGCCTTAACACCCCACTGGGACCTTTCTCCAGTCCTCCTCCTCCTCCTCATCCCCTCTTTGCACAGCCTCCCTCCTCCTCCTCCTCCTCCTCCTCCTGTTTGCCTTCTATCATCCTGTGTTCCTCCGTCTCAGTTTTTCTCCTCTGTGTCTTTGAATAACACTCGCAAAATACATCATATGTTGATGCAAATCAGTATCTGACTGGCTGCAAGACAAAGTGCATTTTTGTCTTTGTTGTGGGGAAGTTGAGGTTAAAACTGACACCCGATGATAACAGTGTTTATATGAAAGTAAAGAAATGCTGCTGAATGCTTAGAGAGGAAAATCAGTGTCAAATCAGTGTCCCTCCAGATCTCCTTCACCTTCCTTCTTGCTCCGTTTCATTTGTCTTCACTCAATTCCTCTCACCCCTTCCCTCTTTTCATCACCATCATACTGCAGCCCTTCTCCTCCCCCACCCCATCCCCCTGGCATTAACACTGTCTCATGGCTTCAGTACTATGACTAAGCAATGTGTGTGTGACCGTGTGCAGTATGCATTTGTGGCAAACCTGTGCGCCTGCAGATTTTACATGCACCGAGGGGCTTCTAAGAGCACACACATGCACAAGTTAGCAAAGATTTCTGTGGTCGTGACATTTTTTTTTTAGACAGTTGGAGTCACGACTGAATCACGCCCCTCTCCTCCCTCTCTTTCTCCCTCTCATGGTTCGTTTTGAATCATCCTCTCAGGGGCAGCTTTGCTTTCATCCTCCCACTCTCTGTCTCTCTGTCTCACTCCTCATTTAATGCCTCTTTTTCCATCCATCCCATTCACTCTCTCCGTTCCTCTTGGCCTTCCAACCTGCCCTTTCCAAGCGGCCGAAATCGGTCGGGGGTCCCCCAGGCTTCTCAATTTCTCTGTTCCTCGTTCTCCATCCTTTTATTTTTAGCTGACTGTGCCTGTTCCCTTCACACACTTGTCATATCATCCTACTACAATAACCCCCCCCCCACCCCCACCCCCACCCCCAACCCCACCCCCACTCTCTCACTCTACTCTCTATCTCAATCTACTCTTGTCCCTCATCTAATCCAAAGTTCTTGTGTAATCCAGATCAGCTGGCCTGCATTCTTAATCTCGTCACTTCTCAATCCCCCTTCTCCATTCTATGTGTATGTGTGTGTAAGTGTGTGTGTAAGTGTGTGTGCCAGAGTTAGACAGATAGTAAGATTGTGTGTTTTGACAAAGAAAGAGAGCAGCTTGGGACAGAGTTTGGACGCACCTGTCACCTGCTGACCTTGATTTATCAGTGGCGTAAAAACACACGGACAAACACACACACACACACACACACACACACACACACACACACACACACACACAGTATCTATATTGTTCAAGTTTGTAGATTTTCCTTATTTAAAATTTTGACTTGTTGCTTGAAAGATTTGGCAACAACACAACAAAAATAATTATCTTGTCGTAAATGCAGCGATACTTTTCAACGAAGAAAATAACCTTTTACTTTTTGGGATAAAAGATTTCTCTTCTTAATGGGAATGTGTTTTTTGTCATTTAATGCAAACAAAGTTGAAATCTGGTAATTTTACGACAGCCTATCTTAACGAAAATATTCAACTTTTTAAACTTTGATTTGAGTAAAAAACTTAAAGTTTGTTTTTGATGAAATCTACTGACATATTATTAATGATGGCATTAATTTCCAATTTTACAAACACAACATATCACCTGCCCTTGTGTGGCTTTATCAAAGACGGGCCTCTGCTCTATTGAAGTGATCTGTTCCATTCAGTCGAGACCTTTATTTGCATTTTATCAACTTTATGTTCAATCATTTTCCATAAAAAAACACAAAAAAGAAACGATCTGTTTTTATCTCGACCATGTGAAATAAAAACAATCATAATAAAGAAACACAAACCTCTTTGGAAAAGTTACATTCCTTTCATTATTTTCACACATTTTCCTTTTTAGAGGAAAACGAACCTCTGTCCAAAAGTGTCAGGGCCCTTATGTTTCTTTCTTCAAACATCAAAAACTTAATCGACTTGCCCGGATCACTTCTTGATAGCTGAGTGATTTTCTGGTCCTCCGCCTCTGTCAATAGAAGAGATGTCCTGTGCTAAAGCAAATAGAGAGAACTGTTTGTGTCGACCATCTGTGTTTATGTTCCTTCTTGGTTGTCCCTCAGATGAATCGGCCAATCCAGGTGAAACCAGCCGACAGCGAGGGCAGAGGAGGTGAGACATGCACCTAAAAATAGCACACGCACAAACACACACACATTTCAGTGTGTCAGTGGTCAAAGCTGTTGACTTACTTGGACCTCTTCTTTAAGTAAATACACTCTCACGTACATGTTGAAATCACTATTCTCCACTCCCCTCCATTATCATTGACTGTGGTCAAGACTGCACCCTGCTGGACACAAATGGTAGCTTCCATCTAAAGACAGATCAACTTCTATTCACACTGACTCTATATTCTTATCAAATGAAATACGACCAGACATGAGGTAATAAAATTCATTTCATATCCTCCTTTCCTCTTTTTTTTTTTAAATTATGATTCTCAGAAGACAGAAAGTTGTTTGTGGGCATGCTGGGAAAGCAACAGAGTGACGAGGATGTCAGAAGGCTGTTTGAGCCTTTTGGAAGCATAGATGAGTGCACTGTGTTGAGAGGGCCCGATGGGACCAGCAAAGGTAAAAGACAACCTGCATGTAGATGAATTATCTTATTGCATTTAGCGCTACACTGTAATTTAACATTGTATGTGTGTGTGTGCTGAAAGTGACTTTGTTTCGTTTCAGGGTGTGCTTTTGTAAAATTCCAAGGACACGCTGAAGCCCAGGCTGCCATCAACAGCTTGCATGGAAGCCGCACAATGCCTGTAAGTTGCATGTATGGGATTACAAGTGATTTAAAACAGTCACACAAAGGGTGAGCACACATTACATAATGGTTATATGGCCTTCAAGGCTATGTACATAAAGTCACATGGCAGAATCTACTCCAGGATGACCTCACTATGATCATACAGAGGAAATTGAGGCAGAAGCTGCACAGAGACATTAAAACACGGAGGAGGAAAACACATTACTGCAGCTGAAACTTTGCATCTGTCTTCATCCTTTAACCACACAGGGAGCGTCGTCCAGTCTGGTGGTGAAGTTTGCAGACACAGAAAAGGAGCGGGGGCTGAGGAGGATGCAGCAGGTGGCTTCCCAGCTCGGCATCTTCAGTCCAATGACCCTCAACTTCCCCGCCTACAACGCATACACGCAGGCAGTCAACGCGCAGGCAAGCAGTGCACCAATGCATATACAAAACACTCACTGCCTCACACACACATGTACACACTAAGTTTTTAAGGGGAGTGCTGTGCTTATGAAAGGATGTAATAAGTTTGAAGAGGCTATCAGTGGTCTAATTGGGGATAATGTTATTACACAGACAACAGAACATACGTCATCTGGCATTAGCTTTCCCGCAACACACAACCATTAACCCACTGACTCAGGACATAATGGCCTTGTAATTAGATCTCTATTCATCTGTTCCTCCATCACTCCTTCTCCATGTCCCTCCCTCTCATTTTTCCCCCCCTTTTATGTCTCTCTCTCTCTTTTCCCCATGTCTACTTTACTGTTTTCTGTCTTACCCTCTTTTTTCCTCCATATTTTTCCTTCCTTCTGCCCCCCCCTGCTGTTCTTCCTCAATCCCCTTCCTCCCTATTTCTGTCTGTTTCCTTCCCTGTCTGCAGCTTGTCCAACAGCAGGCCCTGGTTGCCCAGTCAGCCTACTTGTCTCCTGTGGCAACAGTTGCCGCCGTACAGATGCAGCAGATGGCAGCGCTCAATGCCAACGGAATCATTGCCACACCCATTACACCCATCACACCGTCCTCGGGTAGGCTTACACATGCCGTGCATTCTCAGTTACACTTTTGAGTATTGTTATGTTTCTAAGGAGTATTTAATAGCTGTGAATTTGAACTGGAGTCACTGAACTAATAGAACTGCTTTAAGCATTTAAAAAAGAGTGCACAAGAGAGAAAGAGAGGCACTTACAGAAATTTAATATGTCACCTTTGTTTGTAGGTACAAACACTCCGCCAACTATCGCAGCAACACCTGTACCAGCTCTTCCTCCTCCCATGGGAGTGAATGGTTACAGCAGTGTGCCCGCTCCCACTAATGGACAGCAAGCAACAGAAGCACTATACACCAATGGTGTTCACCCATATCAGGGTAAGTTCCTAAACTCTCAGAAGCTTGCAGGTGCAGCTGTTGAAAAGTGGAGGATGTTTTATCTCATAAATAGTATTTTTCTTCTTTTTCTTTAGCTCAGAGTCCAGCAGCAGCCCTGGACCCTCTACAACAGGCATATGCAGGCATGCAACACTACACAGGTTGGTGTGTGGACAGATTCAAGCGCTGACCAGATGATGCAATTTTGCTCGAGTTCCTAAATCACTTCACATGAAGTAATGATATAAAGTAACGGAAGCAAAAGAAGCAAATGGATAGACAAAGAAATGGTTAAAAGAAAATAACTTTGTGAACAGGCATACAACCAAAATGTAAACAAGTGGAAAGAAAATGAAGCTCAGCTAATGACACCTTCTCACTGCCTCATGTTGCATGTTAATGTCCTCATTTAAGAGCACTTCATTTATCAAATTGCTTCACATACGCAGAAGAGACCCCATTTTTGCTGTGTTAATTACAACTGTCATTGACATTACACCTCATAAGCATTAAATATCATGTCTTAGTCAAATTAATATGCAGATGAGCAGACAGTTCATGTAATAGCTTAATTTACAACTCTTGGAAATGAGGACTAAGAAAGTCAAACTGTCGGATTTCAGTTTGACCGCCTTTTGTTGGAGGTTGGATTCGTCTGATTGAATTTCTGTGATTCACAAAGCACACAGTACTGTCTGGTGACAATGTTTAAAGGCTAATCACACATTGACACCATCAAGTCACACCTATGCATACAAAGGTCATTCCAGTGGACTTAAGGTGAACTATACTGCGTGGATACCAGACTTAGACCAACACTTATTGTTTAGACTCGCTCCATTTAACTGATACAGTTAATAGTTTTAACCTTCAGCAGGAGACGTCTCAGTTCAAGTGAAAAGGCTTGATTGGATGCTGCTGTGTTGCCACCTGTTGTTTTTACCCAATCACACTTTGTTACTGTCTCTCCCAATAGCAGCGTACCCTGCTGCCTACGGATTGGTCGGGCAGCCGTTCCCCCAGCAGCCAACACTGGTTGCCCAGCAACACCAGCAGCCCCAGCAACAGCAGCAAAGAGAAGGTGATGTGACTTCCTGTCTGTCTGGGGGCCACACCCCTCTCGCCAGTGATCCTGTTTAAAGTTGTTTATCAGAAGGGTTTCACTGCATGACATCATTTATCATACACTGCCTAATGTGTATATGTGCATGTGTGTGTCTCAGGTCCAGAGGGCTGTAACATCTTCATTTACCACCTGCCTCAGGAGTTCAGTGATTCTGAGATGCTGCAGATGTTCCTGCCCTTTGGCAATGTCATCTCGGCGAAGGTGTTTGTTGACCGAGCCACCAACCAGAGCAAATGCTTCGGTGAGACATGCAGACAGTGGGGGAGGGAAGACGGGGAGAAGTGGGGAGAGCAGATGTACTGGAGACTCAAAAGGACAAGGAAAACACAGGGGTGACTTTGTGTTCGATGAGATATTGCGTCAGTTTTATTATCCAGTCTTTAGTACATCGAGACAAAAGGACTGTGTGAAGAAAAACTTTGTCTGTTACAAAATGTACAAAGTTTTTTTTCCTCCCTCCCTAGGATTTGTAAGTTTTGACAACCCCGCCAGCGCTCAAGCTGCCATCCAGGCCATGAACGGCTTCCAGATCGGCATGAAGAGACTGAAAGTTCAGCTTAAAAGGCCCAAAGATGCCAACCGCCCATACTGAGTGACAACTGAGAGGATGAAGAAGTGATGAAATAGAGGTGAGAGTGTGGTGAACAGGTGATAAGTGTCATGTATAAAGAGAAGTGAGTTGTATGTTGGGGATAAGGAGGATGAAATTAGCTCAGTGAGAAAAAAAAGGGAAAAGGGCTGCATTAGGTTTTGCACTGAAATGCTAATTTATGGTACTACATTAGAAAGAGAAAGCTAAACATGACACAACAATGAATGAAAGTTGGGTAACTGGTGTAGAAAAACAACTTCATCAACCCAGGAAAAAAAATACTAAAATATTGTTTTCCTTTTTATTTTCTATCACAATCTTATTTATTTTCTTTCCTGCTGTTTTGATCTTTTCCTGAAACGGCAACTTACCTCACCCAAGAACCTTCCGTCCAATCATAATTCACGAGGACCCCATCGCTATGGCAATGGTTGCCTAGTGACTGATAAAGCCCCGACCCCCCCTTCCTCTCGCATTGTTGTAAGTTGATTGGTTGGCCTGTGTTTGGGTTGCTGTGGCGATTGATTGCCTGTGTTGGTTGCCCTTGGCAATTTTTGTTCTGTCACCTCGAGCAACCAGCCATGCGTTGACCTGCATGTCCTGTTGCTGTAGTGACCACAGACTGTGTTTGGTGCATTGTGACTTTATTTTGTATTGACCTGTGCACATACTGATCAATAACTGTCAATAGCCAGGACTGTCCTCAGAATCAATTGATTGAATTGGATCTTTGATACACTTAATCATTGTACAGTAATCTGATCAATTCTGTAGCAACGCTTGTTCCTTTTTTGCAGCTTTGTTTTTGATCAGTTTCTGTAGTGTTCTGTTTGGTGTCATTATTTTTTGATCAAATTGTTTGGGTAAAGTAGTGAGCGTGGGCATCTATGTGTACATATGTGTCTGTGTTACACTGTTAGTGTGTAATACAGGAGTGCATCATATTTACTGTTGTACTGGTGTCTGTACAGAGAGGTTATCAAGAGGTTTCCATAGAGGACTGGTGGAGGAATATAGACTACAGTGTACTGTAAAATGTGACATTTAATGAGTTTGGGGAAACTTTTAAAATGATTTTATGATACATACAACAGTGTCATGCCATGATGGACAAGAGGCCATGAAATAATTATGCCTTTAAAAATGGCCACAAACCGGACTATACATGCTAGGAGAGACAGGAACAGTAAAGGGCTAATGAAGCTTAATGACTGAAGCACACAATTTTGGGGAGAGCATGCATCTTGTTGAGCTGTACTCTGATAGGCTGAATTTATAGTCCTGGATTCTTAATAAATACACTGTTTTATGTGGCACTTCAGTTTTTTGCTCCTGTGTTTCTCTACCTCTGCGTTATTTTTCATCTTCTATCACTGCTTTTGTGGTGTTTCCTCCCTCCTCCCCTCACTACTTCCTTCCCCCTCCTCCTCCTCCTCCTCCAGTCTCCTTATCCCCTCCTAATTGTCCACCCCTTCTTTTGCTGTCAAAATCTTTCTTCTCTTCTCTTCATCCCAACCTCCTTTCTCTGTCCCTGTAGCTCGTGTTTTGAGGTAAAAGATATGTGGTTGTTATGGTGGAAAAACAAGTGCCTCTTGCTTATTGGAGAACAGCCTTCAACTATAGGAATTCTGGGAGAAATTAAACACATAGAAATGATCTTATAAATGTACGTAAATTCAATCCTCCAAAAACTCTAACCTTTACAAAGAGTAGCAAGTGTGTAGCTGCTGTCAGGTCGACGTGTGGACACAGTCACATGACAGCACACATTATAAATAAAGGATCCTGTTTCTATTTCCAGGCAAAGTTTTACATAACAAATCCTTGTGGATAATAGCAAGTAATCTGCAATCATTTCAATTATTTGAAGATGTTACTATCATATGATCACTTGAAACTGCTGTCAGCCAGATTAAGTTAATCACCCAGAATTTCTATACTGCCAATGCCAGAGAGTGATGCATGTCAGTAGTAGTGTTTGCTTGCCATGATCAAAGGCACACGAGCGCAGCACATGTTTATCAAGTTAAGCACACACATAGATGCAGATACCAGAGCTTTTGAAAGTACATACGCAAACCTTCAGACACACACTTTCAATCACACACGAGGGACTATGACAAACGGATTTTCACTGTATTGAGTTGCATGATACAGACACTGTGTATGTATATGTTCAAGCACCATGATTTATTGCTGTTGAGAGACGAGCTTTTCAACTGTGAATGATGTCTTCTTGTTTAACTCAGCAAAACGAAACTGAAAGAAACACATAAGCTAGGGGCATCCTGAGCTGCAGTTTGCTGCAAAATGTTGAGTGCAGTTTAAGTCATGTCTACAAGAGTTATTTATCTATTTATTTTTGTTTATTTACTTTTTGAAGGGGGCATGTTTGGCCAGTTGTACAGATGATACTGTAACATGAAGTTCTGTTGAGTTCATAAGTCTGATCTCTAACATCCGCCCTCCTCCTCTGTCCCCCTCTCTCTCTCTCTACCTCTGCACTCTCCCTCCCTTCACAGGTAACCTTTCAGAGGCCAGCTGAGGTGGAATCCCAGGGTTCATAGTGCTTTCAGACTGTCTGCTACCTTTGAGCATCCGGGGAGTGCAACCACACACACACAAACACACACAAACACACACTGATACACATAAATACACATGCACTCTCAACACTGAAGCTCAGTAGGTACAAGGCCGGTATACAAATGTACATAAAATGCACAATCACACACACACACACACACACACACATACACACACAAACACACACACAGTTGACACAAGTCAGTAATCTTACATTAACAGCCCAGAGCTTGGTTCAACCATGGCCTGTGTGCAGTTTGCCGACAGGGTGTTTAGTACAGTTAAGATGACTCTGACCAAGCATGTATGGAGGGTACTGATGAAAAATGCTGATATATCACTACAATAGACTTTAACATGTCTATACCATGTCTATTACTGACAAATATAAAGGGGCCGATGTTTCATAATAAAAAAAAAGACAGAAAGTACAAAAAAGACAATTAAATGAGTAGGTTAGAGAGACTTTGAAGAAAATCCTAATGATGTGTAAATAATTTAGTTTACAAAGAGCAGCATTTAAAAAACAAGAAAAAATGCAAAAAGAATACTACTTTAGATAAACACTGGACAGGACACAGCGACATTATTATTATTATGATTATTATTATTATTATTATCATTATTATTATTATTACCACTAGTAACATCATCATCCTCATAAAGGGATATTACATTCCAAAATGTAAAATGGGAAATCACTAACCTATTTTAAATTTCTACTTAGATTTTAGGTGAAACTTGGGGGAGGGGGGATTGCACTTTTATTCGGGAGGTTTTAATATTTGAGCTATTTTTTATTTATTTACTAATTTAACAATTATTTTGTTTATTGGGAGAAGGGGTTTGAGTGGGTTGCAATATTTTGATTTTAGAATTTTCTAGAGAAAAACCTTTTGAGGGCCTGTTTCTGTCAGACTCCTGCAATCGAGTAATTAAAATGTATGTATTAATTATTACAGCAATTATATTTATTTCTAATTTATTGAATCCTGTTTTTGATCCACTCTCTTTTTAAGTTAAAATAAAAAGTGTCATACGAAAATGTTCTTATGTGGTTTATTACGTGTGTTTGTGTTAGCAGGATTGTTATGTCAGTGAAGACAAAGAGTGAGAGAGAGAGAGGGGAAGGGAGAAAGAGCACATGCACCTTCTGACCAGAGGGGGGAGTCCATAGAGAGAGTGATACCTGAGAGCAAAAAGTGTTCACATCATGCTGGTGTGCCAAGCTTGTTATCTGCTGTAACAGTTTATTGGGAGTAGGCAGCTTTTTATCAGTGGAATTAAATGCTCTATTTGTTTTATCTTTGTGGGTAAACCGCTCTCCCGATGGGCCAGTATTACTCTTTATTTTCTCTCCTCGTTCAGGATATCTCAGTGGAGGGGAAGAACAAATTATTAGTCGTGACAAAAACTACCAGGCTTTATTAAGACATGATACACATTTGAAACCAGTGAATACATTTAAAGAAAAAAAAACTGTCACACCGTTTTTTTTCCTTTAAAGTTATGATCAATCCTAGCTCCCCTGTTACCTGTTGGGTATAATATACAGCGGTTCTATGTGGCACGTGTTTACATTGATGTGTTACGCTTTAAGATTCATGAAAAGTCAAGCACGGTTCAGGGAGCTTGCGAATACCATTCATCAGAGGAACAGATGCAGCCTCCCTGGCCTTGCCTGTTCAACCTGTCTCATGTGTGCACTTTTACCATCAGTTAAAATCTGTTTCTGTCTGGATTTAACTTTTTTACAGAACAGAGAGGGGTGACACCTTCATTTTAGGCCATATGTCAACTCATTATTCTCCACAGGTTTGTTTTACAGTAATTGGTCTCAATAAGGGACATAAGGGTACATACATTGCAAATATTACTGAAAATGAACATACTACCTTTTGCATGTTTTTTTTTTTATATATATATTTCAAAAATTTAGTATCAAGTGTACTAAGGGGATTATTTTTTACCCTCAGTGCAAAGATCATTAGGGTGGACCAGGGATGGTTGTAATACATTTTGCATTAGCACCTGTGACTGACAGATTTTTTAACCTGCATTCACTACAAAATAAACAAGTCCAATTCTCTGCAAGGATATCCTAAATCTCATACTCTGATGTCAAAACAGAGTGTTTTTTTTTTTTTTGTGCGTGTGTTTGTTTGATAACCTACCCTACTGGCAGAGTAGGTGGTCTCCTGTATTATAACATATGACAGGGGAGAGGGGGGTAAGATGAGCCAAAGGGTAAGTTGAGCCACCCCCTGTTGCTTGGAAATGGTAAAAGAAATTGATCATGTGACCAACTATTTAGGAGATGTGCATCAATTCATGGAGTCTGTGAAGGTTAGAAGCACATGGGTGAAGAGGTTAGACATTTATTTTAAAAAAACATTTTTTACTCTTGAAAGTGAATTTAGTCTGTCATAAGTTTTATAAGAACTGAGTTCAGACCAAAAGAGATCATTTTAAATTTGTTTTTTACATCAATTGTGGTATCTATGAGCTACAACATGAGGTCAAAAACCTAACACAAAAGGCAACTATTTTAGCTTAGAGGACAAATAAAGTCATAATAGTAGTTCTGGGGTAAGTTGAGCCAGTAGTTTAACTGAGAAAGTAAAGAAGTTTGATGAGAGGATCAGAGTTTCAGTTCAGATTGTTGAAATGTTTTACTTTTTCTTTTCACAAATACAGCTGTGAATGTTCTGAATCACTTAAAGACATTCTCATGTTAAAATGGCTTTTTACAAAACAACTTTTTAGCAGTTATATGCAATAATTACAGGAATTATTAAGAATTATTGTACAAGTTGAATAGCATATAATTGATAAAAATACACATGAATGTGAAGAAGTGACAGTTATTTAGGGAGAGAGAAGGTGAAGGAGAGCTGGGGTTGAGAGTGTGTGTGTTTGTGTGTATGGGGGGGGAGTAGGGATACGGCTCAACTTACCCCATACCCAGGTAAGTTGACCATAGAGAGACCACTTTTTTTGTCATGCTATATTGTCAAGACAGTTATGTTTACACTCATTTTGTTGGTTTGTAGGGATGCACAACATCTTGAAATATATGCAGACACACTAGTTAGAGACAAAACTATGATTGCCTTGATGTAGTGATCTGAAATATGAAAAATGGCTCATCTTACCCCACCCTCCCCTACTGCTGTTTCTTTGTGTTGTTAAATGGTTCTACTCGCATTTGTGGCAGTTCACTGTGAAAATGAATTTCTCCCGTGATCGATAACTAACTGAGTGATAACATACAATATTCATTCATGAAATCTGCACATAATAGCTGGTTGTGACTCTGGGATCAAAGGTCAGCCCCTGAGACACTGGGTCTAAAATCCTGTTCAAGAGTAGACCCTTGAGAAAAGCGTTTTTGTCTTGAATTAAAGAACTTCAAGAATGATTGAGTGATCTCAGGTTAAATAGATCAGAAATCATGGGTATGGCACTAGTTCATTGGGTTTATATCGGTAATAAGTGGGGGATGAAACTTTTCCCAGAGCGGAAACAAAATGCGGATGTGTGTGAGTGTGTGTCAGCCAAATGCTCTCTCTCTCATGTGCTTGGACGTCATCTGTGTCCCTCCCTCTCCGTTATCCCCTCACTCCTCCTCCTCCTCCCTCTGTCTGCTCCTCTCTCTCACTCAGTCAGCTCTCGTGCCGGCCCGACCTCCGCCTCTGCCAGGCCAGACGTCCACACAGACCCCGTGGACTCTCCTCGGACACTCAACAGAAGGGGGGAAATTCTCCGGGACACGACGAGAGGGAGGGGGAGGAAAAAAAGCGGAGCACTGGTGTCGAGAAAAGCTGCTGGTCGCATTGCAGCATCTCACATACTCTCCCATTATCTGTGGCCACCTTTTTTTGTTTTTACCCCCCATGAAGGCTGTCCTAGCGGAGAGACAAACTTTGTTATCCATGGAAACATGTAAAAATCCGCCCGGACACTAAACTTGGACACTTACTGCGCCCCTCTGAGTACACTCAACAGAACCGTTAGGTTTTCTTCTGTGCTAGCTCGCTAGGTGGGACCGGGACGTCTTTGTGGAGAACATTTTCTTCTGAATCTGCGGGCCGTGTTTTAGGCGACACTACGGGGGGAAAAAACACCAAAGTAAGTCCTGTTTTCACTATTTTCACTTTCATCCCCCCTCAAGCAAGTCGACGTTATTCGTTTATGTGCGCGTGAGGAGGGGCGCACGCTCCGCATCCTTCGCCTGGACGTCATTACGCATTCATAAAGGAATCAGTTAATTAAAAAAGAGGGGGGAAAATGGGGGGCCTGACGGTGTATATAACCTCTAAAATTGTGAGGCTGTGTTTATAATGTGTGTCCACTTTAAACCCCGTTATTATTTGTCGTCTGAAATGAGTACACGAGGGCTGCCTGGCGCGTGGCCCAATTGCGGGTCGGTTTCAGAAGTTTGCTAACTAGCAGCGAATTTTGCCACATTATCACTATTACTCCCCAACTACAGGCCACTGGAAACCCCCTCTATAAGTACAGAGAGGAATATGAGTAATATCACTCGTCTGCTCGTTTATATCGCGTTTATTTCAACTCAAACGTTATTTATTCTGTTTGGGACATCTTCTAGCTCCATTGAGGTCTTCACTTAGCCTTCTGCCTTTCCGTTTTGGGGGTAGCTACACTGAAGCTAGCATTCACACACACCACACAGACACCCTAGTTTAGCACTAGAAACCCACATTTTGGCACAAAGTAGGCGGTAAACTCGTCCTGGGAAATAGTTTTTCATGTTTTGTCTTTAAATGGGTTTTATTTACATGATGATAACACAATCTTTCTCAGTGTGAACCTATGACATGATAATGGAGAAGCACAGGCATTGACTGACTTAGTATTGAGCATCATATTAGTCATTGGGCAAAGTCACATTGAAGCCTTAGAGTAGTACCGAATCAATTACGCATCTGTGAGATGTAAATCAATCAGTTCATCAGTCTTTATTTATATAGTACTCTTCATACACAGAAAAAGGTATAAAAGAAACAAAAGAATATCCAAATCTACCCCAGTTCAGGACTAAAAGAATACCTAAATCTACCCTAATCCAGGAATGAAAGAATACCCAAATCTACCCCAATCCAGGACTAGAAGAATACCCAAATCTACCCCAATCCGGTAATAAAAGAATACCCAAATCTACCCTAACCCAACCCCTCATTCCCTCCCCATGATCTAAATGCAACAGAAACAGTATTAAAATGCATAAACTTAAACATAAGCTACATTATATATATGTGTGTGTTGGGGGTGCAGGGTTTGTATGAAAAAGAGAGCAGTGGTAAATGTGACTGTGACTCTCTCATTTAGGTCAAACATTATGTGAGTTCATGGGTGAAGTCTAAGAGGACTTGTCTAGAAGTAAAGCCACTCACTTTACATGTGCTAGTTTATGGTTTACCTGAAAAAAGCAGCATCAGCGTCCTTTGGTGAATGGACACACCTCCTACTTTTCCAGCTCTTAAACCTCTAATGTTGATCCTAACTTTGCACAGCAGGATGTCAGTGATGCTAAAGTTTGAGGATCATTGCCCTTTAGAGAAAGAATAGCCCCACGTGTGTCCAGAGGTTGGTCTAATTGCCCAGGCTAAGGTAACAGTACTTACTCAAAGGACAGCCATGTAAATCATCCAGCATCCAGTCTGAAGAGAATCAGCATGACAATATTACCCCCACACCTCCTGAAAGGGCCTATTCAAATCAGTGTGTGGACCGACTGAATCCCCTCATCAATAATTCATCAAGGCTGCAGATCAGTGTCAAAGGTATTGAAGTTGATGTCCTTGTGATCTCTATCTGAAACATGGATAACACTGATGAGACAGATCACCACAGACTGACTGTCTACCTTTGGGGTGAATTTAAATGTTCTCTTTCTTCAAGCATATCATTTCCTGGACTCTGTCTGCCTGACCACTGTATCTTGTACATCTATAAAATTACAACTTTTTTTCAGTCAAACTTAACTCCTCAGGAATTTCAAAAATGTAAGGGATGAGTCTGAGTCACTCTCAGAACCCTCTGGCTAAAAATGCCCGATGCATGACATGAGTTACAGCTAATGAACCATTTGAAGGGAACATGTGGGTTTTCTAAACTAACTGCAACTTCATCCCACAGTGCCTCAGCATTTTCCTCAAGTTTTTACTTTGGTCTACAAACATGAGGGATGACTGTACAGACTGTCTCTACTTAAACTGAAATCAATCATTTAACTCATGTTTGGTAGAGACACAACTTTGCACGAGTGCATTAAAATTACACATCACTATGGTCACATTCAAAAGTTGTTCAAATCGCATAGAAATCTCTCAATTTCATCAGCCTTATGATCATATTTTTGATCCAAATATGTTAGAAACAAGTGAAATGTTCACTTTGAAAAGTCTCACACAAGCAACATAGACCTATTCAAACAGTTTGACATATCAGACCAGCAGTCAGAACTTATAAGTAGCTGTACAAACTGTCCTCTCTGTAAGGATTGAAAAATCACCCAAATGGTTTTATCTTTAGTGAATACATACTAAACTAATGTCTGTTTGCGAGGTTATCAGCTGTGGTAGAAAAAAGCTAACTAATTTCATGATCTAAATGGCTGGGGGCGACTTTTACAAGATCCGAATTAATTAACAAAACAAACAGATTTATCAGTGAAACGAGCGCGTTATTGCAGGTTTACAGCCTGTTTTATTGTAGCTACTCTCAGGGAAATCTCATCAACGTATCAGTAATTGACTGCATTATTACAGTACTGTCTGCAACCATGGGCCAAATACTGTGTGTAGTAAATCAATATGTCGGACTTACAACTGGCTCTTATTTCAGAACTCAGGATACTGGAGCTAAAAATGTTACCTCGCCTACTGACAGCCAGTACACGTAACACTGTGCTGTGTATGAAACCTAATATGAGCCATTGTAACGCTCAGTACCGTGAAATAATCAAGGGACATTTTTGATCGAGTCAGTCTGACATATTTGTACTCTTGTCTCTTGGCCTTGTGTCAGATCTAGAGTAGTAGATGTACTCTTTATCTCTGACTTATCAGCCCTTCAGTTTGTTTTTAAAAGTTGTGCTTTGAATAATTCAGCTATCAGGGAACAGTCTAAGTAAAGGCAGATCTGAGTTAACGGGTAGCTATTTACATAGACGGTAAGTTGTCAGTGACTCACAGTCAGCATTTTTCTTCTGTCTTGTGACACATGTTCCTCTAGTCAACTCATGTCCTATCAGTCAGATAGACAAAGTATAACTGGTGGTAAAACTTCATTGGGTGTTAATCATGCATGGAGTGTGAGTGAAAAACACTCCCTCTGTATGATGGTAGTGTGTTTACATTCTTCAGATATTCCTGGACTCTGTACCAGGTTCCAGTCTGGTTGGTTAAGGTTTTTCCTCTGAGGCTGGTTCCCCTCATTTTATCCTTTCTCAACAAACTCCATCATGCGATTGTAAACTTGGCATATAGACATAGCAGGAACATCTACAGCTGTATTTGATGAGCCGAGAGCTGGATCTCTGTTTACAATCACCACATCCCTCTAATGTATATTCATAGTAAAGCAGACAATCAGAGAACTTCCTTTCTCCCTCCCCTAACAGAGGCATCCTTTACTTTTATTGGACCTTTGAAATGGTCAGAGTCTGGTCATGTGATTCAGCGGGCCAATGAGACGTGGTGTTGGGAAAGCTGTGAGGGGAAAATAGCTTTAACTTGCTGATTTCACTGTGAGATCTTAACCAGTCAGCCTAAATTTATCCTGAATTCTCCAACACAGCAGGAAGGACAGATATAGTCGGTTTTCAGTATTCAGATCGTTGTGTGTGGGGGGGTTTATGCATGTGTTAAAAGCATGTTGATCCAAACTACAGCTGATGCATTTATTAGTGACCAAATGCAGGTTGTTATTATTAGAAATCATTTATGTGTGCCACCTCTCTCAGCACTTCTGCTCATTGTACCATCTTTATTTTCCCGCAGAGGCTCATTCATTTGTTATCTGTTTTTTTGTGTGATTACTCTGCTCTTTATGGAGCCACAAACATGCTGTTCAGCAACATTTGTCAGGACACTCTGGAGGAGAAGTGAGGTCTGGTGCTACTGAAGTTGAAGGGTTGGCAAAATGACGGGCAAAAATGTGTCAGCCCTTCCCATCTACCACTACCTGTGCAGAGAGAGAGAGAAGGAAAGGGAGAGCGCAGAGAGAGGCCAGCAGTGCTTTTGCAACAGGAAACAGGGGGCCATGACTAAGATGACATGATGTGGAAAACAAGCGACTCACTGGACCATGACACGTCTCATGGACAGAGTCAGAGGGTGCAACTAGCAAGCCATGTGCTTCACCTACAGGACAGACCCCAAGCTCCTGAGAGGAGTTTAGAGCTTGTTATGAAACAAGCTGAAAGTAAAACTGATGCCTCTATGTGACCTACAAAAGCATAAAAGACCATCAGGCACAAGACTAATTATTTATATGGTATTGTACTTGTCTGTGTCAACCCTGCTGCTGGGGAGGCCTCACACTGGGCGATTAACGCGACCAAAGCAGCCTGTTTTTGATTGTCATTGTGGGTTGCATCATATCAGATACTTAAAATGAAACAGGATGAGACTTTTTGTCAGATAACACAATTTACAGAGGTACTGGAAAAGATCAAAAAACAGATAAGATTTACTTTTCCTGAAAGTGATGTAAGGTAATAGTTTGTCATAAAAGCTATAATAAAGGATGGTCTGTGTGTTAAAAACAGATGTGATCAAATTTTGTGTTATTCGAGGATACAGACTGAAATTTCAACGTGTGGTGCGGATTCATCCATAAAACTTTCAAACAAAAAGGGGAACATTGCTGAATCTGCGGTGCCTGTTTGTATGCCAGAAAACACCGATTTTAATAACATTTCCGCCAGTTTTAGCAAGTTTCACTCTCCTCATGTTCCTGTGAAACTAAAGACATGACTTCTTATCATGTCAGTCAATGAAAGTGTTTTATAAGCCATTATCTGTGCCAGTCTTTTTGTTAATTTTCTTCATATTTTTTGTCAGTTTTATATTTGCTGATCAATATTTTATAAAAATGTTGATGACACTTGACTCCCAATCAACACTCACAGCGCACCAGCTTTCTTCCATTTATAAGATGTCCCTTTGTCAAAGCTACATATCATTGTAGCATTTTAATGACAATATGTACAGTTGGGGGGTTGGTGATAGTAGCAGCAACTTAAACAAACTTGGTCTTGGATAACAAGGTGCAAAGGTTTGCAAATGAACTTGATTGCAAATTAGATTTGTGATAGTTGGTCCTTTTAAGACGTAACGATTGTAAGAAACTTGAATATACATCTTCCTCTTTCTTTGGGACACCCGTTTTTAAACAAGGAAATTAAAAAGTAAGGCTATTAGATGGGGTGCCCTATATGCCGAGTATACAGTTCACAAAGCAGGCAGCTGGGGCTCACTTTCAAACTGCAGCCCATTCTCCACTCTCTCCTCCCAGTTTCTTTCTCCATCCAGTGTCTTATCTATAAAAAGGCCAAAGAGCCCAAAATAAACTTTCAGAAAACTCATCTTCATTGTCAGTTTGTGAATCGTCTGCATGAAGCACATCAACTTCCAGTTTCAGCTGTTATTTTAAAGATAGCGAAGGGAGGGGGAGCATTACACACAGCTTTGGTGCTCTGGGCCAAAGGGGGAATCCGTCTTGATTCCTGGCAGGGATCAGCAGGGCGGGGATGGGAGTGGAAGTTAAGCAGTTACAGGGCTCAGACATTTACAGCTGCGCTGAGCGGGAGGGGAGTTAGTGTAGATCTCCAAGGGGACTCTAGAGATGGAGTATGTGGGGGCGCCCCCGCTGCTCCACACATATGGACCAATCATGACTCATGGTCCTCTGATGATACTTCTCCCTCACCACCACCCTTTTACTCTCTCTTTTAGCCACTCCCTCACTCCAGCAGAAGAAATATTCATCTCTGTACTCTCTGAATTAAACTCTTGCAGCTGTTGTCCGTTCAGGGGAGCACTGGTGGTGTGGAAAGGTTAAAAATTCAGTTGTTGGTCTGATTCCTCCTCCCTCACTCGGGCCTCTTGAGCTCCCTGCATGCAGTGTGTGCTCTGTTTAAGGCATTAGGAAAACCTTTACTGAGGTTTCCAGTAAGAGGGAGACATCTCTTCCTCTCTTAATTACACAGTACCAAACATTCCTAATTACAGATGTCCTCCTGTACATACAGCAGCCAGGCCCATATGGCTGCAGACTGTAAAGCTCCTATGAATGTTAAAATTGCTCCCATTCAACCTTGTGGGTTTTCTTCAGGGTGTGGATTCTGCTTTTAGGACAAGTGTATGTTTAGTCAAATAAGCTGCTATTAACAATCAAATAAGGAAATAGAGATGTTGCTGACTCCATGTGTGTCCCGTGTTGCAGGATGCTGTCGGGGCTGAGCGAGTGGTTCTGGCAAGAGCGGCTGTGGTTTCCAAAGGGCCTGGGCTGGGCTGACCTGGAGGATCGGGATGGACGGGTATATGCAAAAGCCCGTGACTTGTGGGTGGCGCTTCCCATCGCACTAGCATTCCTCATTATCCGTCAGATCTTTGAAAGGTCTGTCTAAGTTTTCTTCTAATCCTTTTACTGTATGTCTCTACATTTTCTCTTTGTGTTTGCTCATTATTAAACATTTGCATTTTTCATCCCCTCTGTCCAGCTTTGCTCTTATATTTTCCTCATTTGATTGACTCTTCTGTTATTTTTTCCCTTCAGGGACATTAGGGTACTCTCTCTTGATTTCTCCCAAACAGTTATTCAATAATTCATGTGCTGTGGCCACATCTTTTATAATGAAAGCGCCATCCTTTCAAGCGACTTATATTATCGTTCCATCAAGTACAATGTTCTGCTATCCAGTGGTTAAGCTTTTGGAAATCAGACAACCGTTACAGAGTCCACCTGTGCTGTCTGGCAAATGCCAAGAAGCTCCCGTGCTCATTAGTGGTTTTCATTCCTACCTCCCATCCAGCCACAGAGTGGAAACATTTTAAAACAGACTCGAGAAACAGTAGCAAGACATTTCGACTCGACACTGAGTGATACTCAGTGATATACTTTATAGATGTTTCAAGAAGGGAGTGCATGAGAAGTTGTTCTTGATTAAAAAAGCTGAACCATGTGTTTTTGCCCCCTTCATTTATTAAATTCAACAATATTTTTATTAGTTTTATACAGATACACACCGGAGACACATTACAAACACCCCCTTTCCCTCAAAACCCCGTCTACAGCTGGATATTTCTATTATTTTGTTTAAATAACAAATTGTGGAGCTATAACAAAAAATAGAAAAATAAATAAATAAATAAGTACATAAATATAAAATTAAATTAAAGTGCTGGAATTTGGCTTTTATAGATCTTGAAATACATGTTGAGAAATAAAAAGTAAAAAGAGAAAAAGTTAAATGAACTACTGTGCATTAAGAGAAATACAAATGTAGACAAGTCGCTGAAAACTGAAAAAGTACATAAAAGAGGTATTTATTTATTTATTAATACTAGAATAAACTTTATTCATACTTCTTAAACTGTATCATTGTCTTTACATTTAATCGCCTTTTAATGTCAACAACCTGTCTGTATGATTGCAGGACGGTGGCCACACCCCTAGCTTCTCTGCTCGGGGTCAAAGAGACAGTACGGCTCAAAGCTCCCCACAATCCCACACTGGAGTCCTACTACTGCAACATTACCAAACACCCTTCACAGGTACATGTCTATATGCAGACAGTGCATCGCTTTAAATTACAGACTTGTTGTCAGGAAGTACAGTTCTTGAGTTTCGCCTCTTTGTGCTGATTTCAGACTTCGATAGCAAGTCTCTGCAAACAGACGGGCTCCTCAGAAAGACAAGTGCAGCGATGGTTCAGGAGACGAAGGAACCAGGACAGACCGAGTTTGCTCAAAAAGTTTCGAGAGGCCAGGTAAAATCACACTGAGAAGCACTTTCACACAAACTCATAGACATCCTGTATATACATAGACTTATCTAGAGCTATGGGGCAGGTTGAAACAGCTGAACACCCTTGCGTTCCTCGGGCTATATGAGCACATTTCTGAGGGCAAAAGCAGCCCTCTATTTTTAACATGCACTCATTACAATGCCACTCTGCTGCTACCATGCCTACAGCCCCTAGTCCTCTCTCACGCACACAAATCCAACCATTCACATACTTATTAGCACCAAGGCCCCGGCAACAGGGCTCTGTCGACACTGTTGGTTATTGTCATGAGTGCAGGGAGCTAAACCAACAATATGTTAACCTGATAATACACAGCTGCTCAAACTAGCTAGTGGCAGCTGGCACGTTTCACACTCTGTCCAGATAACTAAAAATACAATTACCACAGAAATAATCTATAATAATGCAATTAACACCCACTCATAGCATTGTACTGTCAGCATCAGGGTGATAAAAGTACTATTATACCTTTATATTGTGGTTAATGTTTAGTTTCCCTAAAGACGCAGAACCCTCATGTCCTCTTGCTTCATTATCATGGCCATTATTCATGTTTGTCAACAGACCACTTATAGCTGTCCATGAGACTTAAAGGGTCAATTCACTCAAATGATAAGACACACACCTTTAATTGCTACTCTCCTTTGTTGCCACTTTGTGTAGAATAAATAGTTCAAATGAATTCACCTGGACTGAGTTTTAGTTGACAGGGAAAATGCAATTTCACACAGACCCAATAAGAGGAAGCTAATAACTATGGTACAATAAAAGCAGTTATTATATTATACAACGCACGAGTTCTTAACACCAATATAACGTAAAATATTAAAACACAATGAGATTAAAATGAGTGCAGCTCTTTTTTCCCCAGCCCTTAACCCTTGCTCAGATTTTTTTAAACTGGAATAGATTTTATTTCAGTGATTGATCAAGAAAGCGACATGTCCGAGATCTACAGTGTTTTTCACAGTTAGCATCGACCAGGCTTTCAGTTATTCTGTGACAGTCCTGTCTTTACCTGCAGAAAGGTTTTGAGGTGAGATTGTTTACACATTTGAAAACTATTTTAACAAATGCATAAAACTCTTAAATTAAGTATACTACACTTGAGTTGATGTAGAAAGTCTGAGCCCAAGACTTAGAAGCAGGAACTGCTCCAGAGCTTGTGACAGGATGGAAACATTTTCATGTTGTTGGAAAACATTATGTTCAAGTTGCTTCTTATGTCATGCAGCAGCGTGCAAAACATACTCCATGTACACATTAACACCAGACTATTGTTTCAGGGCAACATGAAAATACGAAGCCATTATTTAACACTTGTCTGTGAGTATTTTTCAACAATGGCAATTCTGTGATATCTAGACAGCTCCATCTTGTGATATGGTTTTTGGTACCAAATTTGAGTGAAATGACCCTTTAACTCTTATCTGTCACAGCTAAATCAGGCAGGTGTAGTGTATGTTTGAGTAAGAACATTATTAAACCTCCAGTGGATCGATGTTGATGCTGGTGTCAGTTTGTGTGGATGTGTATGTGGCTGTATGTTTGTCACTCGCCGCTCGTGGTGTGTCTTTCCTTGAGCGTGTTACGACATTTCTCCTCTGAATCAATCTATTGTTTATGTGCACACAACAGGCTTTCTGTGTCACTGCTTTATTTTCTCAGCTGTTCTCTCCTTTTTTTGTGTGTTCACCTTTCTCTTCTCTTTCTCTCTCATTGTGTGCTGTGTATTTTTTTGTGTGAAACGCCCTCTCTGCACCTGTATGAGACTCTATGGTGGGAATGATCCCTCACTGTCTCTGTTACAGGATATTAACAGGGAGGATACTGTCTGACAGCCCTCTTTGTGTGCTAGTGTGTGTGTGCTCGTGTGTATGTGCTCATGTGTGCGTGTCCTTATTTGACTCGCCAGAGTTTACCAGATATTTCCAGGCCCTTCATTTGATCCGTCTTTTTCTGTCCATGCTCTCTATATTTGCATCTGTAAGTGAGTTTGTTTGCAAATGTGCGTTTGTGTGTGAGTGATGCATTCATGCGTCAGCTGTTAGAAAATGTGTCTATTGTCCCTTCCTCATTAACTGAGTTGAAAGTGTGTTTGTGTGTGTGTGTGTGTGTGTGTTTGTGTGTGTGTTCTCTTACAGTTGGAGATTTACCTTTTACCTTCTTGCTTTCATTGCTGGCCTGGCCGCCCTCATCGATGTGAGTACTGCCACATTAATCTTCACTTCTCCTCCTTCTCCTTTTGTCTCCTCATGTAAACATTCTCATCAGTGGACCTGGTGAACTCATTGCCATGCTGACTCAGGTGATTTGAACTCACCTGTCTAACTCTGCGGCCCCATTCACATCCTCTCTCTCTCTGTCTCTCTCTCTCTCTCTCTCTCTGTCTCTCTCTCTCTCTCTCTCTCTCTCTCTGCAGAAACCCTGGCTGTACGACCTACAGGAGATGTGGCAGGGCTTTCCTGTGCTGGTACGTCCCTGGGATGTTTAGAAAAACATCTAGAAAAAAAGTTCATTTTCTGTCATTTATTTTGGTTCAGATCAGGTTAAAAGATTAGCTGTGTTACAACCCATTGTTCCTGTATACAACTAGTAATCAGTTTTGATATATTTAAATTAGGGATGCACTGATCCGATATTTGGATTGGATATCAGCTCCGATATTGACAAATTAACTGGATTGGATGAATGATGCTGATCCAGCGTTCCGATCCAGTCTTTTTTTTTTATTATTAATTTTTCTTTTAATACATGGAAGTCTTACTTCTTATTGTTGTGTGCTAATGTGCACTTTGTTATTGTTAACAAATAATATTAAGCAAATTTATATCTGTGTTAATGTCAAGCCTGATGCCTTCACTCACAGGGCAAGGTATACAGATCATTCATTCAACAGTAGTATTGGACCGGTATCAGCCCAGGTATAGGTATCAGATTGGATCAGAAAAAAAAGGTGCATCTCTAACTTAAATAACTGTTGGCACAACTGTAAACTGTTAACTGAAAAGTTTTATCTATTTTTGAGGGAGTAAAAAGTAAGATTTCACCTGATCATTGTTATCAAATACAACGATTGGTTCACCGTCTAACGTCAAAACCATTTAAATATAAATTTCAGATACTAAAAAAGCATTTAATACCTGTGAATTTGGTGTCTGTAAAAAAAAGAACATGAAAAGGATGTTTTTCACCGAAAAGTTGCTCAGCTGATGAAGAGAAAAACTGGTGTTGATTTTTTTTTATTTTTTTCTCTCTTTCAGACTCTCCTGCCATCTCAGTATTGGTACTACATGATTGAACTGGGTTTCTACAGCTCTCTGCTCTTTAGTGTGGCGTCTGATGTGAAACGCAAAGTGAGTGAAAACTATCAAAAAAAAAAAAAAACCTAAAAAAAAATTTGTTTTTCATTTTTATATAGTCAGGACATTTTTGTCTACTTCAAACAAAAGAGAGAAAATGTTCTGAGCCGTTCAGTTTGACATCTGGCTCGGACTCCGGGTGGACATTAGACTGTTGTTACACGTGTGAATGTGTGTGTGTGTGTGTGTGTGTGCGTGTGTGTGTGTGTGTGTGTATGTGTGGAAGTGTTTGGACTTTGCTCAACCTGGGTCAGCTGAGCACAGTGGGGAAAATCCTGCCAAAGAGGCACAGTGTGTTTCTCCAACACAAAACTCCAACCAAGTTGCCTTTTAAGAAGGATTTAACACGAAGCGCTCAGACTCACTCAAACATGAATAACGCACATTCCCAGCGTCTCCCCCTTTTCAGCGAACACACGATTAACGAGGCCGTGTCTTTCTGTTTTTAGGACTTCAAGGAGCAAATTGTTCATCATGTAGCCACCATCCTCCTCATCAGCTTCTCCTGGTGTGTAAATTACATCCGTGCTGGGACTCTCATCATGCTGGTGCACGACTCCTCTGATTACCTCCTTGAGGTAAAAGTCATCCCTGTTCGTTATATACACACACACACATAAAGAAACAGACTTAATCTACAGTACACATACCTGTACCCACAACCAGTGATCATACTGAAATATTGTACATTTACAGATATGAAAGAGGGAAATGATCACCTATCACTCATTTACAAATCAAATGATATTCAGATGTTTCAAACTGCATCCTGACTCTGTTTTAAGTGACGTTCAGACTCAGTGAAATAAGTGCTGTGGTGAATTCTGATGGAAACACACTGATAATACACTGCCACCTTGTGGGCAAAGCTATGATAGGTTATTTGAAGAGGGAAAAGGCCAAACTATTAAATGAACATGTAGCCGATCAGTTTAGAAAAGACCGCACAGACCGCCTCGTGATTTGGGCGTGCCCCATGAATACAGGGTGTCTTTCCTGCGTGTCGTTGCCTGTTCTCTCCTCTGTTTCCTGTGCTCCACACTCTTCTTCATCTGTCAATAAAGGCTGAAAAAAAGCCCAGAAATAAATGCTTTGAAAAACAATACCATTTTTGCAGTTGTTGCAAAAAAAAAGTCAAATTTTATGAAAGAGGATTTGAAAATGACCCAATTTCTCAGATGATTTATCATCTCAGTGAACAACTTCTCAATGCATGTGTGGTCCCAAGATTTCAATCACCGACAACATGTCAATGATGTAAATTATGGCTCTTTTATGAGTGAAGTAGCTGTTAAAGGAGGGTTGAGTTCAGGGTGTGAATACTTGTGGTTTACAAGTCATTACCACAGCAACCTTTCTACCAGCAAAGAGAATGCAGTGGCATTGTGTGAGTTTGGCAAGGTGTCATCAATTCTTGTTCAAAGTCTAAGAGCTCCATCAAACCTATTTCATGTTTCTGAGAAATACAGTATCTTTTTTATCAACAACTTCTCTATTTGAAAATTTCTTTGTCTTCCTCAGTCTGCAAAGATGTTCAACTATGCTGGATGGCGAAACGCCTGCAACTACATCTTCATCGTGTTTGCTGCAATTTTCATAATCACTCGCCTGGTCATCTTCCCCTTCAGGTAAACTGCATGAATGAATGAATGTTTTCATGTTTCATTAAAGCTGCTGCAGGTTATTTAAGAGGGCGTCACAGAAAGTCATTCTTGCATATTCTCCATGAAACTCCTCTCTCTCTGAGTGTCACACACTGTCTGTCCCTGGACTGTTTTTCATGTAGTAACTATAAGCTTCTCCACTACCTATAATAACATTCAACTGAGCAAAACTTCAATAATCGATTAGTGCAATACTGATAATTCATCGTTATCAAGCTACACTGTGCAGTACTCTATGATACAGTATAGTACTCTGTGCAATATCCTACAGTCAAATCCTACAATATCCTTCCTATTTGAATTTCCTTTTGGATTAATAAAGTATCTATCTGTCTGTCTGTCTGTTTTATCTATCTATCCATCTATCTATCTATCTATCTATCTATCTATCTATCTATCTATCTATCTATCTATCTATCTATCTATCTATCTATCTATCTATCTATCTATCTATCTATCTATCATGCAACGCTGCAAACTAGTTTTGCATACATGAGTTCCTGCTCTTTAAGCTTGCACGTAGTTTATTTCTTACACACTCTTCACTTTATAAATAGCTTTATTTCTAATATTCTGCACTCATTACTAACTGTTGCAATTTCTTAATTATTTATATTTTTCTACTACTTCTATTCTCCTTCTAATAATGTTTGTTTTTTCAAGAGCCGAATTTGCCCCCTGAAATTAATAAAATATTCTGATTGTGATCCTGATAGGTCCTAAATTTGAACTCTCTTGATTTCAGGATCATTTACTGCACGTGGGTATACCCAGTGACCATCTACGAGCCCTTTTTCGGCTACTACTTTTTCAACGGCCTTTTGATGACTCTGCAGTGTCTACATATCTTCTGGGCTGTCCTCATCATACGCATAGCGGTCCGCTTCCTCACCAACAATGTAAGAAAACAAAAAAAATTAAAGTTCAAGTGCAAGATTTTGTAAAAAAATCTCATATAAGTGGTTGAAGTGCCGATGTATTAATTATTCATGCCATAATAGAGGTCAAACATAAGAAGTCACTCAATAATACATAGCACATGAATTAATAATATTATGAAGCATATGCATGTATTGTCTGTGATGTTTTCCTTAACATAAGAAGTAGGATTATTAGCATTAGTGTCATTTTGGAGATATGTTTTTATGCATACAGTGAGACAGTTTTGGGTCAGACTGTTTCCTAAATGCAACAAATATGCAAACTCAATCCAGTGTACAAGCTCTCAGGTCAACATGGGTTTTAGAGATGCATTATCAACAGATACATCATACAACACAGCAGCTGGCTGCTCGGCCTAAAACGTTTTTAATACTGATGCAAAAGCAGATGCAGACTGTTTCACATCAGTGGTAACAGACTTTGCTTTTATAATGCCTTAACAGAATTTATTACAAATTGGTCCACGGTTGTGGCCTGACCTGAAAAAGGGCAAAAGAAATCTGTTTGAACAGGGAGACTGGGAGCATATACAGAAGAGTATAAATCATAAACTCGCAGATTCATCCGGCTTCAGGATGTGACAGTTTCAGTTAGTGTAGACAGTATCCAGAGCTCGCCAGCATTGTAAGTAGGGGGTCTGCTTGATTAATGACATGTTTAAAAGCCCTCTCTTTTTTTCTTCTTCTTATTTCCAGGAAAAGGTGGACGATGAAAGGAGTGACAAAGATGAAACAGATGAATCAGGAGAGGAGGAAGAAGAGGAGGAAGGGGTTAAAAAGAACACAAAGAAAAATGGGCCAGTGCTAAACGGTCACACAGTCCACAACAACAACCACAGCAAGACAGAGTGAAAGCAAACGAGTGTCAGGACACAGGAATGTGAGAAGGACTCATATCCCTCAGCAGAGCAGCAGAAGGGAGGGATGAAAAGAGGGAGAAAGAAGAAGAAAGAAGAAGAAGACGGGGTTTGGGCTAGGAAGAAGGGCACGTCATTCCCTAAAACACACAGCAGCAGGTTTATAGATAAAATGTGACACTGTTACTTCTGCACAACACACACACACACAAAAAAAACACTCTCACACACATTCTTTTGTACCTCTAGAGGGCACCGAGGTCCAGCAGATGATAGACACTACATTCATGTCTCAACGTCAGTGTGTGAAATCAATCCCCAAATTTCGAGGGGACGGGGGAGGAAACTGAGAGGAGCAAAGTGATGGGACTGAGGGAGGGAGGGGGGGAGGGAGATGCTGCTTCTACCTTAGCTTTCCTTGTTCAGTGTGCCTTAGAGCCATCTGATGGCTGTTAAAATGCCATGTTCTAATGTTATAGCTTTCTGCTTTGATCCTGTAATGTTTATGCTGTTCCCTTTTTTGTTTTCTACTAAAAGAACAAAAGAGAATGAAAGTAGATTTTATGAAAGTGAGATAATGGGGCATTTATTTCCCTAATTTTCTGTCTATGCAATTACGTAAATGTTCAGCTATTGCACCGCCTTTGCACAAACAAACCAGTGTCTCTTATGTACTGTGCAGTAGGAGTGTGTGCCTCTGCTCTCCAATGACGACTGTGCCATTGATTAAAAAAAAAAAAGTCTGCCTTGTAAGGTTTAAGGAGCAACTATGGCAACGCTTTGTTGAAACACTGCAAGAGAAATCTTGCTTTTAATTTCTTTTCATAATCAAGCATCACTCATTCATCGGAGTTTCTGCTTCCAAAAGAGAACATTGTCCTCCAATCTTTGCTTTTCAGCAGCCAGGAATACACAATAAATGTTCCTCTGCAATAAAGAAAAAAACTCAGCTTCTTGCCCGTGCCAGCAGAGCTGAATTTTTTCCCTCTCTGGTTTGGTTTGAGCTGTTTGATCCAGTTGAGTCACTCTGGCACTGCCTCACACTGAAAACCGATGAGTCTATAAAAAAACAATCATGGCGAAGGTGGATTGCTTTGAGGGGATACAAAAGTTTTACCAGAACAAATGGAATGTGACAGATGAACCATTTCCAGAGTTGACAAACCTGAACCAGATTTCCCCAATTCACTGCCTTGTAGCCTGGGAAATGTTTGCTAGCCCGGGTTGGAATTGAACTTTTTGATCTCAGTGAATGACTTTAAGTATGATTGTGTTTATGAAACGGGTTTCCAGGTATCTCTTTTGATGTAAAGGAGGTAAACGATAATGTAATCAATTTTTAGCAAATCAGTGTTTAGCTTTGAGATTTGGGAAGAGCTCATGGAAGGAGTGTTGCTGTTTCGTCTTCATGCTTTAAATCTATTTGTATGTTAAGTGCCTTATCTGTAATGTGTGGGGAAGCTCTCTCTCTCTCTCGACTTTGTGTCCTCTTGTTTTCTTTCCTCTCTCCCCCTCACATTAGACAGTAGTATCACCTCCTTCCCCGTATCATCCATCACTCACCTCTTTCCTCATCCTCATGAGTCACCTTATCCCCAGATTCAGCCTCATTCCACGACCCCATTGTTTTTTACTAACACAGGTCAACCAGCAGCCTCCTCTTCCCCGGTGATACAGAAGAAACAGCTGTGTCCTAATTACAGTGTTATTATTATTATATATTTTTTTGTATTTTTTTTTTAATAACTAAGTATTGTTATTAAAAATAAATGCAAAGATCATGAATCACAATGAGATCACTATGAAGTACTTTTTATTATTTATTTGTGCATTCTGGCTGCAAAGATGGTCACAATAATGCACAATGTATTATTTAGGATCATCAACTAAACATGAGATGCAGGGAAAATGCTGCTGAATTGATGTTTATGCTGTATTTGACTGCTTTAGCTGGGTTGATAATTGTTGATTACATTTAAGAGTGAAAACATTCAAACTCCAGAGTTCAAAATATCATTCTTTAGACATGTATGGCTGTAGTCCAAGTATTTTGATATTTCTTACAAGTACAGTACATCATGTACCATGTTACACTGCAGCGTCACCAAAAATGTTTAATTATGTTGGATATTATGACTTACTACACTAAAAAGTTTTACAAACACCCCAGGAAATTAGTCATCCCTTTGAATATTGTAACTATAACCATTGCGAGTTTAATTCATTGCAGCAACTGTATTTCTTCTTCCCATTTTACTCCAAATCTGACTGCTTTACATGCTGGTTTCTTTGCATCTTACAAAGACATAGTCATCTACTTACACAGATTGCTCTTTCATAGATTTAAGTAAGCATGTTTTTCCTGAAATGGTGAATCTGTATCTGTGTCCTGAAGGTAAGTGGCTTTAGTGGTTGTGGAGTGTTTGTGAGGTTCCAGAGGCTATTTGTAGTGCTTTCTTTGTCGTCCTGTTTTAGATGCTGCTCAGGGGGCTGCCGGTCCAGTCCAATGATTTTACATCTTAATTTAATGTGTTTGAAGAGGGGGTAGAGGTGTAGGCTACGTTGCACTGAGGCTGTTTTATTGAAGAGTGCCAGTTGATTGGAAAAGGCACGAGTGTAAGTGATTTTATAGAGTTCCCTCAAGAAAAAAAGATGTTGACATTTCAAGCAGTTGATGTAATTCTCAGCTTTGAATGCAAGTTTATTGTTGATAGTGATGCCAAATAATCAGTTCGCCTAAACCCTCTCAACTGACCGGCCTTGGACTTTTAGTGTGAGAACAATGAACTGTCTAAGGTGGGGGTCTATCAACAGCCTCTCTGTTTTGGAAGCACTGAGGTCTGTTGAGCTGTATCCCTACTACCCCCCACTTTCCACCCCAGCTCTCCCTCACCTTCTCTCGCCCTAAATAACAGTCACTTCTTCACATTCATGTGTATTTTTATCTATTATACACGATTCAACTGGTACAATAATTCTTTTTATCATTATTGCATATAACTGCTAAAAAGCTGTTTTGTAAAAAAGCCATTTTAACGAGAATGTCTTGAAGTGATTCAGAACATTCACAGCTGTATTTTTGAAAAGAAAATAATAATAATGCATTAGATTTCATATAGCGCTTTATCAGAGACCCTCAAAGCGCTTTTACATTAGATACATCATTCATTCGCTCACACAGTCACACCTTGGTGGTGGTGAACTACCTTAGCAGTCACAGCTGCCTTGGAGCAGACTGATGGAACCGTGAATGCCAGTTTGTGCCTATGGCCTCTCTGACCACCACCACACAACACTCACATTCATACACAAGTGGTGGACACACTGGGAGCAAGGTGGGTTAGGTGTCCTGCTCAAGGACTAAACAGGCAGACTTGACTTAACCTTCCGGTCATCAGACCATCGCTCTACCTCCTGAGCTACTGCCACACATTTCAACAATCTGAACTGAAACTCTGATCCTCTCATCAGACTCCTGTACTTTCTCAGTTCAGCCACTGGCTCAACTTACCCCAGAACTACTATTATAATTTTATTAGTCCTCTAAGCTAAAATGGTGGAGATTTTTGACCTCATGTTGTAGCTCATAGATACCACAGCTGATGTATAAAACAAATTTAAAATGATCTTTTTGGGTCTGAACACAATTCTAATAAAACTTGATAGACTAAATTCACTTTCAAGAGTGAAAAATGTTTTTATTTTTTAAATAAATGTCTAACCCCTTCACCCATGTGCTTCTAACCTTCACAGACTCCATGAATTGATGCCCATCTCCTAAATAATTGGTCACATGATCAACTTCTTTTGCCATTACCAAGCAACAGGGGCTGGCTCAACTTACCCCACTCTCCTCTATAGTGGAAAATGTCTCTGTTCATGAACCAGTTTTCCAGCTACACATGAATATGTATATTTATTCATCTCCATCTGCTCATCTTTGAAATGCACAAAGGCAAACGTGACCAGAACATAAATCATTTCAAGCCAACGACCTTGTAATGACAGTAATACGCTTGAGCTGCATAATCTGAAAACCAACAAATGGTTAAAGCCCGTAATGATCTGTATAAACCATAGAGGAGTGCAATATTTAGACTAAATCGTTGTGTTTCTGTTCAAATACCTTCAGCCCCTCCACAGCCACAGTGGGGCGGAGCACATCGTGGATTTCCCAACCTTCGTCATGAGTATCTGTCTTTGCTGAAGTCCAATAGAAAGAGGAGGAAAGAAAACACACACAGTAGACAGCTCGCACTCACTCCGCTCGCTGGAGCGCCATCTTAACCATAAAGGGGTTTTAAACCGGGAGACAACAGGAAAGAGGGACTCAAGAGGAGATAAAGAGTCTTCTTCTCAGCCGGCGGGTTGTTTTGGATTATTTAAGTCATGGCTTTGCGCGTTTATAACTCAAAGTAAAGGCGCGTACGTGAGGAAATCAGCTCTGCACTTGTTAGCCTTTAGCCAGCTAGCAGGGGGGAGGAAGGTGGGGGTTCGAGGATCTTTTTTTTTCCTCCGCAGCTGAAGTTGTTTGTTTATGTTATCCATCACAGACATGTCCTCTTCAAACCCAGGTAAAGTGATGTAAAAGTCGCAATGACAGCTTAACCGGACTATACTCTCTCACTTTCAATGTTTTTGTGTGGATTTTTTCACTCATCGCCAGGGCAGACACTTTCGTAAAGATAGCGTGACAGCATCAGCTAAATTAGCTTAGCATGTTGGCATGCTAGCCAGCTCATAGAGGCTAGATTAGCGACTAGCTAAAATAGACCTGTTGTGATAAACTTCGCCTTGCCAAAAGAGCCAAAGTGATTAAAAAGTGTACATTAGGTGTCTATCGACTAGAATTCGGTCTCATATGTGTTCATTTTAAGTTAATAATCCACATATTATACATATCTGGATGTAGCTTGATGGTAGCTACGATGAGTTGTTTTAGCTCACTCCAACCTGTCAACACGACACAAGAATATAAGATTTTTGAGCCGTATTTATGCCAAAATCCAGATTGCTACTTTCAAACATAATCATTTGAACGCATTTATGTCAATTTAAGCTCCGAAGAGGGCTTACTTTACATTTTCAGAGCCAGAGGCACAATAGGAAATCACCTGTCATATCTGCCACACTGTGCCTCACCATGCCTCTGTGTTTATTTATAGAGTTACCAGACCCTAATCTGGGTATGGGGGCGAGTGGGACCCAAGGGAGTGGAGGGGCTGTTGTACCAAAAGGGACCAACAAAAGAAGAGCTGGGTAAGTCTGATCGTGATTCAGATCAGGGAGGAAAAAGCAGAAATGCTAGGATCATGTAATGTGTAATTGCTGACTGTTTTACTTTTGCTTGAGAGCTGTGGTCGAAATTGTTGTAAGAGCAAAAGTATGAAGCTGCTGTTCACATGGCTCTCTTCTCCTTTTTGTAGGCCAGATTTTGATGATGATGAAGGGAGTAAGCTGTTCAGGTACGTTTATTTGTAAGATGAGGTGTTGCATTAAATATTTAAATGGTCATGGCAGCTTGACTGAAAAGACGTGTTTTTTTTATTTCTGTTTTCTTTCAGATGCGATGATGATACAGGAGGCTCCGGCAATGACAAAGAGCGCTTTGCCAGGTAGGAGGATGAATCGGGGAAATAACTGCGTGCAGAGGGTGTGAAGGGGAGCAATATTATCCCCCCATGAATCTGCTCTCCCTCCTCTCTCTGGGATTCCTTTGACACTTACTCGTCTTTTTATTTGGTAGTAAATTTTGGGCCTCGATTTTAGTGGGTTGGTTTCATTTCCAGGTTTTTGGAAGAAGATCAGAGTTTTGCAGATAAGGAAAAACTAGCCAGGTATGGCGTCTACCACTGTGGAAGGCTCCCTCTCCTGCTTGTATTCATATGTATATTGATTGCACTTATCAAATACTTTCCTGTCCTGCTGGGACTCCAGTGTATTGCCAGTACGACAGCACAAAGTTACAGGAATATTTCGCTGCTCTGTGCGTCTGTTTCGATGCTTGTCAGAATGTTATGCCTCTTTGCCCGAGACAGCTGATTGTCCCTCTCAGCCCACCATTGTGTTACGTGTCACTAACCGCTTTGCTGTGTGGGAGTCAGGAACATTTTTCTCTCTGGCAATACCTTACTTTTGAGCAACTTTCCTCTCTTTCTCTTTTGTCTCCTCCCTCTCAGGACACCTGAGGGTTTTTTCTCTTTCTGCACCTGCACTCTTTCTTCACACCTGCTGGCCTCAAAAGGCCGGACTCTCTTGCTTTCTGGCGATCATTTTTATAGACCATTGATTACACTTTTTTCACTTCTATTATTTCTCCCACCCAGTCATTCTCACTTTTTCTTCCCGATTGGCATACTTGCATTGCGGCATTAACTCTAAACTCTAACTCCATGTTGTCCACCTGCCCGTCTGTTTCCCCATCTCAATCCCTCCTATCCTCTCCACCTATGCCTCCCTCCCTCGCTTCTTAACTCCAGGGAGAACCACAGCGAGATTGAGAGGAGGAGGCGGAACAAGATGACCGCCTACATCACAGAATTGTCAGACATGGTGCCCACGTGCAGTGCACTAGCACGCAAACCTGACAAACTAACCATCCTCCGAATGGCTGTGTCTCATATGAAATCTCTGAGAGGAAGCGGAAATACCAACGCGGATGGATCCTACAAACCCTCCTTTCTCACTGATCAGGTATGAGGAACTCAGAGAGAGAAATGTAGAAAATTATGGGGAATAAGATTTGAATTAATTCCAACCACATTTATTAATCACTTTCTAGGAAATGTAGGAACTTTAATGAAAAGTTGGACAAAGATTTACTTCTTGTACAAGGTTTAATAAAGTCATTCAGTCGTTAAATTGGAAAAACAGGTTATAGTTCACACTGAAGCTCGCTGAGTTCAGTGGCAGCAGCATGCGATGAGAGTGAAAGTAGCACCCTTTAAGCCCGCAAGTGAATTTTCGCACATGTTGGCTGAAGGGCAGCTACTCTGACTGAGAGACTATCTTTGGCAGTGCTGGTCAAATCTAAATTTGCTTTGACTATATAGAGCCCCAATTCTTTACAGACACTTGGTGAACCTGTTAGTTCTTTGTGACTAAATTTTGTAAATGTGCAAAGACTGTGGTTCACTTGAATTAAGCTGTTGTGCTTCCTGCGCTTCCGACGAAGTTACCTGCTAACGGGCGACATTATTCTTTTGAAGCTATGTCAACATACACAACCTACACTACCTGCAAAGCAACAAAATAGACAGCAATGACAAGGAGCAAGATGCATGGGGAATTTGTGTATTCTCAGTTTAGGGAATTTGAAGAGTATTAATGTTGAGTACAGGGAAAGAGAGTTGTTTCTGCCTCGTGTTTAGTGTGCCTTTTGTGCCATCCGTCTGTAGGAACTGAAGCACCTCATACTCGAAGCAGCTGACGGCTTCCTTTTTGTGGTGTCTTGTGAGACCGGCCGCATCGTTTATGTCTCCGACTCCTTGACACCGGTTCTTAACCAGGCTCAGTCCGAATGGCTCGGCTCCTCTCTTTACGATCAGTTGCATCCAGATGACACAGAAAAGCTCAGGGAGCAGCTCTCTACTGCAGAGAATAACAACACAGGTAAAAATTATACGCAGACCTTTAGTTGATTCCTTTATTTAATTGTCACAATGGAAACATAGCATACTAGCTTCCTAATACTAGATCTTAACACTTTGGATATGAGCTGCTATGATCACCTCATTGCAACTTTAAATTCTGTTGATTCTGTCACTAAAGGGAGGATGTTGGACCTGAAGACGGGAACAGTAAAGAAGGAAGGCCAGCAATCATCCGCCCGAATGAGTATGGGCGCCCGCCGATCGTTCATCTGCAGAATGAGGTGTGATTCATATTGTAGTCGCCCATCCAGCTCAGTAACTGCATAGAAATGTGTGTCTAGATGCAATAAGTGTCGGAGTGGTAAAAGTTGTGTATTTTGCAGATGTGGCTCTTGTCCGGTGGAGCCTTTATCTATGAACAGACTGAACTTCCTCAGGAACAGAAACAGGTAATCAAGCTCAAACACTTTTTTCTTTTTGCGTTTGTTTTGTATTTTACTGTTGAAGTTGTTTTGGAGACAATAGTCATATCTCAAACAAAAGAGTCAAGACAGCAGAATACTCTTATCGGTATTGTTGTAAACATATTGATCTGAAGTTTTTGTAAACATTTCTTAACTTGTCTTCTAGGAATGGGCTGGGTACCGCCAAGGAGGGGGAGCCCCAGTATGTAGTGGTTCACTGTACAGGATACATCAAGTCCTGGCCACCTGCAGGTAAAATCAGTAAGCATATACAGTTCTTCCACATGTAAATACAGCTGAGGTTTTGAACCCTTTTATGAGTTATGTGTTTATATTGTATTTTGCATATTTGTGTGTTAGGAGTGTCTCTAACAGACGATGAAGCAGACAACACTCAGGGGAGCCGCTACTGTCTAGTTGCCATCGGGAGATTACAGGTATGACGGATATATCTTAAGGAGAGAAATGCAATATATCCTTGTGTGTAGAAGTTTATATCCGACCTGAGAGCTTGGTTTCTTCACTGACTAACTGCAACAAAATGTGGCCTTTTAAATAAGCAGTCTTCTCTTTACCTATGTTGTAAGCGACATGAAATCTTTTGAAACTGTAAATCTACCACAATGCAATACTTTATGGTCACAATCTGCAGTCTTATCTGAAGTGGATTGTATCAAATATTTGCACTATTACATTGTGTTTTGAAATCTGCTTATAAGTTGCTGATTGAAAGAGACTTGATACTGTTCAGACACAGTCAGGTACTTTTTACTCTGATGCTGATTTTGCTTCGTACTTTGCTGAATCAAACATACATGCAGTCTATTGACAAATTCATCAAGTGTGTGTATTTTGGGTTGGGCTGTTATTGTGGGGACAGTTCAGCATCCACTGTTGCCTTCTAACTGTGATAGCAGCTTGTTTAGCTGATTGTTATTTAATTACTTATTTGTTAAAACAGCTGGATCATTACGATCACTTGAAGCTCCTTGATTTACTTGCAAGCTGATAGATGTAGTATCAAGTCCCCCGGCAAGGAACAGCAAAATACATTCAATAGGTCACTTAGACAGGGGCGAAATATCTGATGATAATGTTCTTAATTGACTTCCAAAGATTATCAGGGTCCTCTGTGGGGCTGGGAAAGTGCCAATTCTCATTCATGAGGACTGTTGATGAAGTTTGAGCTGATGAAGTGTTGTGCAGCTGAAAACTTGACAGGTGTTTCCACATGCCACCTGTATTGTTGTTGAGTAAAGTTACATAATAAGTAAAGATAAAAGTAGAAAACTTATCACTTCTGGGAACTTGCATTCAGAGACACCACCGTAGTTGTGGTGGCTCTTTACTTCTGATCATTTGTTGGATTGTTCTGTAGATGGATGTGATAAGACACAATATGGTTTTGAGGACGTTAAACTCGTCTTGATCCAGGAGACATTGTGGTTTCAGCTTGCTTCCTGTAAACTTAAGTATTACAACTCATTTTTCGTTCTCTCCCCCTTGTAGGTGACTTGTTGCCCGGGTGACACAGACATCAACAGTATCAGTGTTCCAGCAGAGTTCATCTCACGCCATAACTGCCAGGGCATGTTCACCTTTGTTGATCATCGCTGTATGGCCGCTGTTGGCTACCAGCCACAGGTAAGACTGGCAGCTTAGGGACAGGGACTGTTTGTCCGACAGCATCCCTTTACAGCCTTTGAAGCTGGTTTTCATGTGTGTTAATGACAGTTACATCATATATTATGATTCACAGGATTTACTGGGGAAGAGTATACTGGAGCTCGCCCACCCAGAAGACCAGGGCTTACTCAGAGACAGCTTCCAACAGGTAGGACTTCCTGAGCATGTGATAATATTTAATACTTCTTCATATCTTGGTGAAGCTTTAGTGTTTTTCATACAACATTAAATGAGTTTACATTCACTTGTAAGATTACACCACCTACTTAGCATTTGAGTTTTAGATGAATCGCTGCAGCAGAACTTTGAAAATGATCGGTTTTTATTCAGTGTCTTCTTCCTGTTCAGGAAATAGTGATAACCGTACCCACAGTGCATTTGCTGCGTGACTCATGACTCAATATGTGATAGCTACATGACTCACGATAGTGATAATTTCACAAAATTACATACTGTGCTACGATAACAATGTGTAGCAAAACAAAAAAAAATTAACAGTACATAACAATATCTTGATAACTAAAGATTACAAAAGCCCATAATAACACAAGGTGTAGGATTAAAGGGATATTCTAGCGTAAAACTAATTTAGGGTCAAACACAACGTAACATTGAGTTAGACACCCCCCGAAAGATGAATGTTGCCATCCACTTGCTTCTCACTTAGTTATACCAACTTTAGTAACGACCGCACAATAGTGATACACAGCGGTCTCAGGAGCCATAAACAAACCTTTAAACCAAAATGCCACTCTATAGCCACAAATAATGCTCAGAACAGCACCTAACTTCATCAACAGTACATGTAGGGTCCTAGCCACAGCACTAGCCACGAAACATTATTTTAACTTTGCCTGATTTCTTTAGCAAAGAGACTAAACACAACTCACCTACTCTCTTCCAGCAGCCGCTTGTTTGTAGCGAGACCGCGGGCCAGTCCATTACAGACTGCAGCGGGATGACACAGCTCAAGGCAGAATATTTATGATAAGCAGTCTATGTGTCCCTAAAGTAATTTTACGCCGGAATATCCCTTTAATGCGTCTCTTTACTGCACTTTGGTTTGGTTTCACTGAGATGATTTTTGTCTGTCAGTTCAATTCACAGAGCCAAAAAACAACTGTAAAATCACTGGGGGAAAAAAAAATTATGAAAATCACATTTAGAAAAAATGTAAGGAAGTTTTTCCAAATTTTATACTTAAACTCTGAAAAAAGTTTTTTTTTGTGTTAACCTGATGTCATAAACCACAGCCTAATCTTTCAATTAACTGTCATTCCTCTTTAGCCTCAGCAAAACTTCTGCCATATGAGCACCACTCTGAGTTTTGTGCATCATGCTAGTTTGTTTTGCATACGGGTAAACTGCTCTCTCTTACCATCAAAGAGTCACCACAGCACTCATTCAGCCTGACGTTAACCACATAAACCATGTTAATCCTACTGATCAGAAAGACTCCAGATTCTGACTTTCGTTTTGCTGAACTTGTATCCACAGGTGGTTAAACTGAAGGGTCAGGTCTTGTCAGTGATGTTTCGGTTTCGCGCCAAATCCAGAGAGTGGATCTGGATGAGGACCAGCTCCTTCACTTTCCAGAACCCGTTTTCAGAAGAGATTGAGTATATTATTTGCACAAACGTCAATGTCAAGTGAGTAACACTCTGATTTTATCAATACCAACTATTATGTAACATGATTACACAATCAAACACAGAGCACAATGAAACGATTGAAGAGTTCAGATGTGACTGTTGTGAAAGATCCCTCAGTTTGAAAGCTTACCTATCACTCTCCATCCAACTTCCTCCTAAACCCTCACCACCACCCCTTTAACAAAGCACACACTGATCACTCTCTCCCTACACCTCTCCTCTGCACCCATCTGTGATTGTGGGGCAGTAGAAACTCGACTCAGGATCCCCTCACTCCAATCTCTTCCCCAGGGGGTTCACTGCCCCCTTCCCTGGGTCAAGGCAGTCCAAACTGCCCCCCGGTAGTGCTCAGTCCTGGGCAGATGACCGCCAGGTGAGACCAGGCCTCGCCTGACTATCCTCCCCCCTCATGGGAGAACAGGGGCTGCTGCTTCATGGGAGACTACTGCTGATTCCAGCAGTCCTTCTTCTTATTTTCATTTCCCACTTTTGGTGATTCCTCCCTTCATTGTAGTTTCTCTCTGTTCCTCTTGAGTGTTGGAAAGTAGTGTTGTTGTCTGATAAGGAGCATGTTTGTTTGTTACTAAAGGTGGAAGTGTCCAGGTCCAAAGAGATGTATTTATAACAAAGGTGGTGCCAGCATGTTGGTGTGGGTATTTTATATAACAGGTCTTCCTCTGCTGAACTGCGCTTCCGTCTCCTCTTCTCTCCTGGTTTTTCTTTATGTTGCCATGGTTACCGGTGGAGGGTCGACTGCTACTTTGTCAGCAGGTGTTTAGGGGTTCTCACTCAACAGTTGAGGACATGGAAATGAGGCTATTTTTGACCATCCCTCCCTTTCCTCCTCTCTCTTTTCAGGCAGTTACAGCAGCAGCAGCAGGCTGAGCTCGAGGGAGGCGGAGCCAGAGACAACATGTATGAGGCTGGACCAATCACAATGTCACAGGTTACGCCCCCTCCCACATACACACACATGAATATTGGGAGACATGAATGCAGTGAATACTTCAACCTGTTTTTCTTACTGTCGTGACTGATATGGTAGCTGTGGCAGGATATTGATTGTTTGCTCGGTAGAAAAGCAGAATCAGATAACAGGAATGGTGGATTATCAGAGCTGCCGGCACGCTTACATTGAGTGGAACACTTTCTGTGTAGGACTTGTGGATATAAAAAGATTTAAAGAAAAGAAATAGAGTTGGAACAGACCACCTTTGTACACAGAGCTGACGATCACGAGCCTTTTTTAAGTCATGAAACTATTTAAAGCTAAACCTCTTAGAAAGGGGAACAGTTGGGAATAATGCTGCATTCCAGTTACCTCGGAAGTTAGATGTCAGAGCTGGGAATGACGTTAAACCCGAGTTGATGGCGCTCCAGTTAACAAGTCAGAAAACCAAGATGGACGCCTACAGTTACCCTGGTTAGCTGTTCTATACATTTGTCAGCTGTTGTCAGCTGTTGTTAGTTGATGTTAGCGATACCAGTTGTAAACAACGCACAACACAGTATTTTACTCTTGCGAACACTATAGCACTGTATTCACAGTTAGACGTTGGGCGGTACAACATAAACCACTTTTTCAATTTCACAAAAAAAAATAGAAGTGCTAATAGATAATACATAACGAGAGCTTTTACTGTTACTCTTGTTACTCTTTACTGTTGATGCACTGTGCTGCCATTTTGAATTATGACGTCATCGTCAAGTTGGGGTTGGCGAGGATCATCTGACTTTCTGATTCGGAAATCCACCTTACGGGGGTGTTTGGGCTAAATTTCCAACTCAGAGCTCGGAAATCCCAACTTTCGAGTACAACTGGAATGCAGGATAAGTCAACATGATAAGAAATAACTATAAAGACAGAAATGATGTTTGAGGAAAAATCTATTTGACATTTATTTAAATTTTTTAGTTCGTCCAATGTCTCATCTGTTATTATGAAGGAGACTGAGTTTATGACCTTTTCTGCTGCCAGACAGTCTTATGGCTTTATAGTCAGTAAACAGTTACATCATTCATTATGATATGCAGTCTGTGTGTGCGGCAGTTAAAGTCAAACACAACTCTTAAAGGAAACACAGATGACCCTAAATAGATGTTCTAATTTATTTTTTGGACTAGAGTTGACTATGAACCATTCAAGTTATTATAACAACAGAAAATTTAGCTTTTCAATCAATGTAAATTATACGATTATATGATTGTGATCCCTGGGTTTTATTTTTTTGATCCTAGATGCCAGTGCAACCCGTGACAGCAGCCGGGCCAGACCACAGCAAGAGTCTTGACAAGCCAGAGCTCTATCCTGCCCTCTACCAAGGCCCAGACCAGACCAAGGGCCTGCCTCCAACTCCCAACCCCTCTGCACAGATCTACCCTCCAGCCAACAGCTTCCCTGCTGCCCGTACAAATGAGCCATACAGGTAGATCACTCAGTGTGCATACACGGTAGTGCAGGTGTTAACTTACATTCTAGATTTTAGATTTTAAAGCTGTGGGCAACACTTCTATCTGTTTAATGTCTTGGAGCACACTCAGTCAGTGACTGTGATTTACTACACAACTAATACAAAGCCTGGAGCTCTTACTTAGCCTGTTATCTTGAGATGTAATCCTATTAGATTATATTGTTAACTTGGGATAACAGTGTTTCAGCCAACAACATTATACTTAAGTTAAGATGCAAAAATAATGAGATTCTTATCCAGTGTTGGTTTTGACTTTATGAATACCTGCATTTGAGGCTAGCGTAGTGTCTAATGGACTCAACAACAGTATTTGTATATTTTGCGGCCACAGAGTCATAATTGTAAATCTGTGTCTTACTGTAGTTCATATGAAGGATAAAGAAAAACAAAGACCTCCTCTTGGGCTTTAAGTGGATGCAGATTTTGTCAGACAAGATTATGGTCCCTTTTGGATGGAGTGAACACAACCACACAGTTATACAGTTTGTCCCTATGCTACACAAGAAGTGAAACTATGTACACACCCGAAAACTTGAAACGCCCGTATCAACGACATGACTTCAAACTGCTCACCGCTAAGCACACTTCTACTAATGTCACTCATATATCTTTAAAAGTCTAACTTTAGATGGCACTCAAACTGATATATACCTGAAAACTTAATCAAATCTACACGCCATAGTTAATATTACATGATGTTTTTAATAATTGTATTTTGTGGATTTCTTTCTTCTTTCTTGGCATCTTTTAGAAGAGAAGAATGGGTTTGAGTGCTGCTTCATGTTGCACAGCTAAGTTTAAATGTGATTGATGTTTTTTAAGAGGACAAGGTTTAAATGTTTGTTTCCCCGCGTCAGGTCTTTTTGTGACTTCTAGACAGCAGAGCTCTCACTATTGCCACTTCATGTCCTCAGGCAAGTCAACATGACTCCACAGATGGCTCAGCCGTCTCACTCAGCAGGACAGATGCTGGCTCAGATGTCCCGCCAGAACGGAGCCCCTCACTCCGTTACTCCCGCCAGTACTGGCAGCCCCCTGCATGGAGGACCAGCAGGAGGATGGCCTGGAGCTGCGGCTGGAGTCAGACAACAGTTTAATAACCAGGTAAGACAGCACAACAATATTCACTGACTGTTGAGAGTTTTTCTTATTTAATATTGTGTTGTACAGACTGCTTCAATGTCTGTCCCAGTTTAAGATTTCATATCTGTTATTTCTGAGCAAATGAAGTTACTCTTGCTGTTCTAACCAGCAGGTGGCTCCCCAAGCAGCAAAGACGATGTCTCCGCAGTTTGCTCCCATGGGAGGATTTGGAGGTAGTTCTTCCAACTCTTTTGGCCAAATGCCTACAGGTGCTGCTCCCACCCCAACCAGTGGTGCAAACTACCAGCCAATCAATACACGTGCCAACCTCAACAGCAATGGTTATGGTAGGTTTAGGACACATACATTGAAATATTTCTTTGTTTTACCTCCACATTCTCTCACCCTTTTGTATTTCTCTCCAGATGGCTCCCAGTCTGGGGCTCAGTTCCCCCCTCGGGCAGCGGAGGCAGTGTGGCAACAGTGGCAGGGCCAGCAGCACTCGCAGAATAATGCAGAGCAACATCCTCATGCTCAGGGCAACCAACAAGACATGTTTCCTGTGAGTGATTCAAGCATTATCTCATCCTCTCAAGCACATTTTCCTATCTCTTTGCCACTCAAAATAAACCTCTTTGTCTCGCTGATCTGATTCAGGATGTGCTGTCTATGCTGGACCAGCCAACCAACTTCCAGCCCGAAGATTTTGAGATTCCAATCTACTCTTCCTTTAATGAGTGACCCGGTCGATACTTCTCCGCTGGTCTTTTAGACATTTTTTTTGCCCTCAGTCCGTCTCACATTCAGCTCTTCTGCTCCTCTTTTTGTCTTGCTCCTGGGAGAAGTAACCTCCCCTTGCTTTGCATGGCTTAAAATTGCACTGCCACAAGATGAAGGGAGAGATCTACCTGCAGATATAGAGGGGAGGAAAATCAAGGATTTGCAACTAAAAGATTATTTTAACAGTTTTCCAGCCATTGTAAGAGGACTCTTTAGCTAGCACTGCCCAAAGCTCAACAGCCTATGTTGTAGATATGTGAATTATATATATAAATATATAAATATATAAAACTGCACAATCACACAACCACACTTGAATAAACTGCACAAAACACTCTTAAAAAAAGCTCTGGTGAACAAACACCAGAACTGAACACACAAGACGACTCACAAAGGCCTTTTTGTCTCCTAGTTTTTCTCAGGCATTGATGGAGAGTGTGTTTTGAAGTTGTTGCCCTTTAGCATGTAGACAAATCACTCCAATCGTTGATTTAAACTCTCAGGAAATTGCAGGGATATTCTGCTTTGGTGACTTTCAAATTCTCAGCTGTCGCACGCAAACCACCACTGTCTGTGCTAACCTCCACAGCATGTTTCTGCATGTCGGCACTGCTTTCATGGAGCGCTTTTACAATATGTAGATCCATACAGGGTACAGTTTTCTATGTACACTGGTGGCGTCACCTTTACCTTTTAATTATTTTGTGTTTCCTCTTGGGGAATTGTCAAGGGTATTTTCTTGATAAGATGATGTTCTTCAACAACAGACAATGAGTGTTACAAAGGCTACACACTGTTCGTCAAGGTGACCGTAGGAAATGTAAACAATCAATTTTTCTTTGCCTACATATACTTGTATACTACAGTGTGCATGAGTGTATGTAAATGGATAAATATGGAACCATTATCATCTTCAAAACAATGATAGGGTTTCTTAATCGCTTAAAATTCTTCTTTCTGCCACCCTGCGTTGACCTGAACCAAGTATGAGCTTTTTGTACTTATTTTGTAAATGAAATTCGAAAGAAGTCACACAGCAATAATTAACAAGCAGGAAATGTGTTACTTTTAAAGCCATTCTTTAATGTTGTTAATAAATTTGTCCTTAATTAATGTTGTTTATTAAATGGAGAGATGTCAATTCAAATCAATTCAACACTTTATATGGACACAGAGGCAGTCCATAGAACAATAAAATAAACACACATACACATATACACAGAAAAGACAGATATTCCAAATATCACGTATTTACATACAAGCTTGAATGCATGTGAAAGTAATGTTTGATTTAATTCAAATGTTTTCCAGTATTTTCTTTTCTTTCAACTTTTGTTGACCTCTCCATTGAGCTTTTCTGATTACTATTCTACTAACGGTTTAATCAGGGTGCGAAGGATCGAAATGGAATTTAAAAAAACAATATGATCTCTGAATGAAAATGGACTGATCATCTTCAACCACCTGTATTTTACAATCATTTTTTTGTTGTATCATAGAATATTGTTTTGAGGTAAGATTCAACGCTTTTAAAATATTTTAATTCTAACAAGTAAATTCATTGAAATGATCCTTTTATTGCAAGATCTGCAAACAAAATGGTGAATAATGTAACTGTATGTGAACCCATGCTGATAATTGTCCATTTTTCATCTTCAAGAGGCTCGTATGTTGGTGACTGTGTTGTCTTTGTTATTGTTTAAAAAGTTTTTGGTTGCTCAGTATCCAGGTTTTTTCAATGATGTGAACTTTTATCATTTAGAAACACAGATATATATAAATATACTGTATATGTCTCCGAAATGTTAATCGAGAGAAAGAAATGTTTGGTTTTTGTATTAAAATGTTATATTGTTGAAAACAAAGGTGGACTGTGTTTTGGACTGCACACACTTATTTAATCCTGTATGGCAAAGTCAGCTGTTTCAAACCCTCATATCATCTGTTTTGTTCTGGACAGCTTTTCTCTGATGACACTCACGCATCAGCTGTTTTTAATTACATCCCTGGCTCTACTCAGTCCCCCTGATACAGTTTGTTCTGAACTGGTGAAGTAACAAAAACCAGCTTTGGTTTGGTTTGCCTGTATCTGTTTTCCTTCCTCACTCTGCTTCTCTAAAGACAAACAGATCCAAGGATCAGTTTCTATCACCTACTTTTCCAGCCTGGGGGTGAAAACAGAATTCATCCTGTTACAAGTCCAAGAAAGGTGAACATCGAATAAACCCTGTTTAGTTTGAACTTTGGATATCTAACATTCAACAGTGTTTGCTTCATCTACTCAACCCTAAAATTTCTCCCTCTAAATGTTTTCATTAAGATCCAGAGTTATTTGCATGGAGTCACTTTAACTTGAGGGTATCTCTGTAGTGGCATCCGAGTACACGCAATCTGCATTTTTTTGGTCAGGATCAGTTTCCAAACCCTCTCAAGTGGATTACCACGAAAGCGTCATATCCTCTTTCTCCTTCTCAACCTCTTCATTCACCTTTCAATACCTTGACCCCCTTTCGTGCGACCTTGGAAAACAGACACTATGCACATGTCAAAGTTATCACTTTCATATCAGAGCATCTATTTGATAAAAAAAGCTTAAACAACTCATGTAAGATTTTATTTATTTACTTATTCATTAATTAACCCATTTATTTCATAGACCATTCCCTGGTATCAAGGGTGCATTGTGAAGGTGTAACTTCTCGTAAGGGTCCCTCTCAAAATGAAGTGACCTAAGAAAGATGTCTGCATGTGCTAATCTCAGAAACAGCCTGATCGTCACCAAACTCCTCTTTAACTATTAATGGGGGCCACAGGTGCCAAATGTGGCTTCGTTTGTCTACAATCCAATTCTAGTGGAGGAGCACAAAAGGTGTCAATGTTTGTAGAAGAAAAAGCAACAAGAACATGGAAGAAGGTGTTGGTGATCATTAAAGGGATTTTTTTTTATTCTCCAATAGAAACTTTGGAGAAAAATATGGCTACAGCACATCTACACCTCTGGAGGAATTTGAGCATTTGTGGAACATCTTTGATGATGGAGTGAAGTAAACAGATAAGTAAAAAGCCGTATTTCCTTTTGGTCAACATGGATACCACAACCGTCCCTGCAGCCAGGTTCGAAGTGGACGTGGACCTTGGTTTTGCCCTCTTCTTTTTCATCATGCTCTGCTTTTTCCTCTTGGTGACCATTGTACGTTGCGCTCAGATGGTGCTGGACCCTTACAGTTCAATCTCTGTCTCTGTATACCAGGAGGAGCAAAGTGAAGACCCGTGAAATATGAAATCAATACAATTCAACCCCCGAAAGGAGCAATACCAACAGCATTAATTGTAGTTTAAAGCTTTTGCTATGATTGAGTCAGGTAGTGGAGTTGTTGCAGTTTCTACCAGAATTGATACATGTCCTATAACTAAAGAAGTCTACCTGCAGCAACCTAACATGAGGTGAGTAGTTCGAGACATCTGGGTTTATAACTAACACAAGCTGTTCATGGTTAAACGTGTAAGCAGGGACAAAGTTGTAAAAGTCCTCAAAGAGGTAGAATAAACTGGTTCAATAATGAATGATTCAAATGAACTGACTTTGTGGGCTGGACAAGGTGAAGACTGTGGATTTATCCACTTATTCTCTACAAAGCAAAATAATGAAACATCAACTCACATTTGTATCAAGACACATAATTACAAATAGCAACTAAGGCAAATGTCATTCTGCATGTCTAAATTTAGAAATTTAAACTTTTTTTTTGCAAATTCAACTTTTTCCTTTTTCTCTCAGAATTTTGACTTTAATCTTAGAATTCTTAGAATTAACTTACATCAATGAACTATGTATTTGCCATTTATAATTAGTCTATATCCTGTTTTTAAATGATGGTTAAACATTGATAAACTATCTATTTACCTTTTATATATTTGTAAATTATGGTTATTGTAAAGTGTTACCCAAAAATGCCCTAAAACTGTTTTCTTTACTCGACTTATTTACTATCCTAGAATAAGACCCTCACTTTCTCTTTTTTTTCATGTTCTCTTGTTAATCTAAAAAGCTGGTTCAACACTTTATACTAAGTATCATCAATGTGCCTTAATGTTTGTATTTTGATGAATAATAAAGGTTTAGGGATGAAAAAATCCAAAGAACAGGAGGTCACCATGATAGTGACAGTGAATGCAGCACAGTGGCAATTTTGGGCGCCCGTCGGTGAACGCTGTATCTGGTGCGCGCATTTCACTCACCTCGACGGCCCGAACAGGCGGAGCTTTCGTCTTTCACAGAACCAATAGGCGCTAAACGACACCGCCCACTTTGGATATGCCGGGACGCACAACATGGAGTCATTAATGTTTTGCTAGCCAGCCGGTAGCATTAGCCAGCTAGTTAGCTTTTCATAAACGAGCAGGTAGGATGGAAACCAGCGATGGGTGAGTGTTGAATACTATCTTTGAAAAAAAAATAAGTGTGTGACCTGTCTATGAGAGCAGCTCCAGTGAACAAAATGCAACAGTCTGTTCTGCAGACTCTCGCTTCAGTCATTCGGGAGATACGATATTCTCAGAGCTACAGTGCTAAGCTAAAATGCTAGCATGGTTTCACTGTTATCAAGCTTTGAATGTTGATGTCTGAACAGCCCCATGCTCCCCAGCACGAGTCTTATGAGAGTACGGACAGAGCTGTGCTGGACTGTTTCAGCATTTTCACTCTCTGCTGAGATCATATCGAGAGTTTTTCAGGTAGATTGGCAGAATCTGGACTTTAAAATAGTCTCTTATTGTGCTAGCCAGTAGTGGGCTAACGCGACCCTTCATCACAGACTCCTTCTGCTGCTGCAGGATGAAATGCACCAAAACAGTGATGTTTGGTGCATTTATGCTGTTTTATTATCAAATTTGCCTTCTGCATACACACCTCTGCACATTACAGAGGGAGCAAAGGCTCGCCCACATGTACCATTTGAATTAATGTTCAAGGTCTCATCTTCCTCTGCAGATGTTTTTACATGTACATATTACACTCACTGATTTTTTACACGTAGTGATCATTGTGTGTCTCGACTGCAGACCACCATCAATCTAACAGACTAGATCTGCTCTGTTTGTGTCAATGATATCCATCCGCAGACAAGATTACAAATCTGGTTACAATATTGTTTAAATGTTTTTGTACACAGTAAGTAATCACAAAGCAAACTCTAGTGTGAATGTATGAAAAAATAGGGTATAAATGTGTTATGTGGCCAACATAACAAAAAGCAGCAACAATCACTATCAAAAGGTTTTGGTAGAAAAGTAATGCTGAGTGCACCAAAAATAGAGGATTGGGTAGAGGTAATGATTGATATATAGAATTAAGATGCTGACTTTCTCATCTAGAATAAAAACAGATACTTTCAAAAACTACTGGAAAACCTGGGCTGATTTTGTGTCTCAACTGAGAGCAGACTTTGTGAAGAAGGGGCATTGTGTATTGTAGATTACCGATACTCTTGGTTCAGGCTACAAACTGGTTCATTGTTCATATGTTTATTATGTTTAACCTCCAACAGGAGAAAAGAGACAATGCAAGAGACGTACAAAAATAAGGACATGAGTGAAAAGTGTTTCATTTTACTACACAGTTATTCTACTGTAACTTTACATAAGAAGTTTATGTCTAACTATGTCTGTGCTCTGTGGTGGAGAAATATTATATACAGTTGGAAATGTGTTCAAATGTTGATGAAATATTGATATATGAAATCAATAAAAAAGAAAATAAAAAAAAAGAAAAAGTAATGCTGTGTTTTTTCACCTGACAGTGAAAGCACGATAACATAACGTTAAGCTCAGATGTCCCGTCTCTGTTATTTCTTCCTCAGAATGGAGGTAGATGGCTGGGACCCCGGTCTGGAGGAAGAGCTGGGCGTTTCTCTGGATGAGCTGAGGAAGTGGATTGAAGAAGCTGTGGAGAAGAGCGAAGCTGTGCAGAAGAAAAAAGCTCAGCTGACAGAGCTCAAACAATGGGTGGAGCAGAAAGAAGAGGAGGAAGCAAGAACGCAGATGCTTCTCAAAGATGCAAACCAGTAAGTTCGCACTTAACATTATCCAAGTGCTATTTAATAAATGTATTCAGCTTGTTTTATAAACAGTACATTTTTACAAGCACATACCTTTTTCTCCATCAGATTTTATTGTTATTATTATACTACTACTTACTTACTAGTACTGATTGGTTTCAACTCGGGTTCATTTTACAATTCACAGTAAAACAAAACAAAAAAAAGAAACATTTCACTGTTCTGAGTTATTTTGAATAATCACATTTCTCTTTCATTCCTTGTCATTTGTCAATTATTTGATGCTAATGATCAAGTCCATACTTCCTGCTGAACCAGTTGCAAAATGTAATGGTGTCAAGCCCATTGCACAAATGTGAGCTGTGTTGTTTGGGAAATTACCAGTGTACATATTTATTGGCTTTAGCACTGGGAGGACATTGATACCTGCAAATTCAAAATAACTCCTACCCTATCTGAAATCTTGAACCCATTTAGACCGGGATGGTATGCACACATTTCAACCTTCCAAGCCGGGAGCACTCATGCACATTTCTAAACATACGCACTTCAACCATAGACTGTATATAGAATGGACAGCATCTGCCTCCTCGCTGGCTGAAACCACTACAAGAACAGCACACGCTGGTGACTGGCTGCAGTATAAGTCATAAATCCCACCTCCTCCAGCCATTCTTATGGAGTTGTGGACAAACTTTAGAATTTTTCTCCCCTCTGCTTGCCATGTTGACGTAGTTTTTGCAAGACTGGTTTGTGCTCAAGTCCTCTTTTTCTGTACAGCTCCAGTTTTAAAAGTTATAAGGGGGGTTCATGTTTTCTATGATTGACACTCAAAGATTGCGTAGCTCATCCGGGGGATTCGCTGTTTGAGCCGAGCATTATCACAGTGACTCTCTGCAACTCTCCCGCCTGAATGCGTACAATGCTACTGCGCAAGTTGTGGAGTGTGTACAACGCTACTGCACAATGTTGGTTTCAGGAAGTGGAGAAAAAACGTGGAGTTACCAAGCGCTTTTCGGCTTCAAATCTGTATAACGGCGGAAGGCGGTACGTACATACAAAGACATACGTTTCACACATGCGCAGTACAAATCAGAGTTTTTACATTTTTATTATTATTATTATTTTGGGCAGTTTTCCGGGACGGATCGGGGGCAGCGTTTATTTTCTTAGTAAACAGACATCATGTACGGTTCTGAGCCACACCGGCTGCCTCTTTCTTCATCCTCCCAGTAAAATCATAAATCCAGCAACCATTACAGTGACAGGAGCTAAATTATACTTCTGATTGTTAGTGATTCCACCCGCCTTTGAACCCCTTTACTGTTTGACATGTTTCTGCACAATCAAGTCAAAGGTCAGCACAGAGAAAGATTTCCAACTTCAGTTTGATCTTTCCAAACCATGTCTTTTGTGTTTTTCATTTATTTATGTATTTATTTATTTATTTTGTCAGTAAGACAAAGGTGGACACATACGGAACTTTTATTTTTATTTTGTTTCCTCCTGCTCGGTTTTTGCTGGTGCACTACCTGCAAACCCCGTCGCGAGTGTGCATCGGTGCAGATTCGCATTTGAAGGGCTGAACGGTCCACTCGCCCTCCGCACTCTGTGGTTTGGGAAGGCCTTCAATATGGCGGAGCCTCCGCGGGGACGCGCAAACGGAGGGACAGTGGGCGAGTGTGTAGGGTGCGTGTGTGTAGGGATTTGGGATTGGGCCGGCGACTTTCCCGCCAAATGCGTACAATGCTACTGCGTAGGTAGTGGGGTGTACAACGCTACTGCGCTATGTTGGTTTCAGGAATTGGAGAAAAAACGCGGAGTTACTGAGAGCTTTTCGGCTTCAAATTCGTAAACTGACGGAAGGTGGAACCAAGTTCTCCATAGTTTATACAGTTGTAACATACTTTTCGTTGTAGCAGCTCTTAGTGGAGTTTAGGTAGGCACGGTTCAGGCCACAGGATGTGACGAGGTTTATTTTGAAGGAATACCGGAAGTAGTTGTTGTGGTTACCAGGTCTGGGTGATGAGGAATAAGAAAAATAAATTAAAAATTATATAGCAAAATAAAGAACTACACAAATGATAGTCTTCCGTGTTGGCAGCAGCATACGCTTGTTTTTAAAATCCGTTGTCTTTTTCTCATGAACTCTGACCCGGTAACCACAACAACCACTTCCGATATTCCTTCAAAATAAAACCCGGCACATCCTGTTTGCTGAACCATGCCTACATAAACTCCACTGAGAGCTGCTACAACAAAAAGTAGCTTGCAGCTTTCTTCCCTTCGAACCGGGAGCGCGAAAACGCCATTTTGTAGCAGTAGTTTCTCAATCGTTTCTGGAGTCGTGTCGAGTCAAATCATCACACCCGTCTGCCTCTGAAAGGCTAAAACAGCTTAACAAAGCGACCGGATTCATGCTCGGATCTTGCAACGTGCTTCGCGAGGAAAGTGAACAATGATGGAGGCAGAAAGCAGCTTCGGAGGAGAAGCATCCAGCTTTAGCGAAGGTAGTGATATCGACAGAAAAGACGAGGTTGACAATTCCTATTGTGAACCTTATGAGCCAGAAGATGAGGATTCGTGGATGAGAGAAGTGTCCTGTGACGAAGAAGACGAAGACGACAACAAAGAAGGAATTAAAGACTCCGCAACACAGTGGAAAACTGACGATTACCACCGTATTTTCACAAGCTCTTTCAACCGCAGACCGGGCGTAAAAGTTGATCTGCCTAAAGACTCAACTCCGATGGAGGCTTTTGCACATATTTTTACGGAAGAACTTTGGTCACACCTGGTCACCCAGACGAATATCTATGCATCCCAGACAACATGTAAAACACCGTCCAGGCCAAAGGCTGCGAAGTGGGCTCCTGTGACTCAGGCGGAAATGAAAACATTCATCGGACTTTGTATCGCCATGGGACTCATTCATCTGCCTGTACGGAGGGACTATTGGCGACATAAGAAAGATTTATTCCAGACGAGGATCTCCAAGTACATGTCCCGGGACAAATATCATCTTATATGGAGGTAAGAATAAATAAATATAATAAATAATATCAATGATGATAATAACAATAATAAAAATGATGATGATAGTGATAACAATAGGTCCTCCTTTCAACATGTATTGTTTTCACTCACAATTAGACTAATTATTTCAAATATATAAGTTTTTATTTTGTCTGATCTGTAGCTCTTTGAGATTGCTAAAATATAAAGTGCAATGTAAACAAATTGCATTATTACTATGACAATTGTAGGAAATGATGATGACACTAATTCTACATCCTACTTTTTCTAGTTTCATAGTAGTGTCTTTGTTTACAGTTTGATTTTATTGATAAGAAATGATGATTTTTATAGCAAGGAGGGGTTGATAAAGGGCATGATAATATATTATGTTATCATTTTTATATTTCAGATATCTTCACCTCCAGGACAACCGCGCAGCTGATGTCAACCGAAGTGACAAGCTGTGGAAAATGAGATGGTTCCTGAACTACCTCCATGTTAGGTTCCAATCACTCTACGAGGTTGATGGCACTGTGACTGTGGATGAGAGCATGATAAAGTTCAAGGGAAATCTCTCTTTCCGACAATATCTCCCCACGAAATCAACAAAATGGGGCATCAAGGTGTGGGTCATGGCGGAGAGCTCCACAGGCTATGTGTCAAACTTTCAGGTAAAATAAAAGAGAGAGTAAAATCAGTGGAGCAAGTAGCTTGTCTAAATAAAGATGCATTGTTGTATAACTACATGTAAAGTTATTGTTGTACAGTAATGTATTATTCCTCTCTCTTATTCTTACAAACCTCTAGGTGTACACGGGTCGTGAGGGAACTGAGGAGAAGGGACTTGGACACCGTGTGGTAATGGATTTAGCCAGGCCTTATTACGGCTCTCATTTGTCTATTTACATGGACAGCTTCTACACTGGGGTGGAGCTCTTCCGGGAAATGAAGACCTATGGTCTGAACGCCTGTGGTACTGTCCGTGCCAATAGGAAAGGACTCCCAAAGACCGACATGCTGACCAAAAGAGAATCCCCGAGAGGGCATGAATTTAGAGTGGCTCAAAAAGACGAGCTCACTTTCTGTATTTGGCAGGACACCAAAACTCTCATGGTACTCTCAAACCACCACGATCCCACCGCGACAGGGACAGTGACCCGGAAGAAAGAGGGAGCCGGCCAAACTGATGTGGTAGTACCAGCTTGCCTTGCTGACTACCAGAAACACATGAAAGGTTTGTTAGTTTTTATTGGCAAAATGCAAATATTTGCTCATTATTATGTATTGTATCTTTCAAGAGGATAAAACAAACAGAAGCTTGAGAGAGTATTCTTACTATGGTCCTGAGTGAAAATGTGTGCGTGTCATGTGTTTGTGCTAGGTGTGGATCTTCTTGATCAGATGGTCGGCTACTATGGGTTCCAGCATCGATCCAAAAAGTGGTGGAGGAGGGTTTTCTTTTACTTCTTGGGAGTGTCCTGCCACAATGCATATGTTGCTGCAAAGTCTGTTGGAGGAACAGCCTTCAAGAGGAAGTATACGACATACAAGAACTGGCTGGAGGACCTGGCAGAGCAACTCATAACACCAGTGTTAGCTAGATGCGCTCCTGAGTTTCCTCCTTCTCCCTCTCCTTCCCTTGCTCCAGTGGCCAGTAGAACCACAACTCCCCCAAAGCATGACTTCGGCAAGATTTTTCAGAAGAGGAAGGCCTGCAGGGAGTGTCAGCTTCTCCCTGAAAATGAGAGAGCTGGTGGACCTACAGTCTATGGCTGTAAGCAGTGTGAACAACCGCTTCATATAGAGTGCTTTGGCTCACACTATCGGCGTTTTTTGTGAGCGTTGCATGACTTTGGATGAGCTAAGAGATGAACACACTGTCACCCACTCATTTATGTATTTGTTGGTTTTTTTTTGGTTTAGTGCTGCTTTTTGTACTGGCACTACACAAGGGCAGCTGCATACCCTTTCAACATTTTTTTATGTTTACATTTGTATTGAATGGACACTTCATCGTGACTGCCATTGTTTTACAGAAAGCAAATTGTTTGTTATTCTCCGGTGCAGAGTCTTTACTTTTGTTTATACAGCCGCTTTATTTCATTTGAGTTTGTTTGTTCAAGGTTTTCACTAATGTGGGGAAGGTTCCGACAAATAAAGGAGTTTTCTTGAAAGCCATGTGTGTAAGCTCTCAACTACTTTTTGAATTGTGTTTCTATCTGCTACAGAGGCCGAGATATCAGCTTTTTTTTCAGGATCTGGGGGCCCTTCTCAAAAGTGCGTTCAGGATTTCAGAGGCATGTCTCAGACAGGGTTCAGGTCTTAATGGATTAATAGCCAGCTGTGTCTCATGAGTGCAGCACGAGTGGAATTGTATACATTGGTGAAGAAACTTAGATCGATCATAACATACAACCCACTTTATATTCGAATATATTGTGATATTTGACATGCACATCGTTCTTCGTTACTGCTGTGATGTAAATTCAGGCTAATCTTGTTTAAGTCTCACATGCTCAGACTTTTCTCTTATCCTGCAGGTCCATATTGGAGTGTGAGAAACTGGTGAAGGAAACGTATCAGAAGAATGGTCTGGTTTACCGTGAGAGCAGCTCAGAAGATGAGGGAGGTGGAGGAGGCCTGCTGTCCTCTGAAGTCATCGAGATAGATGATGACGACGATGATGATGTTATTGCCGTTGGCTGTTGTAAGTCCCTGTTTTATGAGAACAGACACCATATACGGCTACTACAACAGACAAACAGCCAAGTTTATTTTTTCAAATACCCACAAATCTTTGATTTGTCTCAACATTTCAGTGGTTCCCCCAAAGAAGCCAATCACCACGAGCAAAGATCCTCTGGTAAGAAGACCGTAAAACATCATCATGTTGCTAGTTTCCTTGTACTTAATTTTCAGGCTGATGACTCCGGCAGGTCTGAGGGTAGCTAACTTGTGTTCACTTTTTATCTCGACATTTCAATAACACTGAAACAACCAATACAAAGTCAGATGATTATGTCTTGAATTAGAAGTACAACTTTCAAAACTTGACCTGTGAATCCTTTAGACGTAAGACAAAACAAGAAATCAGCTTTGCATAATGTGCCCTCTTCACATGTTTTAACACAAAATGTCAGTTTCAGGGAAAAGACTTTTTGAACATTAACAAGATCAATTTTCTGTGTCTCTTGAGGGGCACTGATGGCGTGGCGGTCTTTGCAGATGCTGTGGTATTTGTCACAGTGGTTGCAAAAATGCCATATCATATGCCTGCCATATCTTCCTCCCCCAAAAAGAGTATAAAAAAAAACACTTGTTTGTCCTCAAGATAATCAATAATAAGTGACTAACAGTATATTTTTATGAGTATTGCATATATATAAACAAACAGGGATATCCATGTAGTGAAATGCAGTTTAATAGTTTAATTTATGTAAATGTGTTACTGATAGTGGGGAAAAAATGTTATCAAAACTGTTATTTTCAAAATTACATGTAGACAACAAACCTTTACCAACAGAAATTTTTTTTTTTCCAAGTGAAGTTTACTCAAAAAGAGAATGACCATCACTCTCTGAAATGTAGTTATTATAATTCAAAAAAAGTTTGCATCGAAAACCACACAAGAAAAATGATCTGTCCTGATTTCATCATGGACAGTTTGAAGGAAATGCTCCTCTGCTGTTTTCTGCTTCTCTGGACAAACTGCTGCACCAGAGGATTGTAGAAATGTGAATAAGGAAATAGAGATGTTTGCCATAAACCAACTATATCCACTCAAGTATTTATCTGTACACGTAGTTAATGATGTCCTCTGTATTGATTTCATCAGGTGAAAGACACCTCTGCAGCTATAGAAAAAACTTCACAGCAGGTTCAGAAGTTGGTCCACATGATCAGCAAACCCTCCACAGCAGCTTCATTAATTCGGTCTCCAACACAGCCTTCATCCCAAACAGGTGAACATTTGCAGTCCCTTAACTGCTTTACTCTCATTACACACATCCTAAGGTATATTACTCACTTGTTGTTCATATGGCTCTTGTATCCGTCAGGTATCCAGAGTGCTGCACCAGCAGTGTTTGTTTCCCAAGTTTCTTCTCATTCAATGACTCAGCCGAACCCGAATATCACAGAAGACGAGCTCCGAGTCGGGATGAACATTCTGGGGAAGAAGCGCACCAAGACGTGGCACAGAGGAGCCCTTGTTGCCATCAACCCTATTGGTTTGTGACAAGAATGTTGTTGGTGCTGCTTTTAGGACAACTTTTACAATAATATTTAACGTTCATCGTTTTGGATTTCCTGAATCTTTTCTTTTTATAATGTTAAATCTATGACATGCTCTCTTTAATGCGATGTATCCTTGGTCTAATTCCAGGAAACGGTGTATTCAAGTATAAGGTGAAGTTTGATAAAGGAAAGAGTCTGCTGTCTGGAAACCATGTGGCATTTGACTATAACCCCACCCTCGAGAGTCTGTTTGTTGGGGCTCGTGTGGTCGCCAAGTACAAGGACGGTAACCTGGTGTGGCTTTATGCGGGGATAGTGGCAGAGATGCCCAACAACAAGAACCGCATGAGGTGAGCTGATATGTTTGAATTTTGCTAATGAACTGTCTCAACCAAGATGAAAACTACAATGTAGTTCATAATTGATGTTTTGTTGTGTTTGATTCAGGTTTCTGATCTTCTTTGATGATGGTTATGCTTCTTATGTGACCCTACCTGAGCTCTTCCCTGTTTGCCGACCATGTAAGTTCCTGTTTTCCTTTTTTTTTTCTCCTTCTCTCTCTTACCCTTCAAAGCCTGATAAATGCCGCTCTAAATCGACTTGTTTTCACAGTGAAGCGTACCTGGGAGGACATAGAGGATGCATCATGTCGAGACTTCATTGAGGAGTACATCACTGCATATCCCAGCAGGCCTATGGTGCTTCTAAAGGTTGGACAGATCATTAAGACAGAGTGGGAAGGTACCTGGTGGAAGAGCAAAGTGGAGGAAGTGGACGGAAGCCTGGTCAAAATCCTCTTTCTGGTATGCGGTTTTAAAATGTCAAGTTTCAAACACTTTTTACAGCTTTCAGGAGAAACAAAGTTACAGTTGTGTGAAAAAGTGTTCGCCCCTTTCCTGATTTGTTATTTTTTTGCATGTTTGTCACACCTAATGTTAGTCAAAGAAGACACAAGTGAACACAAAATGCAGTTTTTAAATGGAGGTTTTTATTATTTAGGTAGAAAAAAATTCCAAACCCTACATTGCCCGGGGCAAAAAATTGATTGCCTGACAGAGTGAAGTAAGAGCTAGACATCATGCAGAGATCTAAAGAAATTCACAAACAAATGAGAAAGAAAGCAATTGAGCTCTATCAGTCTGGAAAAGGTTATAAAGCCATTTCTAAAGCTTTGGGACTCCAGAGAACCACAGTGAGGGCTAATATCCACAAATGGCAAAAACATGGAGCAGTGGTGAACCTTCCCAGGAGTGGCCAGCCAACCAAAATTACCCCATAAGTGCAGAGACTACTCATCCAAGAGGTCAAAAAAGACCCCACAACAACATCCGAAGAACTGCAGGCCTCACTTGCCTCAGTTAAGGTCAGTGTTTATGACGCCACTATAAGAATGACATTGGGCAAAAATAGCCTGCAAGACACAGTTCCCAGAAGAAAACCAATACTGAACAAAAAGAACATTAAAGCTCGTCTCAATTTTGCTGGAAAACGTCTTGATAATTCCCAAGAACTTTGGGAAAATACTCTGGGTCTGACGTAAAAGTAACGCCGCATTTCAGGAAAAGAACATCATACCAACAGTAAAATATGGTGGTGGTAATGTGATGGTTCTGAAACATATAAGTGTGACAAACATGCAAAAAAATAAGAAATCAGGAAGGGGCCAAACACTTTTTCACACCACTGTAGATCTAACTTGAGTGTAAAAAGGGTTAAAAGTGCTTTAACAGTGAATGTTTAATGACAGTGAGTACACTTTCTGTGCTTCTTCAGGATGATAAGAGGAGTGAGTGGATCTACAGAGGATCCACCAGGTTGGAGCCAATGTTTAACCTGAAGATGACTACGGCTAACACTCAGGAGAAGAAGCTGGCAGGGCAGCAGAGGACCCGACCTAATATGGGTAAACCTCAAGAGATTATTACTCAGAGATGTGATTCTTTTTCTCTGTTTTCTGCTCTGTAGATTGTGACTCTAAATGGACTTTTTTCAGATTTAGCCTTTATGTTCGAAGCCATGCTGTGTTACTAAATGTGGTTAAAGATTTATGCACATGCATGTAACATCTTGATGGTAATTTAATGATGGTAGTTGGACTGAAAATTATGGGTAGACTTAAAAAAAAAAGTGTAGATAAATGGCGTGAATGTGAGTATGTGTGTGCACGCAGACTTTATGCTTACATTGCACAGTCAGTGCATCAGTTTTGGTGCTCCATTCAGAATAGTCTGGATCCACCTGTTGCACATTTGTGTGCATAATATAACAACACAGCAGAATTGGTGTGAAAAACTAAAACCAGTGCACATCATAATGTAAAGTAAACATATTTTTACTCTGTAATATATTTGAACCATGAGGGATTTGACTTTGACTTGCAAAAAGTGACTTACATCCATCTCTAGCATGTACAAACATTCCCAAAAAGTTTAACCTTCACCTGCCACTGTAGTATTTAAGCAACACTTTTTAATCATTCACTACTTTTTATCTGTGGGTTTCAATCTCCAGGAGCGCTGAGGAGCAAAGGCCCAGTGGTTCAGTACACCAGCGATGGACACGTTGGAGCCACTCCTGTCAAAGCACCGCCGTCCTCTACAAGTCAACCCTCACAAACACCTCAACCTTCAGCCCGTCCTCAGCCCACAACGCCACAGCAAACCCCTCAGCCTCTGCAGCCCGCACAGACTCCACAACCTCTTCGTGTCGAGTGAGTGATCATTACTGAACATCCAGTACTCTTACTTTAAGAGAGTTTGCTGCGATGCATTCACTTAAATAATGGAGAAATTTTACTTTGATGCAACTAAATTACATTTTAGTCATTTTTGTAGAAAGATTAGCAAGGACTTAATTACTGACAGTTTTTTTAAAATATCTTAAAGCAATAAACATCAAATGGCAAAGAAGAGCACTTCTCCGTTTGTCCCCGGGGTGGGAGGAACTCACGCCTCCAAAGTCATGCAGTCTCTCACTACTAGTCCCAGCACCTTCACTGGGTGAGTCAGCTTCATTGTTGTGTTTACCGAGTCTTTGACACTGAAAAAGGATTGTTGACAGCGATATCTTTGTGTGTTCTTATATGCTGACCTTTCTATCTTTCTTTTACAGAGTACGAATAATACCTGCTCAAAATAGCCCTGCAGTCACTTTCACACAACCGTTTCAGAGGCAGCTGCCCATTGTTGCTTCAGTGCCCCCTCCTATCACCCATGCAACGGCCACAATCCCACACCAGCCTGCTTACCGTGCCCCGACTGACCGCATCTTCTACCTGGCACACACTTGTCAGCCTGCGTGTCTTAACAGGGTCCGACCTGGGAAATCAGACATGCATCGAGGCAAAAACCCCCTCCTCACGCCTTTACTGTACGATTTCAGACGTATGACTGGACGACGCAAAGTCAACCGCAAGGTGAAGTTGATAGACGAGTTCTGCCGTGGAAAACCTGCCTCAAACATGAAGAAGATTTGCCTTTTGATAACACTGAATTGATTGATTATTTTGTTCATCCTCTAGATGTCCTTCCATGTGATCTACAAGGCTCCTTGTGGTCTTTGCCTGCGTAACATGTCAGAGATCCAGCAATACCTCTTCCAGACTCGCTGTGACTTCATCTTCTTAGAGATGTTCTGTCTCGACCCCTACGTACTTGTGGACCGGCCGTTCCAGCCCCAGAGGCCTTTTTACTACATCCCTGATATCACGGGTGGAAAAGAGGACATCCCACTCTCCTGCGTCAATGAAATCGATTCCACCCCGCCTCCTAAAGTAGCTTACAGTAAGACTTGCACTGAGATCAGAACAAAGGAGAGATTAACTTGGGGCTGTGCCGGGATCAGACTACTTAATATTTTTTGTCTTACGAGAAGATCACTGCATCAGATTAGAGGTTCATCGAGTCTTAAAGGGGAACTTAAAAGATCTTCACATCCAAGACTGTGAGGTCCCTTATGGCGAGGCCTTCAGGGTTATTGTGCAGAAAGTTTTAAAAATAGAGAGAAATCAGAAAAGAGATCTTCATGCAGCTTCTTTTTCTTTCCACTGAAAAAGAGACTGATTGATCTTCTCTCCTCTCTTCAAGGTAAAGAGCGTATTCCCGAAGATGGAGTTTATATCAACACCAGTGCGGACTTCTTGGTCGGGTGTGATTGCACTGACGGCTGTCGAGACAAGTCAGTGGAGCTGCTCATAAATGACCCACCGTTTTATTAAATCCTCTCACTGTTGATATTCTGAGCACAGCTTTTTCTCTTTATTACAGGTCCAAGTGTTCGTGTCACCAGCTGACCCTGCAGGCCACAGGCTGCACGCCAGGGGGGCAGATCAACCCAAACGCTGGATACTCGTACAAACGACTAGAGGAGTGCCTCCCCACAGGGTCTGATATGAAACACACACCAAAGCACCTCCAACCCCACAAGAAGATAATTAAAATAATTGTTAAATTTCTGAAGGTATCATCCATCCTGCTCTCTGCCTGTTTTTCTTCCCTCTCAGGATCTACGAGTGTAATAAAAGGTGTAAATGCTGCTCTCAGATGTGCACGAATCGGTTGGTGCAGCACGGCCTGCAAGTCCGACTCCAGCTCTTTAAGACCCAGAACAAAGGCTGGGGTATCAGATGTCTTGACGATGTGGCTAAGGGTTCGTTTGTGTGCATCTATGCTGGTGAGAAACTGACTTATCATGGAGGGTTTATTAGGAGGGAATGAAAAAAATAAAGATCATGCAAGTGAAATCTAAACCTCTCTTTCAGGTAAAATCTTGACAGATGACTTTGCTGACAAAGAGGGTCTGGAAATGGGTGACGAGTATTTTGCTAACCTGGACCACATAGAGAGTGTGGAGAACTTCAAGGAAGGCTATGAGAGCGAGGCCCACTGCTCGGACAGTGAGGGGAGCGGTGTGGATGTGTCGAGGATGAAAATTCAACCATCAGCTTTAGTGTCCCAGAACTCCCGCGGGCCGACCAAAAAGAGTGAGTCCACTCCCAAATATGTTCTTTTGATCCCAGCTCCTCAGTCTCTATGTTGTTTTCACTCTTTCTCTCCCTGCCACAGCTCGAAGCGTGAGCTCCTCAGGGGACAGCAACGATGAGGATGACAAGGATTCAAAGAGCGAAGATGATAGTGACAGTTCGGATGACACTTTTGTGAAGGAGAACTACTTTAACTCCAGCTCTGTGTGGAGGAGTTACACCACACGAGGTCAAGTTAAAGGCAACAAAGAAGGTGAGCTACAGGAAGATCTTGACAGATTTTAACTGCGGAATAGTTCAAATTGTAAGTAAATGTGTTTAGTTTATATATTTTCTTTCATATACCAACATATCTATAAAACATCTGTAGTGTCCACATAAGACCTGGTGGCGGTTATACCTTTTTCAATTATTTAAATCGAATCACAATCATCTATTTGTAATCTGGTCTTATCAACATTCAAAAATAATTGAGTCAAATTTCAAGTCATAATTGAGTTAAAATGGACTGAGGTGGAAATACTGTCCTGTTGGCTGAAAAATCAAAATATAACATCTTTGTGGAAGTCATGGACACCACATCCTCTACTCTTAAGAGGAGAGAGAGACGACCCAGATTGTTATCAGTGCAGTTAAAAATCAGCCTCCATGATGGTGTAAGGATGCATAAGTGCCCTTGACACTGGAAAGCCCTGTTAATGCTGAACAACATGTGCAGGATTTGAAGCAACATATGCTGCAAACGAGACAATGTCAAAAGACAAAGGTCTCTTACAGAGTAGACCTGACATATTTCAACAAGACAAGGCCACACCGTACTCTGCACAATAACAATAACAATATCATTGGCTCCATAGTAAAAGATTCAAAGTACATCTCCCTGGTCCCCACATTGAGGACACTTAAATGGATATTCTGGTGTAAATTAATTTAGGGTCAAACACATAACCACACATAAACCTCAACCAAAAAGTCACTCTATAGCCACCAATAATGCTCAGAACAGCACCTAACTTCACCAACAGTACATATAGGGTCCCAGCCACAGCACTTGCCACCAAACATCTTTTTAGCTTTGCCTGATTTCTTTAGCAAAGAGACTAAACATAACTCACCTACTCTCTTCCAGCAGCTGCTTGTTTACAGCGAGACCTTGGACTAGTCCATAACTCGGTGTTACGTTGTGTTTGACCTTAAATTAATTTTATGCCGGAATATCCCTTTAAGACATTGTAAAATGAAAACTAAGACAAAGGAAACCCTAAACTGTTCAGCAGCTGAAACCCTCGATCAGGCAAGAATGGGACACATTTTATTTACAACACTCTATAAACTGGTCTCCCTGGTCCCCAGTCATTAACAGAGGGTTGTTAAAGAGGATGTGATGGATGAACACAATGGCAAACGTGACTCTATCTAAACTTTTTTTAGATATTTTGCTGGTTTCTAATTAAAATTGAGTTTCAACATTGTATATCTTGTCTTTGCTATTTTCAATTATGTTTTTGTCAGTACATTATCCCACCTTTTTTATTGGAGTTGGTTTTTGAGTTGATTAAAACAACACTTTGACTTTTAGAGTGAATTGCAGTTCAGATTTTGTGGGATATCTCTCACGGTTAAGTTCTGATGTTATGAGGCAGTTTGTTAGTTTGACACACCTTTCTATTTCCTGTTTCAGAGAGTCAAGACAGTAAAGATGGATTGAGTACTTCAGTCAAAGAAACTGAGGAGGGCAAGCCCCCGTCCATGCCTGAGGAGTTGGGGAAGAGTAAGGTGGCTTTATGGCTCACTACCCAGGGACTGAAGAAGGTGACGAAAGAGACAATGTTTTATAATGAACGTTTTTCATCCCACTGCTCCTGCCCATCAGAAAATACAACTAAGACATTAAATTTTTTTACCAAAGCGGGCAACCTTGAAGGCAGCCCTTATATTGGAATATTTAGTTTGATGATTATTTTTTATAATACATAAAACTACTTTTTCTTTACAGGATTCTGGAGACAGTAAAAGGTGAGTTTTAGTTCAGTTTTTCTAAATTGTAATTTTGTTTTATTGGGCAAAAGTTTTCCTTTGCAAACGATCTCCTGATTTAAAGTTTGATCAGTGGTAAGAATAGTTTTGTGTTTCTTGCAGTCAAGTGAAGACGGACACAGGGAAGAAGCAGGATGTGATGACTCTTTCCGACAGCGATGATGTTCAGACCATCAGTTCAGGATCTGATGACAACAAGGAGAGAGAAAAAGTTACCCCAGGTGAGGAGGAGAAGAAGAGAAAACTCGAACTTTGATTTACACCACAGTGACTTTTGACTCTTAATTCATTTGTCTCCTTTCATTGCTGTTCTGGCTCAGGTGTGACAAAGAAACAGGTAGCTGTGAAATCAACTCGAGGCATCGCCCTGAAGGGCAGCCACGGGATGATGGTGAAATCAGGTCAACCCGGGGGTACAGGAGGGCAGGGGGGTCAGGGAGGCAAATCAGGACAGCAGGGACAGACGGGAGCAGGAGGTGAAAACGTTTCAAAAAACACACGTCTGTTCTTCGATGGCGAAGAGTCCTGTTACATCATCGATGCCAAGTTGGAAGGAAATCTTGGACGTTACCTCAATGTAAGTGTGTAATATTCTGATTTCATTGTATCTACTCTAATTCTCTTTCTTCAAACTTAATTATTCATCTTATCTGCTGTCTGCATTACAGCATAGCTGCAGCCCGAACCTTTTTGTCCAGAACGTGTTTGTGGACACACATGACCTGCGGTTTCCCTGGGTGGCATTCTTTGCCAGCAAGTGAGTTTTTTTCTTGGGGATTCTGAGTTTATCTTCTCTTGGGAAATGATGCAAAGCTAAATAATAAATGACGAGAAAATAGATCAGTTATTCAGGCATCAGTAGCTATTGAAACTACACAGAAAACATTGTGAGGCTGATAACTGTAATTACATCACGGCTTTAGCTTTATTTTATTCAGCCGCAGCTTTAGGTTCTAGTTTTTCCAGAAGATTCTGTTATTGATAACCGAAACCATGCAGACCACTTTTCTGTACTTATTACGGTCTCATTTCCTCTTTCAGGCGGATCCGAGCAGGCACAGAGCTGACCTGGGACTACAACTATGAGGTAGGCAGTGTGGAGGGAAAGGTGCTGCTCTGCTGCTGTGGATCCACTGAGTGCAGAGGAAGACTGCTGTGATTTTAATCCATCAACCTCATACCTTTTACTGCATTTATAGGATACTTAGAGGAGCCCTTCAACACTGTAACTGTGTGTTTTGTTTTTTTATGTCAATCCATTTGTTTTATTATATTGCAGCTGTTTATTTGCCTTTATTTTATATTAAAACATGTTCTTCTTTTGTTTTATTTTACCTATGCCGTGTTTCTGAATAAAACGATCTTTTTTCTTCACAGATCTATTTGTTCTGCATCTGCTCTTTTGTAATTCAGATTTAAGACCTTTGGAACTGAGTTTTCATCTTGACCTCATTAATGTTTTTATGATACGATTAAATAAAGAGTAAAATATTGTATAAGTCAACCAACAGCAGAGGCTTATTTCACAAAAACTTTAATTTCGTCAGATTATGAACGAAACGTGTATTTGTTGTCCTGATCTCGTTGATTGTGTGTAATTATAGTTACACTTAAAGATAGCAAAAGAAACACTTAAAACCCAATTTTATGATATTTTTATGTTATCATCGATTCATGTTATTTCTGCCTGTAACATTTAGTGGGAAAAAAACAGACTTTCTTTGAAGTCGCCATAAATCGGACTGACCAATCAGCTTTTCTCAAAGTCAAAACAATAAATTGAAGAATCTCATTTTGCCCGGAGACTGAACTGAATCCGCTTTAACGTCGACGTGCTGCGAAATTTCATCCTTTACACGGTCAGAAAATTCTACCTTTTTGATTTTTCTGATATTTTCGCTGAAATGTTTTACTACCCTCAAGTTTTACAGCGACACACTGGATGTTTTTCGACCATATGGTGAGTATTACACTCCTTATTTCGACGTTTAGCTTCAAAGTTCAGAGTTTGAAGCGGATTGAAGTTTGTATTCAGTATTTCATACGAGTGAGGATTTCTAAAAGCTTGAATAAGTGTAAACATAAGCACAGATCCTAAAGATTTCCTGAGGTTTAAGTATTAATCTGTGTAATTCACTTCGATATGTAATGTAAAAAAGGAGTCAGCAACATTTAAACACCATTTTACCGAAAGACTACTATAAAAAAGTTAATGATGTGAATGATTTATGACTCTCCATTATTTTGACTCTTCAGGTTTTACTCTTTTGGTGTGTGTCTGAGATTAGTTCCCCTTTATTAATACCAAGAAAGTTTTTAATATGGCCCTCATATAGATTTAACTTTAATTTCATGCTCCATGATTTTAAATCAATCTCTGGGGTCAGGACATGTAAGCACAGCTTAATAATATAGTAATGAAGTCATAATGTCCCTGAGTGAAGTGTTTGATGGATGTTTCACATGAATTTCGAGGGTTTAAATCCTTTTTAAAGATAATTTCTTTCAGACTTTTCCTGCATTAGAATTCTATTAAAGAAAAAGGTAGTAATGGATGTCCACAATAGCAAGTTTTAGCTTCGCGTTTTTGACAGTGAATAACCGTACAAAGGTTAGCTATTTTTTATTTGAAGTCAGGCATACTTCTTAAAGTGTTCATGTATATAAAAAAAGTCAGAGTGCAGGTGCATGAGGAAGAAAGAAAACAACCATATGAAGATGTAACACCGTCACCCCCACCCCGCCCCCAAATTAAGAGTGAGCCTTTGAAGTTTATTTTACAAAAAAACAACAGCTTTGAAGAAGAGATCAAGGTCAAACAAAAAGAGGCGGGAAAATGCAAAAGTTTTTTTTTTCCTCATTTGTCTCTGAAATCTACTGAGAGTAGTTTCTTTTTTTCGTTTATTCAATTCTGTTGAGGTTTTAACTTGAAAAGAGTTTTGTTGCCAGACAGAAAAAAGCTTACAGGATGAAAAATATAAAACACATATACACATGTATTCCTTTAATTCAGAATTAAGGTTTAAAGAAAAACTATAGTCAAGAAAAACCTACCGTGAGGACTAAACTCTAAAATTTCTGTATGGGAATCACAGGATTCTAATTAAAGGGATATTCCGGTGTGAAATTAATATAGGGTCAAACACACCGTAACGCCAAGTTAGACACCCCCTCAAGAGATGAATGTTGCCGACTGCTTGCTTCTCTAGTTATACCAACTTTAGTAACGACAGCACGATATCAATATACAGCGGTCTGAGGATGCAACCAAAACGTCACTCTATAGTCACAAATAATGCTCAGAACAGCACCTAACGTCATCAATAGTACATATGGGGTCCCAGCCATAGTACAGCCATATGTCTCCTTTGTTACTGCCTGCTGCACTGGTGGGGGATTGGATTGGTAAATGACCTAGTATCTGTGTCTCTTTTTCTCTTTATGGCCATATAATAAAACACCCCCATTACTCTCTGTACACGATCCAGGCTCGCTGCTACCAGAGGCATCAGAGTGACTCGCCGTGACTTTCTGAAGGTCAACGTCATCAGAACCTGGTAGGAAGTTATATTTGGTAACTGTCACATACAATCGTCTGAGCTCTGATCTGTCCACTTATCATAAAACTAATGTCCTGTGCAGTGACGACATCATGAACTACATCCTGGAGCGGATGCCACCACCGCTGCCTGATCTGCCCCGCCCTCGCTTCTCCCTCTACCTCTCCTCCCAGCTCCAGTATGGTGTCATCCTCGTTTACCACCGACAGTGTGCGATTCTCCTGGGTGAGAAATGATTGCTGTTATATCACCAAGAGAAACAGGCTCTGGTTCTTGACATTGCTCCTGTGTTCTTTTAGAGGAACTTCAGTCCATCGTGGGCCAGCTGGCAAAACAGAAGACACAGAAAATTGATATGGATGACCTCATCAGGTGAGAACAGGTGCTCAACATTTCTTAAATTGTCCTCCTCTTATAAACACTTTATGACTCTTGTTTCCTGTCGATGGACTTCCTGTTGTTGCTCAGACAAGCTCTGAACCTCCCTGATGCCCTGTCGTTCCTGGAGGAGGCAGAAAGAGCTCCAGACCCTTTATTTGGAGTGATGCACATGCTAGATGCAATGCCCAGTCCCAACACACTGATACAGGTACCTGAATATAAAGAAAGACAGGATTTGTAACAGTTTGCAGACTTTGAAAATGAAACTAGAGCTTGGTCAAATCTGAATAATAATGATGATACAAAAAGTGTCTATTTTGTGTCTCTCAGATGAGTCAGGGATTTCAGGGAGAAGCCTCTCCTGAGCCGTCTGAACAGACCAGATCTCCTGCTGCTGCAGATTTTGAAGGTGGGGAGATGACTGATGAAATAATGATCTCTTCAGGGCTTTGTAGTTATTGCAGCAACAGAAAATAAAAAGGAAAATAAAAGACAAAAGATAGCTCAATTGAGTTGATTGCAACAGAAATTAAAACATTAAATGCCTAAAAAAATGACTTAAAAACACCAAATTCTAGATTGCCCGAAATATATCAATCAATAAAAACAAAAAGAAATGTTGGCTTGAGATTGAACAGCACAATGGTATGACCCTATCCCCAGATTTACATCTCCTTGATTGAAGAGCTTGTCCTTATGCAGATTAAATCTAATGTGCCATCATGAGGCACTCATCTGATTCAGGAGAGCCCACCAAACATCAAAATGATTAGACTCATGGAGCGAAATTAGAGCAGCTATTTCTGTCAGATTCATGAGAAAAAACATTTTTTTTGTTTTTGTTTTTGTTTTGTGAACAACAGCAGTCTGATAAAGGTAACAGGTACATTGCAATCCAATAAAAAAATAAATTAAATGAAAAAAGGGCGACATAGGGGTGTAGTGGTTAGCACTGTCGCCTCACAGCAAGAAGGTCCAGGGTTTGAATCTGGGTCAGGGCGTTTCTTTGTGGAGTTTGCATGTCCTCCCTGTGTCTGCGTGGGTTTACTCCGGTTTCCTCCCACATCCCAAAAACATGCAAGAGTGGGGTTAGGTTAATTGGCCACTTTCAAATTGCCTGTAGGTGTGAATGTGAGAGTGGATGGTTGTTCGTCTCTATATGTCAGCCCTGTGATGAACTGGCGACTTGTCCAGGGTGTCCCCTGCCTTCGCCCGAAGATGCTGGGATAGGAATAATATCATCTGTTGATTTATGCTCTCTTTGTTTACATTTCAAAAATCTAAGTGCTTCATGAGGAATGCTCATCTAATATGAAAGAATACACAAGGCCTGCCCTCATTATTGAGTTTCCAGCTTCACTGAAATGCCATCACTATAGAGTGACGTCTAAAACGCGAGCAGTTATGTACAGTATGGCTGTTTCAGAGATATGCAGTGAAATACCAGCGGGTCATGGGGGGCAGAGATGCACACAGTAATACAGAGCAGCAGGGAGGTTCTGCAGGTCAGCACGGAGCAGTATATCTTCAACAGCATCCTCCTAATGAGCTGAGGCTGATGTTGCAGGGCAGGGGCATCTCCAGAGATTTTGGACTTGGCGAGAAAAAAAAAAATATCACAGAGCCTCACCAAACCTGAAAGACCACTCTGTTCAGACACGGAGACAACTGATGTTTTTTTAAATTATCTTTTCCATCAAAACATTTTACTTAAAAATTATATGAGCGTCAATTGAGGACTTCAGGTTAATTCAACTAAAATATAAATTGGTTTTTAAATCAAAGTAAAGTAAGTTTAAATATTCATACTTTTGCAACCAGTGCAGGCTGCACTGATTTGTTGTCGGCCAAAACAAGAAGGAAATAGATCATGTGTTTCTGTTTTTGAGTAACTTTGGTTATGTTGAGTTGGATTAAATGTTTCCTCTCCTGCTGTAGGTTTTTTATTTTAACAGCATCATTATTTTTTTAGGCATTACTGCATCTCCAGAAAGCATCACTCTGAGAGAGACAGAGCCGGTGGCTATTCCCGTCACAGAGGTCAGCCGTCAGAAGAAGCTCATACACATTTTATATATTATGTGTGCATTAGTGTGGAAGGTTTCACCTCTCCCCGCTTTCATCCATCAGTCCATTCTCTCTGTCTTCTTTCATCTAGTTTGAGGGTGTGGACCTCGTGGATCAGCATCCAGATACTATTGATCATCTCATGGCTCAACCAGACCATTTTCTGGAAGGTGGGTGTCAAAAACAGGAACTATTTTTTTATCTGAAGAATTCACAGTAAGGTTTTTGGAGACAGACAAAAAAGGGAGAATGAGCTCATTTGTATTTCAACATGAGATATGGAGATGCCGAGGGAGGCAGCGACCCCTGAAGAGCGAGAGAGGGAGATGGAAAGAGCTGAAGGAGCGGCAGACCTGGAGAGAGAGGGAGTGAGAGATCCCACAGCATCCACTGTTGAGTAAGTTACTCAGATTCACATGAAATAATCAAACAAATTCCCTCATGCACTGACGGTGTCTCTATCATTGCCAGATTACAGCCCACAACTACTCTCTCTGATGAGGAAGCCATGCTGTTGCCTCAGGAGGAGTCTGCAGAGAGACGTAGACCCCCCACAGACCAGACCACCCCGGTCTCTGTGCCCCCTCCTCCTTCTCCACCTCCTGCAGTGAGACCGGCTCTTGAGGTACAAGCTTGAATGGTTTTTGATTATAGACGTGGTGCGGTACCACTTTAAGAGGTGTAATGACCGATTAAACATTTATAAACGTTTGAATGATCCTTTAGTTTTGATGAATGAAGAGACATTTACAGAAGATTTATAAACAGCACTTCTAAACCCATAATTAAGTGTTCCTCTTTATGAAGTGGTACCCAGAATGCAGTTGGATGAAGCAGTGGTAACTTGTTTTTGTGTAACTCACTCATAGGAAGTTCCTCCTGCTGAAGAGAGGCAGAGGAGGAGGGGGAGAGGGAGGAGGCAGCTGATCTTCTTTGACCCTGAGACACAGATCCCACAGGAGGAACTGCAGCAGCAGATCAACACCCCCGGCTTGGAGACCAGAGCACCCAGTCACCCACCGCCCTCTTCTCTCAGGATGACCCCTGCTGCAGAGCTCTTCAACATGCCCTGCACCCGTCAGTAACAACACGCCAACTAGACCTCTTAAATACACCAGTTAAAGGCTGTGATCACCAACACACACATTCGCTGGACCCATAGATTGAACTTAAACAACGGAAACATCCACGCTATTGCCAATTAACTGTTATTAGTTGTGTGATGAATGAGGTCTGGGGAAGAAACAGGTGCCTGTAGTTCACTTATTAATGGTATGGACTCTGGTAATAGTAATAAACATGATAATTATAATAACTTTATTTTTATAGCACTTTTAAAAACACAAGTCTACAAAGTGGTTTGACAAACAGTCAAACAGCGCAGAACATCAGGACATGGAAACAAAAACAGTTAAAACAAGGCCTACGAAGTGAAGGCCAGTTTAATTGTCATAAGGAACCCAGACAATACAAGAACCTAACAAAATAAAATGAGACCAAAATAAAAACAAAAAATAGGTAATAAAAATAAATGTAATAAAAAAGGGGGGTTGAAAGCAGAAAACAGGTTTGTAAATGTAAAAAGACAATAGTAATAATGATAATAAAATAATAACGAAATAATAATGGTAATAATAGTAATGATAAAATAGAATAACAAAAATGAGCAAGAAAAAAACAATAAAATCAATAAAAAGGCCTAAAAGACAGTAAGCTGAAAAACGATTGAGGTAAAAGAGATAAAAGATGTAGTATCTTGAAATGAGACACATGAACTTAGTAAGTTAAATACTGCACTGAGGAAAACTGGGTGTTGGAACTAGAATCTACTTAGACCCTAATGTAAATGAAATTAAATCTGATCATATTGACAAATAAAGCACCTTTAGTGTAAAAGGTAAAGCTCTGCAGCATGAGCGTTACATCGATAGAAAAGCATAGAACGAGTCAAAAGATTTTATGACGCTCTTTAGTGTCACGCTGTGAGATATTTGACCTCAGCATGGTTCACATATTGACGAGCGATGTCAGTCTAAAGCCATGTTAGCAGCTTTATGACAAGACTTCCTGCTGTCAAACACAAAATACATCTGAGGTTGGTGGGAACGTCGGTCATTTCCAGTAACCAAATCATGAACCGTGTTTGATTCAGTGCTGCAGCTTATGTATTATGAAACAGGAGCAGAGAAAAACTATCTGACAGATTGACGCTGCCATGTGTTCAGCAATGCCACCAGAGTATCTAAATATACACTTTGAAATGCCGACACATTTATGGAGATTAATTCATTTAATTACTGAAAACAAATGGCTCAGATACTGGCACCAGGAGTATGTGATGTACAGCCGCTATGCCAGGTACTAATAAACTCTTACTAAGGACTGCATCAGTACAGACTTCAGGCTGTGGGTTGATGTTTTGTTTGGACAACAGCAGCCTGACAGTCATGATACACCACCCTGCTTTTCCTTGGGTCAAGCAATGACTAAGAGTGTCACCATAGATACCATAAACACTAGTAATCCACGAAATAATCCAATCAGACAGGAATACTATTATGTAATTGTGTTCCCATAAACACAGGAGAACACCCGTCTCCCTGTGTTACACTGTGAAAATGATTATTTGTGCCGTCAACTAATCCTGCAGATTTCCTGTTGACGGTGAAAAAGGTTGTTGATTTCTCAGTGATATAATTCGGTTATACGGAGATGATTGGCAGAGCAGCTATTTTTACACAACTTGTTTTCTGCACCCTTTTTTTGAAAAAATAATCCACAGAGCTATTTCTCCCCTGCAGCGTTGCCTCCAGAAGTGCTGTTACTATGGAGACGAGCTGCTACTGTCAGGTCTGTCTCAGGCTCAGACCTGCAGGTCGGGGAGAGAGGGCCAGAGTCCACCGACACTGAGAGAGAAGGACAGCCAGAGACGGTGGAGGCTGCTGAGACAGAGCAAGAGAGACTTGGACTCAGCCCCAGGGAGGTGCGCAATTGTGTGTTTGTTTGTGAGTCAAATATAGGGGTTGCAAAATTATGGGAATTTTCTAAGTTGGAAACCTTCCATGGGAATTAATGGGAATAAACCTGAAATTTACAAAATTGAAGGTTGGCCCTCAACAGGGAACTAAAATATAGTCGGGGAAAATAATCTTGGCGAAAACAACCAGATTTGTTGCAAGAACACTCCTCAATCACATAAACACAGCACACTGCTTTCTGCACTTTTGAGCCCACAGACTATATAAAGTCAAGTAAGTTTTGATGATATTATGGGGTAAATATATTTGATCTATAGTAGTATTAATAATTAACTTGCAAAAATTAAATAAAAATAGGTGCTAAATGTAAGCTAATTTTCATTTTATTGGCCATTTAAGGGGCTAGCTTATTATGGTGGTGGTACCTACCTCAAATGTAATGCTGTTCCTTCTGACTCCTGCAAGACGGTTTTCTTTAACCATACAATGATTTATATATCAATAATCAAATATTTTGAAGACCATTCCAGTTGTTTAGCCAACTATATTTCTGTTCATGCCATTGCATTAATGTTTTTACAAGTTTTTTTTGTTATCTTATTCTACAGAAAAATGCCAAGTTCACCATCTGATGTGTGTCATGTTTTTTAATTGTATTATTTTGCATGGATGTCTGCTTATGACAAAACAAAAATATTTACATTTATGTTTGGATATGATACAGTTTGTTTAAATTAACCCCAATTTCCAGTTAATTCCCATAAATTCCCATAATTCCCATGGAAAGTTTCCAACTTGGAATATTTCCAAAATTCCCCAGCTTCACTTCCCGTGGAAAATTTCTGCAAAATTTACCAGAAATTTTCCACCCCTTTGCGACCCTATAGTCAAATATGTAAATCCTTTAAGAAGAACCTGACTGTGTGTGTCTGTTTTTGAAAACAGGTCCCCAGAGACGCGGCAGAGTCAGAGATGTTTGATATTTCAGGTAAACTCCGGTATAAATAAAGAGAGAGTATTAACTTGGGAGCAGCTGGCTGAAGGTGACTGGTTGTCAATGTGTTCCTACTGCAGTTGCATTCAGCCAGGGTCAAAGGTCGGGGTTAGGCATGTATCGCTTATGGTTGAGGGTTAGGGCAAGCCTCTTGAGAATGAATATGAGTCGGTGGCTTCAAATGTGTGTGTGTGTGTCTGTGTGTGTGTGTGTGTGTGTGTGTGTTTTCAGCCCATGGTTCACTGCCACTGGAGATCTCTGATCAAAGAGAAATGTCTCGAGAAATTTCCCCGCTGTACACCTCTGAGAGAGAAGGGTATGTAGCTTACATATGGGAAGCTGTGTGAAGTATATGGTTTCCAGTGTTCTTATATAGATGTGTGTGTTGGCAGGAGCCCTGTCTCCAGGTCCGTCTCTGCACTACAGGACATCCCGGAGGTCCCGGATGAAGTGCATCAAAGAGCTACAGCAGAGTCTCCCGGGTAACACCAGTGAACGCCACATTAGAGCTAACCAGCTGAAACTCTGAACAGAAAAGTTATTGCTTCTATTTTTTAGAACAGTTGTCGAGGTTTTATGTGTGTCTGTGTGTGTCTGTAGATTGCTGCCGGAGTTGACCAGAGCGACACCTGTGCTTTTTCAGTCTCTTCTGCCGCCAGACTCTGACCGCCGAGCTGTCAGCAACATTTTTCAGAGGCTGCTGGGTGAGGCTTTAGTTTCAGTTATCGATGAACACTCCCGTCAGTCACGATGAAACTGTGTTAATGTTACAGCATCAACACCGCAGGAACGCTCAAAGCAATATGCAGTCTGTAGGCGTGAGTGGCTGTGAGTGTAGGAGAGAGTCAGGTCTATGACAACATTAACTGTCACTAATAGAAACTTTACTAGGGCGCCAAGTGATGAAGAGTAAGAAGGACCGATTACAAGCAGAGGGGTACTGGAACAAACTTTTCTCGTTGTTTTCCATCAGGTAGATTTAAGCTAAGTCTTCTTAAATTATCTACCTGGGTGGTGTTTTGACTTTAAAGCATAATTCGATGCAAACTAACTGCTTAAAGGTCCAGCATAGTCTCTCAGTGTAGGACTACAGCTGTGCAGTAACTTTCACTGTGGGGAGTTTGGGGGGTTACAAGACCCACCACTAACATCACAAAGGTTTTTGGACTTTTGATGGACATCACTCCACCTTTAATCCAAACAAAGACTGGTAGAAAGTCAATGCAGTGCCACTTAAAGGGATATTCCAGCATAAAATTAATTTAGGGTGAAACACACCGTAACACCGAGTTAGACACCCCCTCAAGAGATTAATGTTGAAAACTGCTTGCTTCTCTAATTATACCAACTTTCGTAACGACCACACGAAAGCAAATATCCCTTTAAGGTTTTCTTTCTGACACATGACTTTGTGGACATGCAGATTTTTCTCAATAAGAACCAATAAGTGGGCAAAAATCTGAACACTGCAAGTCAGAAATATTTTTTGTTCAGTTCCCTTCATGCAGTAATCTTAGATGTTATAGTTTGAGCCTCACTCTAAATGACTATTTGTGCACAGAGAATATTTTTGAGCCTGCTCTGCATGTTGATATTCAGGGTTTTAAACATTTGCATGCCTCTATATATTTTGTAGCTTTGCAACACACTCAGTTATAGCTATTATGATGCAGAAGCAAATTCAGGACTGAAGGAAAACAGCATGTTGTTGTCAGAGGAAAAATCTAGTTTTTTTTTTCAAACAGTAACTGATGATAAATCCCAACATTCCCAACGTGAATCACTGTAAATAGTTGGAATTGTCCTTCCCTGTTTTGAATGAAGCTAATTCAAACAATCTTAGCCACAGTTGTATTAACATTTTAACCACTACAGTGCCTTCAAAAAGTATTCATACCCCTTGAACTTTTTCACATTTGTCACTCTACAACCACAAACTTAAAAGTATTTTATTGAGATTTTTTGTCATAATAAAATCTCAATAAAATACTTTTTTAAGGCACTGTATGTAAATCACAGACGGGGTCTCAGTCGTGTTTATACTGGTTTCTATTAATAAAGGAAAAAAACGCATAAAGCATGTTTAAAGTTTTTCTCTACACTGAACTTTACGTGTTTCTTGTTTGTAGAAATGTTATCGGCCAATATGCTTCGTGTGGAGCAGAATGAGCCTTATGGTGACATATGGATTTTATCTGGACCCGGCTTTGAGGAAGCACTCCTGACTGGGATACAAACAAGGTCACCTCAGTCCCCATGAGCCTTCAAAACAAACATGAATGTTCAGTCTGATAAAGAAATGTTTGTTTTTTTTGACATTTTCTGTGTTGACGAAGACGTCATAAAAGTCGGATTAGTTTTTTTACCGAACACTCAAAGTGGCGTGTTTAAAACGATTGAGGTTATATAGATTTTAACTGTTTTTTCATGATGTTTTATGACATTTTTATTCCAGAATTCGTGTTTTATAGAAGTGGTTTATTTTCCTACAGGGACCAACAGACTTATGAACTGTTTGAGATTTCAGATTTGTATTTTAACTGTTTTATTGAGAAGTTTTTAAAGCGTTGTTCGTTATCCTGTGCTGAAAAAATTCACAGCTGTGTTTCAGGTATCTGTCCCTTTGAACATGAACTACAAAATAAAAGTTCTATAAAAATTCAGAAGGTTATTTCTGTCAGGAAAGCATGCGCCATATATTGAAAGGAATCTGTAACACGCCCAGGCAGACAGGTGTTTGAAAACATATTGCAAGGGTTAAGGAGGTGCAAGGAGGACAGTTTGTAAGTCAAGTGAAACTGGATCTTTCCTCCTTCTCTCCCCTCCGTCACTCCCCCGGTCCACATCTTGATTCTCCTCTGAAGACTTTCTCAGGGGGTTGTGACCAAAGTTTATTATTAGCGTGTGTCTCAGCTCTCTCTTTCACACTCTCTCTGTCTGTCCTCTCTCCTCCTGTCAGATCCTCTCGTCTCTTTTCTGTTTTTGTCTTCAGCTTTCTCCTGTTTTTTCACTCTTACTTCTCTTATAATTTTATTTCTTTAATTTTATTTATTGAAGTATTCTTCCCACTCTTAAGCCCTGCTCAGTTGTGTCTTTTATTCCCGACTAAACTTTGGTCTATTTGGTTTTGTTTGGTTTTGTTTTTTTACTTCATTACATGTCATTTCCTTCAGTCTTCTTTTGTGGTTTTATGAACCCGCCTCCATCCTCCTCTCTGGATTTTTTGGGTGACAGAATCAGTACCTGTCTCTGAGGCGTACCGTGTGTTATGGGAAAGACAGAACTGTACTCTCTCTTCAAAGCCTTCCTGGACTGTCTTTGCCTTTGCATCCCTGTGAGTATTCATCCTCTTTGCACGCGTCGGGTGTGTTTTTGCAAAAATAATTCCTTCATAGTGGATCTACCTGAAATCATCTGCACAGTGTAAGCTTACTTCTTGATGCTCCTTTAACCAATCACCTGTGGACAGTGAGTGTTTATATGTGTCACTTGCTTGTCTGTGTCCTGCAGTAAATGTCTCCTCAGCACTTGCTAAGCTTCTGATATTAATAACAGTCTCAGTATGTGGATAGAAATAGAGCCTCAGCTCTAAAGGGGCCAGAAGTCACTTGACGTTTCTTATTAACCTCCTTTAGAACAAGCTCAGGTCATCACACTCAACCTTGATATATAAGCATTCTTGCATCAGCAGGGTTGTGAAACGCAGCGTTAAAAAAAAGCGTTCCCTTTTGTTCCACTATTGGTTCTGTCACCGTTCTGCAGGTGAGTCTGAAGTCATCAAACTAGGTCCAGGATAAAACCAGCTGATTACTTTTTTGCCCCTCCGGAGATCAGAAGTCATGAAATCTGTCTGCATCTATAGTTTGATGGTAAAGGAGAGAAAAGAGGCAGATTGATCTCTGCCCAGATTCAGGGTTTTATTTATGTTCACAACTTACATCAACACAGGATGATCTGACCATGTTGCATTTCTGTCATCGATAAGTAGTTATATCCACACAAGGGACTGTAATAATCTCCCCAACAGTAGATTACCGATGTACAGTCCTGTTACTTATTTGATACCTGCTTCTGGAGCGGTGGGAGCACATGTTTGTGATGATGACCTTGTTAGAGATTGTTGGGTAACACTTCATGTGAACGCACCTCTTTTAATGCATCATTAGCACATTTATAAAGCCCTACAGATGCCCCATAGCCCTTTATAACAACCTTAATGTTATTTAAAAAGCATTTTTATCATATATAGAATGAGCTCTTTATGAGCCTTTATAATTGGGTAAAGTTGTGAGTATTATAATGTGTCATTAAACCCAGACTTCAACAGACACTTTTTTAAAGTTTTGCATTAATGTATAATATATTTTAAACTAGGGATGTCCAAATACACATATGCATCCGCATGCATAAAATGCCAAAATTGAATCAATATTGGTATTGGCCAATACCAAATGCTACAATATCGGTATAGCATTAGAATTTAAAAAATTGTATCGGGACACCCCTATTATAAACCATACCTTTATTTGGCATTTTGCTCACTGCTTCTGAGGCTTCATACATAAGTATAAAATGAGTTATTAGGAACGCTTATAATCACTTGTAAGGAGCTCTATAAAGGTGCATTTATAAGGCTTTATTAATGTGCTTATGGTGCATAATAAGAGGGGGATTCATACAAAGTGTGACCAACTGTTTTTTCCTCGAACAAAAATATGTCATGTTTGTGATGCATTAAAAGAATTATTCATCAATCACAAAAAAGTCCAATGAAACGGGCCATTGAACAGTTGAATTAATATTTTGAAGAGTATGAGGTAATATTCAGTTTAAGTCATGTACTTAAAATTTTTATTCAAGTAAAAGTACAAAAGTGTCAGCATCAAAATTCATTTTTAATATATTTACAATCTCAGATTACGAATGCTGTTATTTCATTGCTGTATGTTACTTTCACATACCAGCTTTATTTCAAACTGCAGGAGCACAGAGAGTAGTGAAAATAAACTCCAGACACATATTCCCACAAAGTGTAGAGATACTTGAGCAAAAAAGTTCTGTTTTCAGTCTCTTTAGTGTCTTTTTTTCATGTGGAAGCTGTTTAAAACAATGTTTCCTCTAATTATTCTTTTTTTTGCTTTGTCTTTCAGCTAGCTTATCTAATTTTACGCCTGATGAATTCAGTTTCATACTGATCCAGCAACAAAAGCCTTCTAATTAATGTGAAAAAAGAAAAAAAGAATGTGAGAAAGAAAATAGAAACGCACCAGTAAATATGTTCAAGAATGATAGAGAAAACTAAAAATGAATGTATCAACACTACCTGACTCATTCCCACCGTTACCCATGAGTCATAAATGTGTCTGATTTGGCTTGCAGTGGGGCAGGGATGAGGCTCTGGTTGAGAATGAGAGGGACACTGAGAGCGGCCACTTGATCTACAGAGGCGGGGACATCCTGGAGAGCAGATGTGAGTCCGGTTGAAGGGAAATTATTGGAATTGTTCAAAGTCTATAAAACAAATCAGCTAAAATTTCTCCTCTTTCTGTTTTAAGATGAGATAGTTGACACACTCGGTGAGGGAACTTTTGGAAAGGTGGTTCAGTGTTTTGACCACGGCAGGTAATGTTGATAATCTGACAATGATGCAGTGACCCCATGTACTGTCTTCATCACTTGAACTTAGTGTTTTCTTGTACAGAGGGGGGAGACCAGTCGCTCTGAAGATCATTAAAAACTTGGAGAAATACAGAGAAGCAGCTAAACTGGAAATACATGTGCTGGAGAAGATAACTGAGAGAGATCCAGACAATAAACAGTGAGTCCTTCAGTCCCTGTAGGAATAACACTACTCTGTATCTGTTTTATGCGTCTCATCCTTATGTTTTTTTTCCCATCAGTCACTGCGTGCAGATGCTTGAGTGGTTTAACTACTATGGCCACGTGTGCATCTCTTTTGAGCTGCTGTCTCTCAGCACTTTTGACTTCCAAAAGGCCAACAACTTCCTGCCTTATCCCATTAACCAGATTCGACACATGGCCCACCAGATATGCCACGCTGTCAGCTGTGAGTCCACTTTACTTTCTGTCTAGTTTCTCGAGGTCTGTGTCAGCGTTGACAGGAAGCAGATATGAAGAGTAAATGAGAGGGTGAATGTCACCAGAGGATGATGAGTCTTTCTGAGTTACATCCTTCAAAAGCTAAACCTGAATATTTAAGAGATCAATTATTTCTCAAAGTTGATATTTATTCTGTTTCTGATCACATTAAGAAAAGAAGAAAATGAACAAGGCAGGAACTTTTTTCTTACAAAGTCAGGAGACAAACTGATCTCATTTTGATGTTTTCAAGTCTGTTTAACCAACCAAAATGTTAACCAGATGAGGGCGTCTCTCTCCTGATAAAGCTAAATGAACCCCCCCTCTATTTCTATTGCAGTTCTCCATGACAACAAGCTGACTCACACCGACCTGAAGCCTGAAAACATCCTCTTTGTCAACTCAGACTTCTCGCTCGTACACAATGCTGAGAAGGTATGTTAGGACTGCAGGCGGGAAGGCTGGGACCTTTGGGGGTGAAAGAAAATCAGGATGTTAAATAGGCAGGGATTAACTGAGGCAGAACAGCTCTGGAGATTGCTTTGTGGTTGCCCATTTAGATGCAAATTTTTCTCAGCAGAAATCTTGAACCGACCACTTGGGATATGTTCAGTTTATGGCGCAAGTCCTTGAGGACTGTGAGTGGTGTAGCTGACTTCAGTCAGACAGTGTGAGGCACCCCTGAAGAGAGACATTTCTCTGTTTTTGGAACCCTTAAATAGTTGGCTGTCTACTTTATCTGTGATGAGAGCTTTACAGGAGTTTGATTAAGGCCAACTCAAAAATAAGACAAATTAAAAGTGAAACACAAGAAATTGGATTTGGATTGGATTTAGTATTTTATTTTGGTATAGTCTGACCGAAACTGTGTAGGCAGAAGCAATGCTTATAAAGAGCCACCCCTTATACCATAGATCGAGTACATTATACAGATACACTCTATTCATACAAACATCAACACCACAATATATATCCACTCTTCAAATCAGATAAGAACATGCTTTACACTTTACATTAATAATTTACAATAAATCAACAGTATTGAGAAATAACATTATTCTTGAAAGTCTCTTTAAGCTTACCAGAGTACTACATTTTCTAATTTCTACCAGACAGTCATTCCATATTTTCACCTCAATTTTTGACATTTGTTTGCGCTTTCGGTTTCTCAAATAATACACAGTCTCTTAGGTTGTAATTAGAGTCCCTCAGTTGAAACAGGTTCTGGACATGTTGTGTTAAGGCTAGGTTTTTGGCTTTGTACATAAGTTGTATTGTGATGACATAATCTACTAGGTCTTTGAATTTTGAAAAATTTAAGGAAGTAAACAGGGGATGAGTTGATTCACGGTAATGCTTATTGCAGATGATTCTTACAGCTCGCTTTTGTAAAAGAAATATTGGGTTTGTATTTGTTTTATAAGTGTTTCCCCAAATCTCAATGCAATAAGTCATGAACAGAGTTATCAGGGAATAACACAAATCAGGGAATAAAGACCAAGCGCAAATTTACACAAATTGTAAAATGAAAAAGCTGGATTTATTTCAGAGACACCTAAACTAAACCTTTACACCTAACAACACTTTATTTTACCTGGCTGTGAATTGTTGCATTAGCATAACTGTGTGTGTACTGGTTTATTTTGCTACAGGACAAATTACTAAAACTGGTGTGAAAACTTTCAGCTGTATCGTCAAATCAGAGGAAACAAATCTGAACAGTTTGAATATAAAGAAACAGTAAATGTAATGGAAGGTAAAACTATGAACACAAGACCCTACCTGAGACTAACTGGAGCCAACTTCTCAGTGCTGAGGATTCAGTTGTGTCATGTGTCTGCTTTCAGAAGTGCAGTGAGAAGAGAGTAAAAGACACCACAGTGCGGCTTATTGACTTCGGCAGCGCCACCTTTGACCACGAACACCACTCTACCGTCATCTCAACACGACACTACAGAGCTCCAGAGGTCATACTAGGTGAGCCTGAGACCAGGAGCTTCTCTGGGACTTCTCAGTGATGTGAAGTTGTTTCTCAACCTTTTTTCTCTTCTCTGTGCCGCAGAGTTGGGTTGGAGTCATCCGTGTGATGTGTGGAGTATCGGCTGCATCCTGTTTGAATACTACAAAGGCTCCACGCTCTACCAGGTCATAGATGTGTTTATACTTTAACCCTCCTCCTTTGTCAGGGTCTGCACCGACCCGTTTTTGTTTTAAAATGCTAAAAAGAACCACATAAATTGTCCATGTAGATTCTCATTCATCCAGGTCATGGTTTTTCTTAAAGACTCCAAAACAGGCAACTGGACTGTGTAGAGTTGAAAAGATGTTTCGCCTCTTATCCAAGAAGCTTCTTCAGTTCTAATATTGCTAGTGTGAGGAGCAGATATTTATCTTACTGGAGAAGGGGACAAACAACGACTGGGACGAGTTGGAAAGAATGGGTCGTAGAAACCCATCTCCGGGTGTTCCCTCCCTGAGGGTCGTTAACCTGAGGCTTTTGGGAATAAGTCCTTGCTGTCTGCATCTCAGGTTAAAGCGAAGGTGGTTTCTGTAATCCGCCATCTTCCTGCAAGTTTTCTCGTGCTCCCGGACCACATAAATTAGCTTTTTCGCATCAAGACTTTTTGACTTTGTCAGGAACCTCTATGTCAACGAAATTAAAAAAAAAAAAAAAAAGAATTGACTAAATTATAAAATGCTCTTATTTAAATTATGGCACTTGTTGTGTTTGGGTCGCTTTGACCCAGTTAGATTAATATCAAATAATTAGAGCAAAAACTAAAATCATAAGTACACTGTCAGGCACCACACTGACAGTCAGATCCTCTTTCAATCATGTTTTTACCTGCACAAAAAACAATGACGGGCATGTCCAGACATGTGAAATCAATTTAGTATAGATGTCTGTGTGAGGGGTATACTGACAAGTATGGACCATGGTATTACAAGCGACATTTTCATGGATAATGAAGCCTAACAAGGTAACCTAGAGATGAGAACCAAATTGGATAATAGAGAATTGTTTTTAGTGTAATTTGCAGCTGATTTAAGACACGGGTGAAACCAACCTGTTAACATAGTGGGTGCGAAGTAAAAGCTAATGCAGGAGGAAGGTTAAATGATCTGAAGAAGGATAAGTGTTGACATTAACATCTTGTGTGCGTCTCTCCTCTGTTTCAGACTCACGACAACAAAGAGCACTTGGCTATGATGGAGAGCGTACTGGGACCACTTCCTCAGAGAATGATACAAAGGAGCAGGTAACACACTCTTGCACACTGCTACACGCAAACACACTTGCTATTAAACTTTAATTACAAAGTTGATTTTCATTGACAGAAAGCAGAAGTATTTCCACCGGGGGCGCCTTGACTGGAATGAGAGCTCCAAGGCTGGACGCTACGTGAAAGCCAAATGCAAACCCCTGACGGTGAGCTGAAGCGAGGACTGAGTTTTAATACTTAAAACTAAGGACATTCAGATCCTGACACAACATTCCCTCTCTTTGTCTTTCCAGAAGTACTTGTTATCACATGGGACCGAACACCACCATTTTTTCAATCTCTTGGAGAAAATGCTAGAGTATGAACCTTCCAAACGCATCACTCTTCCGTCCGCACTCACTCACCCTTTCTTCGTCTATCAAGCACGCTCAAAAGTCTGGAGGAACAGTTGTGACATGAGCAGATGACCTTAGACCCCATAATGAGTATTGCAAATTTCAACAAGTCATCTGCAAATGACTGCAAATCACATTTTTTTTAACAAAAACATTTAATCAGAAAACAACAGCTGAGCAGGATAGAGAGAGAAAGAGCAAACAACAGGGAGAGTCAACTCTGGCAATAAGAACCCATTTTGGGATCAATCCAGTTCCATCTGATTTTGGACCGATGTGAACTTGAACGAGATTCTTGATGCAAAGACCGATAAACCAAAAAGACTACAGGGGGGCATGCAGTAACAGATTTATAGGAATGATGGGAAGTGATCAGCTATGGGGCAAATTGAAGATTAAAGGGATATTCCGGCATAGAATTTAGGGTTAAACACACCGTAACACCGAGTTAGACAACCCCTCGAGAGATGAATGTTGCCGATCGCTGCTTCTCTATTTATACCAACTTTAGTAACGACCACATGATAGCAATACACAGCGGTCTGAGGAGGGCACACATAAACCTCAACCGAAACGCCACTCTATAGCCACAAATAATGTTCAGAACGGCACCTAACTTCATCAACAGTACATATAGAGTCCTAGCCACAGTACTAGCCACCAAACATCTTTTTAACTTTGCCTAATTTCTTTAGCAAAGAGACTTAACACAACTCACCTACTCTCTTCCAGCAGCTGTTTGTTTACAGCGAGACCTTGGACTCGTCCATAACTCATTGTCCATAAGTCCATAACTTGCTATTGTGTGGTTGTTACTAAAGTTGGTATAACTGGAGAAGCAAGCTGTCAGCAACATTCATCTCTCGACTGGGTGTCTAACTTGGTCTTACAGTGTGTTTGACCCTAAATTAATTTTACGCCGGAATATCCCTTTAAATGTTCAGCCGATTGAGTAGTGAATTTAAAAGGAGGAAATCTCATATGATAAAGATATGAAGTGTCAAAATGATATTACTGGACATGGCATAAACATCTAGGAACAAATTTTTGCCACATAAGGAACTGGAAACAAACTGTGAACATAAATCTGGTGTGGCATCTAAAAGTGATTTCATGTACGTGTAAGAAAACAGTTGCCTGTTTACACACTTTGCAGATACAAGGCAACTTTGGAGTCGTGTTTCTGTCCATCTTTAGAAGCAGTCTGGAACTGTGGCCACATAAGTGGAGACTGAGTTAAAAAAGAAGCATATTATCAGTCGTCCAAACTTTCTTTTAAAAGTTTATTGTGGTATGTTTTTTTATTAGAGAAATGGGAGAGTGTACAAAATGAGACACTTGGAAGAGAGAAGATGGTATAACATGCAACTAGGACCTGTCTAGGCCTAGGGTGGTTAAACTGTAAGCCAAGCTGGTGCTCCGGCAAATAAATTTTTTGTTGACCATCAAAAACCTGGGACAAAGAAAATCCTTTTTTTCTGATCTTTTAAGGTAAATAAACTTGAAGCAGGGTAAAAAGGCATAACAACAAACTACTGGGACCTGGTAGATCAAATCTTTCTTAGATTGAAACACACAATAAAATTCAGTTATAAGAATAATCATTTATATTTTTTCTAATAAAGCTTGTATGAAATGACAGCGTAGCTCACTCCTTATGTTCTGTTGTTATCACACTGAGTACAGTCCATCTGTAAAGGTCTCACACACACACACACACTCTACTCTCATTACTGCCTTTCACTTACAGCTGGCCTCTGGCATGTTGATTGAGTGGGAGCAGCAGAGCAGAGAGCATGGCTACAAGGCTGAGCGAGAGTGAGCACTGGACAGCTCGACTCTAAGGCCTTGAAAGAGCCGGGAACATTTGTGATCAGATGTTTTGAGGGCATCGTTGGCTGAATGCGACCTGAAGTGCACACGTGTTAGTGAGGGAGTTTTATGAATTTGCATGCGCAGTATTTAAGCCGGGGTATGCAGGTATACACATCATCTTTGTTCTTGGCTGTTCTGAGTTAACTGAATTTTAGGTGGTCGATGAGCATAAATGATGTTTCTGTTTTTAGAGTTAATTCTGTGGCTTTATATCTTCTCATAATAAAAAAGGAAAGGGGAAAGAGCAGGAAAAGAGGAAGAGAGATGATGGGATGATGAGCAGCTGGAACCTACAGGTTATCAAGCCCAGCTGCCCACTCTGTTTTAAATATAAAGTATAATCAATTACTCATATTCACTTTCTTTACACTTGGCTTTCTCATCAATATCATCAACATTTACAAGCTTTTTAGAAACTTGTGTGTTTAAATCACACCATAAAACCAAGAAAAAAATCCCCCAAATTCAAAATCGGACTGTTAATTCAGTACAGCCTGGAGTTCAGTGTTTTTAAGAGTAGATTTAAAATAATCACAATTATCAGACAAGAAAAAGCTGGATCAAAGCTGCCAACTCCATATGGAAACAACACACAAACAGAGAAGAGGAGGAGGCTAAGGCTTCCACTAACGAGCTAAAATCCTCTGGTATAACATACTGGGTCTGCACCAGTGTTGGTCCAGAGGGTCTGGAGAATCCATGTAAGTGCAGAAATTTGATCAACTCGTCAATGTGTCGACAATAATCTGCAATAGACCTTACAAACTAGAGCCATGTGATATTTTGAATATGATTAAAAAATAAGGTAACACCTTACAATAACCATAACTTATAAATGGTAAATAGACCATTTATAAATAGTAAGCTGATAGTTTATTTATGTTTAATCATCATTTATAAATAGCATATTGACCATTAATAAATTGTAAATTTTAAAGTTTTAAAAACCTCAACCTAACCCTTACCCTAACTTTACAATGACCATCTGAGTAATGTTTATAGGTGGTTTAAAAACCAAATATTAACCATTCACAAAGTGCTACTGACACACATTTAAATCTAGATGTTTCACAACCAATGCTTAAACCCTATATAAACCTTTAATAAATAGTCTATTAATAATTAAAAATTATTAATCATAATTTCATTGCTCGTTGATGGTAAAGTAACTATTAACTTACATTAATAAATGATCTATTTGCCATTTATAAATTATGGTCATTGTTAAGTGTTACCAAAAATAATAAACAGTAACATTTCTGCCTCTTTGGTATGAGAGGTCTCTTTTGGTTGTTTTAGTATTGACAGAGATTCGTTGAACTTAATTTACCCGGTTTATTTAAAGCCACACTCTCTATTTTCTTATATTTGGTTCTTGCAAGCTTTAGTTTTCTCTGTTTAAGGACACAGTAATGGTTAAACTTTAGCTTCTGAACAAGACACACCTCTCAGCCCATGTGTGTATGACTTTGTGTCAGTGGCTTTGGGTCACGTGTCGGATACTTCCACCTGGGGATCCTTTAAGTGGTTCTTACTGGTGGGCTTGCATGGAAGCACTGGTTCAATGTCACACAACCAGACACAATACAGCGGATTTAACAAAGAGGGGATTGTCGTGAATAAGCAATGAAACGTGATTCACATCAGGTTTTTTAAAAATGATGCCTGATATTATCAATTAGAGGATAGAACTTAATTTCAGATGTGTGGTGGGTAAGGCGCTCTTTTTCTGTTTCTCTTTTATGCATGAATCTGATTCATACCTGCTGACACTGGTTCAGCTCAGCCTCGCTCTCCTGAGTTGTATCAGCCTTGGATGAGTAAACTGATCCTAGATATGTCAGCGAACACATGCTGGAGCAGGCGTGGCTTCCCTACGTAATCCCATTAAGGGATTTAGGAGTTCTCACCTGCCAGAAATCAAAGTGGTGGGCAACAGGGGGGAAAGAAGAGGAAGGGAACGAGGGGTTAAGGGTTTAAGTGGGCTAGTTAAGGTGTCCAGAAGGTGTGTGTGTCTGTGATGTCAAAGCCAAATAGGTTATTGGAGCAGGTTATAAAGGTGTGTTGTTTATTAACATCAAATATGCCATAAGAAAATCAGGAGAAAAAAATACTGAAAATCAACGTACTGATCTATTCTACTTATATATACAGTATATGACTTTCAAAAGAAAAATGTGTGTATGTTTCATCCCACAGTTACATAAGAAGGAAAAACAACTTTCTCACATAAAATGCAGAGACATAAACCAGCAACATATTGCAGCAGGGTACACTCCAACATTAAAATGACGATAAATATTAAACATACACAGATGATCACTATTGCCTTTAACAGAAAAAAGGAGCTTGAATGAGTTTTGTCCTCATGTCAAAAGAAAGAAAAAGATCTAATTTACTCTTACTCCTTAATAACACTCTTGAAATGATAATAAAGGAAAGGAAATCTGAGCGAAACTGAGTGGAAACTCCATATTACATGCAAAAATCTAAAAACTAATCTTGGATAAATTTGTGTCAGAGGCGATGACAATGAATTTTGATTTAAAAAGACTAGTCCAGACACTTCTCGGAGTAGGATTTAGCTGTTTTTTTTCTGACGCCCTATGAAACTATATATATACATATATTCAATAATATATAACATCTATACAATAAAACTGTCTGTATAAAAATGATGTTTGGTGTAACTGATGTTTTTACAAAAGCTGTTGGTTTAAATTTGTGTCATCAATTGGTTTCCTTTTACATGTTTAAATCTCGGAACTGTTGATTAATATAGGACCCAGTATGGAACCCTGTGGGACACCATTTTTATATTCAGAATAAATGGGAAAAAACATCAATTTAAGAATGATGCAACAAATAGTCAGTCACTGATTATTGATGAGAACTTCAAAGAAAAGTGTGAAGACCTTCAGTATAACAATGATAGAGCTGATAGAACAAATAGTCAGTCACTGATTATTGATGAGAACTTAAAAGGAATAATGTAAACACAACTTGTATATATTTCAGACTTACATATATTTCAGAGTTAATTAATAAAAATGTACAACTACAGCTAACTGAAAGAGGGGACTGGTACAAACAGGTAATGGATTTTAGAGTCAGTAGTAGTATTACAGATAATTTTCTCTGTGTCAACTTATACTTCTTTTTAAAAAGCTTTACACAAAAACATGTGGTTCAATCCTGCTATCAAAACATTGTAGTATTTTCTAATAGCATGCTAATGTCTAATACAAAAACTTACAGTAAGAGGGGTGTTAATATTTTTATTATTTCTCCCTGTTGTAATAGACAAATATTTTCACTGTTTTGAGAAACATTTTTTGTTTTTGTCAGATTTTTTTAATGTAACATCTGAAACAGTTTCATTTCTTCATTAAATTAATGGACCCACTAGATTTCTACAGTTTTAGCCTATAAATCCCTGTAATGCACTTAGTGTAAGTGACTCAAACAATGTAACATGATGTAAAGTTGCACTATTATTCGCACAGATAAAGAAAAATGGGTTCTGCATCTTTAATCAGCCTCAGGTTTTTACTGAGGGAGAATGACTTTCCTCTATTGGTTTTTTTTTTTTTTTTTTGTATTTTGTGCAGCTTTATTTTCCTTATCTGTCCACGACTCAGACACTGCAGACTAAGACCAGATTCTTTCCTCTGAGGTGTCCCTTTGTTTCATTTCCTGTCACCTCTTAAATCTATCCTTACCAGTGAATACCCGTGTGGGAAATTACAATGCACACAAAAACATCCACCTTGAGAACCAGCTCCTGCTATAGCTTTGCAGCCCTTTTAGAGCACAAATGTGAGTCTAAACATAGTAACATCGCTGATGTCAGAAGTGTGGATGTAGCATGTGTCACTCAACATGACATGAGCCAGCATCTGTAAATCTTGATCACAAACACGTGAGTCATTGGGGGCATTCCCTGCCATGGCTAACAGGATTCTGCTCATTAAGACTTAAGTGGTAATCTGCATAGAGGAGCTGGGAGGATTGAAGAAAGGAGTGAGTCTAGAGGAAGGAACCAGAAGAAGAGGCTGAAACCTGGACAAACTAGCAGCCCGTTTCCCTGTGAGGGACAATGAGCGCCAGCACTTAAGAGTGTGAAGCTTTTTGTACTTTGTTTTCTCTGATTTGGTCCAAAGCTTCAGGAGATTTTAAGGTTGCGGTTGAGGCCATCTGGTTGGAGCTTTACTGGGATTTTATGCTGTGAGCTTCTGGGACAGAGGTAAGAAACCACAGGTCTGTCAAACATGTCAGTGGAGTGTGTGTGGACAAATGCTGAGATACGCCGTGTCCAAATAACATGTTTGAGTCTGACTCTTCATCAATGCTTCTTCCCTTCATCCATTTTTGTTACTCTCTTCCCTTAAAAAATCCCCTTAATTCTGTTTAAACTGTTGTGTGACCACAGTGTCAGTATGTCTGAGCCTTGTCTGTGCGCTGTCATTGTCCTTCTTGCGTCTAAAACTCATTTATTTCCCCTCAGGACCTGAGACTGTGTGTGTCCTGAGTTTGCTACAACATGAGCGAAGGAGAAAACCATAGCATACTCCCCCGTTATCTGTCAGAGGAGTAGCCGAGTCATATTCTTCCATCTGTCCAGTCCGGTCCAGTCCTGAGAGCTTCAGACCATCATGGAGTCCGTGGTGAGGGTGAAGAAGACGATGAGGACGCCAATCAGGAAGCTGACCAGCTGTGTGTCAGGGGTGAAGGAAAGGAGGTTGTGTGCCAAACGCAGGAACAAGAGAGGCAGAGGTGGGGTAGGACGAGAAGGATGCAACAGGATGGGGAGGAGGACCCCACCTCCACGAAGCGGACACTACAAGGACCCTGCAGTCAGCCGATCGTATCAGGCAGACCTGGAGAAGGAGAGGCAAGTTAAATGATAATGTAGAAATGCTACATTAAAGCACAAAGGATAGTTGAAAAAAGCACAAAAGAGTCTCAGATTTCTCAGTGTAAATGAAACCTTTTATTGCCAGTGAATAAAAAATGATGAAGAACTTTATGTAGTTGGCCAAATTAAAGCTCATTTCATTAAGTATTTTTTTTAATCTATGATGCTGCATCAAAGTTCTAGAATTATATTCTTTTGGCATGAATCAGAAGTCTGAAGTGGCAAAAAATGACGATAATGAAGTGGATAATCAGAGTTGTTTTCTGGTGAAGTGCTCAAAGAATACAAATCACTTCAGACACATGCTGTGCTGTTTAGTAAAAATGGTGTGTCCAAACTAACTCATAGCATTCTCACCTTAAATGGAAGCAATCTTTTAAAAAAACATATTTAACTGACTTTTAATCTTGGCTGATAATATTACCATATCTATATCACTAATTTTTTTCTAATTAGGTCTTTTATCCGACATGTAATACAGTGAAATTATTTCATACACTTCCTATCGGTGATGTCTTCAAATGACACATTTTGAATGTTGGTACTTTCTTTTGATTCTCAATGTGAAAAGGCAGCTGAATGTAGTCAGGTCAACAGAACAATTTTGCTGAAGCAGTGATGTTTTATTTCAATGATTTTGTGTTTTCTTGGTTTGTTGTGTTTACAGAAGGCTGCGGGAAGCAATGAATGCTCAGAAGAATGCAGAGAGAGCAGCTATGAGAGCTCACTTCAGGAGAAAATATCAGCTTTCTGAGGTCAGTACTTCCAGTAATTCATCTGTTGTTCTCTGAATTTCTTAAAAACTGGCAAAAGAGAGTTGATATCTGGGGCTCACCCTTTGTTTTGGACTCGGTTAAAAGTTGAACTTTGTTTTATTTTGGTAATTTTCTTTTTCCATTGAGTTGTATGGAGCTCATGGCTAATACTGGAGCACAAAAAGATTTATATTCTCTGTAGAAATATCGTTTTAGACACCCACTGAGCATTTTTTGGTCTTAAAGAGGTCTAATAGACGTCTAAATGTAGCCTAGACGACTGGTCTAAAATCAGACTACCACAGGTCTAAAAATGACAGATTTTTAGATGTCTAAATTTAGGCCAAGTTTAGACCAAGTCTAAATCTGGGCTGTATCTATACGACACTGTATATTGCTCACTGACTATTATAATTATTTTAAGAACTTGGAGATCAGTTATGCAACTCACAGTTTATTTTTGAAATAAATAGTTATCGGTCTGTTGCTCAGTGGTAGGTCTTCACCCATGGTAAAAACAGCAAAATGGCCTTGACAAGATTTAATGATGATGCCAGCATGTGGATGCTTTACTGCTCTTTTAGGACATGAGGTTTTAAAATAGCTCACCAAAGTCTGCATCCAGCAAAAATTTGTCTTAAACAAAAATGGTGGTATTAAAAAGATCTGTATTCACTGTATCTACAACAAATAAAAGAGAAACACCTTTACAGCAGTGAGTCATTCCAGAGAGACAACATCTATTCCAGAGAGAATCAATCAACACAACATGAAAACTCTTCACAGTCCCTTTAACAAAATAGCTACAAACAGTCTGTAAAATCTATCACACTCTGTCAAACATCTTTTAAAAATGAGCTAAAAGGATCTTATACATGCTGTAGAAAGTTGTAAGCTTTACTGGATGTTGTTTCAGTTTGAGAATTAATTGTAAATTAGATCATTTGGATCTTAAAAAGTTATATTTTCTGGGCATTTTTTGCCTTCAATGAAAGGACAGCTGAAGAGAAACAGAAAATGTAAAGAGTGGAGATGCGGGGAGGACATGCGGTAAGGGTCAAGGCTGAGATTCAAACCAACAACTGCTGCCAAGAGGAATAGTCCTTCTATTTCTGGAGTTCACACTAAAACTGCTTTGATCGCATCCCCTTATTTGGATATTTAAGTTATATCTTATCATTTGTTGTCAATCCCCTCCTTCCTCTCGGTCCCTCCTCATCATTAGGACTCCAAAGACACAAACCACCTGAGGTCTGTCGGAGGGAAAGTGTCGCTCCCCCACGAGTTGTCCAAGATCATTCACCCTGACACCAAAACCAAGGACAGCAGCTTCAATTTGTTGAAGGCTTTCCAAGGCCTCAATCTGAGCACAGCAACGCTCACAGGGAGGAAACACAGCAAGACATCCACTCCTTTACTAGCCAGTGGGGACACTTGTAAAGTCATGTGATCAATAACTGATCACAGTGATGATCAGTACGCTGCCTTCTGATTGTACATGACAGCTGCTACCACATAAACTTTACTAATTCAGTCCACATTCAGACTTTGGAGACTTTGTTTATATCTATTTGTTGTCTTTCATGTAACAGTAATAACTCTGTATGTACAGTAAACCCAGACAATTTTATATCTTATGTAAAACAAAGTAGGTCTTATTTTCAGTGGGTCGATTAAACCTGTAAATGTAGTGAATAATCTGAAAATAACCTTAAAAAATAAACAAGTCAGTGAAAGTTACCTCACAGTGGGTGTTATACTCTGATTTAATAATAATTTTATTGATTTGTAGAAGGCTGATTTAAGTTGTTGTATTATTAAGAAACATACGACACCCTCGCTATTTGAACTTTACTGTGGAAGGATTTGATCCCATTTTCAAACCCCATTAAAAAAAACCCTGTTTTTAAATCTAGTTTTTATTCTTATTTCATTATTGTACATCATGAAGGAAATACCCTCGCTAGTTTCTTTCTAGAGATCCAACAGGATGAGCTTCACACAAGTTAGGACACTCAGGACAAGGTGTTCACATCATCAACAAATATCTGTTTGTGTTTTTTGACCGTTCTCTGGTCTGTGAATTTGGATGTACAAACAAAATCATTTCTGTTTTAAGTTGTCCAGTTACCCTCTTGCTACAGTCAAGCTAGCATTAGATATATGTAAAAAAAGATAAACCAAAGCAGGAACTCACTTTAGACTTTTGAAGTTACAAAGAGTTAATACTTAGTGTGTTTTTAATTTGTTCATTAGCTTGTAATAAAGACTTGTTTGCCTAGCTGGACTCCCTCTTCTTTCTGTGGAGTGTGTGACTGTGTGTGTTGACATTTGGGCTCTGTTTTGGTTCTCTTGAACTTTGGCGCTGTGATCCATAAATCCTCATGTGCTATCAGTTCATTTGAACGATGGAGCACATTCAAGGATCCGAGGCTGCTGATGGAGGAGGGAAACCAGTCAGTCCAGTGAAGACACCAGTGAGGACGGGTGACGGGTGTCAAATCTCCAACATATCCTTTCAATATCATGAGGAACATGTTCATCCGAGTGACGGTGTGTTTCAGAGCACAGGGCACCTTTGGGTCCAGGAATAGTTGTAGTGTCCATCCACGAAGATTTCTTTGTATGGCTGCAGCAGAGACGGTCGTAGCTGACAGTGCAGGAGCAAGAAGAAGAGGAGGCATGGAAAGACAAGTGAAGAGCTTTGAGGAGATCCCTCACACAGGTAAGAACAGCTGGGTAAACTTGGTGAAGTTCTGGAAAGAGGATCGTTTTCGGCATCTCCACAAACACATGGAAAAGACCTTCATCGCTCTGGGCCCCATTTACAGGTACAGCTCGATTAACCAATAACCAGCTTGAATATGAAAAATGTGGAAAATCAAAGTTTAACCCAATTGTGTTAAAAGCACATTTCTGTGTGTGTATGTGTGTGAAGGGAGCATGTGGGGACCCACAGCAGTGTAAACATCATGTTACCATCTGACATCGGGGAGCTGTTTCGCTCTGAGGGACTGCATCCTCGACGCATGACCTTGCAGCCCTGGACAACCCATAGAGAGACCCGCAAACACAGCAAGGGAGTCTTTCTCAAGTCAGTGGCACACCTGTTTGTATGCATGTGCACTGCTCATGGATATCTGTAAATTTAGGGACCAAACTAACTTTTGGGGATGAAGCACAAAGTCCCCACTTTGAGTATAAATCAAGTAAAAGATAGGTTTGTGTTTTTTGTTTGTTTGTCTGTTTTTTGGCATGTTGTGGTTTTTGTAAAGACAGTCTGGTGTTGTGTCAGTCTTCTCGCCTCCATCAGGGATGCGTCTTTTTTTTAAAGTCGCAAAATCGCATCACACTTGATGTGTATGGTCAGGCGCGTCAAAATTCACCTCGGAATATTTTGTAATTTTGTGTCGTATATTTGCGTCGTTCCTGGTCTGTAAGGACCTTTAGCCTCCAGATCATGAAGGCACAGATTTCATCCCAGCATTTATACATCTTTGATATGTCAGTCTACACGTGTGTTTAGTATGTGAAAGCTCTCACAGATGAGGTTAGGTTCAGTTTGGTGGTTATGTCTCAGTACATTTGAGTAAAAGTACTAAAAGATGAACTAATTGGATTTATGAGTACGATCGATACAGATTATACGGATGATTACAACCTGTACCTTAGAAAACATGAAGTACAGGAAGAGAACATTTTGTAAAGCTTCTTCTCTAACCCATTTTCTTTGCTTCACAGTCTCATGCCGTTTTCTCTCCACAGGAACGGCGAGGAGTGGCGGTCTGACCGTCTACTGCTTAACAAGGAGGTGATGATGACTTCGGCCGTGAAGCGCTTCCTCCCTCTGCTTGATGAGGTGGCGAGTGATTTCTGTCGAATGCTGCGGGCCAGAGTGGAGAGGGAGGGGAGAGGCAAGGAAGGGGAACGCTGTCTGACCATGGATCCAAGTGCTGACCTTTTTCGCTTTGCATTGGAAGGTCAGAAGTCGTCATTCCCGGTGGTTTTTCATCTCAGGTTTCCTCCAGTGGTCTCATGTTTGATTGGGCTGTTGAGTTAAAGTTTAATTTGGAGGACGTTAAACAAATTCTGCTTCTTCTGTGGAAGAGGGAGTGAAGTGTGAAGAGTGGGGTCTCCCACCTCTCACTGTTAAGTCTGGTTTTCATTCAGCTATAACAGACACTTCAGTCCTTTTTGAGGAGTAGGAAGGGGAGGTTATGGGTTGATGTCTCCGGGTTGACTCACAAAAGCTGACGTATGTTTGACACCGAATTACGTCAGAGAAATAAAACAATCCGCAGAAACATCCCTTTACATTTCCAAAGACACCTTTCCCAAGTTACATCTCTGCTTACGTCTTACCTTTTTACCCTGACATAAATCAACTCACAGGAGACTAATTCTCAATTTATCCGGGAACATGGATCTTTAAAAATAGAAACGCCAACAAAGAGGATAAAAGCATCAGCATTTTTTCACCACGCCGGCTCCTTTCTTGTGCCTATCTGCAGCCAGCCACACTCACAAGTGTGAAAGCTTGTGTGAGTCAGACTGCTGCACACTTATGTGGATTTGTGTGTTTGTGTGTGTGTCTGTGTGTGTGTATAGGGGGGGGGGGGGGGTGACTTTGAGTCATGCTGCTTTACTCTTAATGGACCACGACACACCAGGCCAGGTGCTAAGCCAGGATAGAAATAGGCTGCCAAGAAACTCTATTCCAGTCGGTGATGTGCAGTCAATATGACACAAATGGGTCTGATGGATGATGGATGTTTTCCTGGGTCCAGATCTTTGCATGTGTCCACTCCGCTGATTTGATTTCACTGTTTGTCGGGCATTATGGCATGAAACCGGATTTTTCGTCTGCTAGAAAGGTAATCAATCCAATAGGCTCAGCTGGGGGGGAGTTAATAATTAGCCAACCAGAGCCAAAGCTGGGATTTAATCCAGTATCCACTTCTTATTCAGTGAACAACAGGTTCTGTTTGATATCTGTTCGACGTCTTAATTTGTTGTGTTTGGTTGAAGAGGTGAATATTCTGCAAAAGCAGTTTGATTTTATGGCCATGTGTCGGCTAAGATGTCTGTGTGATGTGAATTAGTTGGAAAAAACAGGACCCCCTCCTGAGGAAGCCTTCATCAGGGTTCAAGCCTGTTTGACTTAAAGGTGGGGTAGGCAGGATTCTGTTAAAGAAACAAGCTTTTGATATCAGTCAATAGCTATTAGTTATTGATGACATTTGGTAATAAAACGATATCGCTGTGTTCTCTTATGTCTGTATGGTCAACATTTTAGAATTTTGGAGCGTCCTGCTCATTCTGACTGTAAACACAGCCATTCTCCACCTCCCCAACTTGATTGGTTGTGATGCGGATGCTGCTCCCTCGTGTTGTGGGGCATGCTCCACGTCCTCTAATAATGTTCACGAGCCCAAACAAAGTTAGCGTGCTACAACATCGGAAAGTAGAAACCAACCAGAAAATAAGGAAAACTGTCTGAATCCTCCTTTGGCCACGACTGCCAACACAAGCAAGAGAAAGAAGTAAACGCCAAAACTCTGGCAGGTAGAGCAGACAAAAGCTAAAAAGACGGGTCAACATCCATGGAGCTAGCATACACGATGGGGGTCGCTTCAGGATCTTACGGACCCTGTAACCTCTCTGCTGGACCGGTAAACTGCCTTTAGTAGGCAAAGTGTCTGTAACAGAAGTATTTCTTGTCAAACAGGATCTGCTGTAGCATGTTGTAGCGCTGCTAAACTGTTGACCTCGGGTCCTGGACTATGTCACTTTATCCTAGTTGTAGAAGTCCTGCAAACATTGTGTTTGTTGGTAGTCTGTTGGCATCTACAGTAGCACCAATGCTTTTTACTTTCACGTTGACTGGGCCCCATTTGTAATGATCTTAAGTATTTATCTGCATTATATCTGCAGTTAACTGGAACGATATGAGCTAGCAGGAGCGTCTGTTTGTGGGCGGGGCTTGTTGGAGCAGAGAGGGAAGCGGAAGGAGAGGAAGGGTAGTGTTTACATTCAAGATTTCCCCAAGTACTGGCATTTCCTCAGATCCTGCCTTCCTCACCTTTAATGCTAATTTAAAGTTAGGGATCCACCTGAAATTACAATTGTTATATCAGCTGCCTGTAAAAACATCCAGTCACCCCTTTCTGAGAGATTAAAACTCTATGCTAGGACTGTTGAGGACCTGTGTTTGGGACCTGTCCTCTAAGGCCCTGTGAACACGCTTTAGGCTCATATTGATGAGAATGAAAGTTTTAGGTACATTTTGAGATATTTTATAACCAGACTCAGACTTTGCCACAGACTCCGATGGAGGCAGCTCCTCTGAGACAGAGTGGAGTGTGCACTCTGAAAGCAAAATCAGCCGTCTGCTTTAGAGCTACATTTGAAAAAGCACAACATATTTTCTGGCTGTCACAGACACAGTTTTTGAGGGGGGTTATTTTAAGATATGTCAGCTCATAGTACTGTGTAATCCTCATATTTCAAGCTTGAAAATATGAGCCTCATGGAGTATGTTAATCTGCTTAGAAAACTGTCACCCTCTAGTTCATTTTCCTGTAAAGCCTTTTAGAGATCATTTGAAAGTAGTCTAAGCATTTTTAAGTATTTGGTCGATGACCTTGAAACTCTTGTCTCACCCTCATGCACCCTACCCTCCCTCCTTTTCTTCCTCCTTTCCTCCCCCCTTTCCCCTTGTCCTTTCCTCCCTCCTTTCAGCCAGTTGTCATGTGATCTACGGGGAGCGTATTGGCCTCTTTTCCTCGACTCCCTCAATGGAGTCACAAAAGTTTATCTGGGCCGTGGAGCGAATGTTGGCCACCACCCTTCCTCTCCTTTACCTGCCCCCTCGCCTGCTGCTCCGTATCGGTGCTCCCCTGTGGACACAGCACGCCAGTGCATGGGACCACATCTTCAGCCATGGTAGGAGGAGCCGCAGGCAAAGAATCATTTTCACTTACCTGTGGATTTTAGTTTATCTCCTCAGTGTTACTGTCCTGGTTTTCTTCCAGCAGAGGCAAGAATTCAGAGGGGGTACCAGCGGCTATCATCCTCGAAGAGGAAAGGGCCTGAGGCCGGAGCAGCTGAAGGCCAGTTCACCGGTGTTCTGGGGCAGCTTCTGGAGAAAGGCCAGCTATCTTTGGACCTCATCAAAGCCAACATCACTGAACTGATGGCTGGAGGGGTTGACACGGTGTTTGCACCTGTGATTTTCGGCTGTATTTAAAACTCATGTCTTTATGTGATTGACTCTGTGTAACCTCGTATTAATCCTCTCTGCAGACAGCGATTCCCCTGCAGTTTGCACTGTTTGAGCTCGGTCGAAATCCGGAGGTACAGGAGAAGGTGAGGCAGCAGGTGAGGACGTCATGGTCACAGGCTGGAGGGGATCCTCAGAAAGCCCTGCAGGGGGCGCCACTACTGAAAGGCATAGTGAAGGAGACTCTCAGGTACGAATCACTACAGAGGCATTATTAACCTATTTTTGTCACCCAGGGAGATTTCTGAACACTCACCACAAAGTCATCTCACCAACTCTACAAGGATATCAGAATTCATGATTTATGTTTTAAAAAAGCCATCTCGATTACATATGATCAAACTCCCTCAGCTGACTTGCAGTGCATTGGATACAAAGACCATCGAGAAGTTTAAGCTTCACTTTGTGAAACTTTACTTTGACTTGGAGCGTAAACATTTCACATGCCAGAGTGATGGATTAAAGAAGAGAAAAACAAGCTCTGCCTCTGGATCAATAGAAAAGGAAGATGTGCTCTGGGCTTTGGAACTGGAGTCCACAAGTCTGTTTCTGTTACAAATGTTCAAATATCACAAATGAGAATTGATTTCCAGTAATCCTGAGGTCTAAAAGGAGTCAGAAGAGAAAAGCTTGTTTTTGTTGTTTCAGGTTATATCCAGTGGGGATCACAGTGCAAAGATATCCTGTCAGGGATATTGTTCTTCAGAATTACCACATACCTGCTGGAGTAAGTGACCAGAATGAAACTCTCTCCTCAAATTCTTTCACATGCCAACATCGACGTACATCTGATGACACGTAACTCTCCCTCAGACGATGGTCCAGGCCTGTCTGTACCCCTTAGGCAGGAGTTCGCAGGTGTTCGAGGATCCACAGCGCTTTGACCCTGGCCGGTGGAGCAGCAGCAGCAGCAGAGAAGAAGGCCAGAGTGTGGAGGGGGCAGGCTTTCGCTCTTTGGCGTTTGGGTTCGGGGCGAGACAATGTGTCGGACGGAGGATTGCTGAGAATGAGATGCAGATTTTCCTAATGCATGTGAGTCACGGCAGATACGTGAAGGAGGATGAGGACTGAGATCAGACCTGATACGACTGGAAAGAAAAAAAAGTGTTCAAAGTGGTGTTGAGGGAAAAGATCAAAATGACAGATTTAAACGTCTTGTTAAGCAGTCATTAAGTATAATTCAAGCCGAAGTATCACAAACAATTACAAGTTTCTAAAGCTGACTTTAACAGGAATCTGCCTGTGTGTTGCATTTTAATACTCTAGTTTTATCTGTTAGGTGTCAGTGTTTCAGCATGCTGAGGTGGAGCACCCTTGAACTATTACGTACAGAGTTATGTAGTTTGTCCAGTGGTTACTGACCTGCAGGTCTCGGCCCCTCTAAAGAGCAGTAAAGGGCAGTAAGGTTATCAATCAGTGAGACAGAAAAAAAAAGTCAAACTTCACAATTCGTGTTTACTTTTGAGACTTTTCTGCAGTATTTTTTCTTTAATAGAAAACTGGACATTTCGACTGTTCGGGCCTCCAGCAGGGATTTAAATGGAACCATATAAGACATCCTGAGGGAGAACCTTTTTTTGTTCAGAAAGTTCTGTTGTAAGATTTCAGTAACACTTTATTTGACGCCTGTCTGTATAATGCATTATAAACATATGTATTATGTGTTATAATCAAGTTATAGCACTTTATTACTATAGTTATAAACACCAATAAATGATCATAATGCTTCATAGCAATAATCATAACACATTATAAAGCATTTTATCATGACTCACAAGATCAGGTATTATAATGTGTTATAACTGTTAACAACTCACATAGATGATGCAATGCAACTGTTGTTAACAGTTATAACACTTTATAATACCTGACCCTATGAGTCATGATGAAATGCTTTATAATGTGTTGTGATTATTGCTATAAATCATTATGATCATTTATGAGTGTTTATAACTGTAGTAACACAGTGCTATAACGTGATTATAACACATAATACCTATATTATACGTTATACAGACAGGCATCAAAGTGTTACCAAGATCTCAAATATAAAAGAAAAGGGGGATAATTTATGCTCATATTTCCAATCTGCAGAGTCACTTTTAACAGGATTTAACAGGATCTAAAGATCTACCAGAGCAGTAAAATGTCTCCCTGAATCAGTCGAGTGTAGAAGTATCACAGGTCACGTTTCGTTCTTAATATATTCAGATATCTTCTTGCACTGCTTTCAAGTAACACAGAACTATGATCCTTCTTAACATCAGCTCTACTTCTCCACTTCCTCTCCCCTCCTCCTTCCTCGCCTCCCTTTATCCTCCCTTCCTCTCTCTCCGCCCTCCTTGTCTAGATCCTGCTGAGCTTCCATCTCAGCGTGTCGTCCTCAGAGGACATCAAAACCACATACACCCTCATCCTCCAGCCTGAGATGCCACCAAGGATCACTTTCAGAAAGCTCTGATGCAAAACCACACACAGAGGGGTTCATGAAATTATCATTTTTCATAGTTGATTCTGACATTCAGCCTCTGTGTCTCTCCTAAACAGAAACCACCAGATCTCTTACAGTAACCTCTGCAGCTACCACAGAGCTTTTCTGCATCCTCACACACTTTGCATTTACCAAGAATAAATATGATGAATAAAGTCACATCTCCTCCTCCTGTTTTCTTCGTGACAAAACTTAGAAAAGCAACATTTAGACTTCTTTCCACCAGATGGCGGTAAAATTCACTCCAGGTCAGTAATTTGTGTTTGTAGAGTTCGTCCCTCCACACCTACACTTTATTAGACCCGCTCTGCTTCATGGATTCAACAGGTCTGTCTTTTACTTTCTAAAGATCAAACTTATTCACTTCCTTTCACTCTGAGACTGTGAGCTGTCTGTGAGTGCAGTAAGGCCAGACTCCTCAGACTGGACTGTCTTGTTCTTGGAAATGTTTAGTGGCTCTTTTTTCAGGTTTTCTTAAATTGCCGTTTGTTTCTGTCACTCTGCCACATATTGATCTCTCTGCTTTTTTCTTCTTTTTCCAGTTGATTGCTAACAAACTCTATCAAGTGGCTTAATTTTTTCCAGAAACAGCCAGCATACCCAGGGTTTGAAAAAAGTAGCTGATGTTGGGGGTTCAAAGCAAAAAACTTTACTGCTAGTGCTGTGTCTAAGTGCCTTTATTTAACTGTTTCTTAATGTCAAGTATGTCAAATTTAAGTTGTATATTATACTGCTGTACTCTGAGCTCTATGTGTAAAAGCGACCTTTACCCCAGTCTGGTAATAATAATTGCTGTGCTATTATACCATACTGGGTGTGTGCTGCACGAAGCCGAAGGCTGCAGGGTAGATTTGTCAGCTCAGGAGCAAAGGTCTGTTTGTCCTCCAGCTAACGATTTACACCCTCTGTCAACCCTCCTGGGTTCATGTGTGACGGCGCACACTGCACAGTCACTGACTGCACCAAAGAAGAGGATGCAGCTTCCTGGTTTGCAGAGTGAAGACTCTATGGAAGTCCCACATGCATTCTTATTCATGGCCAGCAGGGAGCAACTACACCAGTAGCTATATCTCGAACTAAGTTTAAAGCTGCTGCAAGGAACTTTTGGTTTGTTCCGGTTCTGCCACCCCCTGTGATACCACTTATCTCTAGTCTTGTACATGTAAAATTAATCTTCTCAGACAGAAACCTCATGCTGTTGTCTATTTACAGTGAAAATTATCATTCACTTTTAGTATTTGCAATATAATAAAATGTAAAGGTTTGAGCCTTTGCAACTAAGGCAACAGCACTCTTGGCAAAATATGGTCATTTTTGGCCCCAAAGAACCAAGATTCAGTGATTTAAAAGGCTTTTTATGGATTAACCAAAGATTTCAGGATGATCACAAACACTTATAATGGCAAAGACTTAACTCTCCAGATTGCAGCTCCAATGCTGGTCTTACACCATGTTTTCTCTAAACTTTTCCTACAAAGAGACTCCTTACCAATACGACACAAATGGTAAGAAGCTGTACCTGATGAAAAAGATATTGTGATATAAAGTTAATTATTTATAAATATAGTAGGAGACCGTAAATTGGTTTGCCAAGTTGAAGTTGATGTAGGAGATTATTTTCCCACTATGTAGTTCCTCTGATAGACTGTCCTCTGACCTCCTGCTTTCTGCCTCAGACCATGTGACCCAATATTAAGTCATGAATAACTCATTAACATCTTCAACCGCTGACTTGAACTGCTAGAGGAAGTGTTTATTAGTGAGTTATTAACATTCATTTCTACAGAGGATTTACTTCCTGTTGGTAAGACAAGGAGAACTTTAAAAAAATAAATGAAACCAACATTTCTGCACACACTTGCTCCTGAACATGCAATAATAAGAAAGAGGGGAAAAAAATTGGCAATTTTGCGAGGGAAGTCCCTGTAAAATCAAGAGGACCCTTTTTGTCAGAGGATCAATCATTATGTGACTGATAGTCTTGGCAAAGATTGAAACAGTGTTGAAATTCTGGCACAGATCCTTCCTTTCTATTTTTAACGGGGTCAACGTGTCAAACTCCAGGTTGGGATGACATAATCTGCAGTGATGCATCAAAATCAAATGTATGTCACTGTCCTATACTTTGCCCTAAAGGTGTCAAGTCAACATAAACTTTCAGAGTCTTTACATTTTTAAGTATCATCCTGGCTGAGTCATGCTTAGCTAATGATGCTTTGTCATCTAAAATCAAGTCTGTGTTGCAAGCAGTGGCCTTCCTCCGAGTGGTGCGAGTGGGAGGGAAGATGAGATGAAGGGGGGAGAAGAGGGGTCATAGGGTCACAATGAAAGGGAGAGGCTGAGCCATGCATGTTCAGGTGACATTACTCCAGGAGTCCACAACCTGAGCACGAGCAAGGATAAAACAAGGGACGAGACCTGCAGACTTCTCTTAATAGTCCTTTAAATTATTACCAATTACAGAGGGAGGAACTGCTCGACTGTGGATTTGTATCATAAGAAAAATGGATAAAAATATCAGAACTGGTAGGTGAATGAGTGATTTCCTTCTAGATTAAGAGCACAAAATAATTTTTGTGAACTATTGCAGAATTTGTGGAGCATTAATGAGCCAAAAGTGACTGTTTTTAATTATAACTGGTGAGAATTAAGAAGCTTTGTATCCTCCTTATTCCTGTGGCTGATCTTTCATTTTTCCCAAAGCTCTCACAATATGATTGCAAAGTATCTACTTACTTAAATCTATTAAATTCCTCAGTGTCTCATTTATTTAATTGGTCATATATTGATCTACTGTTCTGTGCTTTTGAACTTTAGTGCCGAGTCATAGTTTGAAAAAAAATCTGTTCCCCAATCGATTTCACTCACACACAAGCTGACCTGCAAATGTTCCTGCAGGAATGTGACCCTCTGCAAACGGGTCCCACCAATCAACCGGTTCACCTCTCTTATCAGTCATAAAAGTGTGCATGCATTGACACTGTGCAACTGTCTTTGACCTGACGTCTGCTTTATTTATAGCCAGCCTTCCAGTAACAGGTACCTGTACATGTGTGTGTGTGTGTGTGTGTGTGTGTGTGTGTGTGTGTGTGTGTGTGTGTGTGTGTGTGTGTGTGTGTGTGTGTGTGTGTGTGTGTGTGTGTGCACGCTGTGAGATGTGTCAGAGGAGGATCTCAGCGGGACACGTAATGATGTGTGCAGCAGTGAGGCAGAACTGGGTCACAGGGAGGTAGACAAAGAGAAAAAGACACAGAAAGCTACTAAATCCACAGGATGTAGGAGCGAGCCATTAACACGAACCTGTCTCCAGTTTCCCCTGCAGACATCAAGCTTTGATATATTTTCTATTTAGCGTGTCCTCTCACTAAAGAGTGCTTTGACTTTTTGGCAAACAGTTGTGATATTGAAGGCAAAAAGGTCTGACAGGAAGACAAAATCTTAAACAGTTGATGAAAAATTAACAAAAATGTTGTTGTTTTTTCAACCTCTTTGATTAATAGAAATCCTTGTTGCATTCCTCCTCACTCTCCAGTCTTCATCCTCTCCTCCTCTTCTGTCTTCATCCCTTCACACCTGTTGCTGTGACCTCCTCTCGTCCTCTCTTTCTCTGGTCAGTTCTCTGTCCTCTTCCCTGTGGGGGCAGAATTTGAAGGTGCATCCGACTGTGATATCCTCCAAAATACTTCCATTTGTCCTGGCTAGAAGTGTCCGCTCAGGTTTATTGCATCAGTACTGACATGTGTAATAGCACAGTACGATATACTGTCATCTGTAGCTGTATGATTCAGGATATAAAAGGTAAAAATGTGGACTTTTTTAAGTGGGCTATAATTTACTAGTTTCGAGAGACTTTGTTTTGGGTAGGGTTTGAAGATTGTTGATGAATTGATAGGAAACAGATAGATACATTAGTATTTTTAATAGAATAATGATTTTAACCCTCTGGGGTCCTTAAAAAAAGTTACGTTGGGGTCCTTCGGTGGACAAAAATGTCCATCGAAGGACCAAAACCTAACTTTAAAAAAAAAAAAACTGACAATACATAAAAATAATAATCCATAAAATTTAATGTTGTTGTTATTTCTTGACATATCACAGTCCTTGATTAAAAAAAAAATTTAAAAAAAGAAATTCCTGTCCAGCATCAAATATATGGAAAATGACTCCAAATTCCTTTTTTTCCCATTAAAAATGTAATCAAACTGGTATTTAAAGGGTTAAAATTCTGAACATAAATTAATATTTGATCGATATGATCAGGACTGAAGTTGATTAAAAGATTTAAGCAAAAGAAGTGGAAAAAAAATTATATAATATTTCTATAGCGCTTTTTTTTATCTCCATGTTTGATTCTTGATTCATCCTGTTCACACTGTTTTTCTTACCACTTCCTGCATGTAGCTGATTTGTATTCACAGGTGGTCTTGGCTGTGGAGCTTTATGGCCGCCTCAACCCCACTGACAGCATTTCTGTGTCTATCTAGCTCGCATCAGGCGCTACTCAGAGTTGATGACACTTCCAGACTCCTTCATTCAACGCCAGCAGTTGGACGCCAGCATGGCCGACACCTTCCTCGAGCACCTCTGTCTGCTGGACATCGACCAGGAGCCTATCACGGCACGCAACACCAGCATAATCTGCACCATTGGTGAGTGTGACCAGCGGGCACAGACAGTAAGTCTCAGATTCAAGTTTGTTTTCTGGCGTCTGATGTAAGTCGTCACTGGCAGCGTGTCAGACTGGGTGCTGGGTGGCCTCGAGTGTGTTGGCAGGGTTTGATTCTTGACTGTGGCTCATCGGAGCTTGGCCTGTTCTTCTTCTGCACAGAAAGAAAGAGAAAATAATTAGGAGAAGATACATGATTCAAATTTCTTTTCAGCCGCTCCAAGTTTCAGGATCTCCAGAAATCGCCTCTGCTGGAAAACACAGTTATTTCCTGACTGCCAGGTGAAAGACTTGTTTCCAAAATGTTCAAGTAGGAAATCTAAGTTCAAGCTTATATGACTGGTAGCCTTAACATCATTTATAATAATAATAATAACAACTTAGTTTTATATAGCGCCTTTCAAGTAACCCAAGGTCGCTTTACAAAAGGAGATGGGGCTAGGGGATAGAGGAGAGAGGAGGGGAGGGGGTAGAAGTGGGGGTGGGGGGCGGTGTGGTTAAGGACCATAGGCTTCAGTGAATAGATGTGATTTCAGATGCTTTTTGAACGTAGCCAGTGTGGGGGCCTGGCGGAGATGGAGGGGCAGACTGTTCCAAAGGGTGGGGGCAGCAACACAGAAGGCCCTGTCACCAAAGGTCCGTAGCCTGGTGTGGGGAATGACAAGCTGGTCCTTGCCAGAGGACCTCAGGGACCTTGATTGGGAGTAATGCTGGATGAGATCAGAGAGGTACTGGGGAGCAAGAGCATGGAGGGATTTGTATGTGAGGAGTAGGATTTTGTAGGTGATGCGTAGCTTCACTGGGAGTCAGTGAAGCTGCTTGACTTTGGGGGTAATGTCACCGCTTTGCACGTGTGAGGACCCTGGCAGCCGAGTTTTGGACATGCTGAAGTCTGTCCAGTGCTTTGGTGGGAAGACCAAAAAGGACACCGTTACAGTAGTCCAGACGGGAGGAGATGAAAGCATGGATCAGAGGATTTATTACTCTGTCAATATCTACCAGCCAGCCATTATATCAACGCCAAATAACGGCACAACCATCACAAAAACCAATACATACATCTGTTCCTTTTAGGCCCTGCATCCCGATCAGTTCCCAAACTTCAGGAGATGATCAAAGCAGGACTGAACATCGCCCGTCTCAATTTCTCTCATGGCTCACATGAAGTACGTTCACGACACGTGACTGTGTGTTTTATTTTCCATCACAATTCTTAGACACATCTATTGATTTGCTCTCTGTCTTGCTCTTTGCCTGTCAGTACCACGGTGAAACCATCAAAAACATCCGAGAGGCTGTGGAGACGATAACCCCTGACCCCTTGTATTATCGTGCAGTCGCCATCGCCTTGGATACAAAGGGTCCGGAGATCCGCACTGGGTTGGTCAAAGGGGTAAACGAAACATCTTTCATCAATCTGACAGAGTACATCCAGTCAAGCAGTGACATTCAGTCAGGTGTAAGAGGGCTGAAAATCTGCTGACGGCTTCATGTCAACATTTTGAACAGATTTTTACCCACAAGATCTTGAGCCTTTCTTTTGCTCCTACTTTATCTCGCAGTGATATCCTTTGTGTTGTTAATCCATTCTGTTTAACTAAACAAATAACTCCAAGCTGTTTGAAACCTCTTCATGCTTAGATTAGATTACAAATACTCGGCATGATGTATGAGATGCACTCTAATTCTTGCTTTTCATTTTCTCTCTTGTAGAGTCTGTTCAGCAGGTTTATGCAAATCAAACACGGACATGATAAAACTGTATTTTTAGCGTTTGTGATCTTGTTATTGTTTTCTCACCAAATAATTCTCATATTGCTGCCCTGAATGTCATGAACACTGAAGTCCTTCTTGCATGCTATAGCAAAAAATATAACCACACACTGGCACTCAGTCCTCTGATGTGAATTACCAGAAATAATAACTAACCACAAGCTTCTGTCATCAAAACTCTGAGGTTTGTGGAAGCTCTGGATTCGCATAAATCAAACATTCATAAATCTAATCTGCCTGTGGAGTTGAATCGAGCCACCCGGCTGACATGCAGGATGTGGATTAACGAAAACAAACAAACAGAGGAAGGATCTTTCTCTCTCTGTACTAGAAAGACAAATATTTGTTTGGGTTTGTTTTACTCACAGATACTAGTTCACTATATACAACACCAGCATGCTTCCACAGTGAAGGAACAGTGCTTTTGTTTTGCTATATTTTCAAGTAGTTTCTCCTGTATTTTGTTTTTAATTGAAGAGAGTCAGAAAATGTTTGGATGACAGAACCCACAGCTGCTGCAACAGGGACTGAAACTACTAGACATGGGGCTTGCACCTTTGAACACTGAGCTATACCAGTGCCTCGGTGTTAATATGAACTCAATATGTTTGTTTGGAGCTGCTGCATGATCCAGTTTTTGTTTCTTCTTTTGCCATTTTCCTACATGAAGCAGTTTGATTGAATGTCTATATCTTTGTGCAGACACAGCAGAGATGTTAGCTGCAGGGGTAGTTTCTTTGAAACAGCTGGTGAATCCACAGTCCTTTATAGGGGCCTGGGTTTTGGCCTTAGAATAAAATCTAAATTATGTAGTTATCTTAATAACTCATTTGTCGACTGACCTTAAAAAGTGCAAATAAAGTGTATGTAATGGTGGTGGTTATTGCGTTCCTTTCTCTCTCCTATTATGTGTAGAAAACCGAGGAGGAGGTGGAGCTGGTAAAGGGCAGCCATGTGCGTGTGGTGACAGCAGAGAGCGATAAAGACAATACAGATGGCAAGATTATCTGGGTGGACTATCCCAGCCTGCCCCAAGTTATGAAGAAGGGGGGCATAATCTACATCGATGATGGTCTCATTGGACTCAAAGTCCTGGAGACAGGTAAGACATGTCTGCTGCTCATTGGCCTTGAAATACGACTGATGATTCATTGTTTTCTTCTGTTTTGAGGGATAAATTCCTCTAATTTATCTAACAATAACAACTAATACATATATAATATCACAATCATGCATAAGCATACAGAAAACACTGAAACAAAGGTTATCATGAACACTAATGGTCTTTTCTTTCTACCATTATTATATTCTCCCTGCTGAGTCATTTTAACTTTTTTTCAAAGCCCTCACTGCAGTTTATACAAAGCCCCCTTTTTTAATTTTGCTGCCTCATTCATCGTCTAGCCAAAAAAATACCCAAAATGCCTCACTATTCAGTCACATAATGATCAACTGTCTTTTACTCTGAATAGGATTATTCTGAGAGGATAACCTTGCTTAGCTGAGTAACCTTTTTATGAAAAGACAGTTTTCTTGGAGCCTTTCAGTCCCCTGATAAAGTATGTTCCTCCTCTATTATGTTGCTAATGTAGTCGGGATCATATCTTTGGCTCTACAGGCTGCTGTAATCCTCAGCTCGCCTAATAAATAAACTAAAGGAACATCAAATTCATCCATACACGGTCCACCTGTAATTGCCAACAAAATTATACGATTTCTTTTTTGTTTTGGTCTTTAAAAATCTTTAAATTTGTTACTTTCTCCCAAAAGAAGAACTCTTTGTATGCTCATTTTTCATGCATGAACTTCACAGAGATTCACCACAGTTAAGGTTGAGTCTTCAGAGCATGACGATCAAGAGAAGTTGATTTGTTTGCCTTCCATACAACGACTCAGAATAATAACTCAGTGAACATGTTATTTTCTTCCTCCTCTCCTGCAGGCTCTGACTGGGTGGATACAGAGGTGGAGGCTGGCGGGATACTGTGCAGTCGTAAAGGTGTAAACCTTCCTGGCTGCGATCTGATTGGCCTGCAGGCTGTCAGTGAGCGAGATGAAGCTGATCTTCGGTTCGGAGTGGCCCAAGGCGTGGACATTGTATTTGCAAGCTTTATCCGCTCTGCCCAGGATGTCAAAGATGTGCGACGAGTTCTCGGAGCACACGGACGAGATATCAAAGTGATCAGTAAGGTGGAGAGCCGGCAGGGGGTTCAGAAGTGAGTATATAAAGGCAAATCTCCCTGAATGAAAACCATTTACACAGAGACATTTTAAAATAGCTAGAGGCTGTGAGAGGAATTACAAATGTAGCCCTGATGGTGATGGTCCCATCCTGTGGACAGCCAACTCTGAGTGATTGATGCACAGATGTCAGCCCAGGATGTCACACATCTATGATAAGCAATGTGTGCCTGTGATGTGGCAGTGTGAATTAGAGCTGCCACTCAATAAATCTGACTCAATTAATGTCACAGCTCTGTCATCCCCATTACTTACCTCTCACTCTCTCCTGATGCTCTCTGGCAGCTGACAGGGTTAAACTATGGCTCTTATTTAAATTGAATATTGTGGATTAGATTATCAAGATTGTGTCTAACACAGTAATAAAGCTGTAAACAAATCTCATTAATCAAAAGTCCTGTATGGTATTTACTGTGTAAGCACTCTTCCTTGAATGTGCATCTCTTTGTGCAGCATTTACAATGTCAGAACCCATCAGCTATGGTCTGACAACAGCAATTATTATTCATATAATTGTTGTCACAATAATGGCATTATGCCTCTAGGAGGAATGGCAGATTATTCCCATTGTAGGCAGTAGTTAGTAATAAATAAAGCCAAGTCTTTCTTTTCCATGCTCTGTATTTAACAATGCAATTACAAACTAGAAAAAATGACTATCTATTCAAGAGCAAAGTGAAATCCTCCATTCAGAGAGCCACATAATTAAACCCATTATTTCTTCATATGTTCCTGGTGAGTCTCAGTATCACTGTAAATAGTCACACAGAGTCCTTCCTTCAGCGGTATGGACCAGAAAAATAAATGTACATTTTTTGGTTGTTGCTGGTTTTTGTAAGAAAAAACTATGAGCTGCACTCATTTGCAGATATCGGTATCACGCCTATCTCTATAGTGCATTATAAACTTATGTATAATACGTTATAACCAGGTTACAGCACTGTATAACTACAGTTATAAACACTCATAAATGATCATAATGCTTTATAGCAATAATCATAACACATTATAAAGCATTTTATCATGACTTACAAGCTCAGATATTATAATGTGTTATAACTGTTAACAACTCACTGACAATGCCCACATAGATAATGCATTATACATATATTTATGATGTGTTATAATTTGCTTATAAGCTTGTATAACTATCATTATAAACTCTCATTAATTATCATAAGGCTCTATAGCAATAAGAATAACACATTATAATACCTGACTATATAAGTCAAGATAAAATGCTTTATAATGTGTTGTGATTATTGCTATAAAGCATTATGATCATTTATGAGTGTTTACAACTGTAGTTATACAGCACTATAACATGATTATGATGCATTATACATATATTTATAATGCTTAATAGAGATAGGCGTCAAGTGAAGTGTTACCCAGATATCTGTTAAATCATATTTGGATCTTCGGAGTTTCCAGCCAGGATGTTGTTGGGAAAGATGGTTCATCGTACACTTTTGCTCTTTGTATGCACTGTTTTCACTGCATATGACAAAGCCTGCTGGTTTGTGATTGGTCATTATTCCTCAGACAACAAACAACAAGAAGGCTTATCATTCTGCAACCCAGGCCCTCGGATACAGGTTCAACTTTTTGTGCAGAATCTGTGAATTCAGATGATAACATCTGTTACTGTTCACATGTATGCATGTGGCCTTACTTCAGGGGATGTAAAATTGGATCATCCTGTCTTTTCTATGGTATTTTTAGGCTCCAGAAGCTGAAAAAAACTCTATTTTTACAGATGAAAATCAGCATGTTTCCTGTATAAAGGAATGAACACAAAGAGAGAAACAGCGCTGTCATTGGTTTTGTCCTTCCTGTCTCAGCTTCCTCATTTTTGTTTCCAACTCCATCCTTTTTTTCCCCTCATTTAACTCTCAATCCTGCCTCATATATCCTCTCCATAATCTCTCTGTCAGTTTTGAGGAGATTTTGGCTGAGAGTGACGGCGTGATGGTTGCCAGAGGTGACCTGGGGATTGAGATCCCAGCAGAGAAGGTTTTCATCGCACAGAAGATGATGATTGGACGCTGCAACTCCGCCGGCAAGCCTGTCATCTGTGCCACACAGGTCAGGGGCGAACCCATACACAAGCATGCACCAACAAAAGCACACAGATAAAGGATGCTGATATGATAAAATATGCAAACACTGTCTCTCACAACAGTTTTATTTATTCTGATGTGGGTCCAAAAACAATGAAAGCTAACAGGCACACATTAACCTTGCGCCTATGCAAACACACACACACTGGACCTTTAAATGTATCATCAAAACACAGACACACACATATTTCCTCTCTTTCACACCCTTCTTTCATTGAACACACACACAAACACACACGAGCACACACGCTCCTGCAGCCATGTTGCGTCACTGTGCTATATTGTGTTTATGCTACAGCCCCCTGACTCAGAGTGACAGTGTTATAGCAGCTTTTCTGCCCAAGACCTGAGCTCACTAACAACGCCCACATACACACACATGCGCGTGTACACATAAACACACACACACTTAGCAGCATTAGCAGCAGCTTTTTAACTGCTACGAAATTTCAGTCTCTCACAATGCTGCCAGCTATCTCATTTCCCAACTGTCTGCCGAGCTTATTGACTCATAACACTGAGACTCAGACATGCCAATAATGATCACGCGCAGACATTGCCCGCTTCAGTCCAAATGATCTCTCCTCTTTTATTGTCTAACAGACCAAAAGACCATAACTCCCTCTGTTCTCTCCCTAAAGCCTGTTCAATTAAAAGATGACACACAGTAAGGATTGTTTTGTTTGGGGGGGTTGATACTATTATCTCAAGTGTCTCATGGAAACATGTTGGTTGTGATTAAATGTGAATTTAATGTGTAGTGCATGTTGTGTAGATGCTGGAGAGCATGGTAGCCCACCCACGGCCAACCAGAGCGGAGAGCAGTGACGTCGCCAACGCCGTGCTGGACGGAGCTGACTGTGTCATGTTATCTGGGGAGACTGCCAAGGGACAGTTTCCAGTGGAGGCGGTCGCAATGATGCACTCAGTGAGTGTGTGTGTGTGTGCTTTTTATGAGGTCCACCCTGTTACATATGACTTAGTGCTCTCTGATTTTCCCTCCCCTTTTCTTTCTTTCTCTCTTCTTGACTCTGTGTCACAGATCTGCAGAGAAGCAGAAGCAGCCATTTTTCACCAGCAGCTGTTCGAGGAGCTCCGTCGCCTCACTCCTCTCTCCTCTGACCCCACAGAGGTCACAGCTATTGGAGCTGTGGAGTCCTCCTTCAAATGCTGCGCTGGGGCCATCATAGTCCTGACGACCAGTGGCAAGTATGTATCAAAAAATAACAAGCAGACAAAAAGATATTGTTTTGGTTTTTATACTATCCTCATATGGGTCACTATTGCAACCCATAACTGCATGTCAAGTCTTTTTTGATTTGTGGAAATCCAACCAGGGGAACAGACTTACACAGGGGTGACAGGATACATGAGTGTGAATGTTCATGTAAATGAATATCATTAATTCATCTCTTCTGACTCCACTTAAATTGTTCAATTTTAAATTTATTTCTTCCAATTCTGTGAAGAATTTGTTTACTTAAAGACAACTGCATGGCACAATTTAATTCATCCATCCTTAAATCTTTGAGGGCTCAAAAAGGAGGCATTATAAGTCCAATGACTTACTATGAAAAGGAAATTTACTACATTGTGAAGTAAAGACAACTATTAGACTGTTACAGCACTGCCCAACTAGCTGATTATAGAAGAAGACTCGCCTATGACACATCAAATAACCAATCACATTTGAAGATTCTTGGGTGGCCAATCAAAGAGGGCTCGTACCACCCCTAGCTGCTGCTCTGGACATACCCCTGTAAAGGTCACATATTCACATCTTTTCAACACATTTACTGATGTTTGTGTAATTCGAGAAAAACAAAATGTCAAAAAGACCCCCAGGCAGACAGACAGGCTGTCTCACAGTGGGCGCTGTACTGTAGGCTGCCAGGCTTCTGCTTACAAGAGTAATTTTTTGGCTTTATTTATAAAGGATGTTAATAAAAAAGTGAATTTAAATTAAATATCTGTACCTGAATAACTACAGCCCCCTTCATGAAAGCCTGTTGCTTTTTCATACAAATCCACAACCCCACACTACTCTCCTACCTTCATCCTCTTTCCATTAAGAAAACACCTCAGTATTGGCAAGAGACAACAAAATAAAGAGTCGTGAAATAGACCTGAGTAAACAGACTCGTGTTTTCAGAGTTTCTCTTCCTCCCCATGGACAGACACACACACACTTCTTCGAGAAGTAACAGCTGTTATCTTCTATCCCTGAGCAAAGCTGCAGATTGAATATTACATGCCATCCCTGAATCCTCAGGGCAGGGTTTTATGTTGACTGTGATGTTTACTGTGTTCTGCTCGTGTTTTTTTCCTGCATTTCAACAGCTTGCTGTGTAAACTTGCTCCTCTACATTGCAATATAAGGCCTCTATTGTGCAAATAATTGTGTAAATAAACACAAAGACAAACATACAGGGAAAAAAAATGTACTAAAGGGTTACATAACATAAACATATAACATAAACTAAGTCCTGCAAGCATACATGGGTACTCCACTCAAAAATGATAAAGTTATTCTTATTCTTATTCTCAAGGGTAAATCAACAATACTGTATATGTAGGAACAAAAACATGCCAATCCTTTCATTGTGCTGTGCGCTGTGGCATGAGTGTAAAACCCTTGCAGATCCAATTTGATCCTTGCAGGAAAACAAGACAACATCAGTGTTCTGTGTTTATAGTAGCAAATCTGACTTCACAGGCAATTTTTCAAAAGGGAACAGTTAACTAAAGCGCCCTCAGCCCAACTAAAACTAAGGACCTTATCGGAGCTGAACAGAGGACATGGGAACATGTTTTAGGAGAGATGTAAAGTTTTTATGTGCCTACACTGATAACATATTTTCTTTTCATTCCCTCAGGTCGGCACACCTCTTGTCCAGGTATCGCCCCCGCTGTCCCATTATTGCCGTCACCAGAAGCCCCCAGGTACGGTCGCCTCAATAATCTGGCAGCAGTACAGTTCTGTTGCTCTAAACACGACTTTACTATCTATGAATCACATTTTTCAGAACTGAGGAAAACAGTCAGTATTTACTCTCAGTGACTGTGGTAAATGGTGACAGCTCTAAATATAACAGAACAGCCTGTCTGAGTGAATTTATGTGTGGTATTTAAATGGCGTGTATTATTGTTTTATGGGGGTTTCTGTTCAGGGACAGTAGTTCTTTAATTATTCACACAAAATGTACAAAACTAAATTGTGATTTCTTTTCCTTTTAAAGCCATCTAGAAGTAACTCGTACAAGATCAACATGCTAGAATAATTTAATAGTTATCTACTATTCTCAGAACGATAGATAATTGTGAGAGATGGGAGGTTTGGCTGTAAAGGCCCCAGTCATATTAAAGGCTTAAAACCTTTTAACACCGAGAACATAGATAATGTCGCTACACAACAGATCGTGTTTGTTACGATTAAAGGTTGGGTAAAAGCTTTTTTGTATATACACCACAAAAAAAAAGATGCTGCTTTAATGAAATCCTGCCTACCCCACCTTTAAGGTAAATCACACTTCAATGAAAATGTTTCAGCAAAGGTTTTTGCTTTGCTCAGTCATGAAAATACTTTTCCGTACAAGAAACTTTCAATCTCCCTTACTTTATATATTTTTTGTACAAAAGTGGAAACTTACAGATCTTACATTGTCACAAATCCTCAAAAAGAAACCATCTATGAGAGGTAATAACTCTTCGGTTGACCTAATTATGACATATTTGACTAACCATCACCTGAGACAAGGAGTCATAACTGAAAAAAGAATGAAAATAACTTGATAACATTTATAACAAGTCATTTGTCCCTTTAAGGTTCACACTCATATCAGCCTGAGAGTTTTAGAAATCTGTCAGCTCATGGTTTATTAGCTCACTTGTGAGCTGGCCCAGTAATATCAGGCTCCTGTTACATAACAGCACCTATTGGATCACTCTCCACTTTCGCTGTCTCTGTCCTCTCCCTCAGGTGGCCCGTCAGTCTCAGCTGTTAAGAGGAGTGTTCCCCGTCCTCTTCCACCCTCTGCCTGCTCCTGTCTGGGCCGACGATGTAGACAACAGGGTCGACTTTGGCATGGACATAGGTCAGTGTTTGAATGTGAGCTCACTCATTTATATCACATGATACTTTATTCCTCATACACTTTCCTCTTTTTTTCTTCCCCCTCCTCAGGGAAAGCAAGAGGGTTCTTCAAGTCAGGCGACATGGTGATTGTGGTGACAGGCTGGATCCCAGGGTCCGGTCATACTAACATTATGAGAGCAGTCAATGTCCCATAAAAAAAGCTTGATTTTAAATCTGACTGACATGCTGACCTACCCCAGTGTTTGAGCTTTTTTAAAACACAGATTCTGTCAATTTTGACCAAAACCTAAGAGGAACATTCAGCACAGTTGCAATGCATTACTGTCAAAGCATTACCAGTGTTATTGAAATTCAGAGTATGCCAGCTGAACATGTCTCATGGATGTAGAGTTTATGTTTATTGTGTCTTAAAATCAATGACTCCCTCATAATAAAACTTGAACTGTTAACTTTATAAGCTTCACTAACTGAGCTGTACAGTCTCTCTTTTTTATCTCTCATTTTAGAGGGTAATTTTAAATTGAAAATGAACAGCATCTCTGTCTGCCATTGTTGAATCTTATCATTATTGGATGCTGTAGAAGAATTAGCAGATATGGCTTTCGGTCCTGTCCTGAGCTTATCTCTGTGAGGGCAGGATCTTATTTCCTGTTATGAGCAGTGCTGGGAGAGGCCGAGATGATGGCGGGTAATGAACTTCAGTCATTTGTCCACAGAGATGATCCAGATGCTTGCATCTGACTGCTATTCTCCTTTAAACCAATTATATCTGTTCCTGTGTTGGGTTTTCTCTTTCTTGACAATCTTTAAAGTGATGGCTGTGTCTTTTTCCAACAGTCTTCTAACTTTTTCTGCTCTGATATTGACATTTTCCTCCTCCTGCTCTTATATTATCTGCCCTTAGATTCCTAGTTCTTACTGTCCTTAACATCCAGATTTGCATTCAGTAAAATTATCCTTCAAAATATAGTAACAAGTCAAATAATGCTTTTTTTTGCTTTATTTATACTTTCCTCATATCGGTCACTATTGCAGCCCATAACTGCATGTCAAGTCTTTTTTGATTTGTGGAAACCTAACTAAGGGAACAGACTTACACAGGGGTGGCAGGATACATGAGTGTGTATGTAAATATAAATGAATATCATTAATTCATCTCTTTTGACTTCACTTATATTGTTCAATTTTAAATTGATTTCTTCCAACTCTGTGGAGAATTGTTCACTTAAAAGTTCGGGCCCAGTCATGTGTGGCACCATTTAAGTCATCCATGCTTAAATCTTTGAGGACTCAAAAAGGAGTCATTATATCCAATGACTTACTATGAAAAGGAAATTTACTACTTTGTGAAGTAAAGACAGCTTATGTTTATTGTGTCTTAAAAACAATGACTCCCTCACAATAAAACTTGAACTTTTAACTTAACATCCAGATTTGCATTCAGTAAAAATATCCTTCAAAATATAGTATTAAGTCAAATATGTAACACTGAGGAGTGGACTGATAGAGAGTTTAAGAAGTGTCCACACCCTCTAGTTCAAAACCTGTGGAAATCTTGTAACCAGAAACATAATAAAAACGTACAAGTAAGTTAGTATGAGCAAAACACAGCATCCAAAGCAAAACAAATATGCTGAGGAGAACATACAGAAGTCAAATGAACAAGAATAAAGAACATATTCTCTGATAGTGTAGTGGAGTGCACACATACAGTAAATCCATATGTAGCTCCATGTTTTATTGATTCTCATATAGGAGCAAACGTAGACTGATACCATAAGACTGAGCTGTCAAGAATCACTGCAGGTTTTCCTGTGTCATTATCATAAAGCTATGATGAGGCAAAAAACTTTGAAACCATTTAATATCGTATGAAATGCAGCCAAACTGTTTATATCAACTCATGGTAACATATGTATGACACATTGAAATACATCCTTTGACTGTAGCTCGTTCACGCTGTTAAAACGTTTGCTCTTTCTCAATGTTTAAATAAAGTTTCGTCATCAATCTGTCCATCACGCGCTCCCTCGTGTTATTGGTGAGACAGGCTGACGCGCGGGCTGTACCTGTGAAGGATGCGTGCGTCTTGCCGGCCGGGCACGCCGCCTCTGGGGACGTATGATGGGGATGCGGATGCCATGGCAACAGGCCGATTGGCTCCAGACCTTTGTATGCACATTTATTTATTTAATATTTTATCTACATGCGCTGCGCGCCTCTGTGGACGAACCGGCTCGACCTCTGCGTGTCGAGTCTGAGCGAGGAGTTCAACCTCAGTGTCTGAGCCGAGTGTGAATGACAAACCACCTGAAACGCTCAACAAGTTGTTTTATCCTCCGAGGAGACAATTGGATTCTGTGGAGCGCACGGTTTCACCTCGGAGCAGCTCGTTCAGATGAAAAATCGAGTCTCCGCTTCTGTCCTCGGCGGCACAATGAGGAAAGGACACCGCTGTATTCGGACCCAATGTCATTGAAAGTCGGCAGAAGTGAGAATAAACGGCAGCTGCTGCAGATGGTGTCAATGTGCAGACTTTAAACATCTGGACAAGTTCATTCTTGCTTCGTTTTGACTGTGAAGCTCGTGCTGTAAAGCCGCTTTGCCTCTTCTCTGACTGTCTGAGCGCTTCAGTCACAGGCAGGCGCGCCTTCAATCATGAGGAATGTTTTTCCACTCGGAGACTGAACATGACAACATATCGTGGATTCTGTGCAACCATGGGGTAGATTGTGCGTATTTTCTCTTGTTTCCACCGCCTTGTGTGTCCCTGTCGCTCTACCTTTGTGTGTGCGTGGTTTTAGCGCGTGTCAGAATGAATCAGTGCGCCTCGGAGTGTGAGCGCCCGCGTGTGCCATTATGTGCGTCCCTTATGTCCATTATGTCCATTAACTACCCTTCCCTCCTTTCGAAGGATCAAGTGTCCTTGTCATTCACCCGAAGATGAATTCTCTCTGTCACCCAGCCGCTCAGATCATCTCTTGTATAATGAAATGTGTAGATAATATCAAAACTGGAGGAGCAGTCTGACCACAGGGGCGACACAGACAGGACACCGACGGCCAATGAGCGGCGAGCCCCGTTATCTACAAAAGACCGGGAACCTGGTGCCAGTATGACCGGCGTCAGAGCGCCGAGGGCGGCTGTTGAGAGGAGAGGGAGGGCCTCGGGGTGCGAGAAACGTTTCAAGGACGAGGAAGGAGGAATGGGAGAGAAACATCTGTAAGGACAAAAGAGACTGCTCAGAAAAAAGGGAAAGAAAATCTGCTGTCGTCACTCAGGCAGGGTGAAGGATTTCATGTCTGGATGGAGCGTTTTCCAAGGGCACTGAGGTAAGCATGGCCACATTCATGGAGAGAGGGCGGAGGTGGGAGTTGCCAGCTCCATCAGAATGACTTCAGACAGAGACCACTTTGCTGAAGCTCCTTCAGTTTCACATTGAGATTAACTCTGACTCACTCACTTATGTAAATAAACAGGTTTAGACCATAAAGAGTAGTTTTCCTGAGAGGGGAGTTACAGGTTTTCTTCTCCCTCCCTCCCCTCCTTCTCCCTCACTCTGAGCTGGGATGGATGGAGTTGCTGGAGGTGTGGGTGCCCCAAGTAGTGCGGGGGGGTCTGGGGGTGACAGCCTACCCAGACGAGGGGACTCAAAGCGACGCAGTAAAGGCAGCCTCCCTTCTCCAGGTTACAGGCTGTCCCAGGCCTCTCTGGAAGGGGAGAGGGGCTCCTTTGGGGCAGACAGTGCCTCCTTGGGTGGGCGTGGACGTCGTCTCTCTATCATGAGCTCCTCCACCAGAGATGGCCTACCTTTCCGCACAGCAGGCACCCCAACCACCCCGGGGCCCCTGCCACCTCCACCCGGCTCCGCCTCCTCTGCCCATCCTACCCCTCCTCGCTCAGTGGGTTTTGCCACCTCCCGTGCTGCCCTTGCCTCCACCTCCTCCACCGGGACTGGTGTGATGGTGGTGGCCACCGGCCCTGAGACTACCACCACTACGGCATGTAACACCACAGCAGCAGGGACCCCAGAGTTGATGGGTCAGTCTGCACTGGGTGGATTTGGCATGGGGTTGGACGGGGAGGACTACAGCGCTTCCAACCAAAGCACCTTCATTCAGAGACAGTTTGGAGCCATGCTGCAGCCGGGAGTCAACAAGTTCAGCCTGCGAATGTTTGGCTCCCACAAAGCTGTGGCCTTAGAGCAGGAGAGATTGAAATCAGCCGGGGCGTGGATCATACACCCCTACAGTGACTTCAGGTACAATGTCACACACACGCACACACACAACTTCCATTGCATTCAGCCCACCACACAGGCCACTTGTCGCGTAAATAAGACACATAATGTTCTTTCATTTAGAGTAGAGCTTATATAAGTGAGTGTACTTGAAGCATGATGATAAACACTTAAGTTGAGAGTGGAAGAAGATTAAAAAAGAAAGAGCCTGACTGGCAACAGGGTGAGACATGCAGCAGGGAAAATATATATTGCTGGGGGACCTAACAGAGGTTTAGTGATGTGAGAGGTATCAGGACATCGAAGATCCGATGGGAGACTGAGTCTCTGGAGGAAACAGAAGCAGAGGGTGTGTGACAGGCTAAAAGGCACATTGAAAAAAAAAAGGGAGTGGATGAGAAGTCCTCGGGGCACGATCAAGGCTGAGGGAGCAGTCTGGGAGACAATGCTTCATAAAACAAGACTAACCAACAGTACCAGATGTCCATTTATCAAATACTGTAAGCAAGAGGATTGATATCTCCTAATTATAGCCTTTTGTTTTGAGAGAAGATAGTTGTACAGTCAGGGGTGAGGATATGCAAATAGAGAGGACAGATATAGCTGCGAGGTGTTTGGCTAATGAGGGAGCTGCAGGATATGCCATCCATGTCAATTAGGGAAAATGTTAAGTTTGCTTTCATTCAATCAATCAGATGATGAGCCCACCACAGCCCCCTCTGCTGGTCACGCTACGACAACATTTGTCCTCTAGAATTAATCCAAGAAAAATTAATGACGCCTGAGGGGATAAAAAGAGTGAGATGTTTTATGTTAGAGATCTTTTATAAGTTATAATTAAGGAAAAACAACAAGACAGTCATTTCTCTTAGCTCCATTGGGTACCTTTCTTAAATCAGTGGTGATTACTGAAGGCCAACTTTATTAATAATTCTTAAGTACCAAAGGGCAATTTGCACACATCTACATGTACTTACATGTATCCTGGTCTTTACTGCCTGAATTGTGAAGTGCAAATGGGAACACTTGTATTTAAATGTATTTATTTGATAAAATGAATAAACTCTGAGGTGGACAGCTGAGGGAGGGACAGATCCATAATCTCCAGACAGACTGCAGCAACAATAGATGACTTGATCCCCAAGGCTCCTGGCCCACTTATATCTCATAAGAGACACGCGCACACACACACACACACACCGAGAGGACCGAGTTTTGTTTCGTCTGTCAATTTGATGATCACTCACAAGTGCTGCTTATGAGTCTGCTCACAGGAGGTGCACTGAATGAGGTCAGTGAAGGATGGAGGGGAGGTGGATGAAGGAGTGCATGGATGGATAGAAACCTTGAGGAATCTCAGTCCGTCCACCACTTATTGATATTCAAGACAGCTAAAGATGTTATTAGTCCTAATTATCCAGCCAGAGAATCACAATTGAATTTTCATTAATAATGTACAGCATGCCTAAATTATGCAGGTTGAGTATGCATTATGCATAATTCAGTCATCTAACTTTTCAGTTAAGCACCTGTACTTTGGAGCAGTGACTGATGAGGAGGAGGAACCTTGTGAGGCCAGGAGGAAGGAGGAGCTCCCTTCACGTGTTTTTATACCATTATTAACTTTAAGCACAAGCATGGCCATTTTGTATATGTACAACAAACAAAACAACAGAAAAATCAAATTATTTAGTTTGTTTGTCCTCAGATGAGAAGGTGGGGCTGGAAAAGAGCAAGAGTTTAGCAAACCCTGACTTATTTGCTACTCCTACGACTTGTCTGGATCATAAACTGCATATTTAATTCAGTAACTAGATATGTAATTTAATCTTTAGTGTCTTAAAAGTGAACACCAAACACTGAAAAAGGCATTGTGACAGCAGAAGATCATCATAAATATATGTCTAAAAGGATGTTCTACCCATCTCCAGTTTTTATCTAAACTGGGCCATAACAAAATTAAACTAATGCAGTATGAAAAAACATTCAAAAGTAGCTACTGACAGAATAAACACAAGTAAAATGTCCCCTGAACTGCAAGTCAAGTCAGAATTGCAGCATTGTTGTAACAAACCACTATATGAGAGGATATTTTTGGTCACCATGGAGTTGCAGTCTGCTGTATAATAAAACTGACTTTAGCTTAGTCATCTCACTTCACTTTCAGACCCTGAGGTCGTGTCCACATCTTGTAGTCATTCTCTGACCCATCATCCGTGGTCACAGTAACCTTAAACAGCCTCAAATGTTGTGTTTTCTATCCTAGTTATTACTAGAAATGCAGTTATTCCCTTTGAAGGAACGTAGTAGATCAGCATTTTTTAACACACCATTACCTACAACATTACTCAACAACTAATCCCCCCCCCCCACCCCCCAAGTGCCAGCCTCATTGCCTTTTACTTTTATTACCTCAAATCAAAACGTACCATTTAAATCTGCAATAATAAGGATGAGAAGAATAGTAGTAACACAATATAAGTAGAATGACTGTCATGTAAAATTGGGTTTCAATGCTGCAACCTGAAAGACGTTGTTATCTTATCTTATCATCAGTGATTTAAATTGGTTTAAATTAATATTCAGTGCAGACAGGCAGGTCAACCGTGAAAGTGACTCTTTAGTCCTGAACATTTACAAGCAACTAAGAGACATGTTTTCTTTACTTAATTTGTGGGCTCTGAAATATGGCAGTTATATTTGGGCATATCATACCTGTGTGTGTGTGTGTGTGTGTGTGTGTGTGTGTGTGTGTGTGTGTGTGTGTGTGTGTGTGTGTGTGTGTGTGTGTGTGTGTGTGTGTGTGTATGTGCGTGCGTGTGTGTGCAGTATTGAGTATGCTTGTGTGGTCTGTGATTAGGAAATCTCCTGATAAGCTCTTAAACCCTCCACTTCATTAAGACGTGTTGCTGATGCTGCTTTAGGAATACAAAAGCAGGGGTTATTATAAAAAAATCATACGTTGAAGCAGTGAGAGGCATGCAAAGTGGAGGGGAGGGGTAAAACTAGGCAGAAGAGCGCTCTGGCTGCAGATGAGTCGTGCACTCACAGGGTTGATGGCATAACGCATATAGGAACAGAGGTTTATTATATAATAGCCAGTTGCTTCTATGCTTGTTTGTCTGCATGTTTGCCAGGATGATGGGAGGAGACTCGCTCAGAACTGACATCTTGCCAACAGCGAGCAGGAAACCAATCAGACGCTGGAGACACCCACCCTCAATTAGGGCAGAATTAGTGTTTGGTTTGACAACAGCTGAGCAGGTAGATGCAGGTCAGTTCTCCCGCAGCACCTGTTTGTGTACGAAATGGAATACTGATGAGGCTGTGGAGAACCACTCTGATTGCATTTGCAATTCCTGTGTGTAAGGAGAGCCAAGTGTTGTATCAGTCTTCAGTTAGGAGACTGAACATCAGTATTTGTCAGGTACTTAGCCCAACATGATGTATCTGTGTGCACCTTTATTAGTTTGGATCTCACTTCTCTGCCTGCCTGTTTGGTGATAAATTGACCTTAAACTGGCTGTCAAATCTCAGTAACTACAGACAATTTTTCATAGTGAAGTGACAATTTTGCCACTAAAACATGTACCAATTTTACAAAGACGTGTTGTTAATATCAGCCTTAAATAAAGTTCTTATTATTATTTTTTTTAATAAGGCTGGTTCAGGCCTGGTTTTGACTACCTTGGGTACTGGCACATTGAGCACCTTTCCTTCCCTTCCCCATCCTCTTTCTTCTGTGTCATTAACTTTGAACCAGCATGTCTGTGCTCCTTCATACCATAGGTTCATCTAGAATCACTGCTGCAGACGGTTTGCTGCTGTGAACCAGTCTGTGCATTAAGTCCATTCATCTCACCTCTGCCCGTCTCTCTCTCTCTGCATCTCCCTCTATCCCCTCTCTAAACCCAATGCAGAAGCGGCAGGCGACTTTCTTACATGAGTCTGGTTCTGCTCAAGGTTTCTGCCTGATGCAAAATGTACAAGATTGAAGATGGGATGGGAGTGGGTCTGATCTTATAAGATGGGACTCAATCTTTTCCCAGCTTTACACTGGGTCTCTGTAAGCAGAGTATGGTCGAGACTAGCCTCTTTGTTAAGAGCCTTTGGATAACACTTGAATTGGTGCAAAACAAATAAAGATTGATTGATTGGTAGCAAAGTTTGAGAAGATTGGACAGTCCTCTAGAAAGTTAAGGGGTGCAATTTATTTCAGATAACTAATTAAATAAGTGGCTCTAAACTATACTTATACCAACAGTTCTGTTTAATGTCCAGTTTAAGAGAAATGTTTGTATTTCTTTAGAAGATAATTTTAGGTGATCAAAAGAGTAACATACTGTAACTGCTTAATCAAGAAATAAAGTATGTTATCATTTCAACTTTCGTACAAAATACTATAGCCAATATCAAAATTATTTACAAATCTGAAAGATATTTTGCGGTTTAACGTGCTGTGTCTGGTCCTGCTAAAACATCAAGTGTAAGATATTGTATTTTAGATATTTTATGTAATTTACTGACAGAGAGTAATACAATTAAATAAAATAAATTCATGTAGGGTGATGAATTATACAGAGTTGTTTCTCATAGAGCAAGTCCACTAAGTATGTCCTAAAGGTCAGCAGTAAAACATGCCGCCTTATTTCTACATCTACAGATCCTCGAAGTCCATGCTGTTGCATATGATACCTGTATTTATTACCAATGATTATGAGGTGATACATTTTCCAGTACGGGTGACAGTCAGGCTAAAGTGTGTATGTGTGTGTGTGTGTGTGTGTGTGTGTGTGTGTGTGTGTGTGTGTGTGTGTGTGTGTGTGTGTGTGTGTGTGTGTGTGTGTAGCAGTGATGACTCATACTTAATCTTCATCGGTCTAGCAGTAGCGTCACACCATGAGGTTGTGCTACTAAATTAGAGCTCAATAGCGATCGACCACAGAGCCAGAGTGTACTTTCACAGAGTGAGAGTGTGAGGAGAGAAAGAGAGAGGATGCAGGAAGAGCAGAGTCATCAATACAGGGTTGAGGTGATGGATAAAGATTAGGAGGATTTCGAGGAATGAGACAGAAAGATGACAGGAGTCGTCTTGAGATGATTTGATTGACTCTCCTGTCAAACATGAATCACACACAGCATCCTAATGACTGTGGCTACGTCATCCAATAATACCTTCCAGCATGAAACATATCCAAGGTTATTCTTATTCGCCTCCTTTTTGGTCTGTCTCCTCTCAATTCAATTTTGTTCAAGAGTGCTCTGCTTTTTTGGAATAAAACGGAGCATTGCCAGAGCATTTGAAAAAGATAATAACGTCTGAAGGGCAGCATTCATATATACCAGTACTACACTCAGACAAGCTGCAGAGGAAATTTTGCTCCTTGAAGAGCCCTGGATGATCCCCAAGTCATTAAATTCCAAGTCTGGCACAGGGGAATGGAACAAAGAGGAGACTATATATAGGAAAAATTTAACATTGTATTTTTTTTTTCTCAGGAAATGAGATATAAAAGGATTAACTGAAATAAATGAGGGGGCTATTTGCAATAATAAGTATGACTTTCAGGTCTTAGAAGAGTTTAAACGTTTGAATTTACCATAATGACCTTTTGAAGGGGCGCTCCATTAACTTTAAAAAAAAAAAGGGTCTGTGTAAAGTAGAGGAAAGATGTGTGGTCTCAGATTTCCACACCACATAAAACTTATCAATGCTCCAGATAAATTCAAATGATTAAAAAACATTAAAAAAATAAACAGTTACCTCTTCTCCGGGACGTGGGGGCGTGTCAATTTAGTGCACAAAGCACCCACCTACTGCTCTCAATTGTCAATCATCTCTACGGTCTGGTCTCAGATGGACCAGTCAATCTCAGTCCGATTCCACAAAATCCTGTCCAACAGATTTACTCACGAAGCACGACAGTGGCTGATCCTTTTTTTACCCGGAGTAGAATTCAGAGTCCATTTGTCTTAAACGTGACTGTGCTAAAGGGCAGCAGAGTGGAACAGCATGTAGAACACATGCTATGAGGATGATTTCCATACTATAGCAGCGATAAAAAAAGACCTGAACGTATGAGAGTTGAAGGGCCAGTTGGCAGCGCAGCAGTTTGTTGTCACCCTGAAGGGCATCTCATCATGTCAGCCACATGCTGGACAAACAAGAGGTCTTTGGAGAGTGGCCAGACTGTGAAATATGAGTTTGTAGAGTGCTTGTTTTCCACTATCCCAGAGACATACATTTGTTTTCACTTACCGAACTGCCCGGCCAATATTTGGCTAGTTCGGAAACAGCTTTACCTCCCTGTGCAGATTACTGTGTGTTTTTGAAATACTGAATTCAGACTCATTTTGCCCCAGATCCCAGGATAGGGGGTTGCATTGAAGTGCTGTATGTACATTCATGTCTGAGTGTGTGTCTGGAGCTCCCTCGGTGTGTTATCAAGCCATGCCTCTCATGCTCCTGCAACAATGTCAGGTGATGTGCAGTGACTCTCTGGGACACCAATATTACACCTTTTCAGGGTGCAGTGTGTGAGTACAAAGGCGTAATGATGGCTCAACTCTCCTCCAGCGCTGTGGCAGAATTACAGTAGGGGGCTACAAATACGCTATTGTTAGTGTTAGTCTTAAAAAACAAACAGGATTATGTTGTCAAGGTTGTCTCAGGTTGGACTAGATAGGTACTTTGAAAGAGGAACATCATTTTCTGACCTTGTCTCACTCCAGATGCCATAATTCAAACACCCTGGCCTCCGCTGCTCTAATATAGACCTTGGATTTATGTCTCACAACTTTACGGAGCATGATGATAATTCTTAGGAGACGAAATCACCTTTAAATTTCTTGGTTGTAATAAAAAAAAGCACAGTCACCATGAGTCCAGTTGTTTTTCTAAGCAAAAATCAAAATTTTGCTTGATCCTCGACAGGTTTTGAAAAACACTCCTTGTTAAAGTAGGAAAGCCCACAAACAACGACCATGCCTGTCTTTCTCTGTCTAGATTCTACTGGGACCTGTTGATGTTAATGTTGATGATGGGGAACTTGATCATCCTTCCAGTGGGAATCACTTTCTTTAGAGACGAGAACACGCCTTCATGGATCATCTTCAATGTGGTCTCTGACACGCTCTTCATGGTAGACCTGGTTCTAAACTTCAGGACCGGCATCATAAAGGAGGACAGCACCGAGATACTGCTGGACCCGAGGTGAGGCGAGATGTCTCTGCGTGTTTCAGTCTAACATGGCATGGGTGGAACATTGGTTATATGTCAGTAGTATTTATACTGTAGCTTTTGTTGACATGAATTTCAAGTTGCTCCTCTGGCCACCTGCTGGGTTTGTGTTCAGACAGAGAGGTGATGTGCAGCCACTGGTGGAGCTTTGTCCATGTCTCGGTTTTGTTCCTGTTGAATAATTATGCAAATTCTTCCATGCCAGCCAAATGTTGGAACATTCCCACAAAGCTTGCTCTCCAAATTACCAATGTCACTGGACCCCCATTCTTCCCTCACTCAGGGCAATCCGCCAGAACTACCTGAAAAGCTGGTTCCTTGTTGACTTTGTGTCATCCATCCCAGTGGACTACATCTTTCTCATGGTGGACAGTCTTGATTCTGAGGTCTACAGGACTGCCAGGGCACTGCGTATCGTCCGCTTTACCAAAATCTTGAGTCTTCTTCGACTACTCCGCCTGTCTAGACTCATCAGATATATCCACCAATGGGAAGAGGTGAGAAATCGACTAGAAAACAGAGACATTGGAAAGAGAAATTAAAGTTGACTTGATATTGAAGTTATGACTGAACAGAGGATTTTTTTTTTCTACAAATAACGTTTCCTTCATCATTCCCCTTCTTAGATCTTTCACATGACCTATGACCTCGCAAGTGCCATGGTGAGGATAGTTAACCTAATTGGTATGATGCTGCTGCTGTGCCACTGGGATGGCTGCCTCCAATTCTTGGTGCCCATGCTGCAAGACTTTCCACCTGACTGCTGGGTCTCCAAGAACCTCATGGTGGTAAGTCTCAAACTAATAATGGGCATTTTTGCAGATACTGTTTTTACACTTTTACAGTTTTTTGTTCCTCCATTTTTTCATCTGTTGGTCCAATTTATTTCCAGTGAATTCAAACAGACTCAGATATGAGGTTTTCTTGATTGGTTGGTCCAAAGTCCAGAGTCAAGCTTAAAAGATCGCTCGCTTTACTGTCCCCTTCTGCTTGAATAAATATCTCTCAGAAAACTAGTCCATCAAACAATCACATTCTCTGGTCCAATCTTATTCTGTTGGAAACTTGGGACTAGATTTCCACTGTAATCGCGGAGAACAAAAAGTACACAATGTTCAGTTTTGGTTGAATGAGATGCACACAGCACAATCTCAGTTGGTTTGAACGGGGTTCACAATATTTACTTCAGAGGAATACAAAGCAGCGATTCAGCTGGGCTTGGCATTTGGTAATCTGTGTGTGTTCAGACTGTTTATCAGATCCGACATTGTTTGCTGCCTGTCGGTGTTAATTGGCTCATGCAGCAACATGTCCAGTTGGAATTAAACTCACTTATCATCATCTTCATCATCATCATCATCACAGAAACATAAAAAGATTTTCCATTAAGACCTCAACAGAGATCAGGTGGAGGTGTGAACGTACGCAAACAGATGAAGGCCTGGGGACCTACTGGAGATTTGTCACGTGTGTGCAGCCACAAAGACTTGGACACAGATGAATGCACACAGATACACAGTTGTATGAATAGCTGAGTCATGTCTCTCAGCAGTTGTCTGGGCGACTGTTGCTAAGCAGCCTGATGCTGGGATCTTCCCCAGAGAAAGTCCTCTCATCTGTTGGACCATTAACATCTTAGTATAATTGCACTCACACGCAACGCAACCTATATCAGGAACACACACACACTCTTGTTCCTCTATTTATAGTCTTTTATTTTATTTTTTAAATAATGCATAATGACTACCCTTCACTTCCTGTGTGGTTTTTCACTCTCTGCTCTGACTTGCAGCAGGGGTTTGACAGTTAAATTGCTCTATTGCTACATGTTATGATCTCAGCTGTAATTTTTCTGAGGTGGTGTGGTGTAGCACCTCTGGAGGGAAACAGCTCCTTTTAACCCTAACTAAAATAAGACCAGTTCAATTTAACAGCACTTTTTAATTAACACTTGAAACTTGTTTTACTTGTCGTGTCACCCTCTCTCTCTCTCTCTCTCTGCCTCCCACACACAGAATGACACATGGGGCGTGCAGTACTCCTATGCTCTGTTCAAAGCCATGAGCCACATGTTGTGTATCGGCTACGGGGCCCAGGCTCCAGAAGGGATGACTGATGTTTGGCTGACCATGCTCAGTATGATCGTAGGTGCCACCTGCTACGCCATGTTCATTGGCCACGCCACTGCTCTCATCCAGTCACTAGACTCCTCGCGAAGACAGTACCAGGAGAAGGTGAAACATGATGTTCCTCCACCTGATCGATCTCTCCTTCAGCTTCTTAATCTTGGTGTTGCTGTTTTGTGTCAAGGGCTTTGACTAACGGTGACATTTATTCTGGATACAGTGGGTATTAACTTGATTTTTCACTCTATAAAAAGGTTCAGATAAAACCACAATCTCTCAAAACCCAGAATCAAAAAGATGTTCAAAACTTGAGCCAATTTAATTTTCCCCAATCTCTCTTTTTCTTTTAAAAATTAAACGAATAAAATCTTTGTAAACAAATTGTAAAAATACAGTAATTGTTAAAATATAAAATATTGAAGACAATCACTAAATTCTGTCAAGAAAACAATTCAAAAATCTCTTCAATATTTAGTGCTAATTATACAACCAGTTTTAAATAAGTTGCAAATTTCAGATACAGCTTGTCAATTTTCACAAAAGATCACATGAAAAAGTACAGTACACTAAAAAGATGGAGCCAGTTGACGTATTTTGTCAAAATTTTTCTTTAAAAGTTTGCAGATGACTGACTAATATGTGTGTGTCTTTATGTGTTATTACAGTACAAGCAGGTGGAGCAGTATATGTCGTTCCATAAACTTCCTGCAGATGTTCGACAAAAGATCCACGAGTACTACGAGCATCGCTTCCAGGGTAAAATGTTTGATGAGGAGAACATCCTGGGAGAGCTTAGTGAGCCACTGAAAGAGGTGAGACACTCACACAAAATCAATCTACACGAGTACATGTACAAACAATCAATATTCAGGGTAGCGATGGGTTGGCACTGTCCAGTCTTTCTTAGACCCATTTCCTCTGGATGGCCTTCAATTGAAGTTGATCCAGTCTCTTATCTTTTGTTCATTTGAAATTGTCTGGCAGGTTGTTTTTTTAAGTTTTGTTTTGTCTTAGATCTCAAGTTTTCACATGTTGGAGTTTTTTTCATTTTTGATGTCTCCTTGGTTGTAGAGCACCTTGAATAAAATCAGTTTTGTTTCAAATGTGTTTTATGAATATGACTTGACTCCACTCTTTCCAAAGCTTTTATTTCCTCTTCATATGATTTTCCTCTTTGTCTAGGAGATTGTCAGCTTTAACTGCCGCAGCTTGGTGGCTAACATGCCTCTGTTTGCCAACGCTGATCCCAACTTCGTGACTGCTGTGCTGACCAAGCTGCGCTTTGAAGTGTTTCAACCTGCAGATTTCATTATTCGCGAGGGCACTGTTGGAAGAAAGATGTACTTCATCCAACACGGACGAGTTAGTGTGCTGACCCGTGGCAACAAAGAAACCAAGCTGAGTGATGGCTCGTACTTTGGAGGTGAACATACTCAGAGACATCAGAATAGTTTAAGATTTGAGGAAAGGTGTGCGGGAAGTTCATAGGATAGTTCGTGTTTGTGCCTGTGTCTACCTAAGAGTAAGTTATTTCACAGCCTTTCTCACTTCTTGGTCTATCCCTTTTTTCCACTTTTCTCCAACTTTCAGAGATATGTTTGCTGACTCGAGGACGGAGGACAGCTAGTGTCCGAGCAGATACATATTGCCGCTTGTACTCCCTCAGCGTGGACAGCTTTAACGAGGTGCTGGAGGAACACCCCATGATGCGGCGCGCTTTTGAAACTGTTGCAGTTGATCGTTTGGACCGTATTGGTAGGAGCAGATGTCATCATCTCTTTCATGTCTCTTAACATCTTGTTTGATGTTGCTATTTTATTTTCAGTCTTTACTCTGCAATGACACAGCCCAAAATTTCCCATGATCCATCTATAGATATTTTTAGGCACAAGTTAAAGGTCAAACCAAATCTTTGGCTGCCTGTTTACCAAGAGTATCCAGCTCTTTTACTCACAGGCCCTTCTTTTCAAGGGACCATAAGGCCCCTCCTGCCATTTGTCATCTGTGTTTCCATCCAGTCCTTGGGTAATTTTTTGTCATCCTCTCTTTGCATCAACAGGCAGGAAGAACTCTGTGCTTCTGCGGAAGTCCTCCCAGGCTGGCTCTCTGGGGGGCAGTATGGGTCGTGGTGGAGGTAGGGGTGGAGGGGGTCCAGGAGCTGGAGGAGGCCTTGCAGCAGGCAGTCTTGGTTCATGTGACAGCATGCTGGTACAACAGATTGTCAAACACGACAGCATGCCCGCCATGCAAGATGCCATCGCAGCTGCTGCTGCTGCTGGAAGAGGTGGAGTCATTGGAGGAAGTGGCACTGTGTCTCCTAGGCCACGCCCTGTCATCTGGGCACCGTTGGTTCATGCCCCACTGCAGACAGCTGCCGCCACCAGTAATGTAGCCATTGCCCTTATGCACCAGCAGCAGCAACAGCAGCAGCAGCTCCAGCAATTGCAACAGCAGCATGCACTTGGAGGTGCTTTCTTTCTCCCCTCCCCTCTTATCTCTCCCTCTCCTTCCTCCTCTTTCCCCCTGTCTCCTCCTCGCGCTCCTGTGTTGCAGCCACTACGCCCCTCTGTGAGCTCTCTAATCGGGATGATGGCAATTGGAGGGATGGGTGGGATGGGTTGTTTGTCACCAAGAGGGTTTCCTGTCTCTCCCTCAGCCATGGGGCCACCTGGTGTGGTCACATCACCCCCTGTTGCTAAAACTCCTACCACACCAGCCTCCTCAGCTCCAACTACAGTCCAACAGGGAAGGACTCTCCATTACAATCTTCGCCTCCAGGCCGATGGTTCTTCAGTGATTGCTGGATCACTTGGAACTCCAACAAGTGGAGGGCCACTAAATCCGCCTATCCACAAGGTACCATCGACAAACCCTCCTGCTGCCCCTGGTGTCCCCTCAGATGGTAACACCTCTGTGGCAAGTCAGCAGGGAGCAAAAGAAGCTTTGTTACGTCATGGAGGAACCCCCTCTCAGGGTCTGCCAGCACTGGGTAGACTCACCCAGGAAGCCAGGCTGTTGTCGGCCTCACAGCCCACTCTGCCTCATCGCTCCTGGGCTGGAGTACAGCCTCACCCACCCCTGCACCGCAAGGCCTCTGGTGGGAATTTGCTGGCAGCTCCTTTTCTGGCGGGGCAGTTAGCTAGGGGGAGCAGTGCAGGGATGCTGACATCTAATGTTCCACTTCAGCTAGTGACAAATATGCCATTTAATGCACAAACACCACCACAGGCTGCAGTGTCGGTCCCACCCACTATAGCACAGGCTATCTCTTCAAACACTGCCACATTCACACAATGTTCCCCTTATACTGCCTCTGTGCCCATACCTTCAGCTGCACACCTGCCCCCTGCTGTTTCTTTGCCATCCTCCTCCCCTCCAAAGCAGACCTTATTATCCTCTGCCACCTCCTCCCCGGTGCCCACCCCCTCGTCTCTGACATCTATTCTCACCCAAACACCTCGCCCTAAACCAACCCCAATGACCCCATCAGGCTCCTCCTCTCCTCCTATCTGCTCTGCACCGCTTTCAACAGGAACAAACACACTGCTGCTGTCATCAACTCCACGTCCCAAACCTATTCCCCCATCTTCTTCTCGCTCATCCTCTCCCTCTCCCTCCTCCACACCACCTCCAACCTCTGTTTCTAGCCCTGTTCCACTACCTCAGACTTTTGGGTCCAAGTCATCTCTTGCCTCCTCTTCTCCACCGTCCTCCTTGACCACTTCTTCTCCACCACATCCCCAGAGCCTCCGAGCCAAAGCATCTAACACACCTCCTTCTGCTTCTCCATTATCTGGCTCCAGTCCTGCCCAGACCCCAATACCTTCTCCTATACCAACTCCAAATCCCCGCAGCCGTACTTCTACCCCTGCCCAAACTCCTACCCAAACCCCCACACCTGTTACTCCCACAAAAACAATCACCCCTACACCTGCCCCCTCTCCCATTCCTGTTACACCTGTCCCTTCCATGAGTAAATCCCAGAGTCCAACTACTTGCCTCCAACCCTCTACTTCTGGAGGACATACACTGAGCCAGATCCCAAAACAGGCCTTGCCCCCTACCCCAGCCCAAAGTGCATCTCCTACCCCAACACAAGCTAGCGCCAAAATTACTTTCTCGGTTCATCCTGTAAAACAAACTCTTGTTGTTGTTACTGCAAGCCCCTCTTCAGGATCATGCCATTCCACCCAGCCTACCACAGCAATAACCTCAACCACCCTAAGCCCAAACACAAGCTCATCCTATCCGTCATCTATTGGCTCTACCCCCTCCGCCGTCCCCACCTCTACGAGTATCAAATCTGCCTCTGCCAACCCCCCAAAACAAGTCCCAGCTACAACAGTTGCCCCTATCAACTCATCAAAACTCAAATCGCCTTCTACATCTGCCCAGATCTCTCAGGCATCCACCCCTACACCCACCCAGTCAGCACATCCAGCCACCCCTTCTAGTAACACATCCCCTAAAGGAGGGGAAAAGGACCCACAGCTGCCACTCACCAGAAAAGACTCAGAGGGACTAAGACACAAACTTCCTGCCAACATGTAAAGTCTATGAACAAACTTCATAGATTGTTGATGAGCCATGGAGATACAAAGTTTCACCAGACTTGGCCCCAGACATGAAATAATCTCATTTGGACAGGTGCATTTTTGTTGCATTCACTCTAGGATGTGATAGTTGTAGAAAATCAGGTGTTCATGTGACTCTTGACGAAGCCATCAATAAGAAGAAAGGCTGTAGGAACTGGTGTAGAGTCTAGAATGCATCAAAATGTATACATACACATTTGTATAAGTGATTGTTGGAGCAAGTAGGGGAGCTGAAGTGGAAACAACATGCAGAGAAATGGAACAGAAGCAATAGCTTTGGAGAGTCAGTAAAATACAAACGGAAAGCCTCCATTTTCTGGACAAAAAGCAATACATGCGAGACAATTGAAACTCTCATAATGTGACATAAAATGACCCTTACAGGGAGGATAAATATGGGACAATAATAATCTTGCTGTTGGGAGGAATCTATTGTGATAGTGGTTTGAAGCCTACACAACTGACCATATTCAAATGGCAGCCAGTACAGTACAGCAAACGATCCCTGGTTTCCAGCTCCAACTCCCTCTTGCCTCCTATTCTGCACCAAAGTGTAATATTAACTCATCAGAATAATGATTATATAAGTAGTCTAAACATCATTGTAAATTCAATACTCATATGAATTTGAATAATTAGGACCAGTCCACTGGTAGTTTTGTTGTCCCAGATGTGTGGTGTTTAGTTTTTCAACAACAAAACTTTAAAATTTATGTGCTCACTCTGACGACTTCTGTAAATTGTGTTTTTTGTGCAACACACACATACTGCCCTGCTGTCCACTGTGGTTTACTTGATTTTGTCCCTCTCATCTCCCTGTACTGTATTTATGTGCCTCTTTGTAGGTTTGTTGTATGCTTTTTCACCCTCAGCCTCTCTGTCTTTCATCTCTTCTCTGTCTCACTGCCTTTCATCTGATTTCACAGCTCTGGTGGCTAACTGTTTCTTTGACGCTCACAGCCTCTCTCCCTTTCTCTCGGTTTTCCCGACACTTTGCTCTTTGCTGCTATCAGCCTCATGTTCATTTTGCTCCTTCTTCTGTTGCTCTCCGATACTGTTTCAGTGCCATTTCCAGTGATGTTAGATGTTTTGTGTGGGTAGCAACAAGGCATTTTTGTCTTAACCCCTAATACCATGTTGCCTAGATGATATATATTAAAGGACCAAATGTTTTATTTTTTATTTATCACAGCTATAGCTTTTGAACCGGGAAAAAAAAAAGCTAACAATGCTGAAAGTCTCACCAGACACAGCGATGATGTTGAGTTTGATGTTCAGTGACCATGACTATGATGGTGATGACCATGCCTATGATGGTGGCCATGGCGGTGTTGATACGATGATGATGATGATGGTGGTGGTGGTGGTGTTTGTGGATGTAAAAATAAAGCAGGATTAGATTTCATCTTGTGGAGTATATTTAAGCGTGAGCTCATTACATACAATACATACTGTATACTTAAAATGCATCAACATTTTATACAAGTAGGATGTTAAGGAGAACAGTTACTAAGTAAAAAAACGTGATATTTTTATTCAGCTAAAATGTAAGTTTGCGTTGATGACTTGGACATTTTTTTATTTGCAGAGCAGATTTATTTTAGATGTGGAGGCTTTTGGAGTAGAGCACAAACAGTTGCAAAGAGACCATTCAACCACTTAACGGTCGATTAAAACACTTTGTTTGTCTGATTTTTTTGTAGTCACAGGTGGGCTACAAAAGAGCTACAAGGGCTACAAGGAGAAAATGTATGAAAGAAAAATGCAGGGCAAAAAAAGGTGGTCAATTATACAGAAAAAATAAAAAGGGCAACTTTTTAAAAATGATTAAACCTATGTAAATTATACTATTTTTATTCACTTTCATTTTTTTTCCTTTTCTTCTTTACAATTATTTTTTTGCAACTGTTTGCAGGTGAGGAAGTTGACAAACTTCTCTTATCTGACACAATTTTTTCACACACATATTTTTTAACTTACTTATGTACTAATGCTTTGCACATTATACAGTAGAACATAAACTCACTGACAAACTCTCTGTTAATAGGACCGAAACTTCTGTTCACTGAGCTGATTGCATCCTTACTAACTTGCATCATCCCCTAAAAGCCAAGCTTAGTAGAGACGTTATTGAAGTTAACGCATATTTTTGTACTTATAAAAGACAATGATTTTTTTGTCGGGCAAAGTGTTTGTAAGAAAGAATATAGAACTCACTTTTTTTACATAAAAAAGTGAGTTTCACTTTCTTTCCATTTGAAGCCTTTCAAAATAAATGCACCGCAAAATGTAAACTACACAATCTAAAGTAGATACCTTCAGAGTAGTGAAATACAAACAACAGGTTGTTTAAATCAATTAAATTAGCTTTTTTTTTTAAAAAGAAAAAAAAACAAAGTTCAATAAAACCCGTGAATTGTAGTGAAGCAGATAACTTTGTTATGTAGAATGAAAGTAGTCAACTCAAAATTTTCATTACTTGAATGGATTATTCACTCTAAATGCCATTTTGAAAACAGGTCAATGAAAATTGCTCAATTTGGACACAAACTCTGTGACGGACATTTAAACTTTGAAGATTTTGGACTTCAGAAGTTTTGTGACTTCACTTGTCTTAAACATTATTTAGCCCTACCATTATATTTGTTGTTATTCACAGAAGAAATTATTTTTCGTCTTTAATTTAGAACACATTTTTTTATTATTTTTTATCAATCTCTAATGTAAAAAAGGCTATAAAATACCTGTTTAACAGTTAAGATTTAGTCAATGTACCTCAGCCTCTGGATTCCCACATTTCCAACTTCTACTCCTTGATCCTCATCACTACTTCTGTCTCCTCAGCAGAGGGCAGACACGCTCACAAGACTAAGCTTGTACATATTTGGTTGCTTAAATCTTCCCCGCTCTCAAATAAAGCTGAATAGAAAATCCATCTCCAGGAGGGCAGCTTAAAGTCTCCCTTGATCCCCTTCTCTTCTGACACCTTAAGGATCCTGCATACATTAATTTTACCTCTTCTAACTCATTAACCTCCCTGGGGCTTTAGACAGCCCTTAAACCTTGTAGGTGGCAGCAGTAACAGAATTATTTTTTGCCTTTGGGAGTTAAGAGGCATTAACACATTGGATTTACACTTGTTATTAATTAGATACTGTGTGAAAAACATTCCCTGGTCTTCAGAACAGCACAGATACGTCCTAAAAGAGGATGACCGCCATGTAGGTATAAATATTGGTTTCTTCTTTTTTTAAATTAAAGATCACATTTCTGATCAGGAAAGAAACAGGCTTAAAACAAAATACAAACTTGAGTTGAAATGTCAAATTTTCATGTATTTAGATTGAAAATAGGTGTAAAGGTGCAGACAAAGTAGACAAGGCTTTAGTTGATTTGACGCTTTTGAATCATGCCCGCAGGTTTTACAGTGACCACAAGATGGCGATGCCACTTTAAAAATCAGACAAACACAAATGGAAGATGAGGGAGCACTTAGGTGTATTGGTAATAGCTCCATTTACAGTTAAAGTTTATTTTTCAGTAATATGAGAGGACATAGAGGCTGTGAGAAGTTTGAATGTAAAGAGGAAGGTTAATACTGTGGGGCAAATAGAGAGGAAGGGGAGGAAGGTTAATGATGACGGACCAGCCTGGATTACAATTCATGAATAGAGATGAAAGGGCAAACAGGACTTAATTGTGGCCTGTCATTCTGTCTCTGGCCTCTTAACTAACCTGAGTGAAAAGTCCTTGGCTGCATTAGATACAAACTAGATTGGCGGGCAGGTGTAAGACGCCTCCTGTAGTAGACCCACATATATATATATTTTTATTTCTGCAAGTCTAATCTCCTAGGCTTTATCATAAACCAACTGAAAGCCTTTACTTTTTCGATAATGAGGCTTTCAAACCTTTAAGTTTGGTGGCGCCTATAGGTCTACCTGCCTGCTTGTCACACAAAGAGGTGGAAGTGGTAGAAGTCCTCAAATCTTTTACCGATTAAAAAAAGTTAAGTAGTCAAAAAGGCAAACAATCAGAAATAAAAATAGCTTTTAAAAGTATCTAACTGCAGTACTTGGCTCCACCTGTCACAGGTAAAGTATTCTCATGCTTAACATCATACTCTCTTTAACAGTTTGCAGATCTTTAGGGATGAACTTTAATCTCGAATTTTATAGAAAAAGTGAATAACTTCTGTTACTTCAACTCATTAATTTTTATTTAACATTGATTTGATAACCTAATGACTCTTCAGGTTTAGTTTGTGACCCGTTTGGAGCTTTCAACCATCTTATCTTGAACCCTCTGCTTTGAAAGACACATGAACATGTGAAACATGTTGTACATATGAAATTCTGTGTCTTTGAGTGGTAGCAAAACCGCAAGCACAGATTTAAGGTTAGGGGGGCGGTAGGAGGTGGGCTGCCTAAGCTCACCACAAAATTATATATAGACTTCCTGCACCCTTACTTATGAACCCACCAACACAGACAGACACACTCAGACACACACGCTTCTGCAGCTCCAGCAGAAAAGGATGAGATTCAAACTTGAATCAGTGAGGTGATTCCCATCCCCAAAACCACTTCTAACAGCAGCAATGCACGCTTCTGTTCAGGGCTGAGTGTTATGTGGTGTAATGAGACTGTGTTCTATGTGCTTCTTGTGTCACTTTTTCATTCTCTGGAAAAACAGCATCATCAAGGCTACTGTGCACAGCAAAGGCCGTGTTGTTTGTACTTTATGTCTCTGCACTGATACTCCCATACTTTTAAAGTCATGTTAAAAAAGTCCCTGGTGTTGCCCTTTGCTGCTGCCCTCACACTGGATGTGACACATCCTCTTTCACGGTTTCATTTAGCACAAAAGCAGAGTTATGTGTCAAACTCAATTCTTGACCTTTTTGAAGCTGCAAGCGCAGGCTCCCCACCTGTCAATCAGCCCTCGGGGTCTTTAAAGGGAAAATGCTGAGTCATGAAGACAGAGAGGTGGGACGTTCAGCCTTTTTCGAACCAAAAATGCTTCTTCCTCATGTGACAAGTAGACGAAACATCATAAGATATCCTTCACTCAACCATGTAGGGGAGAGTGGGGTAAGCTGAGCCAAAGGGTAAGTTGAGCCACCCCCTGATGCTTGGAAATGGTAAAAGAAATTGATCATGTGAGCAAATATTTAGGAGATGGGCATCAATTCATGGAGTTTGTAAAGGTTAGAAGCACATGGGTGAAGGGGTTAGACATTTATTTACAAAAAGTCAAAAATTTAGTCTGTCAGAAGTTTCATTAGAATTGTGTTCAGACCAAAAAAGATCATTTTAAATCTGTTTTATACATCAACTGTGGTATCTATGAGCTACAACATGAAGTCAAAACCCTAACATAAAAAGTCCACCATTTTAGCTTAGAGGATTAATAAAGTCATAATAGTAGTTCTTGGTAAGTTGAGAAAGTAAAGAAGTCTGATGAGAGGATCAGAGTTTCAGTTCAGATTGTTGAAATGTGTTACTTTTTCTTTTCAAAAGTATAGCTGTGAATGTTCTGAATCACTTGAAGACATTCTCATGTTAAAATGGCTTTTTACAAAACAGCTTTTTAGCAGTACTATGCAATAATAATAAAAAAATTATTGTAGCAGTTGAATAGTGTATAATAGCTAAAAATACACATGTAATACACATAGAGAGACCACTTTTTTGTCATGCTATATTATCAAGACAGTTATGTTTACACTCATTCTGCTGGTTTGCAGGGATGCACAACATCCTGAAACATATGCAGATACACTAGTTAGAGACAAAACTATGATTGCTTTTATGTAGTGATCTGAAATATGAAAAACGGCTCATCTTACCCCACTCTCCCCTACCGTAGGCTAACTCTAATGCTGCCCAAAGGAGAAAGAGGAGGACCGGGGTCTGCAAACCTGCCCACCTTTCTCCTCCTCCTCCTCCCACCACCACCGGCACCGCGACAGACATCGTTTTTGGCCTATCGCACAAGAGCCAGACCCCCTCCTTCCCTCCCTCCCTCCCCCCTGTGCCCTGCCCACCCCGGCGGTCTTCTCTCCAGCCTTGCCAGAGCCAATCCACGGCTGGGCGTAAGTAGGGCAAGCCGCTTCCTGGTTCTCAGAAAGACAGGAGCAGGGAGTCGGAGTGGGCCGGCTGAGGCAGCGGACAGGGGGGGTCAGAGCAGTGCAGAGAGCCGGTCTGCAAGAAAGGTGGAGAGATAAAAGACGACGGAGAAGATTTAGCCCTCTGTGTGTTGTGGAGCTGAGGACAGCGGGAACAGCTATACCCACCACCAAGAAAGAAACGACAAGCGTGGGCGAAATAGAAGAAGAAGAAGTTAGAAAAAGTAGTGAGGGTGGGACGGAGTATCCAGGAAGTGTGGAGCCCGGTCAGGTGGGAGGCGACGGTCTGAACAGGTGACACACCGGCGCTCAGGTAACCACTCTACCTGTCTGCACACCTTTTCAATTAAACCCACTGCACGAATATACGGTTAATGTGATGTAAGGACACGTCTGTTTGCCATGATAACACTCTGCTCGCGTTAACCTACAGCCTCCCTCCTCCCGGTTTGAACGGGGTCACGGGAGGACAATCCCACGTCACGGGTGTTCGGTAACTCCCGTCGACATTTATTCCCCTCCACTATAGGCTAATGGAGCATTTTGAGCAGAGCTGTTTTATTAGATGAAACACAGTCGGGCTTGTATTTTTAGGAGCAGGTGCTGCGGCTTCTGTTTGATGTTGAGCGCCCAGGTGAGGAGAGAGACAGAGAGGGAGAGGAGGAGTGGGGTCGGCGGGTACGTTTCTGGAGACTGGGCTGCTAATTATAGTCGAGAACACCGGCTGACATCCAAAACCTAACCTGCTCTCACGCACATTACCTGCCTCTCCGCTTCCATGGGCACGCAGAGGAGAGCAGAACAGAGCTGTGCACCTATTGGATTTAACTTCTTGCACCCATCATGATGAAACCATGATCTACCCTTACACACACACACAAACACACACACACACCAGTGGTCTGTTAATCATCATCATCATCATCATCCTCTCCATGGCGCACCCTGTGTTTTATTTTAATCCTGCCACTATCCTGTGTTACAATAGGATGTGCTCAGGCTGTAATGTTAGGTTAAGGCCTCTCTCTCTCTTTGCTTGCCTCATGGGTGGGGAGGGCTGCCATGCCAGTGGGCTTTTTGTGTGTGTCACTTCAGTCTACGCTCCTGACTCGCCCCTCTGACGGACCGGCCTAACAAGCTCAACTGGCTTGGGTTTGGTTTCCCTGTCTTGGGCACAGCCTGTTTGGTTAAATCTTTAGCCGTCCATGCAGGTAGTTAATGCCTTCTGCCCTTCAGGCTCAGGTGTCTTCACGGCTCTTTCGGCTCGTTTCACGGTCTCTGAGGATCTGAATTTTTGTTATTTTTATGGGCTGTTTGGGAGTTAATCGCTGAAGATAAGAAGCCCCTCTCTGTCTGATCTAACAGTTCTTCTTCTTCCTGCGTGCCAGCATCCTTCACGTGAGTGGACGTGTTTTTAGTGCTCTCTTGTTCCCCACACATGGAAGAGCCATCAGGGTTTTGAAATAAATTCTTAATGCCAGCTCTATTTGCCCTATCCTGTCTGCAATATAATTGGACATCTGTGCCTCATCCCCTCGTTCCTGCCGTCCTGACATGACCTGCATCCTGCTCGCTTCTCCACAGGTCTTATTCTCGCAGCTGATGCTTCTGTCCGTGTCAGGGTTGTGTGTTTAGCCTCCTTTTCTATTTCTGAGTGTTTCTTAGAGAGCTGTTAATCATCACTTCTGTAAAGTATGCTGTCAATCGAATTCACACGAAAGACGTGCGTGTGTGCGTGGGGGTATAACTGTATGTGTGGGCTTTCCCACCTTTTCTGGCTGTTCGGGAACTTATTTCTAAAGAAGTCAAAGTAGGAAGCGGTTGGTTTCTATCTGCTTCTTTTTGTTTTTTTCATGCATCCATTTTTTTTTCAGTTGTATCATAAGAACCCCCCCACACACACACGCACACACACATGCAGACACACACTTGCTCCACCTTACTTACATCTGATGTATCATATGACTGCTTGTCTGTGTGTTTGTGATTATTCACATGCTCCGTGGTTTAATCTAAGTAATTACAAAAAAGAAACACATTTGGCTCAATTAGTCATTACTTTGTGATTTCATTATATCAGTTCACACCTATCATACGTTTGATAATATACCTGCTGAACGTGTGACTCGACTTCCTGAACTTTTCCCTCAGTTGTATGACCTCTGCTGACCTCTGAGCCAAAGAAGAGGGGGACGTGCAGGAGGAAGAAGAAAGCAGGCACCCTTCTTCTTCTGGGTTTATGGACTGGAGGTAGGAATAATTTGAATATTACTAGATATATAGTTTTATAAGTGCATCCTTAGTTTGTGTAAAGAGCTTTTGCAACATGTCTGACGGCAAAGACACTAATAACACCGGCATTTGAATTATTTTTATTTGTTGATAATGGAGTACAATTAACAAATAAATAATGATGTTGGATCCAGTGTAACTAAAGGAGAGTTAAATAACTACCTGTGTAGAGTAATTTTGATATTTCTACCTTGTAACTAATAAATGAAAGTTATGTGGGGGGGTGAGGAGTCTTGCGCTCTTTTAAAGTTTGCTCAAAGTGTCATGTGATGTGAGACCTCTACAAAACCTTTGGAGAGCAGCTAAAACTCATGATTTTCAAACAGTTGCAGTGAGTCAGTATTGAAGTAATCTCACGAGACACCAAGGGACTTAATTCTAAAAAGAAACTTGTTATCACACAGATAACAAGTTGAGTTGGACTGACAAAGAGGCAACTATATATTATTATTACTTTTTATTTGGAGCTTACAAAGCACAAAACAACTACAATTAACTACAAGTAAATTAAAATACATGGTAGAAATAAAAAGTGGCCGGGTTTCTGACTTGCTAATGCAGCCGCTAACATGAGCCTAAAGACAGATTGAAATACTTTATCTATGACGTGGATATCCTGTCAATGTTTTTTTTTTCTGTTTTACCTTTGTTTGTATGATCGCTCTTCCTCACATCTGTGCTTGTTTGGTCATTTTCTTCTGTATTTGCTCTTGTTAGTCCTGTTGCTTCACCCTTCAGCATGTCTTTTCCTGAATATTCAGACAGATTTTCCAGGATAATCTAGTGGCAGAAAGAAGTGCATAACACAATTGTGATTAGGATTCAGTTTTAACACTACTGATACCACTTTTCAAAAGTTTACTCATTGTACTGTCAAGGTTCACTTCATAATGATATGTCATAGTCAAATACTCCTCATTGCGACTGTAAGCGTCCGTGTTATCTGTATGTTTATTGCCATACCCTGCAGGCCCAAAAACGACCAATTTACACTGACTGACTGCTCCCACAGATAAGTTTAAGTCATTGCAAAAGATGATTAGAGTTAAAAGAATACAGCCCACATGATGTCTGAAAATCACAAATCAGCTACCTTACAAAATAATTATTTCCCTGTTATGACTTTCCAAAACATCGCATCTGTATCTGTCTACCTTTCCAGCTAGTTTGCAAGTTTATAAATGTTTGTCTTTGCATTGAATGTGGTCAAGCATTTAAATAATTTATAAACAACCTGGACATAAACTCCTCTGTAGTTTGGCAGTTCCGTCTGCTTTAACTCAGCATAATGCCAAATAAAAAAGTAGGTAGATGATTTAAATTGTTTTTGCTGTAGATTATTGTCACTACAACGGAATCCAGATTATAAAAAGAAACTGGAAAAAGTCAATCATTTCATATGATATTAAAAATCTGAAAAATGACATTTTATTAAACTTTAGGTCACTATAAACCTTTTAACCTGCGTTTAAAACCCAATTGGAAGGAAAACTTATTTTTCATTCTCATGTTAGTTTAAATGAATTTCTTTTGTGTGCCATTTTTTTTTATATCCAGCCTGTGGCCAATTTTTTATTTCTGTCTATAATAAGCGACATACACATACCACTTATCGGAGCTTATAACATTGTCTTAAATGTATTTTAAATCACCTCCTCATGGATGATGTACATTCATCAACCTTCAAGCAGACATTGTTCTCCTTGAATTAGCCAAAATAGCAGTTTTCACCAGTATAATTGTTCAGTATCGTCAGGTATCCAAGAATAGTTAAAATGATAACGCTTACCCAATAATAACACATGTTCAACATGCTTACACCTCATCAGGCTCAATTACCTACAAGTTTCAGGGGTTAAAAACAAGCAATGCGTACATACTGTGCAGTGTATTAATGATTTCTTTGCTTGTCTTCATAACTTTGGTGTGTGTTGTGTGTGTGTGTGTGTGTGCGTAAATGTGTGTGGTGGGCAAGCTGGTGTGGCACATCATGTGACCTTGGCTTTGCCTGGTGACAGGCATTAGTCTGCGAACTGATGGGTAGGGGGAAGTTGCAGTCAGTGGTCCATCAGGCGAGGAACTGACACACAGACACACAGTCACACACACAGTCGCAGACAGACACACAAAGCACAATCCAACATATGCATGAAGACACATGTGGACATGTATTTATTTTTAATGTTCATGCATGCACTCAGTTCCAGGAAATGCTTTAATTAGGACATGTGAGCCCATGTAAATTTCCCCTTTTTCAGACTCGGGTCTTTCAGTTTCATACAAACCTAGTGAGTGGGAGGAAGGTGGGGGTGGAGACAGAACTGGGGAGGGAGAACGGGAGTTGAAACAACTAATGGTTTTCTCTCTGACCCAAACATTTGAAGGTGTTTCTCAGGTCTTTTCTGCCCTGACCAACATGCAAATTCTTTCGATTCCAGGTTTTTTTTAGTTCGGCAAAAACTTTAAAAAAACTCTCACCTGACGTAAGATTTGGGGCTTTTCTCATCTGGAAAACTAGAAACAAAATAAATTCTAATAATTCATGGATAAGTCATGTTGATTGACTCATTGCTGTCAGAGTATAACTAGAAGTCTTCCTTTCCTTTTTGTTCAAACACCACATTTTCACCATATATGGCAGTTGTTTCTCAACATATAGAGGCAATAATGATGGGGGGTGACAACACAGTGTCCGTAATCCAGTCTGCGTCTACAACAGTCAAGTCTTGCCCCCACTCGATCTGTGTCAATAGAGGAAGTTCTGTATCTGCCATTTCCTCTTTTCAGTCATGAGTTTCTGTAGCATTTGACAGCCCTCCCTCGTTCTCGACCACCAGCTGCGCAGCCCACACCACCCCAGCGTTAACCAATCAGTGGGTGGCTGTGACTCTTCTTCTTCTTGTAAAGAGTTGGAGAAGAAAGAGAGAAACTGAACAAACAGAGCTTGAGAAAAGTGATCATGATTCAGCTCTTATGGTAACAGTGCAACTGTCTCTGTACGAATTGAGCGGGCGGTTATCATAAATAGGTACAGTGAGACAACATTTCAGGGAAAGTGAGAGTGAACACCCAAACATGAGCATGAGATGGGAGCTTAGACGTCCCCTTTTCATGTTTTATCTTCAGAGGGGGAACTCCAGCTGCAAATGGAGGCTCCAAAAAACAGCATTCCTTCCCGTTTGGGAAAAATGAAATCACCTTTTTCTCCGTTTACGTCTCTACAGCACTGGTGAGATTTGACGGAAGTTAGAGGCACATCAGGTCCAGAGAGTTAAGAGAACATAAACAAAAATATTTACTGCATTCAGTTAGTTTGGAGTCTTAAGTATTTCAAGCAAGGACATATTTCTTACATAAGAAGATACAACACTGGCATTTCCATACTTTGAATCCTACTTTTTTATATCTCACTGTTGAACCAAAGTTATGGAAAAACACCAAATCCCCAAAAATGTGTTTCCTATTTTAATAAGACCGGAAAAAGACCACCATTACTCTCTCGTGTTACTAGCCAGCATAACCTCAAGTCTGCCATTTTTTAAATACTTTAGCTTCCATTTGCATAATTATCTTTGAGTTAGACAGCTGGACACATATCAAGTCCTGTAAGAAAGTTATTTTCACGTTCTGGTATCATTCTGTGATTGCACTTACAGTAAAAACACCTCCTCCCCTCGCTCGATCACTGAACTTTCATAAGGCTGATTAATCAGGATGGTGACACATGCTTCACACATGTCCTCTGACTTTATTTTTCTGCCCATTCCTCCACAAAAACATCATATTTTGGCTCTGGGCTGAATTCCTCTCTGAGCCGTTTTTGCTTTTTTCATTGTGTCACTCTACCCTCGGTGTATCTCTCTATCTACTCAAGTGGTCGACCATCCTGACTGAGCACAGGAAGAGGAAACTGATCAGGATCTGTTGATCTGCCTGTTTTTGCAACATCTCTGTGCTGTACTGTGTGTGTGTGTGTGATAGTGTTTGTCTGATGCTTTTGCAATATCTTTCTCAGAAACAGGAGGTCATCAGTGGAGGAGAGCACCACTTGTTGAGACCCTCCCAGTGACGGGGTGACTGAGGTCAATGCAAGTGACACATCCACAGCAATATACAGTAGTTTAGTGTTAGGGGTCCGAGTAGATGTAGCTGTTCAGAACAGAAGTGTGCAGATCTTTTTACTTCCTCACCAGGTCGTCTAACCTAATAGCCAATCAGTTAAGACTACAACTTTATCATCACATAAGATCATCACTCTGTCTGCAAAACGTTTTCATTTATGGCCGAATCAATCCACCAAAATTAAAGTTACAAACATTTGTGTGTGATGTATATAATACAAAATGTCTGGACAAACCTTAAATAAGTTTTATTGTTTTTCAACACTCTGAATTTAGTTTGGCAAGTTTTTTTGCAATCAAAATTTAGTTTTTTAGAAATTTTACAAGAAATAAAAGGATGAAAAGAAAAACCAACTGCAACATATGAGAAAGTAAACGCACAGAGAACTGAAAGTAACCCCTGAAAATGAAAACACCGACATAAAAAAAAGAAGTGAACAATAAAGAAAGAAAAAGAGGCCACCGTACCGCCTGATATATGGGACTGCTGACCTGGTGACAGGTCCTCCATCAGCACATCGGAAAAATGATGTTAATTCAGGTCATACATCCACAGCATACAGAAGTGTACAACCACAAATATATACATCTCATTTTATTTAAAAAAAACCTTTAAATGTAACAGTCATTTTAAAATCATTTTTAAAGCTCTTTTGGTCGGTCAGCTGCAGAGCTTCAAATATGCAGATTAGACTCATTAACTGCATTAATGGCGGCAGTGACTAATTCCAATTAAGTCATTCAGAGTTGGTAGTTAAGGCATGAGGAGGTTTCTGTCTCACTATAATCGTATTTTTAGCAGCTGTCAGGTCGGCTTAATACAGTGTTTTTGTTACTCAGTGATGCTGAGCTTTGACCGTTCTAGCACAGTCACAGACACTGTTACTGGAAACCAATCCGAGAAGGTGGAAGCCACTTAAGTCCAGAACAGTGAACATGGTGGATAGTACCCCACCATGTAAAGAAAAGTTGAAGGAGCCTTCGTATTTGTATTTTTGTAATTTCATACAACAATGTTTACATAAATACGTCCTGTGAGGACAGTTAAAATGGATCTGTTGCTGATCAGGGTTTGGACAGGCCGGTTTTATACTTGATCAAACACCTTTACTGTAAACCAGAGCACCTCCACACTCTGTCTGTTAGTAAAGTTTATTTAATTTACTCTTTTTTTCTGTTATAGCTGTTGCAGTAATATTAAGAACATTTAACAAATGCTCAGCAGTTTTCAGAAAAAAAGTTGATATGAAATCTGTTTTTTAACTTATTATTTCATTAATTACTTTGAACATTTTATTCAAATCTAAAAACCAAACATTCAGCAAGTTGAGTAAAGTCTTAGCTCTACCATGTTATTGAATTTTTACTGCAGATAATCTCAATCAGACGTTACATTCATATTGTAAATGAACGTTTGATGAATGTTCACCATGTTTTTCCCTTAAATATTTTTATTAAGAAATGTTTTTAAGTTGTATTTTTTTTGTTTTCCTTATGAAAATGTCAAATGTCCTCACACGATAACCCCTTTGGATCAAGATTTGGCCTCCAGTTAGCCAAGATGAACACCTGCACAGTCCTTTTAATTGCCGTCTAACATTTTGAACTGCCGCTGAATGACAGGGAGTGTATACTGATAAACGACTGAATGTTTGACTGTAAGGACACTCTATCGCTCTTTCAACTTTTGCATCACAATTCGTCTCGTGCAGAGCGATCAACCCTCCATCTAGTATCGAATTCATCAACTGAGAGAGTTCAGAAATGTCATTTAAACCACATGAACTGAAATCAGGTCTCTCCAGCTCACAGGTTTTAGTCGATGCAGGTTGCAATAAGCGATTCGCCCACACGTGAACACAGTTGTGGAGTGTTTGGGGTAAGAAACTGCTGACCAGATAAAGAGGCATGAGAGTAAGAGAGCTAAGTGTGAAACCACTCTGTCAGCAGGCCTCTCTCACATCTGTGCATGTTCTCCTTCTTCGAGTAAAACTCCATTTTGGTGATGTTAATGATAGAGCTGCCTGCTACCACATCTCTCCCTCATACATCTGCACACACTCACACACCTGCAAGGACTCTGCTACTTCCTGTGGCTGCCTGCATGTGTTCACCTCTTGCTCTTTTTTTTTTTAATCTCCCAGTCGTCATGTCACTGCTCTCCACCCTCCTCTCTTTCTGTCTCCCCCTTCTTCTCCCCTTGTAACTTAACTCTGTCGACTCTTGTTTCATGTCTCCTCGCTAACACAGATTGTTCGAAGCAGGGACTAGATTTTCCTGTCTCAGCCTCCCCTCTTCTCTGCTTTATCTTTCAGAGTATCTCTACACCCACTCCCCGTTCACTCACTCTCATGTGTTCTCTTCCCCCGTACCCTCTTTCTTTTGTGTGATTTCTAAGAACATGTGTGTTTTTAGAAAACATGCCACCCTCATGTTTCCTTTGGTTGTCTCTCCTGAAATCTCGTACTGCTTTCCCTCTTTCTAACCTCACATTGATTTCTTTTCCTGCGCCGGCGAACTCCCCCATTCACAAAGAAAAACAAAATTATACACAATGATTTCACAATGATTTCTGACCAATAAAGATGAGCTCTTAGTGTTTCCCTTTACTTTCATAGGATTATCAATATGCGTCACCCATGTCCAAAAATTCACATCTTTACTTTGGAATTAAAAAAAAAAAAATCAACGAGGAAGAGTTAAAGGTTTTTAATTTTAAAACCTCAACAAAAAACCCAAAGTGATTCAATGGCACAACTTTTTTTTGTCTTAAATGCTATGGACATATTGCTTATAACTAAATATTGGCTTGAAACAAATTTTTACTTGAATCTTTCCAGTTTAAAAAAAAAAGAAAATTAGATGGTGGATATGTTACACTGCATACAAACTAGAGCATTTAAATATCTGCGTTGTATTCAGTAATTTCCTGGTATTAAAGGCTCATTTAAGATGAAATAATACTATTTATCATTTTTAAATTACAAACCCAAAAAATGTCTCCTAAAACAACCAAAAAAATTGGCTGATTGAACCCCTTTTGTTTATGTTGACCTCCATTATGACAATTGTTCAAGGATATTTACAGTAAATTTAGTCTTTATAAAAGGTGATAGTATGTTTGATTTGATCGTGATTATCTATGGAAACATGAGAAAATTATGTTTTAGACATAAAGACAGACAGCAGACTATTTTAGCTTCACCACATGCTGTTGTTTTATTAAGAATATTATAAAACGGCCAAACATGTATAAATCATCAAATTGTAAGTTGTATGTAGATAATTATCTCTTCCTGTGTCATGTCAGATAGTTTTTCTTTGGAAATTAGTTTTTGAGTGAAGTTATCTCTCAGGATAGTTCATGCCATAATCAAACCTCTCCGTTTGTTATTTTTGTCAGAAAAGCTCCTTAGATAACATATTGTGCCTTCAAACGCTCAAAGACACTGAAGTCCCCCCAGGTTTTTAAATTTAGTCATGAGAAAATATTCTCTTAAAAGCCCCACTCATGTTTAAAATAATCCTAATTGCAAATTATCACAGTCTAACTATAAAATGTTTAAGGTCTTTGTTGCCTTTCTGTTTTCTGAAGAGTTTTTTTAACTGTAAAAAAATAAATATTTTTATAAACTTTGGACCGGACCTCTATGTGCACCCAAATGCCTCGTCCCATGTGTTGATAAGCTGATAATCCTGCAGCAGATTCTTTCTGCTGTTCAGGTCTGGCATGCAAATGTACTGCTGTTGGAGCTCACAGTGGAGTGTTTGTGGTGTGGTAGGGCGAGGGGATAAGGGCCTCTGCTCTGCCAGCCAAATGAATAATGTAATGTGTTCTTGGAACTAAGACCACAATGTGCGCATGCGTCCACACACACACACACACACACACACACACACACACACACACACACACACACACACACCATAATGCCCCAGATACAGTAAGGACAGAGGGGGAGGGATTAGCTGCTGTGTCTTTTCTTGAATAAAAAAACAGAACAAACTTCTGCTGAGTAACATCATCTCAGCGGACTTCTCCTTTTTTTTTAATTCCCTCTCGAGTCATGACAGGGGTGCAATCATCACAATTATCATGATGGTGTCTCAGCTTTTGTCTTCGACAAATTCAAATGCTGATTCAAATTCTCCCTGGTTGCGCCTGTTTTTATATCTCCTGGTGGGATGCAAATGCTCAGTCTGGAGGGGACTTTTGGGATGCAGAGCAGGTGCAGCTTTATCTCCGAACAGGGATGAGCTGCATTATTAGAAGGCCTGAGCATGTCCACTTGAGTGTCGTTGGGTCTATTTTTTACTTTAAGTGTAAAAACTTTTGAACTCTCACAGCCTTAGGAGAGTGCTCTGCCTGCAAGAGTGCAGCTTTGGTTTGGCAGACGTGCGTGAACTCATCTCTTCTCATCCCCCCATTTCCTCCTCCCATACTCTTCCTCAGAGGTGTCCCAGTACCACACTGCTCTCACTACCCCAAATAAGTGAAGTGTAAAGAGGGGAAACTCTCTCTCTCTTTCTCTCTTTCTTTCTTTCTTTTGCTGTTTAAAATTGATCCGACACAGAGGAGTTGTAAGGGGAACACGAGTGTGTGGAGGAGAAACGGTATGAGCCTGCTTTTACTTTGACTGTGTTTGTCGATGTTGTTTTTCCGGCACAGTGGTAGTTTAGCATTACAATTTGTTATGTTGCGGTTATGAATACCTTTTCAATTGCTGGGTTTTGTTAACACTTGCAGTTGTGTTTATACGTGCGTGTGTGGTGTGTGTGTGTGTGTGTGTGTGTGTGTGGAGGAGTGTTTCACCAGCTGCTTTTTTTTTCAGGCTGAAACTGACGTCGTACAGCACAACACTTTGGCCTTTCAATATTTCTTAGAATCTTTTAAGGTCTCTTTTTTTTCCATGTTTAATTTTAACAAGACAAAGATGATGTTTATTCTTTCTCTGCAGTTTTTTAAGGACTAAGAGTACCGTGAAAGCCGTTACAACACATGCAACCAACCATGCATGCTCACTTTAACTAACACTCGCACACACACAGCTAGTCACAAACACACATACAGGCACTTTGGAAAACATCTGACATCAGAATTTATAAAAGCATGTCTCCCTCTCGTTCTCAGCCACAGTTTTCTGTGAATGGCATAAAGTCATACTTTCCCCCTTAGTGCTGGAGTCAATATAATTGAGGTGGACTGGGAAAACTTACAGCCTTTAACGGAAAATAAGACCCATAAAAATAATACTAACAGTTCTAGTTCCACTCATCACACACACATAGACACAGCGCGTATACAGAGGGATTTCATGATATAGAGGTGGAATACTTTAACCTCAATAACTCTGAAGAAAGAATCTTTGTGTGCAGGATTGGTCAATGCTGCTGCTGCCACTGTCATTTTCCTGGCTTCTAAGCGAATGTGTGTCAAAGTTTTTATATGACCCCAAGTTCTTTCTTTTTTTGCAATGGTTGAGTTAAGTTTCCATTTCCCCTTCACTATGAGACAAATACATGTTGTAGCCACTTTTTAGTACGTTTGATTAAATTATGGCTTTAATTTTTAGTTGGCTATACGACATATACCACCCATATAATATGTAGGTTTTTTGAAAGCTTTTGGAATCACTATGATTAAAACTTTCTAGTTCTTTCTGTATAATTAAATGTTATTACACCTTATTGTTCAGAGAAAGGAAGAGTGTACATAATGAAAGCGTCGGATGAGGAAACGGTAGCGTTGCAGAGGAGTAAAATTCCTCTACCGTCGTCAAAAGTGTAGGAGGTGAGACCAAAAAAAACACACAAAGATCGCCGAAAATATAATGCCTTAACGTGTTGCATTCAGTGCATAACAAGTCAAAAGATGACGAATATTTTTAACATGCATATTAGTTGAAATATTTTTGTAACAGAGACTTAGAGTGACACAGCAAACGCCGACACAAGTTATTTAACCTCACCGTATTCAACCCTAGTTAACACTAGATTCAGCAACTTATATGAGACATGCTTTTGGTAACAAACAAAAAATACAAGCAAGGTGACAAGTGACAAAACAAAGAGGGTTTGTGTATGTGTGTCATGTGTCTTTATAAGTGACTCACGGACAGATACTTGATAGGAATCAATGCAACTTCTTTGCAATCTAATTACTTTCCGAATACGCATGTCTTCTCAGGAATGTGCCAAAATAACAAATATGAACCACTCATGGTGTTGGTTTTTTTCTTTCATCCCCGTGCCGGAAATTAAATGTTTGGTTTTGTGTGCTCTTCGTAAACCCCTTTATGTCTCACCTTTCTGCACTTGTTTTATAATGACTATTCACATCTTGAGGACATTCAAAATATGAGCAAACAATATACAGTATATTGTAGCTACATTCTTCTGATACTGAAATCTGTGTTACTGTGGATGCACTAAATGATGATCACAGTATAAGGCGATCTTTAAAAAGGATGTGTAGGTTTGCTTGTCTTGCTAGAATGAGACAAGGGATGCGTTTGCACTTTGCTAAAAGAGGTTTGGTTGTTGAGTGTCCAGACAGGTTTTTTACTCATGTTTCATGTTCTCAGTATTCATCTTTGTATGGCCTAAGGAAGCAACTTGGCAGTTTGCATATCTATTTATCTACAAGTGTTAAAAATCACAGCGTCTACTATATAAGCTGACACTGTAAAATATCTAATTTCATTCCACCTGTTCTAAAGAACTAAAAGCAGATAATGTGTGGCATCTTGGACTTAAAAAAAGATTGGTCCATGATACTTGAAAAAGGGAAATTTTATGCATGTGCTTGCCGTGTGTGTGCATAACCCCTTGACTTCCTCACTCTTCTTTGTCAGTGTCGCCAGACTCACAGCAAACAACAAGAACCGACATGACGACTCTTATGAGAACGCTTTTCCTTTAAATATAACCGTAAATATCGGTCTTATTGTTGGTGATATTTTATGGCACGTACTCTGTGATGTTTAGACACTGGGGTTTCAAAGGAAGAGCATTTTGCACCAGTTTGACTTTGTGGTATGATGTAGTACGGTGTACCTCTCATATTGCACCTACCTTAGTGTTTGTTGCTGGGTGTATTATGACTCATAATGCCAATATGATTTTGGTTTTTACGTGATTGTTCAACTTTGACATTAAGTTGAGTAAAAATATAAAGTATTTCTGAAATGTTTTGGTTGAATTGAATGGATCTCTTCTTACCAAAGTAGTTGATTTAAAAGTTTTGATTTTACTCAGCTTCAGTCTATTTGTTGGTTTTTATTCTGTCATGGGAGGGGTCATCAAGGAGATCCTGTTTATCGGAAAGTGCTCGGAAAATAGGCCGTTGAGTTTTGGCAAAGAGGGGGCGCGTAGGCGACATTAGGGGGGAGGGGTATCTCTAAATCTACCTTCGTCACCATGCACCCTCTTTTGATACAACAGGAAGGAGAGCAAGTAACAGAATGTGCGAAAGAGGTAGACATCCCCAAGGATCAACGCTTTACGCTGACTTCTAACGACGAGGCGTACCTTCAAGTTGCATCGTACGGTTGAAAGGAAATAGAAAAAGTGGTTTTCGAGAGAGCGATAGCAAAAGTTAGGGAGAGGAGTTGAAAGAGCAGAAATATGGATGCCGTGAGACACATGCTGCCTCGCCTCCAGCTGACTGTACCCGTGCCCATGAAGACAGGGAAGGTAGGACGAACTGTCTAGGCTTCTGGTTCCTTCAGCACTTCCTCATTTTAACATTCTCAAGGCTCAGTGTAAACTGGGGTGATGGGAAGGATAAAAATTGTGCCAACAAGTTACAAAATACTTTCTTCATTGGCTGTACTTTCACATTTTTATCAATTAATAGGGTGGAGTACATCAATACATGCATGTGTTTAAAATGGGCTGGCATCGCGATTGTCACATAACAGGTTAATCGAACAATAGTGGGTGGGGGGAGCCACAGATTGGCACGCAATGTGTGTATGTGTGTATTTGTATTTTATACTTGTGTGTGCGCTCCGATGCCTCTGTGTGTGTACGTGTGTGCTTGTGTGTGTGTATTTAATAGGGTGTGTTTTGGAGCAGGTTAGTCAGGTGGATGTACCTTCGTTGTGCAAAGCCCTCTGGGCACTGTGTGAACACTGTTATTGGATGGCCAGGGGGCTGCCAGTTGCTATGGGAGGGAGATAAAGGACAGGGAGGGGGAATCTGTGGGGTGAGTTGTTTGTGGAAAATCTGGTCTGCTCAGGTGTGTTAAGAGACACCGTCGAGCAGGTATATTGTGGACAGGGTGAGGTGTGAGCTTAGGGAGTTGCTGGGTCTTACTAATGTCAGACCTTGTAATAACTCTCAGAGAGAAATTGAATTATTAGCCGAGCTTAACATCGTTTTATCTCCAGCAGGTTAAAATGTAAAGGTTTAGAACAAGCCAGAGGGTATCTAGATAATGAAATCTACTCACTTTCTTGACTGGATATGTTCAAGTATCGTAGTGTCATACTTTAATGGTGCAGGATGAATCTCGCCATTTTTTCCTTCCTCATTCTTTTGCTGGTACTCCCCCCTTTCACCCACTCTAGGCTGTCACTTCCTCCATCTCCCTCAGCTGCTATTTTTTCCTCTGTTCTCTCCTCATCAGTCCTCTTCTTTCTTCTTCAGGTATTTTAATTAACCAGCTAATGCTATAAAGGTTTCACACAGGAATTAACCTACTGCCTTTGGTTACAGCGCCTATAGCTCATTGCGTAATCCTTCATCCTTTCAAAGTCTTTATTACTGACCATTAGGTTTTGAGAACATATCTCTTCTTCTTCTTCTCTTGACTTTTTCACCTTCTCTTTACTGATATATTTTTTCCATTCTGCTGGCTCTTTCATCGCTAGTGTACTTGTCCTCGAACACCCCAACCCCCATCTCACTGGCCAAAATCACTGCCTCCTGATTTAGTAATCTGTGGAGAAAGTACTGAGGAGGTGGGGAGGGAAGGATAAGGGGGGAGAGTTGTTGCCAAGCTGGGTTTAAATTGTCCTTCACGTGAACAAACCTCCTTGTCTCAGTCACGCTACGGTAGATCTACTCTGAGGCACTTTTAAACGTATACTCAGCACTCTAAAAGGAAGAGGTATTGCCTTATTTTTAAAAAACTGCAGTTATATTTTTAATCACACTATCAATGGGGAAAGTAACTGGTTTAAATTAACAGACAAGCATTGAAGATAAAAGATAAGTTTACCATCTCTTCCTTCCTGATATCTAATATCTAATGGCTTGAATAAAGAGTTGGCCAAGACTCGATACAATAGTCTCTTACACTAAATCTTTTCTTGCACCACATTGTTGATGTAGTTATTTGTCACAGAATAAATTAACCTTAAAACACTTGATTAATTTTGGCAGGTTAATTAGTCTGGGAAAGGACTGGTGTAACGTTTGTCTCCTTCATTGATACCTGGCGTGGCTTTTGTCAGTATCAAAGGCTAACTCTGATATCAGCATCGAACAATTTGTGCAAATGGTCAGATGGACATCATCCCCTTTACTTACCATATCTTTCCCCTCTGTATCTCAGGTGGCAATGTCTCCAGGAGAGGACGGTCTAATTGGGATCCCCTTCCCGGACTACAGCAATGAGCTCCTGTCCCACCTGAATAACCAAAGAAGGGCAGGGCTCCTCTGTGACCTCACCCTGACATCTCGGGGGTCACACTACCAAACTCATCGCTCGGTCATGGCCGCCGTTAGTCTCTACTTCCGCAGGCTGTTTGGGGCAGAAGAGGGTGGTGGTGACGGGGGAGGAGGTTTCAGCGTATACCCGCTTGACTTTGTGGCACCTGATGCCCTGGATGCACTGCTGGAGTTTGCCTACACTGCCACCCTGACCATCCCCAGTTCTGGGATGAGAGACGTGCTGCAAGGGGCTCAGGTTCTGGGCATTCAGTGTGTTGCTGATGCATGCAGAGACATCCTAGGGGAGACAGCGGAGGCAGAAAGAGAGCCAGCAGAGGAGCTGAGAGACCACCACATAGCTACTGAGAGGATGGTGCAAGAACCGAGCAGGATAGCGAAAGGGTCCAGGAGAAAAACAGACAGGAAGAAGTTGAAAAATATGGGGCCACATCGCATTAGCTCATCCATTTTGAACCCATCACCCATTTCTCCTGGCTCACACTCGTCCCCTGCGTCCGACAGTCAGTCTACCCAACCTCCCAGCCCAGAACAAGGGGAGCACAAATTTGTCCAGAATGGAGATCCCAGGATGATCAGAGAGCCAGGAAGAGGGGCAGCGCTTAACGGAGGCCACCTGCACTGGCTACATGAGCGAGCCCTTTTAGCACATCCACCCCCTGTCCCAACCCCGGATGACAAGGAAGAAGACATCGAGGGTTGTGGTGATGATGCAATGCTGATTAGAACCACCTCTATATCTACCTCTGTGGCTGATCGAGGAGCGGCTGCATCTGCAGCAGGAGGCGGGAGAAAGAGAAAGTCTCAGACCCCCCAGCAATGCCCCGTTTGTCAGAAGATCATCCACGGAGCAGGAAAGCTGCCCCGACACATGAGGACCCACACTGGAGAAAAGCCTTTCCAGTGTTCTGCCTGCGGAGTCCGTTTTACACGGTACAGGAACTTCATAATCCTTTAATTCTTATGAGTATGATGCTAAATCTGAACAAATGTTTTTTCCAGGGTACTTTAGATAAAGGGTAGTTCTAGTAAGTAGGCAATACAGTATCATCAACATAGGTGCAATGTTTAAAAACTATCTAAAGTGTCCCTCTAACTGGCAGAAACCTTGAGCAGAACCAGACTTATTGATGGACAGCCATCTGTTTCAGCTGGGCCAAGGAATTGGGACAGAATGAGTTTGATTCTGAGACAGACAGCAGGTTAAACTTTCCTACATAGAGCTGAGCACAGAGAACTGATGTTTTCTCTTCTTTTCTTTCTTGCCTCTTCATTCCTTACTTGTCTGTACTTCAGGAATGATAAATTGAAGATCCACATGAGGAAACACACAGGCGAGCGCCCTTATCCCTGTCCACACTGCTCTGCCCGGTTCCTTCACTCATACGACCTCAAAAACCACCTGTCCCTCCACAGTGGTGCGAGGCCCTTCGAGTGCCCGCTCTGCCACAAGGCCTTTGCCCGAGAGGACCACCTTCAGCGCCATCGCAAGGGACACAGCTGTCTGGAGCTTCGCACACGCCGGCCCAGACATGGGCCCGAGCTTGTCGAGGATAGAGGTGTGGAAAGAGGTGGGAGGGAGCAATCCAACCAACTTGAGGCTCTTTCCCTACAGCCCCACTCCTCAGCGTTCCTCCCTCACACTTTAATGGATGGCAGGAGTGTGTCAGGTGCTGGCTCTCCTTTTATGTTTCCAGGTGATGTTGAGAGGCGATCTCTTGCTCTTCAGGCGTTGGCTCAACTTGGACCTCGCAGGCTGGCTGGATACCCACAGCTATTCCTGCGAGGTCCTGAGCTTCGAGGGGGCAGAGAGGCTGAGGAAGAAGACCCAGGGGGAACCCACTCACCCAGTGTCCAACATGATGGATGGGCTGATGAAGTGGAAGAGGAAATTGGAGAGGATGAAGCTGAAGAAGAAGAGGAAGAATAGTGAAAAGTGTGTGTGCATGTGTGTCTGTGTGGTATAGTATCCACAGTAAAAAAAATCTCACTCAGGTGGCTGGACTATTCCTGCTTCTCCCTTATAGAGAGCGCTTAAAAAAACAAACAAGTGAATGAAAATGAAAAAAAAAAAAAATGAAAACGGGTTTTCTGAGATATTTTAAACATTCGTCTTCTGACTCTTGGCTTTCAGTTCTTTTGTCTTTTGATTTTTTTTCTCTTTTGCTCTTTTTATGTATTTAATGTTTGAGCTGTGTGTTTTGATTTTCCAGCTTGAGATGTGTGATGAGTGTGTGTGGTTCCAGGGATGCTTTTCACTATGCAAATCTAAATCAAGAGCAGCAACATAAAGGGATATTTGAAAATGTTTATTTTGCTATGTGTACATATATATATATGTGTATATATATATACATATATGTATATATATATATATACATATATGTATATATATATATATTTGTTGTATTATTCAATCAGTAGTAATATCTACTTGATCAAGACAGGGTTTGGGTGTTATCCGTCCTCTGGTGGCTATCAGTGGAAATGCAGTCTAATTATTCAAGGTAACTTTTTTCTGTAAGTGATGAAAACTTTGCTTTAATTTGGTACATAAACCAAAGATTTTAGTTCATCTGTTTTCTTAAATCCTAAGGTGGAGAGAGGAGAATTGAAGCCAATGTTGGGTATGAAGAAGTTTCTTCCCAACCATTTTGAAAGCCATGAGAAAGAATCTACTTTTTAAATGCCTGACCAAAAGAGACAAAGTCTAAGTCAATGAGTTAATGCAACTTATGTTTAAGGTAATTCCGTTTTTCCTATTGAGGCTATAGATTGTAGTCTTCCATTGCACTCTTTTTGGTTCATTGTTTAAAAAAAACAATTTAAAAGGTGCAAGGTGAGTGAAGAAAAAAATCCCTTTTTTTCCTGTACTTATTTATTTATTGTTATTTATTACATCTCTTCTGCTGAAACTCCTCTTGAGACCAAATTCATGGTGGGACACAGTCCATTTCTGATTTAAGTTTAAAAGAAGCTGCGTAGCGCTTAAACTATTTTGGGCACAACATTTGCAACACCTTAATGCCTTTTTAAGGGAATACTTGTCTCTTATTTTGGCGATTCCTCTTTAAATGCATTCTTTGCACATATAACCCCGTCAGGTACTGCAATACTTCAGGCACATTCCATCCTCCGGGGTACAGATAAGGGAACTGAACTTGTCAGGGTTTAAAAACTTCCATATAACTGGAACACAAAATGATTGTTGTTTGACGTTCTCAGCATAGTTTTCTGTTGTTTATTCAACACGTACTGTATTGTATCACGTTATTACATGGCAGTTCACATAGATCAGTCACCGCGTATTTAAAGGGGCCATTAACTTTTGAGTTGATATCTTTGACCAAAAACCTTTTATAGTTTAATCATAAATCCTCTGGACCAGCACATTAATACCTTTAACAGGATCTAAGTGACAGCAGCTGTCTTTTTACTTCCAATCCTTGAAACCCATGTAGTCAGAACCTTATGTAGCAACTGTGCTAATCTGGCTTTTTGTGCACTATCCACTCCTTGTTGTTGTGTATTTTTATTTCCTGTTTATTTGCACTATGAGATTTGAGAATTCTGGGCCTTTTTGTTTGACCTTCAAATCTAATCCATTAACTCGCTTTGAGAATTAAGATTGTGATGAAATAGAAATATTTCTTAACAACCCAAATGAATTAAATATTCTTCCTCCTGCATAGTGCAGTATAGTACAGAGTTATCAATGTAATGTGTATCGGGATGACGTTGCCTTAGTTTGTTTTTTTTGTCTTTTTGTTTTTTTGTTTTGTGCTTCTACTATTCTCAGGAAACCTTGAGTAATGCACTAAGTGATTAAACAAAATATAAAGTGGGAAGAAATGGTCTGGTGCTGTGCAACGATCGACACCCTTCATGGAAGTGTAAGACTAGTTTCAAATAATTCATTTTTTATTGTTTTGACAAACAAACGAATCAAATGCAGGACACAAATGGGGAAATAATTGCGAAGAAGCTTGTGGCCTTACTGAACCAGTCCTACTGGAAAGACAGTATGACAGTTGGTATTGATCCTGAAGGGTGTTCAGAGCTTTGTGAAGGAATAAGGATTATCTGATGCCAGCTGTGAAGTGTGTCTCTATGTGAGCTCTTTGTTTTCTAGGCTTTGGTGAAGGGGCATGGGGTCCGGTCTGACGAGGGGCCCCGCTATCAGGGATACATTTTGTCTTTCAGTTTTTAGTGAAACCTTCTAAGAGACATGGATTAATTTTCCCATCATTTGTTTCAGTTAATGTAAAGAAAAATTAAAGATCTCTAAGCTTGCTACTTTCTGAGTTTCTTTTTTTTAATTTATATTGCATAAGAACTGTACACAAAACTGGCATTTTAAAAGTACGAGATTTTGGAGTACTGACATCTACATAGACTGTCAAAACCCAGTCCCCCAAATATATATATATATATATATATAAATATTTTATACATATCATTTTTTTTTTTATAATTTTGCAGTTTTAAAATGAACTTAGGGGTCTAAAAAGAAAAGAAGAAACAATCCTTTACAGGTGGGAGATACTACATTTGAAAACTACCCTGCATTGAAAAGGTAAATTGTGCTCTCTGGAGGACAAACTGTTAAAAATCACCATCAGTCCTGTACTTAATTTCTTAACTTCAAAAATAAAACTGCTCTTGACACATTTCCCCTCCCATTGACTAGGTTACTATTTCATAACTCTTTGCAGTGACAAGTCATTGCTTGCTAAAAAAAAATTAGGGGAATTTTGTATTAATCGCATCATTATGTGATTACCTTGTAATTTATCAGTTACCCAGAAACCTGCAGTTTTCTTATATCATAGCAGGTTGTTTTGACTTATCCAGCATTTATAATCCCTGCGGTTTAAAATATACTAATACACAGAAATGCATCAGTTGTAAATAAGTATCATGCCTGTGATTAATCACTCAAGCTAAATACCATCTTATATTGTATTATAATATTTGATCAGTCTGAATTCAGTAATTTCTGTATCCAAATTGGCAACAGCCTATAGCTTAAACAGGGGAAATAAACACTACTACTAAACCTCTGTTTTCCTACATAAATTACTCTATTACAAATGCCCCCCAGTGTCACCTGGATACCTGTGAATCTATGGCGCGCCCCTGTGGTAAAGCAGCACCTGTCCTGTGTCGTTCTTGAAGTTGAGGCAGGATCTGACGCACTACTTTAATCTTCTTAGTCTAATTAGGCTGGACCTGCAGACCCATACTGCACCTCCAGTCACAGCGGAGGTAACAGAAATAGGTGTTTGGGTTGATTTTAAAGTAAGCCAGAGACCCTGAAAGGAGCAGCAGCTGTACGGTTTTAAAAGTAACCAGGAGTTGAAGGGGACCTATCTTTAATCTACGGGTCCGTGCAGGATGCTGCCGCGGCGGATGTTGTGGGGCGCTGTGGTGCGTCAGGTCACTCCGCGTCTGACCTACAGCACTGCTGCACAGCCACAGGTAGGCCTACATTTACTACGCAGTACACCGTCTAAAGTAGGTACGGGCTAAATGTTTACCTAAGAGTGTCTACAAAATAATTTTCTCAAAGTTAAATCACATTTTTCAAGACAGACATATAGGCTACGCCAGTGGTTCTCAACTGATGGGTCCCGACCCAAACGTGGGTCGCAGACACGTTCTGGATGGGTCGCAATGAGCTGGTCAAAAAAGTAAATATTTCATGCGCATCTGATGTTTAACATGTCTTTTATTTTGAAAAATGGTTTATTTTGGAAGGCTAGCATTATGTCTTGTTCCTACTCAGTTTCTTATCAATGTGGCCTGAATGCAGTAAAATACTTTTTTTTTGTGCAATTTCATATTTTTATTTTCTGTATATGCAACTTTAGTAGTTGTCATCCTCAGTTCATGCACTTTACTCAATAAAATGGGTGTATTTATGTTAAAGATTTGAGTCTTTAAAGTTTTTTTTTATTTTTTTATAAAAAATAAATTTGCTTGGTTTGAATTTTATAAAAGTGGGTCGCAGCTTAAGGACCATGGGAAAATGTGGGTCCCAGGGTGAGATCAGTTGAGAACCACTGGACTACACAGTACCAATTCGTTATATACTAGTTAATGATGGCGAGTTTTATATTTTGTTGGCTATGATAAACTATTTTGATTGCGGCACAAAAGGGAAAGACAATAACATGGGTTTTCATCCCTGAAAATGTTACAGATGCATGTTTTATGACAAGAAATCATAAAAATATAATATAAAACAATATACCCTACAGCCCAGCTACACTTTTAATATGTTGCAACAAAACACTATGGACGATTAGCTACATGTAGCCTACTGTAAAACCCAATACACCAAGTGTTTTTCATTAGCTATGCATGAATTGCACAATTCCATACAAACTATTGTCAATATTCTGGACCAAAAATAATTGTGTTCTAGAAGGCATGAATATTAAATAAATAGGAATTTTATTAAAACCAGTTTAGTAAATTTTAAAGCAAAGGACATGCACTCAAAACAAGCAATAGTCCATGGACTGACATGTAAAACAAAGATTTTAATAATAGAGACAGGATCATTAGATGTGAAAATGCATTTTAGTTTTCACTATTATGTGTATATAACTGACTAAGAGCTGCAATAAGTCTGTGAATAGAATAGATAGTGAGTTGTTGTGCAATCATCCAAATAATGCAGCAAAAACTTAGTTTTATTTTAAATTATAAGCTTGCCCATTACAGTCTTTCTGATGTGAATATTTGATGCTTTTCTTTGACATTGATAAAATGAAATGGTATCTTAGGCTTTAGACTGTTGGTTGCAAAGAAAAAAATGAAGATGGCCAATGTGAGACTGTGATGGTCAAATAGGAGCTTTAATTATTTTCTGTGGACTTTAAGGAAGAATAAAAAGTTGAAATTATGTCTGGGAAATTCAACAAATGATTAACACATTGGCAACTCAATCATATGCTTATTTGCCCTCAATGCTTGTAGCTGTATTTACATTCATATTACCATTGTTGTTGTTCACAGTCATTTCTTCTTTTTTCCTTCTCACTTTAAGAAGGCAGGACCAAAAAAGACCAAGTTTGGCCCCCTTAGTGACCAAGATCGGATATTCACCAATTTATATGGCCGTCATGACTGGAGGTAAAAAGAGATAAAGCGAAATGATTCTGCCAACTGTCCTAAAAGTTCAAATTCAGTATACAAGTTATAAAGTTCAAATTCTTTCTGCCAGACTTAAGGGAGCACTCAAACGAGGGGACTGGTATAAGACTAAGGAGATCATCCTAAAGGGACAAGACTGGATCCTGAATGAGGTGAAGATTTCAGGGCTTCGAGGTAGAGGAGGGGCAGGCTTCCCAACAGGTATGAAGTGGAGCTTCATGAATAAACCAAGTGATGGAAGGTAGGAGCAAAACAGATTAAAAAAAAAAGATCTAGCAGAAATACTTAAAGGGAGCACTGCTGTCCGCACCACTAATGACACCCTAATGATGTATCAGTGTATGCCCTTTTCTACTGTCTTAGGCCCAAGTACCTGGTGGTGAATGCTGATGAGGGTGAGCCTGGGACCTGCAAAGACCGTGAGATAATGCGTCATGACCCTCATAAGCTGATAGAGGGTTGCCTTGTTGCAGGGACAGCCATGGGGGCTCGTGCTGCATATATCTACATAAGAGGAGAGTTTTACAATGAATCATCCAATCTACAGGTATATGAAAACATGTATGTGATTTTAAATTCCATACAGGATGTTTGACTTACACACTCTGTCTCTGTTTCTTTTCGTAAAACAGGTGGCTATCAATGAGGCGTATAAGGCCAAGCTGATTGGGAAGAACGCCTGTGGTTCTGGGTACGACTTTGATGTTTTTGTGATGCGAGGAGCAGGAGCTTATATCTGCGGGGAGGAGACGGCCCTCATTGAGTCTCTTGAAGGCAAACAAGGGAAACCTCGACTCAAACCTCCTTTCCCTGCAGACATAGGTGAGGTAGACGCCATCTTCACCCATTTCTTAATTTTATTTGACAGTGCGGAAATTAGGATTATTGCATTATTGATTGTCACTGCTTCTCTCTATCACTCTTAAGGGGTGTTTGGATGCCCCACAACAGTTTCCAATGTGGAGACAGTTGCTGTGGCGCCTGCGATCTGCCGTCGAGGTGGAGCTTGGTTTGCTAGCTTTGGGAGGGAAAGGAACTCAGGGACGAAGCTGTTCAACATCTCTGGCCATGTGAACACACCGTGCACTGTGGAAGAGGAGATGTCTGTTCCTCTAAGGGAGCTGATAGAGAGACATGCAGGTGTGTGTACGTGTGTCTCCGTTTACAGTCTGAGTGTGATGACGTTGGTTTACTCTGCGAGACGTCGGTGACTTCCTCTCTCATTTCATGTAATTGTTGCAGGAGGAGTGAGGGGCGGCTGGGATAATCTATTAGGAGTAATCCCAGGAGGGTCCTCCACCCCCATCATCCCTCGCCATGTGTGTGATGATGTGTTGATGGATTTTGATGACCTGGTCCGAGCAGAGACTGCGTTAGGAACTGCTGCAATCATCGTTATGGATAAATCAGTAAGCTGATGAGATACAGCGAACATTCAGACACTGTCAGTCTGTGAAGATGAGCTGAGAATCATGTTTGCTTTTTCCAGACTGATGTGATAAGAGCCATTGCACGTTTGGTTGAGTTCTATAAACATGAGAGCTGTGGACAGTGCACCCCCTGCAGAGAGGGTAAGGTACTGCATAATGCAATTGACAACAAAAAGGTCATGTAGCATTCTCTCTATCAAGCCATTTTGACTCTTCTAACAACCAAACAATGACACAAGTCAACAAAGTCAAAGCTTTAAGGGGGCGATAACTGTTGTCTTTAAGTTTTCAGATGGTTTTATGTCAGTACCTAATAGCTGTTTTACTCATCTTACTCTGTATCCTCTACCTCAGGAGTTGACTGGATGGATAAAATGATGTGGAGGTTTGTTCGAGGAGAAGCAGCAGTTTCAGAGATCGACATGATCTGGGAACTCAGCAAGCAGATCGAAGGACACACAATCTGTGCTCTGGGGGATGGGGCAGCCTGGCCTGTGCAGGTGGCAAATTCTGTTTTTTTTTTTTTTGTATGAGTTCTTTTCTGAAACATTTTAACAGTTGCTGGTTTCTATACAAACAAGCACTTTTGTCCTTTTTCACTTTCTGCTTCTCTTCTACAGGGACTGATCCGCCACTTCAGACCAGTCATGGAGAGCCGGATCGCTCAGTATAACCAGAAATACCCTCCAAGAGAGCCAGAGATTGAGATGATATGAAACTATGCACCACCCATTTTAGCCATCCCTAAATCTTAAATCTTACCATGCTATGCAGCGCTGCTCAATGTCAATTATTTTGTGACTCAGTCTTTAAGCATAAATGACAATGTTTACCATAGATTGCATGTGGTCCTATTTAAAAATTTTAAATTTCATTGGAAACAGTTCACAGAAAAAGTGCACTGCCACACTTTTAGGCATTAAGGATGTATTTCTATAAATTTAGTCCTCTTAATAAAGCCAGTTTGTTCTGTTAATCTACTTCTTATTAGGGCATACAGAGAAGCTGACAGATATTTGGCAGACGTGTCAGAAGAGCATTAAAAGGGATATTCCGGCGTAAAATTAATTTAGGGTCAAACACACTAACACCGAGTTGGACACCCTGTCAAGAGAGTTGTGGACCGCTTGCTTCTCTAGTTATACCTACTTTAGTAACAACTGTACAATAGCAATACGGAGAGCCATGCGCTCAACCAAAACGCTAATCTATAGCCAGTTCATCAACAGTACATATAGGGTCCTAGCCACAGCACTAGCCATAAAAAATCTTTTTAGCTTTGCCTAATTTCTTTAGCAGACTAAACACAACTCACCCACTCTCTTCCAGCAGCCGCTTGTTTGTGCGGAGACCTCCGGGTGAGTCTATCGACTGCAGCAGGGTGACTCAGCTCAAGGAAGAACATTCATGATCATTGCTTTATCATTTCCCTGAGGTAATAATCATGATATTACTCATTTTGCACTGCAGACGCGGTAGTTCTTCTGCCTTTGCGTCTCAGTCTGATTGGTCAGTGTTACGGTAATTTTACGCCGAAATATCCCTTTAATTGAGAAAATAGTTGTGATACAGACACATACGCCCAAACACAGCAATAAATTAAGTTTATTTATTTCATAAAAGCATGAAATAAGTTCCATATGTTTACTACATGTAAGTCCATTTCATCTGTACAAAAGACCCAAAAAGAAAAGGATAGAACCGCAGGCTTGGACAGGGAGGGTGTGACAAATTAGACTTTGGAAAATTAAAAATAGTGATGTTTGACATCATGGCCTTGTGATTTAATGTTCTCAGAGACACTATATTAAAATCCTTTTATAGGGACGAGTTTTTAATACCTTTCAAATAAATCTGGAGGCAGAATTTTGCACTCTAAACATCCACAAAGTAGTTTGGAGTATCAGTCTTTCAAATTTTCATCTTCAAACTATGATGTGTGCCCCAAAATACAAAGGAACAGGAGTTGACCAAATTGTTAGTATGTCCAATAGGACCAAAGTTCCTTAAGAGTCTTCAACGGGATAAACACAAAAAACAAAAAAAAGCAGGCTCAGTTATGGTGAAAATCTTGTAAGACTCGGCATATGGTACTGAGGGAGATCTTTCCTGTTTCAGGGTGCCATCCAGAAAGGCATAGACTGCTGTTGTGTTTGTGTTTTAGCACGAGGGGATGGTGGAGGAGGGCAACGATAGCCCTGCGTCCAGCCTGAGGAGGTGGAGGTAGGGGGAACTGCCCCAGGGTTACCTGGCCCTGAGGCTTTAGAGGTCGAGTGGTCTTCCTCTTCATCAGAGGAGTCACCTGTGTATGCCACCAAACCAGTTTTTAGTCTCTTCACCACGGGCTCTGAAAAAAGAAGAGGGGGAGGAAAGAAGAAAAAGAGAGAGGGGACACATTTGGGGAGGGGGAGGAATACGGAAGAAGAGAAACACCAGAGACAAAAAAAACAGCAGCAACAGCAGCATGTGTCACATTAGACAGGTAAAAGATAATCATACCAAACACGTATAGGGAGAAACAAATGGTTAATAGATTTAAATCATCATTTTTCAGCAGAGAGGAGGAGGGGGCAGCCATTAAAGAGAGCCATTGGTTGGTGGGGAGCGACAGTATTATGGCCATCCAATCGAGCAGAAGGACAGCATCACAGGGAGAGTCGTGCCCCACCCCCAATCAGAATCCAACATCACCCCCAGAGATACATGGAAGAGAAGAAAAACACAGAGAAAAAGAGAAAAACACAAAACAGGAGAGATTCTTGTTAGTGAAGGGCGACATCAAACTATGGACAAGCCAGACTGATGCTGTCATCAGAATGGGACGGTAAGGTGGACTAGACTATCCAGACTACTTTACAAAAGATCTGAGCGATGAACAACTGTTGTCATAGCTCCACCTCTCTATCTGGAGATTTCTCATCACAGCAGAAGAATCCTACAAGAACTGAAAAAAGTTTTAAAAAGGAGGTTGAGGCTGAGCGCGAGTCCAAGTAAAACTCATGACTGGCCACAGAAGCGGGGTCTTGTTGTCTAAAACCAGAAGAAATACAACTTTCGTGGGCCAATATGTGTCCTGATACATCCGCCTAGGATTCAAATTGTACCTATAAAGTTATCTACACCAGGAACTGACATCAGACACAGCCAAGTGGCCCAGATGAGGATTTAGATTTTGTTCTTTGCTGCTCTACATTGCGGTGATGAGCGGATCAAAGTTTACTCAAAGTGGCACAGTCCACTGGCAGTAACAGTGGATCTGGACGGGAATCTATCCAACCAACAGGCAAATTCCTTACCCACAGGGCCTGGTGGCGCCCTTCTCTCCTCCATCCTGGGTCTCACTACATTCACAGGCAACGTAGGTGGAGGCATTAGCTGCCTACTGTAAAACACAAGGAGAAAGCGTCTGAGTTCAGTGAATATCCAGTGACACACACTTTACTGTCTGTATTCATAAATGTAGTGCTGCAGCTAACATTAGACAAAAAACATTTACGGACATCGTCTTACTGCTCACAAACAGTTCTCAACTTTCCTTTTTTGTATACTTTAAGTACTAGACACCTATTTTAATTTGGGGCAGAATTTAACAACCAAGCTAACAGTCAAAGCCTAAATAAATAGAATTTATTATGGCAAAACTCTTAGCACCTGTCCCTCTCACTCGGTGGACCAGAGGAACTCGATGGTGGGGGTCCTGTAGTTTCTGGGCTGCCCACTGGGAGGCCTGCACCTAAATTAGTCATATGAATGGGTCCATGCTATGAGCAGAAAAACACACAAGTGCGATTAGCAGACATCCTCGACTAAACCCTGCCCTGACACTGCTCTACTGCTATGTAACTGATGGCTCAGTCAGTACAAACTGTGATTAGCTTACCACGGGTCTGATTAAACTAGTTCCTGAATCACTGTTAAAAAAAAGAAAAAAGCTAAAACTTATCTGTTTAAGTAATAGCTTTTTCTGAGAGTCCATATTACTAGGTTGACTGTAAGAGAGCAATAGGCAACTGCAAACAGTTCCTTCCTAACCTGTCCTAATAAAAAAGGAGAAAAGAAAAATATAAAATAAATCACAATGGAGTAAACGAGCAGATTTAGTCAGAGATGACATACTGTACATCTGACTGATGAAACTGTTTCACAAGAAAAAGCACCCGGGAGGCGTTCAGTTGTACAGAAAGAATAATTGTAGATATAAAGGCTGTAAGCATGGAAAAGCTCCTGAATACCTGGTACCCCAGTAGACCACTGTTTCTCTCATCTGGGACCTCCTCTGTGAAGCGTCTTTTCTGTGGTGGGTTAGCTGTGATGGCAGGAGGTGGGGCTTTGGGTGGAGCTGCAGCTGGTTGAGGAAAAGGTACAGAGGGAAGAGTCTGCAGAAAAGGAAGGAACACAGCATTACTGCTTTGCAAGTTTGACACATGAGGCTGAGATCCTTTAATTTGTTTTATTTCTTACCTGTGACACAGGTCCTGGAGCAGCAACTGGTGTAGGGGCCAGAGGTGGAGCTGGAACTGGGTTGGGTGCAGGGGTGGGAGCAGGGGAAGGGGTAGGGGGTAAGGAATACTGAAGAGGCACACCTGTGGGTGCTGTGGGAGGTATAGGAGGTGGGACGGTATAAGGCGGAGGAACAGGTTGTGGCTGTGGTGGCGGTACAGGTATGGGGTAACCTGGCTGGAATCCAGCAGGAGGGTAATAAGGAGGCTGTGGGGGCATCCCATTCACCACTGGGGGTTGTGTGAAGCCTAGTAGAGGGAGGAAAGTGAACAACTCTGGTTCACAAGCATCAAAGAATCATCCACTGAGAGAAGAAAATTTTATGGCTACGTTAGACCGTACCTTGCTGTGACGGCATCATTGAGCTCATCTGATTGAGGAATCGAGAATACTCAGCATGGACCTTGTGACAGAGAAGGATTTGAGGCTTGTTAAGAGGGAAAAGACACTAAGACACAAAAACGACACTTGCAGCTAATCGTATTAAGAATTACAAGATGTGAATGTATGACTGGGCTGAGGAGAAAAACACCAACTAATCATCCAAAAATAAGAACAATTCACTTTAAATAGGATTTTATGCTCTTTCCCATTCTGATGGCAACTTACTCCTTTTTCAACTTCAGTACTTTCGTTGAACTTGCTGCAAAAAGCCCATAGTACCCCTCAAACTTGTGGTTTCAAACAAAATCAAAAACAAAATCCAATAAAACGATGCACTATGGCTCACTGTGCCCAAATATTCTTACCCCGATAGAACATCTGTGAAGGTTATGACCAAAGATGCTCGTCACATTTCAAGAAGTGCATCCATTTTGAATGTTTTCACTTTATTGGCCTAGATGTCTGATAACATCAATTATTTTGAAAATAACTTATTGTGGTAACTAATCGGGCTTTTCCTCCAACTGATAAAAAAAATGCAATCAAAGCCAAATGTTTTAATACAGATGAATTCAGCATCCTTATTGACCTCATAACCAAGTCACTATTATTAAGTATTGTGTACTCTTATCTCTGTATTATCCCTGTATTTTTATATCTAATAATACAGGTTATTACTCACTGTCTGCAGCAGGTTCTCACACAGTGTCTTTGCTGCTGCTAGCCCCTCTGGTTTAGGATGACTAAAGAGACAATAAACAGAAAAAATATATATATTATTACACAAAAAGGAAACATCCGTGCAGAGGTTCTCAATCTGTCTCCAGCCCACCTGATGTAGATGTACATGGGTTCAAAGGCCTCTCGTCCAGATGCTGGTTCCAAACAGCCTGATCCTTTTCCTCTGAGGAAGACTTTAGCTCCAGTCTCAGCCTGGATATGCTGTAGGTACGAACAGCCAGGGCCTTCAACCCGCTCTTTGACTACGAACCCTGGGATAGCATGCTCCAGTCCAACAAAGACTTTGTCTTGAACATAATGCATCTGGGAATCGGATGGACAGACAACATGAGGTTATGATAAAACCATATGCAAGTCTATTAAAAAACATTTTACTACAAGAGGGATTTTGCAAGTAAACCCCTAGCGCCTTCCATTGAACACTATTGTAGGCTGTGTTTCAGCAGCAGTTAAACTCATTTAAAACAAACTGGAGCAATTTGGAAACTTAATTAAAGAGAAAGGACCAAGACAAGCAAAACAACACTTTGTTCATTGTAGCTTCTGATTGTAGCTGTCAATTTTGTGGGTGTATTGAGATTCCAAGAACGGTGTAATCTGAACACTCAGGACATAGAAGACAAAAAGAGTCTGCCTTACCCCTGACTGAAAGTGGGGTTTGTGGTGGGTTATGGGGGGAAGTGAAGAAGGAGGTGGGTTGTGCTGCTGGTAAACTGTGACTGCAGCCGCACTTGTAGAAAAGGTTGATGAAGATGATGACGCAGTTGCAGCCTTCACCACCCCGTTGGTGATGATCTCTTTGATTCTATTAACGGCCCCTTAAGACGGAGGGAAAACAAAACAATCAATTTAAGTCATCACATGGAAAACGACCTGGAATGACTGATTGAACATAAGCTGGTTTGAGTACTGACTGTCTACAAGATCTCGAGTCTGTCCTTGGACGTGCAAATACAGAGGTCGATCCCTGTGTGGAAAAGGCAGAAGATTTGTATTAACATAAAAATATTTAATTAATTTCTTAATCAGTCACAGAAAAAGAGAGTTTAGATAAGTCACCCTGGTAGAGCCTTGCCCTTCTCCTCTGTTGTCATGTAACGCCCTCTGGTTGAAACAGCAGCACCACTTACTTTGCTGATCTGCAGACCAAACAAAGTCCATTTCAGTCGACACTCTACCAAACATTTGATTACCTTAGCTTAAGAAACCCAACTGCCCACACTGCGACTGACCTCATCCTGTGTTTGCCCACGTGTCAAGAGGTTCCTACAGGTGATTGGGACGTCATTGATCTCAACCTCAGCAACGACAAGGTCATCCTTGGCCTTGTTTGGCACTGGAGGTTTTGTGATACCGACAACCTGGCAAGAGGCGAGAGGGAGGTAAAAACTGTGTCATATCAAATGAGTCAAACTGATGGTCACAAAGCTTACACAAACACTCTAACTGATATTCAGTGTTTCAAATTAAGACAAGACTGATTTCTTGCATACTGTTGTGGTTTGTATAACGGTCCATGTATAATATTCACCATTTCAGCTTGTAACTCATGAAAATCAGAAAGCCAGGATCTCAAATCATTAGCAGGTTTTATAAAATCAATCAAAAGAAGGATTTTCAATAAAAGGACATTCAACTTCTGAATAGTCTGTTAATTTCTGCACTAAGCACTCGGTTTAGGCTTCTTTTCGTCAGAGGAGTTGGCTAGCCACATCAACCACAGCAGTGTCATAGTCAGCTAACCATTTAGTAGTTCTGGCACTGTGGGCAGATGCTTAGTCCTCCTGGAAAAAGGGAATCAGTATCTCCATAAAGCTTGTCAGTAGATGGAAGCATGAAGAGCTCTAAAATCACCTGGTGGACAGCTGTGTTGACTCTGAATTTAATAAAACACAGTGGACCAGAACTAGCAACTGGCACGTAGCCCTAATAAACACAGACTACAGGAACTGCAGGACTTCAAACACCTTGGATTCTGCTCCTCTCCTCCACTCCCCCTGGTTTTAGGAGACTATGGGGAGAACCTGGGACTTTGATGAAATGCAAAATTTACTTTGAACTGAAAGAGGACTTGAGCACCAAGTAACAGTCCACTTCTTTTTGTCTCCTTAGCCCGGGTAAGATGCTTCTGTCATTGTCTCAGGTAGCTTTATATTAGAAAAGGGGCTCGAATGGTCGCACTTCTAAGGATGACTGTGCATGGTGGCTTTTGATGTGCTGACACCAGCCTGTCGTCTGATCCTTGTGAAGCTCTGCCAAGTTCCTTAATTGAATTTTCTTGAAAGTCTCCTCAACTTATCCTTATTGCTTGTGCACTTTTCTCTTTCACACAATTCCCTTCCAGTCAACTTTCCATTCTTCTTTTACAGCATTACACTGGCAGCCAGGTTTTTTAGCAATGACTGAAAATGAACTGTTCAAAATGAATATTCAAATCTTGTGATATTCGTTTGACTCAACCTGACTCATACAGGCCTGGAAAAGCCAGAGATGCAAAGATAGATCCATAAGAGTATAGACAGTAGAAACCCTGGTGGTATGGTTGGTAAACTGATACAGTTTCACACTACAGACTAACACAGTGGCTCTCCTGGCTGATATGCTCTGATAAGAAGGGCTGAGAGCATGATCTCTTCATCAGCTAATGACAAAACAAAAATACACAGTCTTCACCTTATCAGGCGGTCCCGGGGTTCCTATCTGTGAGGGTTTTAGTTTTCCTTTTGCTACCAGCATAGCGTTGATCTTGGCAGCCACAGCAGCTGCAGCATCCAGAGCCCCGGTGGGTGCAGCTTCAGCCTCCCCCATCCCACCAGAGCCTGAGCCGGGACCAGGCTGGTCCCATTTGCTGCGGCGGCTAGGGAGATAAAACAACAGAAAATAAACAAACCTTTAATCTAATTTGTAGTCCATTATTGTATATTTGAACATTAACCTTTGGTGACTCAACCTAGCCATGGTAAACCCGACATTGTACAGAGATATAGCTCATACTTTTGGCTTATTTATCGTTAATGTGCATATAAAGGGAGGAAATTCTGTAGAGTAGTAAATTTGTCTGCATAAACCTTACATAAGTGTCTACAGGGTAACTAGCTTGTTCCAGTGTAGCACGATAACAACCGCCATGATTACATAAACAGGCTACTGTTAGTTAGCTAGCTAGCTAGCTAGCCGGCTAGCCGACAGCATAAGGACGGCGGGTACAAACAGAAACACAGGCGTATTAAACTGTCGATTTTGACACACATACCCGCCGTTTTGGGTTCCACAAAATGACATCAATATCCCGTCAAAAGAAATTTGTGCTACTGAAGCTTTATTTGATGGGGAAAACCTCAATTCGCTTCACTCAGTGTCCCCTGAATCGCTCGCTTGCTGTTGCTCCGACATGTCTCTGTGTTTCCGCCTCCGGTAACGTTGTTTTCATGGGAGTTTCACCACAAGTAGGCGCCAGAAACCAACACTTTCCTCAGCTGACTGTTTAAATGGCCCAGACTGATACTGCTGCGGCACCTGTTCGGTCTAAACATCTCCATCCGTGAGTTTCTTCACCGGAGGCATCAACGTTTCCTGCGGGCAGAAAACCCTTCAGCCGCCGCTCCGACCTCAAGACCAACCCCGGGCATAAATCTAAGGTATGTCAGAGCTGGGTAAAGAGATTTTTACAATAATACCTACTGAAGCTTCGACTTTAACTTGTTTTTTATTTGATGGGGCTCTTAAACTTTTTGAAGGAGTAGTGTCCAAATACAACTAGCATTTAGCTCCATTCCCAAAACACAAAGAGGCCTACATGTAAAATCTTTGATTTAAAGCCGCTTTTCTCTTAAGTTTGAGATTAAAATAGTCTAACTAGCAGAAAAAGTTCAAATAGTAGCTTCTAATTTCTGTCCTACTTCTTTGCAGATATATATATTCACTGGCATGATATGTTCATTAACCCCAGAACACTATCTCTAAAATTAGTAACACCATCACTATCGCAGGGTGATTTTTTACCTGAAATAATATACCCAAGAAAAAGTACTTGCCATCAAAAGAGGAGGATACATGACAAATTAAAGTAGTTTTCTTTTATTTTTAACTTTACAATGTCCAAAGAGAGAGAGGAAAAAAAGTGCCATGAGGGGACCATATAAAAATGCAACAAAATAACTGAAATTAGGCCTTCATGAACAAAAAATTCATTAAAAAAAGTATATATAGAATCTGTAAACTTAGTTTCTTTTCCACCCATTCCTGGGGCACGTGAGTCCTCCCTGGTGAAGACCAGGGTCCTTGGCACAATAAAATGACCAGCTGACCAAAATATTTCTTATCACCATATGAATTCCCTTGAAAATCTCTACTTTGTGATAGTTATTCATAACCACTGCACTAAATAAAGATAGCATGCAAATTTCAGGACCACTCTTATCCGCCTACATGCAGCTATCAAATCCACCCAAACCTACTTTACCCTCTATCACTATTGCTGGGTGAAAATCACCTTGACACGTGCCTGTAGGAAAAAACAGGTTTTGGATCAGGGAAACAGATATGCCTTCAAAGATGTCAAAGGCAATGCTGAAGCTACCCAGGGAGCCATGATACTCAGACAAACACAACATCATGAAAATCACGTAAACATGTTTGGTCGGGTGAAAATCAACCGGTGATAGTGTTCCAGGGTTAACAAGTTTTATGGCATCAGAGACAAACATCAACCAGAAAAACATCTTTATCATGGGCTGAACTAACCCCCCAATACACACACAGACCACTGCATCATGCCCACAGTCTGCTCGGCCGTTCTCATGTCTTGGGTTATTCAGAGTCTCTCTGTCAGGTACAGGTGTTCAGTTTCTGACCACCCAGGAGCTCAGAGACATGTCCAGGAGGTGCAGGTTACTGTGGAAGGTGAGAACACCGTGTGGGGGTGACATGAATCAATAGATTGAACAAGCAGCAGCCCCTGCTGAATTTCCTTTGTCCCGTGTTGTGAGGTGTTGAAAACTGTCTGCAAAACAGGCTTTCTTGAGTGTGATCAGGACCAGGGTCTGTCAGGTGTATGGAAGAGCAAAGGACTTGCTTTGAAAAGGATGGTATTAGCTTTCAATCACAACTCTGCTCTTGCTCATCCATTTGCACAAAGGTTTCTTTGACTGTGTTTTAAAGTGGAGTAATGGATTACTTTCAGCAGCCAAATATATGTTGTTGTTTTTTTTAACAAAACTATTTGACCTGATATTTTCGCAGTATGTGATCTGCAAATTCAAAATGCCACGAAGTTTACTTGATAACTTGGTTTCTGTTTTTTGCATATTCCACATTTTGACTAAAATGGCACCACATTATCCCTCCCAACAGTGTGCAGATGCTTTTCCAGAGAAAAGTGTTAAAATTGTGTCAAAATATTAGTCCTAAGTTGTTCTCTGTATGTTGTTGAATTCAGTCATTATTTATTGCTCTTCTCTGGGTGAGTACAGGTTGTTGTGCTGAGTTGAGCTATTTAGACATGGCCTGTGGTGTCCTCCCCTCTGTGATGGGTCAGTTACTGAGTCTCCTGAACTAGAAGTTCTGTTGGGGAAAAGAGGGGAAGAACTTATGCTGCCATTTTATAGCTTTTGTAAGATCATGGATTGAATGATGAAGACATGTTGTTCTTGTACACCGACACTAGGGTCACACGGAACTTACCTTGTTTAAAAAATTATGAATGATGATGGAGAACAAGGATGTCTACACAGTTTCTATTGGCTTCAGAAGTGCAGACAAGACTCAGAAAAGCTGTGACGTAAATTGCATTAATGCAATCAGGGAAAATAACGTGATGCAGACATGGAGTTACTGTACATCAGGCAACACTGTAGGTATTTAGCAGATTAAACTAATGGTCAGTGTCTCCTTTGGGAGATGGTGCTCTGTAAACCAGTGGTGTTGTTAGGCTAGGGGTAAGGCAAATCCAAAGGGTATTTACTTATGATAAGTGTAAAACAATACAATATATAGAAGAAAAACAGAGCATTACTTACTTAAATGGAAGTGGATGTGAAATTATCATGAGGACAGGGGCAGTATGGGTTTTGTTTGGGTCCTTTATTTCACCTGCAGATGGCGCTCTTTATCCAAATGTGACCTAAACACCACCTGAACTCTTCAACCTCCTCATTTATGTAGAGACAAAACCAGTCAACTTAATACATAGAGGTGTTTGTTTCCATACTGTTTATCAAAGACTTTAACTCTGATGTCTGTCTTTCTTTAAACTACACTTTCAGTATAGTATACCAGTCCACCTCTGGGCAGATACAGTAGTTTAAAATGTATACAAGTACTGGTAATTAGGGCTACGTCCAGATCTTATTTTTCTTTATATTATGTTTTTTATTATTAGATTGTTTGAGAGGTCTACAATATAGGAGAGACTGGTCAAATATCTGCTAATATTTCTGAGTCTATTGTTTTGTATTTAACCGTCTTGTCTAAGCTGTAGGGCGCACCCCAAAATATTCAGTCTAGTCACACAGGGACAAAATAATTTAACTTGAAAACAACAACGACAACAAACGCATCGATCAACAGCAGTAAAATCATATATTAAACTGTTGCCAAAAACAAGACAATACAGAGGCTTTTGATGTCATAATTTATGTGAGTGACATGGATCCTGAGCCATGAACGTATGACAGAGATCAGATGAGTGAAGTGTCAGAGGGTCAGAGGTCAGGGGAGCCTTGACGCCTGAGTTGACAAGGATGACTGTTTACGGGCAGCTCGCCATGAGAAGGAGGTGGCGGAGGAAGAGAAGGAGTAGGAGGAGCCAGGAGAGAACAGAGAAATGGTGCAACCCAGATGGAGAGGGCGACGCGCCATATTTACTGTCTTTCCTAGTAAGAGCCCCAGTGTGAACCATAATGTGTGTGTCGGTTGATGTAACCTCCGGCCTTTCGGGCAGGCAAGCCTGGGCCTCGCATGATCCTGGCGGCTGACATGGAGGTGTGAAGTCAGGGGACATGATGGGGAGGAGGGCGCCTCATGGTGGGGCTGCCAGAGGTTGAACAAAGAAACACTGTGAGTGCTGAGGTTTCTGGGTTTGCTGTGAAACCAGCGATTACCAACTGTTTTCTTTAATACTGCGTTGGCTACATTAGCAGTATCATAAAACTTGGAAGAGTGTGTTTGATGGATGATGCAAGGATGGATCAGATGCTGAAAGCTGGTGAGAAGTGTTATTTCTCAATAAAAGTAACATTACATGAAAGAAAAGTTCTTCAGGAACCTTTTAGGTGCTGTAAGGCGATCCCATGCAGAAGGTGAGAGTGGTCAAAGAGAAAGCATTGAAAGAACAAAAAGGGATTGAGAAAGGGAAACCAGATGGGAAGACTGAATTTTCAAGAGGAGTGAAGGAGGAGTGCAAAGGGAATCTTTTTTGTGTATGTCTGGGGAGAATGGGAGCCTCTTATACACCTCACAGCGTGAATTTGGCGCAGGCTGCGGCCTCGTCTCGTCTACCCAGTGGGGTGCTTTCCTGAGCGGGCTGCCCAGGGGAGGGGCACCTGCAACAGCCTCGCACACTGGTCAAGAGGAGGGCCTGTCAGGGGGCTAGAACGGGGGTGACAGGGATGGAAAGATGCTTTGTGGTTCCAGGAAATGGACGTGCTGGATTTATGAAATCCTCAGGTAGAACAGAGCAACGCCCCCTAAAGATAATATTTGTCCTCGCGTTTTCCCTGCAGACTTTGATTTCAATTGCAGGATGAAACCAGGAGCTTCTTTCGCACATGAAGACAGAAGTTATGATTGGAGTGAGTGGGCCGCTGCTGGCATCAACCAACACAAACAACTCAGAGTTTTTGGATTGGCCAGGCTGCCATGTGAGATAATATTTTCCATTCACTTGTGTGAGCTGACCAAACAGCATGTATTTGAAGTTTATCAAACACTCAGTCATCCCAGTCGACTTGGGGGAGGACTTAATCATCAGATATATTGAGTTTTAGAGCACACAGACACCCGAAACCTGTACTCTATGCAGACTCGGAAAATTGAACAACAAGCCCTCTGTGCTTTAATATCCACATTGCTGCTTAAATGTCTTTTTTGGAAAGGTTTTATCTTTATTTAAGCTAAACCTTCCATCTTCTGTCATTATGGTATGACCCAGGGGTCCAAAAATCACCCACTCTCACACAAGGGCTTATGATATCAATCACAGAAGGAGCTGACTCTTTGTCTGCGTGAAATTCCTTTAAAATGGACAAATGTGCTGAGAAGGCCTTAGTTGTCTGTGAAAGTTGGATGGATATTGCATTAACTCCACAACAGAAGTGCCCCCTGTGGTGTGAGCGCACTGGGCTCCAGATAATAACAGCAGTGGGAACGTTTTGCTCAGAGGTAGCCGGGCCAGGTAACTCAAAACACATGGCAGGCAGCAGAGGCTACAGAGGGAATAATGGCATCATAGTGCAGAGAAATGCAGCAGCTCCCCTGACAAATGCTTTAGGTATGTGTCTTACTTCAACCTGTTGGTGTTACCGGTAAAAACCCCAGAGTGCTTCAGGGCTTCTCCTGTAGCCCTCAGGTTTTATTTTGCTCAGTTTATGAATGGCATGTGCGCTAGGGAAATTAACCAAATTTTTGTGCTGCTTTTATTATTAAATTCTAGTTTCATTTTCCATGAAATCACTCCAAGTATTTACCCAAAGATTATGTGCTCACAGTACATAATGAATGAATGTGGAGTCAAAACACAGCTGGTCGTTGGTCCATCTGAGGGATAAGGCTTCTCGAAGAAAAACACCAGATTCATTGAAACAGACGGGCTCTCAAAAATAAGTAATGACAAAGTTTAAAAAAAAAAAAATTATTTATCCAGAGCTATCTAAGAGTTTGAGTCAACATGTGGAGGTTTAAATTATTATGCATATGAACAGGTGTACCATTTTCTTTAAAGGACAGTCTTGGTGTATAAATGTCATTTTGATCATATTGGATACATTTGATAATTTTGCCATTTTCGCTTACAGTGTTGGATGTGTTTGTCTCATGTTGTTTCAATTATCATTAAGAAAATAATGATAATTTTTTGAAATATTGTGATCAAAGAAATTTTAGTTGTTTTTTTTTTTTCCACACATTTTTTTTTGTTTTAAAAGAGTTTCATACTGTATTAAGTCACGTTTTTCAGACTTAACACATGCCTAGTATAAACAGAATTTGATCCAGAATCAAGTGGAGATATAAAGCTCTCGTGTGACAGGTTACATTGAACCGATTTTGTGTTTAATGATGTGACTGACTTGTGACTGAAATATATTTTCAAGCCTTTGTCTTTATTAGAAGTTGGCAGCTCAGCAGAAGAAAAGGGAAAGTGAAAGGAAGGAGTTGACGTGTAAATAAAGTCTCCTATCAGAGCTAAACCAGGGACCCTTTAGTGACATGGTTACAACTTAAACCTCAACCACTCATCTCTAAAAAGAGAGAACGAGACCTTGTTTCCGACCACAGCACCACACTCATCAGTATGATACCAGCCTGCCTCTTCTGTCCCGTCATCTTCTCCACATCTTTCCTCCTTTTTGTCAAACAACAATATTTGCTCATCTGCGTCAAAGAGCAGCAGGGTCTGTGGTAGAGTACAGTGCAGCCTTTGAGTCAGAGACAGAGATGGGACGCTGCTGCAGGGAGACACAGAAACACCAGCCGGGGAATGTGTACACAAGAGCGGGGAAGACCCTGGAGGGACACGGACATGCTGACACAGACACACAAACTCAGGAATTAGTCTGCACTAAGCATCTTTGAATTTTTGGTCTTCTCTTTTTGCTTTTGACTTTGTTAACATCTGCATTTAATCCTCTTTTTGTAACAGATCTTTTTGGTTGTTTCTCAGGTTTGTCTCTAGTTTCACTTTTATGTTTGTAATGATCAAATTATCTTTTTTTTTATCAGGGTAATAGAGGCAACTCTGTCTTCTAATCAGCTGCTTTAAATTCAAACTACACAGTGTCTTACAGAAAGCATAATCTTTATTTCGGCTATATATTACATATTATAAACAATAGTTGATATCAACACAAGTCAAGGCCATGCAGAGCTTTGCATGAGTCAGAATAATAAGTACATTTTTATACCCAACATGCAGGTCACAATTATGCAAAACAAAAATCTGTTGTTTTAGATTTGTCAGGGTTCAGGGGGAGCAAACAAAAGACTGTTGACCCACTCAGACATTATTCAGTAAATCAACAAACAAAGTCTCAGAAAAATATCCCATAGAGGTCCAGAGCAGATACAACCAGCCTTTAAAAAACAAACATTTTCTTTGATAGTTGCTCTGAAAACAATCCAAGTGCATCAGGCTTTACTGGAAACAATTGTGCATGAGCTACATGCAGAATAACTCTCCTTTCAATCGAGTACAGAGAGACAAATATAAACTTTGTCCACTAAATAAACCATCCCTTTTCCTTTTAATCTGTTGTTTGGTTAAGTGACTTTCACATTTAGTTGCTGCAGTAACCACTTTTCCATTGTCACAAATATAACACTGTATAAAAAAGCATCATAAATTAGTCTGCAGTAATTAAATACCATTAACATACGGGTTTGCAGAAAAAGCATTAGTTGAATTGCAGCAACTGTCTGTTTGATTGTCAGACAATATTACATATCTATCAAAGTGCTTTCATTGGTTCATTGGTTTCGTATTGCTCTGTTTCACTAGTTTACAGATTATAAAAAACAGTTTTTGGTGTCTTTTTAAGGAACTCACAAAGCCCTCATGATCAGTACTTTTCACATCATCGAGGGCTCGCTCACTGTGGACTGCTCTTACGGCAGAGCTGATTTGCTGATGTCAACGTTTGTCTGTTGCGTCTTCGTTTTCCAGTCAACAGAGTGTAGAAAAATGGATTCACACACGAGTTCCCGTAGGTGAGCCCTGTGAGGATTCGATTCACGGTCACCTGAGTCCCTACTGGAACTGTCTGAAGCATGTCGGGCTGGTAGAGGGGCAGCAGCTGCCAAATCCAGAAAGGAAGGAAGCAGGCCCAGAAAGCCAGGACGATGCCAAGGATCAGGAGCAGGACTTTGGGTTTTGGGGCGCGGGGTGGACAAGCAGTGCTGCTCCCAGTGGCCCAGGCCGGCCTGGTTTGAGACACCCAATACAGTCTGCCTAGAGTAGCATAAAGCCCTCCGATGGCAAGCCCCGGGCCGAGGATGCTGGTGCAGAAAAGCACGCTCAGGTAGGCTTTTGAACTCTGCTCGTCCCATGCAGGTACACAAAGCTGGCCCTCCTGGTTCTCCCCGTCCTCCAGGTGCAGCGTGATCATCATGGGCAGACTGAGAGCCACTGCCAGCCCCCAGGCCAGGCCAACCCGCAGCAGGCCTGAGGAGTTAGAAGAGGAGGTGTGCAGGGGATGAGCCACAGCACGGTAGCGGTCCAGACTCATGGCAGTCAGGGTGAAGATGGAGGCATGCATGGTGAGGAGATCCAGGCTCAGGAGGAGGCGGCAGCCCAGCTCACCGAAGGCCCAGCCAGACGCTAGACTGTCGTACACAATGAAGGGGGCAGTGAATAGATAAAGCAGGTCAGCAAGAGCGAGGCTCAGCACCTGTAGGTGAAGAGAGGAGGAGGAAGAGGAGGTGGGAGAGGAAGGAGAGGAGCTGCTTGCAAGGCAGGATGGTACAGGTATTCTCAGTAGGCAGCAGGTCAGTCCTGCTCCACATCTCCTCCTGCCCCTCCTGCGCTTCAGAACGAGGCCCAGAGTGTACAGGTTTCCTGTGATGCCCAGCAGAGAGAGGAGAGAGAGGAAGGAGCAGAAGAGAGCTGTGGACGCGAGGCTGGGTGAGGGAGAGACGGAGGGAGAGGAAGAGGGTATGGAGATATTTGGGATAACAGGGAGGGTGTATGGGGAAGGTGGTGGCAAAGAGCCTGAGAAGTCCATGATGTCAGTTATGAAATTCTTGGAACTGGAGCAGGAATTAGAAATTTTGTAATTCTGATTTTGATCCAGAGAAAGAGTCAAAGAAAGAGGAGAGAGGTGAGATAGGTTGTGTCAAAAAGAAGAGAACAAAAGAATACTTCATTAGTTTCCATCCGATCATGTGCTGCTAGTTATTTTGTAGTTCTGGATATATGATTCGTTCAACACAGTTCAAGGACAACAAAACTAATACAAATTTGGACCCCTCTAACAAAGAGATTCATATACCCATGAATACTGACCGCAGAACAGATCATAAAAGTCATATAAACATAGTAGAAATAAAATGTCAGCAAAACCATGATGGTTTATGTTCTCGCAGAAACCTGCGCTGGTTGGCACTGCCTCTCAGTTTTACAGCTTCACGGGGAGTCAGGCTAGCCTGTCATGGTTTTAGTAAAATAATTGGATTTTCAAAGTAGGAGGGCTCCATCCGAAGACTGTAAATCTCAGCTGAAACCACCACAGCCTGCTCCTCCTAAAGGTCAGCAGTTGGGCAACAATTAGGCTGAGTGGGACATGAATACTCGTAAAAGAGCGGGCATGACTTAGAAGTTTCTAAAGCAAAGAAATACTGCAGTATTTTTAAACAATATTATTTAATCTTGTTACTGTCATGAAAGTGTGCACATTTGCAGGTTTGCATGTATATAAGGCTGAAAGCATGTAGTGAATGTTAAGTGCTGTGCAATGACAATGAAAGATTCTGTTTTATTCTGTCTTAGATGAGTTTTGGGGGGTTTCTGTTGCACATTTTTACGCATTGGTGGTTTGGATGTGGAGCTGTGCATGAAAATCTGCAGAGTCAGTAGACAGCGCAATGAGGCGGACATGACTGACCATTTTTATAAAACGTTTTTCAGTTTTAGTGTCGAAACAGAACTTTTGCACGGATACAGAAAAAGAGTTTTAACTCTTTACACCGTTTCTTTTGTGACATTATCGTGTGTTAGTGAGGCAAAACTTTATATCTTTCTATTTATTGATTGATGATGTTCTGGAGAAATGTAATCTGCAGCAACATCAAAGCAGCCACAGGGAGCCTGACAGGGCCAGCCTGTGTGACACATGGTGACCCGGTCTGCTCCAAGGTTAAGAGCTTCTGTTGAACTGCAGAGGAGCAGCCAAACCCCTGCAGAGCTGCACGCCTCCGAACCTCACTGGCTCACCGCGTTAAATAACAACTGGGTTAAATCTATTATAGGAGCCGTCCAATCAGAAAATACAGCAGCAGAAGAGTAGTTTCGTGTATTTCTATTTAATTTCAACTGTAATCTTGGAGGTAAATATGTGTGCATTTAAGTTTTCTCTCATTTTAAAATCTATTTGAAACTAAACTTGTCAGGAGATGACTCTGGTTGTACATATTTTAAGACCACACTCCGAGCAACAACGTAATTATGTACTTTTAACTTTATTTATAAATGAAATTGAGACATTTCTTCCTTGAAAGAAGAGACTATATCAATAGATACAACCTTCTAAATGGTGGGGCTCAGAAAAGACTACAGTGTAAACCATACAGCATTTAATGATAGTTAGTTACAGAGTTATTCAGCAGATTTAGTTTCCGTAAACTTACCTTAAAACAAATTGATCCCAGCTGTTTTAAAATTAATAGTCCTCGAAAATGTCTGTAGAAAAATCTCTGTTCCCATTTTGAGTCTTTAGGTTAAAGATCAGGATTCTCTCTCTTCAGCTGTGCGACCAGGTGAAGGCCAAAGTAACTTTCAAGTCTGATCTGTGCAGCTTAGAGTAGCTCTGTGTTTGATGATTGAGTCTAGCAGAGACGAGTGTGTGTGAGTCCAGGGGAGAGGAGTGTGTGAGAGTGGGAAGGGGGTGGGACGGGATGCTGAGTGAGGGGGCTCATCCTGTGGAGAACTGAATATTTAGTATTGGTTGGTCCTGAAGGACAGCAACAGAAAACGAAGCAGTGATCTTTACGATATGTTGCATTTTCTAGTCGTTCACAATCAGGTCCAAAGTAATCGTAAAGGTATTTGAATAATCTGTTCCACAGTATCCAGTGGGGGTTGTGGTTAAAATACTCAAACACTGTCGGGTAACATGTCTCACCATAAAAACACTGACGTATGGCCAAGGCTGGCCTATTTTCAGCGGCTTTAAATTATTACTGATGAAGAGTACTGAGTAATCCAGCTGCACCAAGTGGTGCTATGATAATCTAAACTACAGACTAAGTAAAAATATGTTTTAATGCTGTTTTAGGGAGGGCTTTTACAGTAATCTTTTGTTTGGTTTACTGACTCTAATGGTTTCAATACCTTTGAGCGAGGCATAAATCTCAGGGTGAGCTTGCTACAAAGACGTTCAATGAGAAATCAGTCCATAAATGGTATCCCAACATCATATTTTTGGCAAATAATCCAGTGCTGAATGAATCATGGGTAAGGTCATGATATTAACTACTTTCGCTGAATCTGTATGTGGATAGATTTATAAAACCTTAGTTTATTCGGAAGAAACACTTCAAAGCCTAATTTATGTTTGCATATAAAACAACAATGGAAAGTAGTGAGAAAAAAATATTAAATATTCTCTCAAGTCTTGATGTTTTACTGTTTTTATGGTTGACCTTTAGTTTTCAGCAATAAAGAAACCTTGTGGTTTTAATGCCAACAGAGCTGGAAAATGGTGCATTCAGGGCCAAAACCTTTAGATCTAAACCGCGATTAAAAAATAATTTAGCTATCCCTCAAGTACGGCGAACAAAGGTAAGAGAGGACGTAAAATGTGAAGGCTTGAATAGCACTAACAGGAAGAGGATGGCAAGTTAACGGCGGTTTCTGTAACTCACTTTATTGTGTCTAAACAGACTTAACTTGGGAAAATACACAGTGGATTTGTGGAGATCTTGTTTTTTTTTTTTTCCTTAGCAAAAACTAGTCAAGCAGAAACTTTGTTGATTTGAACACAATTTTCTTTCATTTTTCTATTTAGCATTAAGTAAATTTATCTGATTCTTCTAGTACAGTTGAATCTGCCTGTGTGAAATTTAGACTGTGGGACGAGCAAAGAGACAAACTCGCTGAATTGATGTTATTTCATGATGATCTGCAATAACTGATGTACTTTAACTCTGACCTAATGTCAATACCACATCAGCTCATGCTCAAACACATGATGCCTCACACACACATGCGTACACACACACACACACACATGTTAGATTTATACGATGATTTGGTGCTCGAGTTATAGAGGAAATTAATTGTCCAGGATCCTGGCCTGTATCAACATTTTTCCATGTCAGAGAAAAGTTGAACCAGTGGATCTAATAAGTGGCCTTTGACAAGATCACAGAATAAACAGCTCTTTCTTTTGGCAGTTATCAAAAGCAGCTCACAGTCGCCTGTTATCCACCAAGTTGTTTTTGGCCCGGCTGGCGTCTTACCCACAGCTGTGGTTTGCCAGCTCCAAGAGGCTGAACAAGTTGGAAATGATTTAGTTGTGACTAGGCAGTTAAATGTGTAGGCTGTACGCCTCATGTTGGCCGCTTCATACATGCGCTGGCGTACATAAGATAGACAGAGACAGGCAGTAAAGAGCAGAGGGACGGGTGGAAGAGGGGGGGACATACCTATCCCCGCGGGGTGTGAGGAATTTGAACAAATACCTGGCACAGGCATGCCAAAATAGGAGAGGGGGGAGATGATCCTGGAAGCCCGAGAGGATCAGGCGACTTTGTATGAGAGGAAAGACAGGTAGAAGTACTTATTATGTGGATGGGAATTATCAGAGGAAAGTCTGTGGTGTCTATAAGTTTAATGATGTTATATCAGGATCTGTCTGTGTGGAAAAAAGAAGAGGGAGAAATTATATACTTTAAATCCAGGCATAGCAATGCTTAACTCAAGCATACAAACCAGGAAAAAAGTACTGTGGTTGGGGTGCTGAGAGGGTCTGAGTACTCTTCTGTTTATTCATCTCTGTCAGGACTCATCAATTTGAGTCTATGCAGACACATTATATAATATCTAATTACATTTACCTGAGCTGTTGGCTTCGTTCTACTGATGTGACCTGCGCTGCTCGTGTTTCCATTGTTAATTAGTCTACAGCCTTTTCAATATGCAAATCCAGGCAGTGCAAGGATGAAGTCCAAGAAGAAAGCTTTCCTGTGCTTTTCCTTGGAGTGATGCTGTGAAATGAAGGCTGGGACCGTTACTGCGGTGTTATTTGAAGATTTTTAGTGTATTGAACATTATTTAACTAATAAATGAGGATTCTTTGGGTTGCATTTCCTTCTGCCAGTAGTCACCTTTAAGATAGCGTAGAGTCAAATAAGATTTGTCATCAAGTTTGGTACAGACAGTTCTATATGTTCGCTTTCAGATACATCCAAAGGAACAATATTTTAATTTATCAATCAATCAATCAAATTTGATTTATATAGCGCCAATTCACAACAGTCGTCATCCCAAGACGCTTTTCAAGGAATAAGAGCAGGTCTGGACCACGCTCATTGTTTGATGAATTATCAAGAACCAACCTAAGATGGGTTTTGGCCCATCTCATCTAACATGAGTAACAGTGGCAAGGAAAAACTTCCTTTTAACAGGCAGAAACCTTGAGCAGGACCAGACTCATGCCAGACAGCCACCATGCCGCTGCTTCATTTATCCAGTAATGATTTGTGAAGACAAACAAGGTTGAACCTCACATTTTTCTTAACAGTAAAGCCACTTAGGACACATCATTTCTATGACTTTAAAAGACAATTTGACCCCCAAAAAATCCAAGTACAATAATTTTAGGTTTTCTTCTCAATCAAGTCACCTTTTGGGTTGAAGCTTAGACTAACGATGAACTGAGTATTTTGAAAAAACTCAAAATAATCAATCATATCTAGAGTTTTATCAAAATATAAATCAGGTAACTTTCATAGAGCATGGCAAGGGCAGTGGGTGGATGACATTAACTTCTAGTTTGAATATGACTGCTCATATATTATACTAACTGTCTGCGCATCACAGAAATGTCCTCCAACTTTTTTTTATTATTTCCACATCCCAAGTGTTCAGGCATCATGGAGCCCCAAGGAGTCTCTGTGCGACTGTGAGTTCACAAAAGGTCAAGCTTGTGAAAACAGAATGAAGCCTGGGATCACAGTCACACTTCCTAAAACAACACTCTTTATTATTCTGTATGTCTTCATGTATTTATGCAGCACAGCCAAATGAAGGGGCTGTAACATGTCCAATCAGTGGGCAGTCAATGCTTGACAAATGGCCGGCGCGTAAACATCATCAGCTCTCTAACCCCGTTCCTGGCTGTCCTTGCTTTCTCCATTCATTTCACTAATTAGCTTCAGTGTTTTCTGAGCAAACTGACTGATGCCTGCTGCTCCACTGTCCTTAGTATCGTCGTCTTGATTAAATGGGCGGACGTTTGCTCGTGTGTGACAAATGGTTGTTGGAGCAGGCTGATTCACAACTTGTGATGAGTTATTGAGCTGCCCACACCCTCCCCTTCTGCCGGTCGGTCTTTACAGTAACACATCAAATTTCTCCCTTTGCCTCAATAGGACGCTGAACACATGGACTGTGTGAGGATTCAGGACAGTTCTGCACAGAGATTTCACTCTTTTTTTCTGGGCATACATTTTTTTATATGTGCCCATCTACTTTTACACAAGTTTATGACAGACGGTGGAACTGAAGTTATTAATTGATAGATAAACTATTTTATATAAATCATTTCCACATGTGCGTCTGTATATATGTGTTCCCTATAGATTAGCATGATAGTAAACAGAATACAATTGGGTTTCAGACTATTATTTGGACTAAACATGACTAGACTGAGACTTCTTATCTAAAAGAGTAAAAAATCTCTGTATTAATAGGCCATAAATGTTACCACAGAGCCAGCAGTATTCTTGACATGATAGGATCTGCTTACCTATGAATACTAGAAACTCAGTATTTAGTTTCCATGTGGTCTATCGTCACCTGTGTATTATGTGTAAGGGCTCTTTCTTCCGTGTATGTCCCTGAAGTAAGTCTGCAGGAGGTACAGACACACACTGAACCGATCTACGCTTAAACCTGAAATCACAGAGTATCAGATTTGTGACAGAATATGGAACCTGTTAGAGGGCGCAGAGCCTGAATTTGGCGCTCCATCTGTAGAATCAGATAGGCTTTTGAGCAGGTACACATGTTAAGTTGGTAAAATAGCAAACAGCTAACAAGTCAGCAAGAAACTAGCTTTTTGCTAACTGAGAAAAGTTGTCGTAAAGAGGTCTTTTGAATTTATTTACATTGGCAGCAACAAACAATGATTGTGTTTTACCACACAAGAGTAAAATCCCTGCTTATAAAAGTTCATTTTGACAATATAAAAGATCTCATAGTGCAGAGGGCTGTTGCTATAGTAAAGTAGTATTTTAGTGGGTCTTAATTGTGTCTAATTGTGAGTGTATTTGGCTAAAACGTCCAAGATATCAGCCACAAACTAAGGCCTGAACTGTCCGTAATGAGTGACAATATCAACAAGCAATTTTTGGATAACTTTTTTGAAATAACCCTATTAAAAAAAAAAAAAAAAAAAACTAGTAAAAAAATGGAATGCACATTACAAGCAATGAAGGCCCTGTCTTTGGCTGAATATATCAAAGTCCTATTCACACAAAAATCACCTTTTTCAATGTGAAATCTCAAATAAGGAAAATTTAAGTTTCAAGGAGCATTAATTTGGTGAC